AGAGGGTGCGAGAGGGTGCGAGAGGGTGCAAGAGAGCGCAAGAGGATAGAAGAGAGGCACTGTTAGACTAGGTTCATTGAGTCTTCTATACTGATTCGGGAAGGAAAGGGTCGACCTGATAATCCATGCCAAGCCCCTAATACATCCAGTAACAGCCAGCATATATTATTATTAAACGTCCAGTTATCCAATTGGATCGGGGAATGCTAGTAACTCCGTGATTGGGTCGCTTAAGCACCTTGTCCACGTGATGTATTCCACCTTTTTGGTAACCTTGCTGATTATTTATTGTTTTTATCACGGAAAACGTTGTTCACTGCAGCCTCATGCCACAAAAACCTTGTCTAGGTGGAGCCGCTAACATTGCCTAGTGTTCCTAAAGGAGCAAGAATTGACAGGACATCCTTTGAAAAGGCAAGGATCGACAGGACAATCCGTCGTAAGGCTGTCTATCTAGAGATATCAAGAATCACTGCTCATTATGCAACACGACACACATCTTTCCGGGCAGTTACTCATCCTTCCTCACATATCATGTCCAGACTCCCAGGTATTTCACACCCACCCGTTTCCTCGCTCAGCTGGGTGAGTTTTTGGCTGACAATATGGACTACAGCCCTTTTTCGCACTCACCACCGTGCAGACTCCGCGCAACGGTCGTCCAAAATATTCATCATTTCTATGAATCCCTGGTAACGTCCGCGGGATGCCCTGCGTCTCAGCATGATGCACTTGAGCGCCTCGAGGGCGTATCTCCCCCAGCAGTCGCGACCCACATCCCAGCCTTGCCTTCTCAGCCGAACCGCGCCCACAACACGAATTCTTCCCACGACGATGACGAATCCTTGAAGCTCTTCGACGAGCTCATCGACCCGGACTCTTTCTCTGACGCCTCTTGCACAGCCTCCCGAGGCACCTCTGAAATTGCTTATCGTTGTAACGAGCCGGGGTTAGCAATTGTTTTCCACGACAAATCCACTAGCCCTTCCCAGATGGACGCAACAACGACGCCATCCCCCTCCATGTCCGGCAGTGGAAGCAGAAAGAGCCCTCTTTCCGAATTGCCAGTTCAGCAGCCTAACGAATCTGACAGAGACTCTCGAATCCTATCAATGCCTTCCTCTGAGTCTCCAGAACCCGTAGTGGATGTCGCCTCTAGCCTGTCGTTGTATGAGCCCATAAGAGCCGAGGGTAACCGGCTAGTCCTTCCAACAGCTAGCCTTACTGCGCCAGCAGCGCTCCAATGCCCGCACTGTGGGGAATATTATGGCTCAGACTCTCCACAGGCTCAGCGTTTCCGGTAAGCATGTTGACCTTGCGACAATGACGATGACTCCCTGATAAACTGCAGGACACACGTGAGAAAGCACGCAAGGCAGAAGTGTACCGTTCAAGGCTGTGAAGTCCTTATTAGTAACGATCGACGAACACTCGCACGTCACTTAAAACAAGTTCATGCCGCCAATTCACAGCCCTTGAACCCTTTCGGTTGTCCGTGCGGAAAGATATACAAACGCAGGGACCATCTCGTCCGACACGGCAAGAAATGCGGCCAATATTTATCAAGTATGACGAGCGATTGTTAGAGCTTGTGAGCCATCTATGTCATACACTGGTCGTTCGAGTGTGGTATCGTGCGCCCCCTTCGAGGTATGCTTCACCGAGGCGTGGCAGCAGGGGATCATAAACGGACGATCATTTCTTTTCTGCCGTCTCTTTTGTGGTTTTTATCTTACGTTTCAAGCTGGTCTCTGTCTGTGTACTTCATATCAACAATCGGTTGTCGGTTCTTTTGTGTGGGGTTCATGGTGTTCTGGGCACATTGAATAACATGCGCCTCGCTGACAGGCGTGGATCGAATGAACGAGGATGGGATCTTCAGGAACAGGCATGCAAAGCCACCATTTTCACAAAAGCCATGCTCGAGAAATGTGTCAAGCGAGGAACACCTCGCACAGATAGACAGGCCTATCTCAAGTATGAAGCTGCGACACTCTCTGGTGAGACTGGAACAGACAGCATGTTTGATATCCTGGCACTTTACTCCGATTCGTCGCGTAGACGACTATGCCGTGGGATGTCCCTCGATCGAGCCCTCTTCCTTTTATGTATGTCACCCTTCACGTCTTTCTTCTCAGTGACACCGCGGAGCGCGACGCGCGAGTAATGACCGATCCACCTGGGCTCTCGTGGCAGATTACACCGAGAAACAAGAACACCGAAGCACAAGCAGATGATCCCCTAGGTTCTCGCTCGCCTTTCACGATGCGGGGTCGGGATCGTGGTCGTGGTCCAACGCGATCGATGTATGCAGAGAGGGTTGAATATGGGAAGCTCGTGCTCGCACAAGGCTGAAGCCCCCTTTGCCGTGTGGGGGAATTCGTCTGGGGGAAAATTAGGTTATCGAGGACAAGTCAACGCGCTTGACAGAGGACGGTTCTAGATGTATGAGTTACATAGATGAGAAACACCCGAAGGAAAACAGAATCGATCACAATACAATGGGCTTTGGGGATATTTGTCGGAGTTTGTACATATCAGGCTGAGGCACCCCAGTCCACGTCCTCGGTTGGGGCCACCAATCAAATGACCCGTCATTCGGTCGCCTATGCAGCTGTATCCGCAAGCCGTCAGCACGTCAACCAACCCGTCAACCAACCCGTCAACCAACCAATTAACAAGCCGAATAGAAATCCTAGATACCCAATCGTTTCCATAGAGGCCCATGTTGCCGCACAGCTCCTCGTGGTTCCTGCATACGCAGCCATGTTCCGACCCCGCCAAAAAAGGAAAGGAAAAGAAAACAGACCTTTTGACCGTGAACGCCTCGCTTTGCTTTCCTTACCCAACTTAGATTGGACATATGGGCCATTCTAATCCTCGAGAAAATCGTGGTGGTTCTTGGCTTTCTTCCGCCTCGAAACCACTCTCCAAGTTCCGGTCTGGTTATCACAGTCTCGATAATTCGCACTCGGGTGTTAGGCCGGGGAACAGAGAGCCACGACTCGTGGATGCCGACGGATGATAGATACATGGGCACATGTCGGATCTCAGTAAGACAATCCTAGTCCTGGACACTTATAGGTTATGCGCAATGTCCGGTTGAAAGCGGGTTTGATACCCTTTCTCTTTTCTTTACAGGAGGACCCTTAAATGACGCACTGGATTCGCAACCTGTCCTGATATCTGCGCACTTGCTGGTCTGGAACGGCTCTTGTCACGGTTTTCCTGATCCATCCAAGACGCTGACTACGCGGACGATGGTTTCTTCGTTCACCGCGGCGAGGACCCTCTGTGGAAATGCTTTACCCCTGTCTGACAGCGAAACTCGTCCATCGCGTCTCAGAGAGAGCCACCGGAAGCTCTACCACGCCTTAGACGACCCGTGGTCGGATCCATTCTTCGACATATTGCCTGAGATACACCTTTTTTGAGTGCACCGTCGCACTTGTAAGAAGCGTGCCAATACGATAACGCAAACTTAACTTGGTGACCACGGACGAGGACAGTGGGCGTCTCGAGGGTGGCGAAGAAACCGAGGTGCAAGTCGCGGAAGACTGTTTGCTTCTTCCTTGGTCTCTGGATGATTTGTATCGTACTCGAAGCCTGGAGGTGCACATTCCGTCACTACCAGGCTCTTGATCAGCAACACTCCTCTAAGTTGGTGGGCTGCCCTTCGAAGCGGCTGCTTGTCTGAACCCACACAAATACCGGACGATGGCAGCATTCTCAGATCAGCTCTTGGACCCGGGCGAAGGTGCAACCCTGGAACATAAGCTGTCAGATTGTCAGCTTCGTGTAGAGCAATTGAGTCACCGATAGAACACAGCTTGCTCCTTGCCGAATGCTCAGACAACCCATTGAGCCGTAAGTTCAGTGGAAATATTGAGTGCCATGCCCGGACCGGCACCAATTCCATCAGATTCTAGGTCCTGGAAAGAGCTCGTGTTGTGAGAATCGAAGCCTGGATGTCTTAGGAGATGCTCCGCCAGCACCGGCCTCGCATGGTGGCGGCTGTGTTGATCTTCCCTTTGTACAGCCTGTCTGCAGGGACTCGACCTACTATCCGGTACAATGCAATGCAGAGCTCGCCATCGTCAAGTGGATGGGGAAAATGAGTAAAGACAGCTTCTTCATGTCAGCATCCAGTATAGCTGTAGAACACAAACGGGTGACGAGAAAGGCTCCGTACCGTAAGTGCCGCAGAACGTTGCCGGAATACTTGTACTCGTCTCGTCGGCCGAGTCTCCTGAGGGGTTGGCGAAGAGCGAACCGAGCCTCAGCGGGTGCCTCTTTCCTATTCTGGTATTAACAAGACGTCATTCATACTCGTATTATGGGACTATGACCCCACAGTTTGCCAGTTCCATACTCCCCCGACCAGTGCCGACGCTGCATTCCAAATAATCTTCGGTTTCAAGAGGCGAGAGCCCGAGTTACTAAGCAGCATCAATGCCTGGTGTTTGGATGCGTGGAAAGAGCATAGAGATTTCGTCCGATGCTTTCATAATCTGACGACGCAGGTGAGAGCCGACCCATCGAGCCGACTCCGCCAACGATGCAGGGCAAGACGATTGGTCCCATAAGGGGATGCAATCGGATGGAGATGCCACCCGATCTGGTGCCGCCTTAGCCTCTGCTGGAGACTCATGTGGTTGAACTGTCTCGTGCCGCCAAAACCAGGGGTTGAATGTGTGAGTGTTGCGCAGAAGAATGATCTCAAAGACATAGATGATAATTCGGGTGCTCGCTCTATCCAGTGCATCAAGGAGACGAGACAAGACGGGCAGAAAGGGAAAGCTATTCATCTGGAGGTGCCGTGAACCAAAGGAGCTCACAAAAGCATTCTGCAGGGACAGATCGATCGTGCGCGTCCCGTCGTGCTGGATCTGCATCGATCCGTAGTTCTCCATCCAATCCCCAGCCAGCTGGGATCTGTTCATACATCTCCGGCATCTCTAGTGACACGAAAAGGAGTCTTTCTGCATCTTTTTGTACGGACGGTGCCAGTCGATGAAATGCTGCCAACATTCGTATGACCCCAATCCAGACCTGAGCATACCTCTCACCAATTGTCGCCGAGACAGTTAGTCGCGTCAGAAACCACAACAGATGGACGGGTGATATTGCTGCATCGTCTCGGGCTCCTTCTAGGTGTTGGCTAATGGCCTCGATACATGAGTCAGTTGCCGGATCAAAGTCTCCATGAAGCATGAGTGCCGATGTGAGAAACAAGATAACTGCTAGACGGCAATTACGTTCCGTTGGGTATTCCGACGTTGGGGTCTGAAGCAGCCTTTTCAGGGTTGAAGCTTGAAACGCCTTCACCCTTCGCAAGTCGGATAAGCGGTCCATCTCTACCTCGGAAGTAGGTAACAGATCGACGAGGGCCTTCTGACGACTCCGAAGCAGATCGTTGAGATCCTTGAGCCCAAATTCTAAATCTGGGGCGCAGTCGAATCCCGTCAGAGGTCCGGGCAGGGCGATGAAAGTCCAGATGAGCTTTGTAAACATGAGATGGTCCCCTTTGAATGAAGATAATCCGCCGTGTAGCATGATCATCTCCCTGAACGCGAGCCAATGTGAGGTACCGTCCGATCCCCCCATGCACTTAAGGCTGCAGAGAAGGATCGTGCCCAGAATGACGCCTGAATTGAGGGTATGAAGATTGGACCTGATACTTCGCACAAGCTGGTTTTCGTACTCGAGCGGAGCTGGTATGCCCTGAAGGGCTGACCGATGAGTCGCGGCATCGAACAACAGAGCTCGAAAAGACACCTCGTCACGGCAGTAGAGCTGGAACAAGTCCCTCACGGCATTTGCATTGCCCATGTGTTTCCAGCGTGCTCTGTAGAGCTCCGGCATCACAGTTGAATCTATGGATTCGACAAGTCAGCTGGAGCGAAGGCGGCTGAGGTAGGGACATACAGTGATGGAAGAGACATCTGTCCTGGGCGGCTTTCAGCAGATGGAGAGGGAGATCGGCGGTTGGCGGACAGGCTGCCTTGACCACAACGTCGACAGGCCATTTGAACTGGTCGAGCTGTACATTCGCGGGAGAAACGGGGAGGTTCGAGGGATAGACTTTTCTGTGCTGGCGCTTCATCCGGTGCAACTCCCTTGCCAGATGCGCCCGGGACTTGTGTCGTTTCTCGGGATCATTTTCGTCGACAAAATGCAGGCGCGGGAGAGTTTTCTGAGTGGCCATAGCGAAGAGCAGTCTTGCAGAAGACCGATGGGAAAGTGCCAGAGGAGGCACATAAATACATAGTGCTAGCTCTACTACCCAGCACTTTACTAGTATTCAACGAGGTTAAATCTAGACCCTCGGCAGAATGCCTGGCTAGCTGCTGACGAATGCCGCTTAACACTACCACCCCTACAACTGACTCGCTTCGTTCGAGTGTACGGCAAGCGACGACGGGCTCGGTAGGATTACGGCACGTGATCTCACTCCACCTCACCTTACCTCACCTCATAGACTACTATGTACTTAACCAGCCAGGTTGCCACTTTGAATGGGGTCCGGGACTTTTGCAGTGCTGACAACGAATCCATCCATGCGAGAGCAAGAGCATTGAGCAGCCTTGAGCAAGAGCATCGAGGGATTAAGAAGTGGGTCAGCTGTCTAACCTACAAAGGTAAGTACATAGTACCTAGGTACATAGTATTACATGATCCTGTCCTGACAAATACTATGTACCTAGGTACAATACATATGTAGTATGTACTAGAATAGCAGCAACGGAGTCACCTACGCAATCAAATTCAGAGAACCCGGACGTGAGCGCAAGGCTGAGTTACCCCTGAACCAATATATGTCTGGACAGTCAAGAACCTTTACGTTGGACAAAGCGCTTAGTACGTACATATGTAAGTACTTAGTATGTACATACATACTATGTAGTACTGTTTGCAGCCTGATTCTGAGCCAATGTCTCGAGTCGTTTGAGGCGGTTTGAACGCGGGCCAAGATCGGTGTCAAATCGCTTCAATGCAGTTCGCGTAAATCCCAGAAAATTGAATCGATTTGAAGCAAATCCGAGCCGATTCGACACAACGATACATACTACAGAACATAGTACTTAGTATCATACTATACTTCAAGTTACATACTACCAGTACGTAGTACTAAGTACTATGTAGCTTAGTTGATTTAACCTACACAAACTTGAGTCGACTTCGGAGTCAAACCTCTCAAAGCGAGTCAAAACTCATCAACACGTGACAGTATCAACATACTTACTAAGTACATAGTAGGTACATACTAAGTAAGTAGTAGTATCAATCTCAAACCCAGCTCGATTCCAGCTCGATCCAAAAGTGAAGCAAAGCGGTTCCAGATCGAATCAGACCAGATTGAAGCGATTCTAGACTGGAGCAAAGCGATTTCTCCAGACTGGATCAAACCGATTTCAGTCGAATCAACTGCACAGTGGCTTAAATCCAGAGTCGGGCCAGATCGATTGTATACATACTATGTAGTAATTGATTCCATTCCCAGTCTATATTGAACTCGTCTGTGATCAACTCTATATACATAGGCTACATACTTAGTATAGCAGGACTAATGTCTACATACCAGTACTGCTGGGACTACAGGACAGTGTAGGTGTCATTCGCTCCTACATACTCTCCGAAGAGCTGATTTCCACCGTATGAATCCTGGGAGCCTAGTATTGCTAAGTATGGTAGCACCTTCCTGTAGCCGTACGGTTGAGACTGGAAAGAGCACTTAGTATACTTATGTATGCCTTTGATACCCGCACCTTCCACCTGCTACGCAATCTTCAACTTAGAGATCAGAACTTTTCGACCCTGATCAGCTCTGCAAGCTTCTCCGGTAGTACCTTTTCAGCTGCTGGTGTCCGTATCATGAACCTCCCCGAAAGGAACCACTACAATCGCCAAAAATGGAAAGATCTGAGCACTCTCGTTTTTATCACGTGACTATCACGTGATCAGAATGTGCAAACACTGCAAACGCTGTAAACATCGTGGCGGCTGATCCTCGGGTTTAGACTTTGGAGTAGAGAAGAAGCTCCAGGATCACCAGCGCAGCTCAAACATGGTTGTTCAGTCAATCTGTCTTTCTTAAATCCTGTTGCGTCTCAGCAATTCGGTGCTTAATCCCAAATACTAGTATGAAGTCTCTCCAGTTGCTTGCCCGCGCACGGCCGGCCCTGTTCCATCATCCCCCGAGAAATTCACTCCGCACCTTCAGCACTGTCCGCAATCACGCGCAGTCTCAGCGTACCTCGAGCACAAACTCTCCTCAATCAGAGCGACCCGTCAACTTCTACAGCACCCACGGCCGCGCCTTTTTCAAAGCCATCACGCTGGCGTTCCTGACATACCAAATCGCATACTGGGCATGGCTGACGCTGGAGACGGAATACGTCAAAGACCAGAAGAATCGCGAGATCAAGTCGCTCGAGCAAGAAGTGAGGTTGTTGGATGAAGGTCGAAAGGCTCACAGACCTGGCACGTCTTGAGAACATGACAAAGAATAAAAGATGGGAAGCTGTGCGAAGGTATCACAAGAGAACATATCATGGCGATGCCGCATCGGCGATTTCCGTGTTTGCGACTTCGAGTATATGGCGCGTCACTGCGGGTTGAAGCTGCCGCACCCCAACAAGTCACCTTTGGGTTCCCAGACGTAGAGAATGATCCTCCAGAATGATCGCTGGGTGGGTGGAAAGGGGGATTCGTATGGACAGGTGGACCGACCTTCTACCCAGAACCTTGAGGCAAAGCATCGCCAGCCGGTGGTCCGTCCTACCTCCGAACCACGGATGGGTTGATGAGGACCTGTCATGACCTGAGGAAATAAATCTTCGTCCGGGTCCAGATTCACGCCGCCCAGTCCTCGTTACTCACCTCCCTATTTGCGCACATACTGTGTGACGGCTGTCCCGCAATATCCACGACCGCACTCAGACTCGCATGATGCATTGCATCACGTTCCTCCTCCTCTCAGTGGGCGCCCTCGCTGTCGCCCACCCAATGAAAATCGGCAGCGAAAGCACTTACCCGCTCTTCAACGACAGCAGCATTGCTCCGCCAGGAGGTGTCCGGACGATGAACACAGGTGTCCTCCCGGTAATCTACGATTATTATATACCTGGCGTCCCGCCAAAGACGGTCAAGCTGGCCGATCAGGATGAAACAACAACCGAATCTAGGAGTCAGGTCTCCGATCATGGTCGATGACTGTACAATCTCTGACAAGACCGGTCACATACTAAGTACATCGTACGACACGTCAAGGGCGAGAACCCGCTCCCTGAAAACCGCTGCACCATGGGGAACCAAGATGGATCAACCCGATGAAGTGCAGCAAGTGGGGGAAGCTGAACCAGCAGGTGCTTTTTAACCAAGTGACCCAGTCGACAAGGCAAAGGAAAGCCGTCTACAACACGACCGGGGGTATATAGGACACCATCATCACGAGAAGGATCTTGGACGGGATTATGGGCCCAGGCCTAGGTAACTTGACTCGACCGACAGGGGCCAATCAGACCAAGGAAGATACATAGTACATAGTAGAGGAACGAGGGAAGTAAAGACGCAGAGAGCGTGCACGATATCTTGTATACTTCTTACTCGCCACAGGGGTCCAAAGGGATCTTCGTCTGCTCATATCGTACCAGTCGGTACTAGTACCTTCTCCCGGTTCGATTTGTTACGCTTTCCGCCCGCAATGACACTGCATTCAATTGTACTCGTTACTCGCCCTGCCTCGGTCCACCCGTCATACTACCCTCGCCACGACAGGTGTATCTGCTGTCTATGTATCTTGTACGCTCGACCCTCCTCCAGGGTCTGTGACAAACCGACTCCTCAGCTGGGCATGAGCGGCTTAAACCTATCCAACCCACCCGGCCCCGGCCTGTCGTCCTCGTCCATGAGGCCATCGTTCGCATTCACATTTGCCTTGGCACCGCCGTCTGGCCTGTTCCTCGTGGGCAAAGACGGGCCATTGCTGCTGGTGCCGGCAGCATCCCTCCTCGGGGGCAGGGGCGGAGCAGGAGGCTCGTCCGGCTCGTCATTGCGCTGCTGGGTCTGCTGATGATGGAGATTTGATATCCTCATAGGTGGCGGCGGAGGAGGATTGATGCCCCTCTGCAGACTCCTCGCACCGGGCCCTGACGCGACAGAGTCAGACGCGCTCACGAATGAGGCGGTCGAACTTGCAGTCTCCGTGCGCCTGGGTAGTGGTGGAGGGCGCTCTTCAAGTTCGGGTCCCGGGGTGACCTCCGAACGAGACACGCTGCTCGCCAAGCGCGGCAGGACAGGGGCGGGGAGAGGGCTCAGCTGCGGGACAGCGACCTGGCTGGACGAGGTTGTGAGAGCCGACGGCTTAGTGGGTTTGGGAGGAGGTCGTTTCTTGGGGAATCCCGCCGCTGACGAGGACCGCGCAGGGATGTTGTCGGCCAGATGATCGCCTGTCGACGACATGGTTGACCGTATAGGCGAGGCTGTGGCGCTGGAAGCCCTGTTCCGCGGAACCGAGCCTCCTCGTGGTGTAGGGGGTGTTGGACGTCGAAGGGCTCTCAGCTCCGCCGCCGGTGTGGACGGCGTTGTTGCTACTCGTTCTCCCTCCCAGGGTGGAGGTACCATTCTCTTCACCGTCCTCGGTGGCGGCGGCTCTGGTTTCCTGCTTGTGGATCTGTTGCCTTGCTTGTTGTTGTCCATGATGGGCGGCCTCTCGACCTCGACCCAGTCGTCCTCCCCACCCTCCCTCCACGGATTGCCTTCGCGGTTCCCGCTCAACATCATGCCTTCCCTCGGTGGGCGAATCGTGCTTCTTGCAGCTTTGTTCCCATCTAGCCACCACTTCCGCTTGTCGCTGCTCGCCGGAGGTAGGCCTTCCTGAATGCTCTCATATCCCATAAGGCTCTCCATGACGCTGTCGGTTTCGTCATCCGTCTCCATGTCATCCAGGCCCTCGGTGGAATCTCCTGCTTTACTTTTCATTTCTTTGGCCCTCTTCGAGTAGAGCTTCTTAGTCAAGGCGTCCTTCTTCTCTTCGTCGACCACCCGGATCCCCACGTCGAATATGGCATATACCGGTCGGTGATCGCTGAACCTCAGGCCCATGACGCTGTCATATTCCAATTGCTTCATGTGCGAGCCGAGAACTTCTCCGGCCTGGACTACATTACGGTTGTGGTTGACCTTCCAAAGGATCCGGTCGGTCCAAGCCGGTATACGTTGTTTGTCACTCGAGTCGAACTCGTCTTTCCCAATGTCGTATTTGTATGTCGGCAGGAATTTTACCCGTCCTTCCCGATAATAGTTGAAGCAGTTTCCCACCACCATTTGAATGTTTAGTTGGTCGTTTTCGTAGAGCTTCCCCAATGCCTCTTCCCTGATTTTTTCAGACCCGATCATCGCCTCGTTGACCAGGGCTTTCACTCGCTCATAGCCCAGACCAATTCGATAGTTGAAGTCGCCCGCCCAAACGATGATCTCGTGGTCCTCGATGCTCCGGTTGCGTTGAAACCTCAGACCAGAGGTAATTGTGTTGTAATCTCGATTTCGTTCCTCGTAATTGGCGAACCCTGCAGCCAAGTGCGCGGTGACGAAACATACAGACGTGCTTTCAATGTCCATTCGAATGGCGACGGCCCCTTTGTTTCCGGCAATGCCACTCATACCCGTTTTCTTGATGGCACCCTCCACATTCTTGATTCGGCCCAGAATGCTTGAACGGACAAAGACCATCAATGCAGCTCCCACCAATTGCCCGCTCCTCAAAAGAACATATTCATCGCCCTTTGTGGGGACGCCCTCGAATTTTTCGTCGGGACCATGTCCGTTGAGACAGTTTCTGACTGCTCTTTCCCACAACATTCGACGATTGGGGTCTGTGCTCATGATTTGCTGCGGACTCAGCTCAACGATTTCTTGAAAGCCAACCACCACGATGTCCAGATTTTTGCCGCGGACGTCCAGCCAGGGAGTCAAGTCTTCATGGATCCCTGTTGTTTTGCCATTCAAGTTGTATGTTCCCATCCCAAGCCTGAGCTGATCTCTTGACTCAAACTCAGGTCTTCGTCTGGCAACCTCCGCAACGACCCAGTCGTTGATAGGGTCGAACAAGTCAACGCTTGTCTGTCCGACCAATCTGCCCAGCAACAGGTCAACGGTATTCTGCCTGTTTTTGTCCTCAAAGTGGTTGACATATAGGCGGGTAGCACTCTTCCGGGCATCTGCAAGGGCACCCGCGAGACTCATTTTGCCATGTCTTGTGAATGAACTCTTCAACGCTCCAGTCCCAGCATATATTCTCGAAAGTGCGTCTCCATTGTCGGCCCATAAGGCAGAATGGCGCATCCAAAAATCAGAATTGCCTCGCTCGTCCCGGTGCGATAGGAACAATTCCAACGCCATTTGGCTGACTATGCCCTGTATGAGGTTTGTCCGATCTAAGCAGTCTAGACAATTGACACGAAAGATGCCGTTCTGTTGCATGATAACAATAGGCCTTCGGACAAGTTTCCTTCTGCCATGCTCGACGGCGACTTCCTCTATCTCCTCTGAGAGAAAGTAAACAAACGACTCTGCGCTTGTATCCAAATATGGTCGGATCGCTTTTGCTGCTTCATACCCGGTGGGACCACGAGTCCGTTCGTGGAAATCAAATTCTGTTTCGTGGAGCAGATGGTGTTCCTCCTCTTCACCTTCCTCATGCCGTCGTAGAGGGCTTCTACTCACATGATAGCGGTACCTCTCTGTCAGCTCGACCTCGCCTGGCTTGGAAGCGCTTAGCAGATTCACGATGTGAACTGCACCATATGTTCTTTCCAGAGTTGCGAAATGCTTATCAAATGCTGGCTGCGTAGCCTCCGGCGAGCGGGTGATTTGGATCTTTTGTTGACCAGGTATCAGACTGCTCGAGCTTTCCCAGAATATCGGTATGCTGCCTCGCACTTGAGTGTATGAGAAGCAAAGCCCGGTGGGAGACCAGAAGACAGTCTCGGTCTCAACGAAGTTGGCAACGTTACCGTCATCGTCAATGCCTCGAGAATTGAAACGCGTCCCGGCCCGTCTTGAGGATAATCTAGAGATGATGGTCAGGGTCGTAGGTGGTCCCGGGACGGTTCCCCGGATTGGAGAGGAAGAAGGCGGTATCGGCAAACTTTTGACAAAGCCTCGAATTACAGAAGTGAGTAGTCGAGAGCGGTCAAGGGCATTTCGTTCGAGGTCAGTAAGTCTGCTCCTAAATTTGATCAGCGGATCAATCATGTACGAGTTCCAGAGGAGACCTTCGTCGAGACTGGAAATGTCAACGGTGCTTTCTGCCTCGGCCCTGGAACTCGTCAGCCCTGTTTTTCCGGATGACTGGGCTCGACCTACCGATCCTGCAGCCGTCGTGTAAGATCGAAATCAGCACTGTAGTAGAAGTTGCCGTTGCTTAGGAGTTTCTTCAGCGCGTGAAATGGATGTTCAGAGACATCGTCGCCCTGGGTGTAGTCCACGTCGTCCGACTGGAAGATTTGTCCGGGATATGGATTAGGATAAGGGCCATGGGCATGGTCGTAATCTGCACGATTGAGACAGTCTAGCCAGTCATCAGCATGACATCTTTCAGATAGGGCCACCCCGACTCACAGAACTCCACGGCGAAGATTTTTTGGACGGTCTCGCCTGGCCTCACAGTAGCCACCTCTTCTGACCCTGTGATAACGCAAAGGAAGACATCGTTGTTGAGGGTGATGAGACCCAAGGTGCCCCTCGCGGTAGTGACAGGATGAAAATGCTGGAGGTTGATAGAAGACTTGTCCCCGAACTCGACCATACATCGAGGCGTCTGGTTGGATCGACTCGCATTGCCCAGCGGTAGGCTGGTCGAGCTCGAGATTGAGGCTCTGCCACTTTCTGGTGCAGCGTGAGAGTGGCGAAACACCAGGACATGCTCATCTGTGGCAAGGGCCACTGTCCGATGGGGGTAATCATGGATCAACACCTTGGTTGACATCGTGTTGCAGGTCACCGGATGACGCGCACTTGGTCCCGCATCGCCAGGCTCATCGGCGGCGTCGATATGCAGACAGACGCAAGCAGGTGTAAGCACCTCAAGCAACAGACCATTGACTTATTGCGGAATGCAGTCGCGTGCTAGGAGGTTTGGGTTTCGGCGAATTTCCTAAGGCTCCGCGGCCGCGCGCCAGGCTGTCTTACAAGTCGATTGATACAAATCTCGGGTTAGAAATACGGCTTGTCATCGATATAACTGGCCCGGACAGGATGTTCACTCTCTGGTATTGACAAAGAGTCGATGGATTAATGGAAGCTGAAAGTGAGGTTGCCCTGCGGATCACGTGATATCCCGCTTAGTGAGATTGAGAGCCACCATCGATGGGCGACTCCAGATTCTCGATCTGGTAGGGAGGATACAGCACAGAACAACGGAATGTATCTTCGACAGGCTCTATTTTATTCGTTATGTTGCTACACAGCCTTTTTATCTCCAAGGCAATGAGCAACATTGCCAGCTAAGCCGACCAACCTGAAATGAATATGGGTATCATGTATGAAACCCCAAGCAAAGCAACGCCAGTTGAGTCCCTGTAGTATGCAAAGAGTCGGCACTCTCCTCGAGCCGATCGGTATCCAAAAGACATCGTGTCAAAATGTTTCGCCGCTCTGTCGAGAGCGTTTTCTTCGGCCTCAGACTGCTGCTGCTTTCCACATGTATTTTGGAAACTCCCGCTAAATCCACAGTTCGTAAGTCGTAACCATGACAAAGGAAATTCATCCACGTGTCGCGTCCCCTGAGGCATGAAAAACCGATCCCGAATGCTCGAGAGGATAAAGCCATGCCTCCTGAAGTGGCCTATGCTAGAGGCTCTCTCGTCTGTCGATGTTGAAAAATCGTCGTAGATTGGATGGCGGGTGGCTGGAGAAAACCGAGAGATCAAGTTGGCGTCGAAGTGTATGGTACTGAAATAGATCAGGAATGGACATATTCCACCCACGCAGTTTCCACCTTTCGTCGTTCTCCCACGATCCCTGGGGCCAAAGCCTGGCCAATCTACCCAATTCGTCTTGTCGACGTCAAGGGAGCCGTTCACATAACGATGCATGCACTGTCGTCAGTGGCACCGTGCTGAGATTTAGCGGCCACATCAGGCTTTTTATCACCTTTTAAAGGCCGCGATGGCCGACCGGCTGCTCCTCCCAGCATCCAGCCGGCGATGCCTCCGGTCGGTTTCTTCTTTTTGGGGCCTGGAAAGTAATGATCAGATTTCATCATTCCTCAGTTTCTCCTCGGGATTCTGTGTTTCATACCTTTTTTCCCCTTCGGCGGGTTGATTATATCATCTAGATTGAGAATACCACCGTCTAACATCTCCGGAGGCGGAGGCGGCAGCGGCTCCTCTATAATTTCTTCCTTGGGTTCGGGAATGGGCCACAGCATCATTGTGATGTGCATATCTGGCTCGATGGTTGATTCCCAGTAGTTGGGCATGATGATCTCTTTGTCAGGGCCGATCAGGTCGTAACGGCCCGCTGTCACATGCTCTGCAAGGTTTTCGATGTGCGCAAATGCTTGGATGATCAGATTTTCCATATCCTGCCGATGGTCAGCTTTCATCTCCTGGCGAGATATCTACCAACTTACCCTCCACTTGCAACATCGATCCCAGGGGAAATTGTAATTCCGCCCAATGGCATCTTTGAATCTGACCGGAGCCTTCTTTTCGGGGCCCTTTGCAGCAGCGGCTTTCTTTTCCGCCTCTTCGGCTTCTGCCTTGGCTTTGGCCGCTGCTTCCTCGGCCTCCTTGAGCTTGGCTTCAGCCTCTTCCTTCACCTTTTTTGCCTCCTCTCTAGCAGCAGCAGCAGCCTCAGCAGCCTCTTTCTCGGCTGCGGTCTTCGCAGCCGCTGCAGCGTCGTCGGCAATTTTCTTCTCGAGTGCGGCCTTTTCTGCCTTCGCAGCGGCCTCTTCCGCAGCAGCTTTCAGGGCAGCTTCTGCAGCCTCTTTGCGAATCTGCTGTTCTCGTGCGGCTTGTTCCGCCGCCGCTCGGACTTGCTCTTCGTAAGCCCGAATTGCTTCCTGTCTCGCTTCTTCTCGGATTCGTTTTTCTGCGGCCCTACGCTCTGCCTCTGCCGCAGCCTCAGCACGAGCCTTTGCCTCTGCAGCCCGTACAGCTTCTTCTCGAATCCGCCGCTCTTCTTCCATGCGTGCTGCCGCAGCTGCTTCTGCTGCTCGAGCCTTTTCTGCTGCATGGACTAGGGCCTGTTCCCGAATCCGTTTCTCTTCTTCCGCACGTAGAGCGTCTTGTCGGACTTTCTCTTCGGCTTGACGTATCGCTTCCTGTCGAGCCTTCTCTTCCGCTTGCCGAACTTTCTCCTCGGCCTGAAGAAGGGCATCCTGTCGGGCCCTTTCATCTTGTCGCGCTTTTTCCTCGGCCTGACGGGCCTTCTCCTCAGCCTGTCGAACCTTCTCCTCAACCTGCCTGAGTGCTTGTTCCCGAAGACGGGTTTCTTGTTCTGCGAGCGAGGCTGCTTCTGCGTCCTTGGCAAGCTGATCTTCTTTCATCATGTCCTTGAAGCGTCTAACAAGGTCATCGTTATTCTTTGCTTCAAGTTTTTCGGCAGAGGCACTTGCAGAACCTGGCTGCGGAGAAGGCGCAAGTGGTGGAGCAAAGTATGGGTAAGGCATTTGTTGAGGGTACTGCATGTAGTGTGGCGGATACTGCTGGGCACCGAAGGGCGGAGGATATTGGGGAGAATAATAGCTCGCTGGCGGTGGGGGAACACCATAGTTGACGACTGTCGCCGGACCGTAAGGCGATGATGTGTATGGAGCGCTCACTTGTGAAGGAGCATGGTGACTGAAGCCACCAGGGTACGCAGCATGAGGAGGATATGGCACTGGCTGGCCTTGCGGATAGGGGGCGGGATATGGCATAGCCAGTGGTTGCGGTTGAAGGGCGATCACCTGATTTGCGGGATGTGGCACAGGAGGATAGGGGTATGAAGCGGACGAACTGCTGTGAGTATACCCGTTGTGCCCATAATATGATTGAGGACGAGGCATGTGAGAGCCCAGGTCCCGCCTGGCAAGGAACTCCTCGGTCGAATCCCCACTCTCAGTCGGGGATGTATCTTGCAACTCTCGAGTGCGACTGCGAGCGGGCTCGCGTATAGCTTGCTGGCGGTGCACCGTCTGTCGTCTTGCTGAATTGGACCGAGACTCGTATTGCTGCACTCTTTCACGGTGGTCTACTCTTGAGGCGGAATCTGAGCCATCGGGCTCTCCAAGTTCGCTCGGGTATAGCACTTGCACAAAGTCACCTTGGTGGGAGGAGGAACCGCTCTGACTTTGCGTCGGCTGGAGGATCGAATATTGGGGGGAGACGCCAGCGGAGACCTGGACACCGTTTTCGTGGAGCTCGTCTTCTTGCGAGCCGGGGGAGGGAGAACGAGAAATGTGGGTAATGTCAATGTGTGTATGACTGTGACGACCTGAAGACCTAATAGCAGGAGAGTCAGCACTGGTGGGCGAAAATGTCGGTGAATTAACCCACCCCATGAGAGACTGAGTGAGGTCAAGGAATTACCGCGTTCAACCTACCCCAGGGGGAAGGCTGAACGAGATAGCCTTGAGGGTTATGTTAGTGTCAAGGGATGTGCTAACCGGACCAAAGAGGGCTGACTTCAGGCAAACGGACCGTCCAAATGGGCCAGATCCAGTGTATATTCGAAACCAGTATCCTTCAGCGCCAAATGTGGTCGAAGAAATTCAGAGATCTGGCAAAGGGGGGCGTGGTGACCTCCCGCAGGTGTGTGCCACCGGTAGCGTGTGCGGTCGTGAAGGTGCGTCGTGAAATTCCGACAAGGTGGATCCGGTGGCCGTGGGGAGGGAAGGGACGAAGGGTCGGGCCAGAGGCAGAACAGGTTGCATATGCGAGGAGCCGAAGGGGGATGCCGATCAGACGACGAGTAGGGAAAAGGGGATTACAATGTATGTCAATGGCAAGGGATGCAAGATGGCGACGGGTGTAGATGTGGTGAAAGGGTGATGAGTGTCGAGGGAAGAAAAGGAGGAGCAGATGGAAGGTTGACGATTGTAGCGAGATGAGACGGTGAAGTCTGGCTGCCCAGAATGCAAATGCGTGAGCGCGTGGACAGGTTGTTGACGCCAATGTGGTTGTTTGGTGTGGTGGTTGTGTGTTGACCGGGGATCAAGATGCTGGATGCTGGACTCTGGATGCTGGATGCTGGTTGCTGGATCCGCCCAAAGACTCGGGAGTCAAAAAGGTGAAAAAGGGGGGTAACGAAATTGGGTGACTGATGCCCAATTGCTCACCCACTTAATGGAGTCCCCCCCTAATTCGTCATGTGCAGGCGCTGTGTGGGCGTAGCGGGCAGTCGGCAGCGGGCAGCGGGCAGCAGGCAGCAGGCTGCGGGCGGTGGGCGCAAATCTATTTGGTAGTAGTGGGGTCTAGTGGCCTTCAGGCTTCAAGCCCAGTCTGACTCCTCTCCCTTGCGTTCAAGTCTTCCAGGCCTCCAATTCTTGCTGTGAGGCACCAACCACGTTAATGAGGAATCCTTTCTCCCAGTATGCACAAGGAAATTCAGTCAATGCTTCAGTCAACGGCCGTCACCTTAGGTCTGAGACGGTATCGTCGTGGTTGTTGATGATGTTAAAAAGAGGCACGGTCCCTGCCACCACCACCACCTTTTGCAATGAACAGAGTGAATAGAGAGGTGTGTGTTTCCCAGGACAACCTGGCCCTCGGTGATGTTGACGAGTGTCCAGTAAATGGGTCCAAATAGACCTCGAAATGGTTATATCAATCCACCCAAAGGTTTGTACAGACCATCGACTCATACAATTTCTTTTTTGTTGCCTGTTTGATCGTGAACTTTTGGTGTGCAGTGGTCTTTCGCCCCGGAGGTTCTTATTCCGCAGAGCCCGTCAATGGATACAGAGGTGCAAAAGGAAGACCAGAAAAAATTGAGCCCCCCGCCAGATTCTGAAAAGGAAGAATGCAAGATGTGACTTGGCGACAGGAGACTGTCGCCACAACAACCCGCAGATTGTCCAAAAGGTACTCAGGTGACGCAAAGTCGCACAGAAAAATCTCTCCCGGTTGCAAGCGATCTGTAAGGGGTTGGATCTAGTAGTGGTAAGCGCTTCTTGCGCGCTGTCTTTCTTCGATCGCGATTGGATTTGTGATTCTGAGACATTGAGGGCTCCTTGGGAGGAGACGTGAGGAGCAGTGAGTCTGGTGTTATTAATGGCAAAATGGGAGGGACAAAGGTGCTCAAGTTATATGCAATGGGTCTACATTTGGGTTGATATCGAGGCAGAAAGATGGCTATCCACTTCCTTGACCGGTCATGGCACTCTCAGTCTATATATCAGAAACCGAAATAACCCGGCCTTCAAGATTGCCACCGGCACATCCTGTTCTCCGTAAGGCAGGGCGATTAGCCTGATACTCACACCCCCCTTGGGTGTCAGAGAACTGGTGATACCCTTTCTTTTTGGTGATTCTCCCAACAAAACCTCAACTCGAGAGCGGCCTGAGAGGGGGGTTCTTGACCTCGTGGTTGTTAGTTAGTCGGGAAGGCGAGGCTCCAGTGACTCTAAATTAGACGTGATGGGCAGAAACGACCCACGGCCGCTGACGGGGTAAGAGCTTCATTCGCTAGTGGTTGGGTGTCGCGACAATCGAGGCATCCTCAGAAAAGCTGCCACGTTGGCTCGCGCCGAAATGCTGCCCAACTTCCACCTTCAAGCATCACGCTAGTCACCCATCATGGAAACGCCCGCATCTGACATGATTTTCGCCGAACCATGGTTTCTCCCAAGGTCCGCTCGGTTCTCTGCAGGAACTTTCGCCTGAACCTCTGGTGCCAAAAGGCATTCAGGTCTGTACACGCAGGTGGCTTTTTCAATGCTCTTTTATTCGGAGAGCCGTCTCGGCCTGGGCTGCTTCCTGGTTCGTCGCTCCAGAATGTTGCGGCATGGTTCAGCCTTTGGATCGGTTCAACAATTCCTGGGCTGCAATGAGCTCAGACTGATCGGTCCCGGAGGATCGTCTTCCGCTACGGTCCTTGATAATACTCTCCAGCTTTGACGTGGCCAACTGATTCAATTTCTGCACCTTTTCTGGGGTGATTGGAGAGCTGGTGTTCCCCCGAGATGTCGTGTTCGTCAGCAGAAGCTTGTCCGTGGCCAGCTTTAGCCCGTAGAATCCCCGCAGATAGTCGTCGCAAAGTTCAATGCTTCGACTGAAACGTTGGATTGCCTGTGACAGGTATTTCTCGACGTCGGCATTCTCCGTTGACGACACGCCAGCCAGATACTCGAGTTCGCCCAGTCGTGCATGAAGGTTCCACGCATGAGGGGCGATGATTACGGCTTCTTCCAGGCAAAAGATAGCTTGTGGCAGGCATCCCTGCGAGTGATAGAGGTCGCTCAATTCGCACCAAGCTTCCATGTCGGTGGGAAAGGAATCGACGAACTCCACCAGGTCTTTGATGGCATCTTGCGGCCTCCCCAGGCTTTTCATAAGCGCAATCCGTCGTTTGTGAATGGGGACATTGATAGGGTTCTCCATCAGTATTTTGGCATAGTCTTCTAATATCTTGCGCAGCGCTGCCTCATCTGGAGCCGTGGCTTCCTGGTACAGCCCTCTTAGAGCCATGACTCTTTCATTGGTAGACCCGAATCGGTTGCTTAATCGTTCCACACAGAGAAAGGCAGACTTGTCGTCCCCTGTTCGCAGGCATGCATAGAGGAGTTGTTCAAGCTCGTCCCACAGTTCAGCGGAATCTGCCGTGTTGAACATTGATGCAGGAAAGGTCGTACTGACCGAGGACGATTTTGCGAGGATCGAGGAAGCCTGCTGCGCTACGCGCAGGGCGGAGGCAGGATCGGAGGCAGGGCTTTTGGTTGCGACTGTCGCCATTGCTGGGTTGTTCGTTGGCAGGCTTAAGCAAAGCCGGAGTAAACGGGGGATAGTCTGCACAGGACTAAATAGTATGTTTGAACGATCACTAACGGACCCGTGCTCTGCAAAGCTAGACAAAAATGAGACTGTCAAGGGAACACAGGACAAGTCAGAGAGCACACTGAACTGGACCTCACCGGGCTTAGAGGCCACTGCGAAATCACGTAGCAGCTACTCGTTGATGCATGCGCCGCGAGGTTGCAGTCTCGCCGTGTACTAGCAGAAGCCGTTGCTTCGGAAGAACTATTCTTGGCATTAGGGCGGAGCATTTGGCACCACACGAAGAAGTCCTCGGCGTGCCCCATCACATCATCGTGTCTTCCTGGTGATCTGCTATTGCTTTGTGGTCTACAAGCGAAATCGAAGAGCGAATGCGCGGGCGTGTGCTGAGTTCTTAAAAAGACAGAGGAATAGGGCATCAAAAGTGCATCCTCATTCTCTCTTCTGTCCGAGTCCCTGTGAAGGAGGAACATTCCGAACCGCAACCCTCAACCACCTGTGTCGCGTGAGAGATGAGGGTCCGCGAGATCCCAAAGGACATATTGGCCGCTCAGTTCTCATGACGTGCTAATAAGAACCTCCCAAAATGTTCGAAAAGTCACTTGTCGACCTTATTCGAGGCCTGCGAGGCCACAAGGGAAATGAGGCAGAATATATCCAAGGCGCTCTCAAAGAGTGTCGAAGTGAGATTCGCTCCCAGGATCTGGATCTCAAGGCAACCGCACTGCTCAAACTCATTTACCTCGAGATGTTTGGGTATGACATGACGTGGGCCGCCTTCAACGTCTTGGAAGTCATGGCGTCCCCGAAACCGGTTCAGAAACGAGTTGGGTACCTCGCTGCCGTTCAGAGCTTTCGACCCGAAACGGAGGTCTTGATGTTGGCTGAGAATCTGCTGAAGAAGGATCTCACCTCTCCTTCGATACCTGTGCTGACGCTGCCGTTGGTCACACTTCCGCACATTGTGACTTCTTCCCTGGCACTTTCCATTCTCACGGAGCTTCTACCGCGCTTGTCACATTCACAACCGGCCGTGCGTAAGAAGACTATCGTCACGCTGTACAGGCTGGCTCTGGTGTATCCTGAAACCCTCAGAGTTGCTTGGCCAAAGATCAAGGAGCGTTTACTGGATGAACAGGAAGACAGCAGCGTTACTGCCGCTACGGTCAATGTCGTCTGTGAGCTCGGATGGCGAAGACCGCAGGATTTTCTGCCCTTGGCACCAAGATTGTTCGACCTTCTCCTAGCACAGAAGAACAATTGGATGGGCATCAAGATCATCAAATTATTCGCAGTCTTGACACCTCTCGAACCAAGATTGGTCAAGAAGTTAGTCCGACCCCTCACCAAGCTGATTCAAGAGACAACAGCCATGTCGTTGCTTTACGAGTGTATCAGCGGGATAATTCAAGGAGGAATCTTGGATGGCGCCGAGAGCGGCGTGGATGTGGAAGAAGTGGCCGATCTCTGCATTTCCAAACTGAGGGGAATGATTGTCTTGGATGGCGACCCGAATTTGAAATATGTTGCTCTCCTGGCGTTCAACAAGATCGTGACTACTCATCCTACACTCGTTTCAATGCAGCAAGATGTCATCATGGGATGCTTGGACGACCCTGATATTTCAATCAAGATGCAGGCTTTGGAGTTGGTTTCGGGTATGGTCAACAGTGACAATCTGCAAGCGGTTGTCAATCGCCTCATAAAACAGCTTGCAGGCTCGGCGTCAGCCACCGTGGGCGCCAATGGACACGCGGAAGAAGAACAAACAGACATGGAGCAGAGGCTCGTCCCAGACAAACGAGGATCGGAAAATATACCTTTACCAGATGAATACCGCTACGAGATCATTCGCCGGATCCTTGACATGTGCTCTCATAACACTTACGCCAACATTACGGACTTCGAGTGGTATATCGAAATACTGGTTCATTTGGTTAAACATCTCCCAGCGGACAAGGATGCGAGTTCGTCGAGAGCTGCACCAGATGATGACGCTTCTTTAGGAGCCCGGGTTGGAAATCAGCTCCGCGACATCACAGTCCGAGTTAAAGAGCTCCGATCAGAAACAACCAAAGCAGCTGAGACTCTGGTCTTGTTGTCCAACAGGGCAATTGCCTATCCGAAACATGGCACCGGTCAGAGTCAGGTCATCAAATCGGCAGCCTGGATCTGCGGCGAATTCGCCCCGTACTTGTCCAACCCATATGAGGTACTCAATTCATTGATTCACGAGTCGTCTGGACAGTTCACTCCAACAACCTTGGCAATAGTCATCCAAGCCATCCCGAAAGTCATTGCACGGATCGCCACGACGGCTGACCGTGAATGGAATTCCTCAAGGGGCACGACAATGTTGCTCCTCCTCGCGAGAACTACCGAATTTCTGGAGAAGCTCTCATCCCATCCCAACCTCGAAGTACAGGAGAGAAGTGTTGAGTTCCTTGAACTTCTGCGTCTTGCCTCGGAAGCGCTCTCTGCGCAAAGCGGAGATAGTCTCCAAGCACCGCTCTTACTGACTTCTGCAGTTCCGACGCTTTTCAGTGGCGCGGAACTCAATCCTGTCGCAGCGGCAGCTCAGAAGAAAGTTCCTCTGCCCGAAGATCTGGACCTCGATGCGCCCATCAATCCCGACTTGTCGACGATCCTACAGGATTCACAGATTGCAGAAGTAGATGATCATAGTGAGGATGTGTTCCAGTCCTTCTACCACGACCGTGAACCCGTACAGGCCATCACGTCGCTACAACCACAAACAGCAGCGGCTTATCTAGACTCTGCCGCTGCTTCGGAGAGTGCACCGCTCTCATACCAATCTGCACCCGAGTCTCCAGGAACCATAGCTAGGCGTAAGGCCGAGAGGATGGCCCGGAACAAGGACGATCCATTCTACATTGCCCCATCGGATGATGCGGACCCTCAGTTCCACGACATCATTAGCAAGACAAACGGCGATGATGAACTCGACGTCGACTCGATTCCAATCATCGACCTACAGATCGATCGGTCTCAAACCACAGCGGCGAGAACGGAGACAGGAGGGGAAGAACGCAGACCGCGAAAGAAGAAACCGATCCGGAGATTCGTCGTCGCCGCAGACGAAACCCTTGACGCCTCTGCAACGCCGACACCCACATCACAATCCTTTTCGAACTCGAGCCCCTTCGCAGTCCTGAGTCAGGCTCAACGGACGCGTTCACTAAGTCCGAACGCCCAACCCCGTGCACAAGCTCGACCGACTCGCACGCTCCTCTCGGTCGACTCGTCGACGCTCGAAAACCTTAGCCTAGAAGGACCCGCGGAGACCGAGTCGGAGATCCTCCGCCGCGAAGCCGAGGAGTTGGAGATGGCGATCGCACTTCGCGAGGTGGAGAAGAAGAGGCTCGAAATGCAGCGGGAAATAGAGCGTCAGAGGACGGTGATAGGTGAGGGGGTGGATGCGGAAGGTACGGTTGTGAGGCGAAAGAAGAAGAAGGCGTCGAGGCCGAAGGTTGGAGTGGGTGCGAGCGAGGAACGGATCGGTGCTGAGCCAGAAGGTAACGAGGGCGAGGAGGGATCCGTCAAGAAGAAAAAGAAGAAGAAGCGGAGGATCAAGCTTGTCGAGGAGGGTGATGGGCCTAGAGACGAGGGGGGAGAGGCCCCAGAGACGACGGAGGGTGTGGAAACGGCGACAGCCACGGAGCAATCGTGACGGGATCCTATGTACCTCCAAGCAGGAACCTGCAACGAGGCTGCATCCCTAGCCCTGAGCTCCAGTAGCTAGTCACATGATTGAGGACTGGGCAGAACGACTGATATCACACGAGCGGAAGAAACGAATATGCTTGTACATGCCATGCACTCTACGATGTGCCAGAGATATTTTTGTCAAGTGAGGGAGCGTGGATCAAAAGAGCACAGTCAGCATCAATGAAGGTGGACGACCAGTGCGGGAATGGATAGACTCGTCTTCGGCCGCCGCTCTCTCGTCCCGAACCTCGTATCTCCTGTGTTTGGATCTCCTCTCCTCGCTGTTTGAGTACTCCGAGTGTGCACAGTTGTTCAAACAGCCCACTGAGCAAGCAAGCGCATTCACACCAACACACTCCCACACCCATGACGCACTGACACTCGCACATCCACACCAGGTAACTTACCGTGCACGGACATCCTACACCTTCTCTCTTACGCTGTCATCCATCGATCCACACATCCATCACTTCCTTTCTCTTCCAGCAGGGACAGGGACGACGATGGCCGCCGGTGGCGGTAGTCGGTGGGTGAGTGGCGGTGTTTTGCTGTGCAAAGGGAATTTTTTTTCACCTTTGCATCCCCCTCATGTCTGCCTTCCTGCCTGGCTTGTCTACCAGGAATCTAACCTCTACCTATGTGGCTTTTTGACGTCATTTTTGGTTTTGAGAGTTTTGTTTTGCGATTTACAGGGCTCCCCTCCAATCCACACCCTCGCCTCACCCAACCCAGACTGTCTGCGCGCCACGGCGGCGAGGCGTTCACGAAGTCTTAGACAAGGGAATTTGGCAGGGCGTATGGAGGACAGGTAGGTAGGTAGGAGGCAGGCAGACAGGTAAGTGAGGTCAGGTAGGTATCTAGTGGGTAGGTGTAGTGGGCTGCGGAGTGCAAAGAGGATAGGTATCCGGGCTCTGTCAAGAAAAGACTGAGGAGCGCCCTCGTACCTGTACGAGACAAAGTGAGGCGTAAGCGCGAACAGGCAGAAGCAAGAGCAAAAGCAAAGCGAGGCCGGTATGGAGGATTCAGATTGGGTTTGTCGTGGTTGTGGTGGTGGTTGTGGTTAGGATTCATCTCAGCCAGGGTGGTGGGAAAATCTAATTCCTCCTGGCTCCCTGCGAAATCGGAACAAGGTGATGCCGCCCCGTCGTAATACTCATCCTCATCCTCATCCTCAACTGACATCTTCGGAGGAAAGGTGGGTAAACAAAAGTCACAGCCCCTACCTACCTAGGTACCTAAGGGGTCCACCAACCCGCCTCATTGTTCATTCCTCTGCAAACTCAGCACATAGCAACTAATGTTGACGATTATCCCTCTATGAGGGGCTCATCCAACTCACACCTCAGGCTTAATCACGCCCCAGCCCCAGTCCAAGCCCTGGCCATGTCTGCCTGCCGAGTCTTCACCCAGAGGGTGCCAGGCCACAACTCGCTCAGTATTCACACTCACTAAATTACTCACTTTACACCGCCGTCCGTCATCCTTCCGTCGCCCTCTGGTGCCCGACCATGTAACCAACCACTCAACCCTTGATTTGGTAGCGGCCTCCAAGTCCTCCATTGGCTGGTTTGACCTACGCCATCTCTGTGCCTTTGCCTCTCCTTGGATTTGCCTTCTGGGTCACCAAGGCTGTCCCAGGTCCTTAGCTACAGATGTGACAAGGTACGGAGTAGGAACAGTTGGCTGGCGATTGAGATGGTGATGACGGCTGGACTGGCTGCGGCGCCACACCAAACCTCAATTCCTTTTCCGTTTCGTTGTCATCGTCGTCGAGATTGACCAGATGTGCGTGCCCGTTCCTTCAGGGCACCTTCGTCAGTGGATCCCCGGTCGCCTATTGTGGCTACGCAGAGACTCATAGTGAGAGGTCCTACAGAAGTGACCTAGCTACCACGGGACTCGAGGGACTGACAGAGGCAGGCCCATCCACGCCCCCTTCTAGAGAGTCCTCAGTCCTCACCTCCCCCAGTCCCTCTCCGTGTCACACACCCTCCCCACTCATCTTGCGCTAGAGTGCGAGTAGTGTATCGCTCATGCATCCCTGACCCTGGTCAGGGCTCGTCCTCGTGCATCGACTCATTCCAAGTAGGCAGTGTTCCAGAAGGTTACCAGGAACAGCACAGGCCCGGAGGGGGCAGCCCACACGCCAACCCAGGGAATCACAGGATCCCAATCATTATTATGACTGGAGGTGCGACCTTGCAATCTGGCATGATGTGATGCATGATGTATGCTGTATGCATGCTTGTTCCGTGTTTCCGTCAAAGACTGAGCTGAGTGATTTTCTTCTTTCCCGGCTGACGAAAGAGACAGAAGTTGACGAAGCAGGCGGGTGGCAGGAACCAAAGCAATTTGCTGAGATAGTCGAGCACTTTTCGAAACCCGTCAAGACTCGGACTCCAATAACTTTTCCTTCATTCCCCCTCGAAAGGCGCCCGAAAATCCCGAGTTATTATTCTTGTTTGTCCCGGAAGGCTGCAGGAACTTTGGTTCATGGTTCAAGAGCACCCGCCCCCATTCAGATTGTCTTTGGACCTCCCTTGAAAGAACTTGGTTACTTACATACCTAGGTACCGAGTTCCCGTCGTTCATAACCCTTTAGATGGAGTCGAGCTCGCTCTTGCATACGTGCATACTATGTAACTACATCTATTCCACGAGTAAAAGCTACAGCCGTTTACCACCTGCCTAGGTACCTGGTATGGAGCATCCCTCCAAGGAGTTAGGCAGAGTACGAAGTAATACCAAACAAACACCCCCCAAAAGGGACATGGCAAAGACTCCCGTCCCATTCCTACTTCCCCAGGCCGGATACACTTTCAGCTGGATTCGCTTCAGTCCAGGGTTATCTTGCACCAGGGGGACAGTTAGTGGTTTGCATGGGTCCCGGTCCCATTCTTCCTACTGCAGTGATCGAAGCTTTGTGCTCGGCTTGGTTTGCCGGCTCGACTTGCTCTAGTACCTTTCGTGATGTGCCCTCCAATACACTGGCACACCCACATACCAGCCCAAGGAAGCTACCTACCTAGGTACCTACGTACCTGTATTGCGTGCATTTGCATTCGCCACAAGCCCCCGTTTGGCCCTGTGCAATCAATCGCGCCCATCTCCCTGTCTCTCCTCGTTGGTGCCGGTGAATAAATCGTCTAGGTACAACTTCTGGCTCCCCTTTTCCACCCTCCCTCTCCAACAGCAACAACCACCCCTAACCGCCCCCCTCCACCCTGCGACCCCCACCGCAACATGGCTCCGTCCCTGCCCTATCTGCCCCAACCCAGGGTAAGTAAGGGCCTTACTATACTCAGCTACTCCCAGACGATCTTGGAGGGGGCCGGAAAGATAAATGACTCTCGACCACGTGGCATGGTGGCATCGCTATCGCCCCATCCTGGTCCCTTGCTCCCTTGCTCCCTCGTCCTGCCCCCTTGTCGTCATGGTCAACCAGTCGATCTGTCCTTGTCGCGGGCTCTCAGAGTGGTGACTTTCGCGACTAGGGTTGATGTGATCGAAAGCAACACACATAGCTATGACAGTGTGTGCCCCCTCTAATTTGTTGCCGGTCAGAAAACCAAACAACAACCTTTATTCTCCCTTTGCTTGTTAGCGAGTAGGTGGTATTTTGCAACCCTCTTGCCGCTCCTCGGGCAACCTGTCTCCTCTCTGATACGGCGCCCTCAAGTTCCGTGCATATGGTCCTATTGCAATCAATTGACTAACCGTTCGTCCCCCCCCCACCCCCCCTTCTCTTCTTCCCCCTCTAAAATTAGTGGCAGGTGCTACCAACAAGCATCTTGTCCCTTCGTAGCACAAGACGCACCACCGGGATCTCTGTTCCACCTTCCCCAACCCGCGTTATTTCAGGAACCGGTGTCTCATCCGATCACCCATCACCGCCCTAACATCCTCTATCGAGACCCAGTCCCGGCCTCTGTCTAGCTATCTCAAGCTAGCCTCCTGCTTACGCCAGCGTATGGTTGTCCTTTGTCTCCCCCTGTTCCCGCTACTGCCGCTGCCAACGTCTTCGAGGCGTCTTCTGGAAGACTTCCAACCTTGAACTTAATTTCGCCAGGTCGGCCTACTAGCCCGTGAACCCCTGCCCGACTTCCAGCTGCCTCCGACCCGTGGCTCTCTGAAACCTTGGACTAAACCAAGAACATACTCCTTAGGAGTCGGATGGTGGCCTCAGCTCCGCTCCCTGTACTGCTCGCCAGCCCCTCAGCCCCATTGACTGTTGCGCCATGGGCGGCTAGAGTCCTTCTAGCGCCTTTCACGGCTTCCATGGCCTTTCCGCGACGGGACTAGGAAGTCCTGCCCAGAAATCCACCGCAAATCCACCGCCAATCCACACTTTAATAATAGTCCGCGAACCAAGCCGGGCTTTCGACAACTGCAAAATTCAGCCTGACAAGACAATTGCTGCCTTCTTTGGCTGCCTTTTTGTTTCCTTCCCACGGAGGCGAAGCTGACGGTTCCCTTTTGTCAGCGAAAGACGGCTTCTGCTCGTCAGACGTTTGCTCAAAGGTGACATGACTCACTTGTGTTTTTTCCGAGTTGTTTGTTTTCCCCATTCCTGGAGACGCTCTAACATGTCTTCAGCCTCGCCCCAACCCCGAGTCTGACTTCACAGATGTTCGTTTCGTCTTGGTCACTTTGTGTTGAGTCCACCCGCGTGGCGCAGGCTTGGTCGAGTCCTTCCGTCCTCGTCGCCCCGGAAGACGAATCTTGATTGCGCACAGGACTTTTCACGCAACTGTGCGAAGAGGCACTCCCCACTTTCGCCCTCGTCCCTGCCTAGCTTAGCCTCAGTTGGCAGCCTACCTGCCAGTCGCAACCTCGCCATCCATGCCTCCTCCTCTCTCCATCAGCCAAATTCCCATAGTGACGATCTTGAGCCATGCTGCTTCCCAGCCTGGCTCGATTCTGCCCTGCGATCTGGCATCTGCGCTGCCCCATCAGACTCTTACTTGAATTCTCTCATTTTCCCTCCCAACATTTCACCATTTCCATTTGCAACTTTTGCCAAAGCCAGACAGTTTTGCTGCCCTTTGATTGCCTCTTGCCTCACCTGATCCGTAATGTTTCTAGAGCCGTGTCTCGACGTCTCATTGGTTGTTGGGTATTGCCACTTACTTGTGCCTCCTCGGTAGCCAGTATTGCCTTCATCCTGGCTGTGACGATCCCTTGCCCCCTTCCTTGACCGGTGATACACGCGCTGGTTTATTGCGCCGCTTCGATGGGAATTGGTCTGTGATCTTGCTCCCCTGGATGAACGACCCCTGCCACTGAGCCCGCCCAACGCTTCACTCTTGGTCAGACCGTCTTGGTCCCCACACAGCATTGACAAGTCGCTATACGTATACCACCCCCATAAAAGGCGACCGACCTTCTCCTGTTCCTTTGTTCCTCTTGCATCTTTCACACATAGACGACCAGCACCACTCAATCCCATATACTACCAGAGACCCTTCGACATCATCGGCATCTCTCCTAGCAAAGCTCAAAAGCCTTCCACCACAACCATGGCACGCCAAACTCTTACTACCATTCTTCAGGCCAAGCACACCATGGTCTTGACCAGCCCCCAGGGTTCCAACGAACCGAAGCCGCCAAAGCCAATAGGGCGTAAGTCCACCTCCCTGTAGCCTCAGGTTGTAAGGTGCAAAGGCTAACAAGTTTGCAGCCTGGGGCTCGAAGAAACACCGATAGTCATGACGGCCGGGGGTATGATGATGATGAAGAGCAAGGAGGGGAAGAGCAAACAGAGGTACTTGATCCCACCTTGGATGAGCAGACAGCACAGTTACTGACCGGAAAGCCACCTAGGTGTCGGCATATGGTTCCTTCTACCCCTTACCGAGACGTACCCTTTCTTGCACTCGAGACTTGACATCAATTGGGGCCACCGAGCATATGTCGGCGTCGGGCGTATGAGCACAAGGAGACTTTTGTATACCATAGACATACAGGAGCATGGGAGCAATCAGTTATAGATGAGGAGGAGTTGGAAAGGAACAATGGCAGGGCATTGCGGCGTGATAATTTTGGGGGGAAAGACACAACACATGTCGGCTGACGTCATATTTTTGTAACACCAACTTCTTGTCACACCATCAACACCACGACTGTACCACCATTTCGTATTTCGGCTCGGCGTTAAGCTTGCTCGATAGACTTCGAGTTTCAGGCATTCAACTTGCCTCTAGATTTCTGTATCAATAGATCAAAATTTCCTGTCAGCCTTGCTATGCCCACTCTGCCTCAACTGTGCCAACCGTCATCGTAAGAACACTAGATCTTTTCATTTCACTGTCCTCGTGCCCTCGGACCGTCAGAGTCTCATTTCATATTCTCAATCACCTTCCAGCATAACCGCCGCACATTTCTGTACCGGAACGTATTCATCTCATAATCACCCGGCTCCAGGCTCTCGGGTTTCTCGTGCACTGCGAGTGGGTCAGACCAAAAGTTTCCAACTCGAGAAAGCAAAGCGTCAGGGCTTACCGTGGTCCTCGATCACATGCTGCAGTTGGGCCTCCAAGTTGAATTCGAGGGCATGACGCTCGCTGGCAGAACAATTCTCGCGAGACTTGGCCGGTGTCCTGGACGCTCTGCTCAAGGCATATTTGTGGAAGGACAGAAGATAGCCGCACACTCTTTCTTCCATCTGTTCAATCTTGTCCTCGGTTCGTCTCGGAGGGCATGCCATCTCTTCCGCGGTCCCTGGCATGTGGGCAAGTAGGGACAGGGCAAGTTGGGTTCGACCAAGGAATATCACCAGAACAAAAAGCATACACAGGATCAGATCCCTGTTGTCCTGGGGCGATTCCTGGCTGTAGGCCATCTTCCACATCATATGGTGAAGACTCTTGCAAAGGTTCTCTGCGGCTTTCTCGGCTCCCGCGAGGATAGCGGCTTTGAGAAAGCGGTTGATCGTCTCAGGTATGACTCTCACATGCGGAGGAACCCCAAAAGGTCGTCTCGATGCGAGATTGTCCTCAAGAGTCGGTATCGCTTCGGCTGGAATGATGAATCTGTTCAGGAGCAGATACTCGTACCACAAAAGCCTCAGAGAATCCTTGAGAACCGAATGTTCTTCTATGTGGTCCCTGTAGTACCTCCCAATGAGGCGTAGAATTTTGGCGGGGAAATCTTCCTCGCTATCCTCAAAGTAATCTTCTGTCCACTCGGCGTACTTCTTCGGGTCATTCAATACCTGGTCAAATATGCCAGTTAGATTCTTGCGAACTTTCTTAACTGCTTCTTCGCCGCCATCCCTGATCCACATGATGATTGGTGGGTTCCAGTTCTCTTGTCTGTCAAACGACTTTTGCCCGTTCGAGTCGTGAGATGTCTGGAATGCGTAACGGATCTCCGAATCTTGTTGAGGGGAGAATTCCACGACATGTACGTATAGAGGGATTCCGATGTGTAGGTCCAACTGGATTTGGAAAGGCCGACAGGGTCCACGATTAGTAAAGCTCTGCAGATACTGGCGCAGATCCTCTCCTCGTAGGCTAGATGTCAACTCATCTGTCTGGTCAGCGGCAAGTATCTTGAATCAATTCTGCGGTCTTACCTGGGAATAGGCTGGCCTGACACCCATCCCAGTCGCAGTGAAGAGGAATGCAGTACTTGGGGCACTTTCGCCGCTCCTTGGTGGAACAATTGTTACAAGGGCTTTGTAAATCGCACTTTCACATGTCAGCTTCTCACAGCAGTTGATATGGACGTATCGCAAACCTTTTCTTTCATGATAGCGCAACGGAGGCAAGCGCCCCGTTTTCGCACATCACGGGTTCGTTGTCTCTGGTCTGGATCAAGAGGCCCTGTCCTCCCGCCGCCTCCTCTCTCACGTATGGGGAGCGAGCGACGATGGTCCTGGACGTGAAGCACAGGAGTGCTTGTCCCCGTGTTGAGATATTGGTTTTCAGAACGCAGCGGGTGTCCACTCCATGGGTCAGGTTGGCTGGGATATCTTTGGTGCCCGACTGGCGATGCATTTGGCCGTAAATAGAGCGGAGGACCCTGAGAGAAATATTGCGGTGTCTCGGTAAAGGGCACACGATTGACGATGCCCACTACTTCAGCCTCTGGATGAACAGATCAGCACATCAATGGGTCAAGCTTGGAGCCAACGGTCTGACCTGTCATCGCATGGTCAGCTCCCAGCGTGTAGCCAGAAGCTAAGAATGGTGAATTCAAGGGCTGGTCACTTGCATGACCGGCGAGACGGACAGGTTGGCATGTTGAACCGCTGGCGCTTGGGCTGAGGGTGCCATCAGCTTCTGGGGAGAACTTCCGAGCACGCCCTAAAGCGGCAGTATAGCTTGTACTGGTCGAGGTCGCCACACTGTCACGAGAAAGCGTGGACCTGGTACTCACGGGACTGAGAGCATCTGTGGTCGACGGGGTGTTGGGGTGTTCGGCCACAAGGAAGCCATAGCCGCAAGCTCGCCCAGACGGCCGATGAGGCTGCAGTACCGGAGTCGAAAATACAGGTCGCGACGGCTGATTGCACTGGGGCTGGGTCAGGCACAACTCGAATTGACCGGGACCTTGACTGGGTTCAATCCAGGGAGGTCGGAAGGTGCCTTGGAGGTGGCCAGTCCGCCGTCGGTGCCGCCCCATTTGCGGTCGGGGCTAAGCGCGGATCAATCGTGTTGACGGGCTTGAAAGGGTGTCAGGGCTGATAGACCTCAACCAGTTCCCAGGCTCAAAGACAGAAGGGTGCCTGAAGGGCAGCAATCGCGGTGCGGTGATTTGGGCAAATTGCATGGGGCAAAGAAGGGAGGGGTGGGAGAGGGAAAGAGACAATCAGGCGACGAGGCGACCGCAGGCAGGGTTTATGAAGAGTTTCCAGACCTCGCAACCTGTGAGCCCAAACTCGTTTAAATGGATGAATTGCACAGCGCACTGCGCACTTCACGTTAATGCATCATTCGCTCCTGATCGCTTCAAGATACCATATGGTAATCTCTGGGCAGCTTCGAAAATGAGGGGCATTGAGGTAGTGTCACATTGCGGCAACTCGTGGCCGGGACAGCATGCTAGATGTAGCGGGACAGTAATTTGGATCCATTGAAAACGAAACATAAAGTATGCTGGAGCAAGCGTAGAAGCACATTGTGGTCTGCTGAGAGGGTGTGTGAGAGCAGGGCAGCAGTGCGACAGCTGAGCATTCCAATCAGCAGTCGCAAGCCGCCGAAGCGTCTACCAAACCTGCAAGTACAAGCCGATCAAGACGCCCACCCCTGTTACCGGTTTGGCGATATCATCCAACGAAATGCTAGATTCTCAGCCGCACCAGACCCGGTCAGTTCAAGCGTGGAGGCCACCAAGTCAGGCCGTAGACGCTGCCGAAGCTGGCCGGCGGAACACGGGCTGCAGTAGGGGCCCGAGTCTGTTTGGTCAACGGCACTTTGGTGAAGCTGTGATTTGGGTAAGCAGGGCAGGAGGACTTTTGGCAACTTTTGGCAACTTCTGGCATCTGTTTGGGTCCCGATCGCGCTCATGTGATGTGAATCGAGGCCTCTGATGGTATGAAGAAGATCGATGGGGCATGAACTGCCATATGCAATGCCCGCCCACTAGCACGTGGATGGGTAGTGGTCTGCAGGGGCCCCGGTCTGGGCAGGGAATCGAATGTGCGGTTCCTGTTAGCAGATTGACGACTTCCGAGTGGAGGCGAGAGGAGACAGCTGAAGACAGTACATATCTGTACAGTGACTGTATGCCCCAGGCAGTTGAAGTACAGAGGGAAGAAAAGGAGTGAGAGGGGAAGGGAAGAGGCTTTAAGTAGTAGAAGTGACATTTTGCCCCAGCTTTCCTCCTTTTCGTCAACACTCTCGCCACTGGCCGGTTGCAATGGCCATCAGCACAATAATTGGCCTGTCCAAGTAAAATCCATGAAGTACAACCAGGCAACAGTACGCGAATAGGGCCATCAAGATGCTAGGGCTGAAGTGCTCGTTGCTCACTGTTCTCCAGATCATGGAGAGTCTACCACTGGATTGGCTCAACTGCCATGGCTCTCGACCAGTAGAACCACTGTCAATGTATCAAATATCAAGCTCGTATCTTGGTGCGCTCCAATGCCCACCCTGTCGCTATGCTCATACCATCGATAGACATGCAGAGGTTTTCTCCCTCGTACTTGGAACCCGCTTTTACCTCCTCCTTGGATCGAACGCCATTGAAAGCCTGATTGCCAGGCATACCAGCCCTAAGAAACATGTCGTAACCAGAATGCCCCTAGCCCATCGACACAGACAATTGATTCTCCCCATCCTCAAACAGTATACTTTGTCTTTGCTCGGGTGCTGCCTGCATGTGCCGCGTCTGTGTGGCCACTGAACTCGAGCTGATCGTTGTCGGGGATCTGAAGCACCTGCTTGAACCTAGCCCCGATCTTCATCAGGGTGTCTTTGCCACCAGCCTTTCCCGTAGTGCGAGTCCATAACCCAATTCGGTAAAAGCTCTTTCGCACATTGACGACAACACCCATGATCTCGTTGTCTCCGTCATCTTCGAGAGTTTCACCGATAGCGGCCAATTGGGTATGCAGCCACAGCTCGTCAATGTTGACGACCTTCTTATCCTTGAATGTGTAGGACCATTTACCACCGTGCTTGTTCTGGGGATCTTCCCACTCGGGTCGTACCCCTCGCTTGAAGAGGTGATAGTCGGATTTGACAGCAAGGTCAGAAGTGGCTGTGATGTTATTCTGTAGTCACATTAGACGAGTCTGACCGAAAAATGTCTGGCGCAAACATACGTATACACCCCAGAATTCCTCGACTGTGTCAAATGTAATCACCTCCTTCAGTAAGTCGTTCCAGTTGTCGCCTTTCGAAGAAGGTGGTTTGGTGAACTATTCACATCGAGTCAGTGCCAGAAGTCAAGTAACCGCGCTCCTGCAACTTACCCAGAGACTCCAGGTGTTGAGAAGAGGGTGCTTGACGTTGAAATTGTTGACGTCGTGGAAGATGGTCTTGATATCATCAGATGTTGCCGGTGCTGCGTTTTCGTTTGAAACAGGGCCGGGGACCGGCTGGGGCATTTCGACTTCGGCCATTGTCGAAAAATCAAGGGTTTCGGCTTAAGGCTGCAGATTCAGAGCCGAGGGATGAGATAATCGATGCAAAGGCTCAACGAAATGTGGCGCGCGTGTGGAAGAAAAGGAAAAATCGTCAAAGGGTGGTTTCGCGCTGTAAACAGGATGTGGCGAGACTTGGTAAATGCGAGCACCTTGGACAGCGAGGAGAAGCTTAGGTGCAGCGTACGATGGGTAACCAGATTGTGGTCGGGTAAGAGCAAGTGACCGCTCAAGTGACTTGTATAACTTGCAGTGACAAACGTCGAGATGTCGAGACTGCGGTGGGTGAACTTTGAAACTGCTCGTCCGCTACTGCAGCCAGCGGCACATGAAATAAAATCCGCAATCCAAATTCGGGTTAGCTTACATCATGACACACAGCAAGCACAACCTCCGGTTCTTCTCGGCTCTCAATTGCTCTCTTCCAACCATCCTCTTCCTTTCCCGATTTCTTCGTTTCATATGTGCTATACTTATGCAATATAGTTGGTGAACATAGTTCCCAGAGTCTCTAAAAGGAATCATGTTGTCATGCTGATCACAAGAATGCCAGAAACAGCCAGATCGTAATGCTACCCATCGATGCTTGCCTTCGCGCATGCCACACTCATTTTGAGCTGTTAAGATAGCTCAAATAGCAGTTCCAGCCAAGACTCACAACATTCACGACCAGAACTCTATGCTCAAGAGGCACCAGCTTGAAATTCACAGCCTGGACTGCCGGCCATATCGACCAGTTTGCCACGAGCCCAGGAAGGTAACTTTTCGCGAGTTTTTCTTTGGGATCACTTCCTTCCAATACCGACATGCTCGAGAGGAAGAAGGCCAGATTGCATGTCGCAAAGATCGCCTGGTCTGCAGCGACCCGCGCCAATATCGTCCCGTTATGTGATTGAAAGTTGATGTGCTTTTGCAGGAAGGAATACCACTTGGTGGCTGCCGGTCCGAACACACCTAGTCGTGTCAGCCTCCTCGACATTATACTAGCAATGCTCGAACTTACAGCCGCCGTACAAGCACATTCGAGCCGTCCGAGCGCCGTCGTGGTTTCTTAGTCCTTTCCGCTCCACAGCCTGCTGGGCAAGCGTATCGCCTGCGGCAAAAAGCACCTTTGCTGGTCAGCCGAATCTTGGAAGAATCATTGGAGTTGTGGTCATTACAGCGGTGGTAACGGACTGAGTCAATAGCGGCCGCTTTGCCAGCTTTGCTTGATACCTGTGCCAGGTTCAGTCGTTGACAGAACGGAAAGGAGCTCTTGACGAAACGGACCATCGTATCGGCATCTTTCCTTCCTTTGCCCTGATATACAAGACTTCGCAGAAAAATCAACGAAATATCGTAGTCTTGTCCTGCTAAGCTCTTTGACTGCCTCAAGCTATGTGGAAGCACACTGAAATACCAATTTTGAGCGCAATCTGGGAGATGTCTGTTATCCAGGGTTGTAAATGCGTCATTGGCTTGCCCTGGCGTGCCTGGGCTTCGGCGAGCGGAGTGGCTACCATCTCTGAAAGTCAATCCGCACGTCCAAATTCGGTATAGCCCACAACTCCAAAACAAAATCTCTTGGCGTGAATTTGCGAATCTAACAAAGTGCGGATTGGACTGGTTGATCCGAGACTCACCAGAGACTCAACCTGCAACTTGCGCCCACTACCCTGACAATTCGTTATCTGCGCAATCATACAACATGGCTGACGCTCCCCGAGGACGCGGCGGTTTCGGTGATCGAGGTCGTGGAGATCGAGGCAGGGGTGATCGTGGCCGAGGGCGACGAGGTCCGCGCCGCGGTGGTGCAAAGTCCGACGAGAAGGAATGGCAGCCCGTCACCAAGCTGGGCCGTCTCGTCAAAGCAGGAAAAATCCAGAGCATGGAACAGATCTACCTGCACTCTCTGCCCATCAAGGAGTACCAGATCGTCGACTGGTTTTTGCCCAAACTCAAGGATGAAGTCATGAAGGTGAGAGGTCACACAATCTACCTGATGTTTTTTGGAGGGCGGCGATGCAGAAAATTCTTTTGGGAGAGCGTTTGTTTGTCTGACAAGTTCGTCTCGGTGTACAGATCAAACCCGTCCAGAAGCAGACCCGTGCCGGTCAACGCACTCGATTCAAGGCCATCGTGGTCATCGGCGACAGCGAGGGTCACGTCGGTCTCGGCATCAAGACCTCGAAGGAAGTCGCGACCGCCATTCGCGCCGCCATCATCATCGCCAAACTCTCCGTCCTTCCCATCCGACGAGGCTACTGGGGCACCAACCTCGGTGAACCTCATTCCCTGCCCACCAAAGAATCCGGCAAGTGCGGTTCCGTCACGGTTCGATTGATCCCTGCTCCCCGAGGTACCGGCCTCGTCGCCTCCCCGGCCGTCAAGAGACTGCTACAGCTTGCCGGTGTGCAAGACGCCTACACTTCGTCTGCGGGCAGCACAAAGACATTGGAAAACACACTGAAGGCAACATTCGTGGCAGTCAGCAACTCCTATGGATTCTTGACCCCCAATTTGTGGAAGGAGACGAAGCTCATCAGAAGTCCGTTGGAGGAGTATGGTGATGTTCTGAGAGAGGGCAAGCGTTACTAGGCTGCGCAGGGGATCCGAAAACCATCAAATAGATGATAAGGGCCTGCTTCGAGAAGTGGCATTGGCAGACGTGAGAGACAGCTTTGCATGGCGTACGGACAAGAAAACTAGTCTGTACGTGGTCGAGAAAATACCATGATTCAAATGTGCTTAAATTTTTGACCCTTGCGCTGTATATGTGCTCTCTATGTCAGTGGCATCTCCTTCACAGCGACTCTGGCGGTCTTGGGCTTCCCGAGCGTACATCCCCAGTCCATTAAATATGTACTCAGGAAGATGGCCCTCAGTGCTGCAGAGCTCGATTTTGGCCAATGCCACGAGATTCTCACAAGTTCCGTCTCCAAATTTATAGACCTGGACACCGAACAAGCAACCCGCAGGGATGTTAGCATAGCGATTGCTAGCCGCGTGCCTCAATCCTCCATGGCCATCTCTTCCATTGCTTTCACCGCATTCTCCAGTTCTCGTATCCTCGGTCCCACCCGACCCTGAATCTCCTTGCTGACTTCTGGGCTGGTCTCCTTCAGCGCTTTTTGGAAGGCCTCCTGCAGCATCTTTAATGCGTCTACTGCGGCCTCTCTATCGTCGGCGGCATAAACCGTTTTCTTCTCCGTCTCTTCAGCCGCGATTTCAAATTCGTCTTTTGCGGTGGCGTAAAGATCGTTGAGATTTTCCATCAGAGCGTCGGCGGTGGGTGACTGTGCGTATCGAGGGGTGGAGCTATGGTACGATACTGAGATTCGGTGAGGATGTGAAACCAGTGAGGGCGTTAAGGGTCGGCCCCCGCTGGTTTGGTTTGGTCGGAAAAGACAAGATATTGTCCTCCAAGGTTGCGGTGTTTGCAACGAGTAATGAAGAGAGCCCGGCGTCCATCGAACGGACCTCGAAGCAGCTGTGCGAATCATGACTGCGAGTGCTGCTAGGATAGACAAGGGAGATTCGGAAAAGACGAGGATGGAGATGGCTAGTTGGTAAACATGCAGCGTGCAAGGTGTGACCCGAGCCGGCGTTTAGCAGCAGCAGCAGCAGGTTCACTGGGTAGCGGTTTCGGTGGCAGCGCGGCAGCCTCTGGGTGATGACGTCTAGTCGAAAGCCGCAGCCACTCAGGGCTTCTGGTTGCTCGCACCCTTCGAAAATCCGGGGAAACGAAGTCGCTCTGACCTGTTCCTGCATTGGATTGCGAGTCTGTTTTCCATCCCACTCGCCCACTCTTCCCCTCCCCTCCAAGATTCCCATGAACAGACATCGCGCATTTGCAGAGCGGCAGGGCCATAATGGCCCAACCAATTGGGAACTTTTCCTCGCCGCTGTAACGGAAGTTCGCGTGACGTGATATCTCGCAGAGTCTGCTCTGTGGCGCCGCACCTTTCACAATGACGTCCCGCGGCCCTGCATCTCCCAGGATACTTCTCCCTGCCAATGAGATATTGTCAATCTGTATTATTGGGTTCCCGGGTCAAGTGTTGCCCAGACACGTTGAAGCTGCGTCATTGTGGCGCGACTCGCCCTTTCGTGAAAAGAAAGAGAGCTTCTCGTTTGTATCGTGTGTTTTTTACACCTAGTACTTTTCAGATCCTCCTCACTCACAAGTTTCCTCCATCATTCATACTCTTACATTCTTGTCGTTTGCGTCCTTTCAATCGTTGGTAGCACCTTGATAGCACTACACGATGCTCGGAAGAACACCCACGGCAGCTCTTCGCTCAGGTCGGGCACTGAGAGTCCATCGACCAGTCCAAATCCCTCGACAGCCTCGCAACGTCCGCTTCCAGTCTACAGCTCCCGCCAAAGCTACAACTGATGCCTCGTCATCTTCAGGCAATGCCCTGCTGGGTGGCTTGGCTGGTGGCACCTTTGCATTCGTGCTAGGCTACATGTGGTACCAGTTCTCGGGTGCCAAAACTGCCTTGAACACAATACACTCTACGAAAGCTTACGTTGACGACGTCTTTAAGAAGACTACTCAGAATGCCCCGGAGCCGAACCAAGCCATCCAGTGGTTGAAGGAGACGGTACAAAGCTACGCAAGGATGATTCCGGGAGCCTCAAAATACGTCGATTCAGCTTTCCAAGATGTGGACAAGATTCGGGAGAAGCATGGAGACGACGTAGACGAGATCGTCAACGACACCTACAAGAAGCTGAAGGACGTCACCAAGAAGGGGTTCAGCATGGAAGCTGTCGTGCAAGCTTGGGAGGTTCTTGAAGATTGCTTCAAGAGAATCGGCAGTCTGGCTGCCAGCGCCGGGCAAGACATCCTGGACAACCACCCCCAACTAAAGAGTCAGTTCGGAGGTAGGTTCGAACAACTGCAGCAGATGGGCGAGCAGTACGGCCCGGAAGCCAAGAAGGCAGTCGACGAGACATGGCAGCAAGTGCGTGATATTCTGGCTGGCGGTGTTAGCTTCTCGACAGTACAGAAGGTTCAAGATCTGCTGCAAGAGAAGTCACAACAGCTGAAGAAGTACGGTGATCAGGCGTGGCAGAAGGGCATGGAACAAGCCAAGCCGCTTTTGGACAAGCAACCGGAGCTCAAGAAGCTCATTGAGGAGAACAAGTCAAAGCTGCTTCGTGGCGATCTGGGTCAACTGTGGCAGAAGGTCCAAGAGGCGGCCAAGTCAGGAAACGCAGACGATCTTCAGAAGTTCGTCAAGGATCAAGTGGATAAGGCCTCCGAAAGTGCCGGCGGTGGCATTGAGCAGCTCCTCAACATGTTGCCTGGTGGATCGGACATTGGACAAAAGTTGCAGCAGTTGCAAGAACTCAGTCAGAAGCATGGACAGGAGGCAGAGAAGCTGGTCAGAAGCGCGATTGACGATGTGAAAAAGGTCTTGTCCCAGAAGGTCGAAGAAGGACAGAAACTGAAGGAGAAGGTCAAGTCGGAGGCATGAGCACGGAGCACCATTTCGGAGATACAGAGAAGGATCGAAAGCCAGTCTTGCAGCTGGAACACACGGTCAAGCAAAGGCGATAGTTATTCCCCTGCAGCATTACAAGAGGACGATGAGAACCAGCTCCATCATACCTAGCACCAACAATATGTCTCCGATGGCAAATACATTGCCTAAGCGCAGTTGATTGTCGACACATGCTTCTAATACCTAGAGTTAGGATTTGACGTCATACGGGGCGGAATTGATGCGCCCTACTAGGACCATGTGTAATCCGAACAATACAACAATGCACAGATGCATACTACTGTAGTCCATCTCCTTTGGCTACCTAGGTATTCTTCCTGTCATAGTGGCGGGAACACGAGCTGAATGAGGAGGCTGCAGGCACTAGCAAAACAGATCATCTCAACTCATCGTGAGCAACCGGCCCCCAAACCGATCCATAGTCTGTCGCCTCGGATGTCTTCAGCGACTACAACTTCGACAGCCACAGCTGCTCCTCCTGGCCGCCCCAATCCTAGCACTGTGGCCGAGCATCTGCAGGGATCGTCGGAATCGTGGCATGGCCAGATAACTCCAGATGGGCCTTTCCCTCCACAGCAGGGCCGTTACCACATGTACATCGGACTCTTCTGCCCGTTTGCGCACCGAGCAAATCTCGTGCGCCATCTCAAGGGCTTGACAGACCTGATAGACATCTCCGTCGTCAAACCGTACCCCAAGGGCGATGAGCACGGATGGCCCGGGTGGCAGTTCCCCAAATCCGACGACGAGTACCCCAACGCCACGGTCGACAAGCTCTTCGGCAGCCTGTATCTGCACGAGGTCTACTTCAAGGCCGATCCAGGGTACAAGGGACGCTATTCTGTGCCGGTCCTGTGGGACAAGGACACCGGCACGATCGTGAACAATGAGAGCCCGGAATTGATGAGGAACTTGCAGGTGGCCTTCAACTCTCTTCTTCCGGAGGAATATGCCAACGTCACGCTGTACCCGGAGCACCTGCGCGGCAAGATCGACGAGGTGAGTGAATGGATGCAGAGGGACTTGAATACCGGCGTGTACAAGGCCGGATTCGCGCCGAACCAGGAACAGTACGACAAGAACGTCCCCGTGGTGTTTGCGGCACTGAACAAATTGGAAAAGATGGTTGCACAGAACGACGGACCGTACATCCTGGGTAAAGACCTAACCGAGTTGGATATCAGGGCCTACGCCACGATCGTGCGCTTTGATACCGTGTACGTACAGCATTTCAAATGCAACCTAGGCACGATCCGACACGATTACCCGCAGTTGAACAATTGGCTGAAGAACCTGTACTGGAATGTCAAGGGATTCAGGGAGACGACCGACTTCAAGCACATCAAGGAGAACTATACCAAGAGCCATGGAGATATCAACCCCAAGGCCATCACACCCATGGGTCCCTATCCTGATGTTGAAGAGGGCTTTGAGCCGGATCACACCAGGGTCAGGGTTGGTGGTGTCTCCATGCCCAGGGTGGTGGAGCTGGAAAAGCAACTGCCGGGATGAGGTGCAGCCGCTTTTGAAGGATGAAACAGACATGGGGAAGGAAGCTTTTGCTTGTCCTCTTACCCAGGCGAGATGAGTGGGCATCAGCTGTTCTTGTGGAATTGGAAAGTGATCGGCGGTGAGCCATGTCGACTGTCCGTACGAGTACTCGTAGGTGGTCCTGACGAGTATGGATTGTCCGTCCGTCCCGTGAGTGGTTCCTTTGGCATCTCGAGTACCGAGTTCTGCGTAAGAGCACCATGCAGGAAATCCCTCAGCCTTGTGGGTTCACCGCTTTCTCGTGTTGCTTCGGCTGGTTGCTGCTGAAGCTCTGATAATGCAGTCATTGGCGACAGCTACATAGGTAATTTGCGCCCGAATCATCGACGTCCTTTCTTTTCAGTCTTCTCGAAGTCAATCTTCCGCCACACAGAGAGATTTCTTCAAAGTGTGATGTGGGACTGTCATCAGGGAAAAGTGTTCGTACACCACCAGTAAGAGAAAGTTGTGCTCTGATATGGTGCAAGCGAAGTTGAACAATGTAACACTGATTGGCCGCTTGAAGAAATCAGGGGAAAGGCCGAACGGCGCCTGTGGCCGCGACGCTCTGGGATCTGCTGGGCGAAGTTTTTAGTTAAAAGGAACAGACCTCACTAGGTGTTTAGTGCCGGGCCTGTTGGTTCTTTTAGGCTAGCCACCCACTGGCTGTTTCTGCCTCCAACAGACGACACTCATCTCCAGTTTAATCTCCTGCCAGACCACTCACCATGAGTCCATGACCAGTCCAACAGACGTTTACTTCCCTTGTTACTGCGTGTTGTCTGTCTGGTGCTGGCTGGAAAGTCTAATCCATGTCACCATGATTTCCGGTCCCTCCTTGTACTTCTCGTGCGTCTCGGAGAATTTCTGCAGCCTCCAGTCCCCCGGTGCCTGTAACTTTATCTCAACGGGTTAAATCGTCAATGTCCGTTGACCGTGGGATCCAATCCTAAAGCCCGCCGAGGCCTAGCACACAGCCACAAGCGCTCCCTTGCCCTCAAGCGTTGCGAGTCAAACCATGCCAAGGTGGCTGTTCGTGGCTGCAATCTAGTCCTTGCATGGAAAAGCGACAACGCCTCCTGGAGATGACGCGCAAGATATGGGTTCAAGGGACATATCAATCTCGTTCGGGATCTCCACCTCACAGGGCACACTGAGAAAATCCTGGGACATCGGTTGACACCGACAACAGTGGTCGACAAGCGCGCCCGATGTTGTTAAAGCCAGCGAAGGCGATGAGAATGGAGATCTCATCACGTTGAGGTCCCCCTGCTGAAATGTCAACCTCGCCCAAGCGTACGAATACTTGGGCTGGAAACGGTTTTGTCGGTGAGCATGTGCCTCTTGGATCTTTTCGACTCAATTCTCACTGGTTGCTGGGGCTAGAGTGGCCCAGGCCCCCTGGTCAAGTGTCAATGCTAAAGTGTGTTAGAAAAGCCTACCGCAAGCCTTCATGCAGCCTTTTGATCGACGCCGTAGCTTCATCTCCACCGTCTAATCAATTTTAGACGCGAACTTTCTGAAAGCCTCATCTCCTACCCCAGCCAAAGAGTGCTTGACCTGACAGTTTGGGGATAATGCATCGAGTTCTGCGCCAAAATGACAGGGCGCCTACCGTTGCTCTGCTTGTTCCTGGCCGCGATCTTGTTATCTCGTCCGTCTTAACATACCCTGTCCTTGATCACCAACAGATTGATTGTTCGGGCCTAGGCTCATTGTCTTAACAAGGCCATTTCCCCTTCAGCCCATGTCGCCCAAACTCTAGATAACTGAATACGATATCTTCCAGCCACTTACTCAACTCTGAGCTTGAATACAGATCATCGCAGAAGTGCTCCCCGGCAATAGATTGTTGATGCCATCGATGAAATAGGCCCTGGGCAATAGACAGTACGACGGAGGATCACAGGATTTGCAGGAAGGAAGCCGGGAGGATGGAAGCTCCCGCCAGGAATGCGACTTTGTTGCCTGTCATCAAATGTTCAGATTGCGGACAAGATGTGGATATGGCAGGTCTGACCGAGCATCAGTGCGCAGCAACAACACTCCCAGGTATACTTCAGTGCTCGATTCTACAGAGAATGCAATCGGCTAACAAAGACAGCTTCAGTCATGCCTCCGCCTCCTCCACAGACAGAGTCATCTATGGGTTCGAGGACCATGAGACCGCAACGACCGCTATTGCCCAGAATCGATCCTACTGTCGGCTGTGAGTCTTGTGGAAGTGTTCGTGCCGACACATGCTGACCGACTCCTCAGTTCGACCTCCAGTACTTCACGGCGAGCTGACGCCTGCAAGCAGCGGACATAGCTCACTGATTTCTCCCGTGAGTGCGACTTCTGGTCCTCGCTCACCAGGACCTGCCATCCGCAAAGCATCGATACCGGGACCCCGACGTCCACCATCGCCAGAATTGACGAATCTCGACTGTGCATTTCCTCCGTTCCCTCTACCTTCGAGAGCTGCCACGACACGAAAGCGAGAGAGATCTGCAACTCATCGCAGTGATACAAAACAACCTAAGTCTCGTGATGTTCACAAGGGGTTACCCATAGGCAATAGACCATACCCGCTTTCAAGAGAAGGATCAGACAATTCGGTGACAACGCTGGTCAATGAAGCACCAAGACGGAAGCAGTCTCGTTCACCAAGCCCAGGAACTGGAGGAAGGCGGCCTAGGAGCACAGAAAGGGTCGGTCACCAACAGAAAGGTGAAAAGCCGCCAGGAATCGAGCCAATTTCACCAGCGGTGCTTTCAGCAAGCCAGGGCGATGGCGTCCCCGAAATTCTGCATGCAAGGACCTTCACGCCTGAGATTTCGAACTCTGACGCTCAGCGAGAGCCTGCCAGCGGCACAAAAGTAGATCCCGGTCTCAGTGCTTTTGATTTTGGTGGCTCGGAAACCAACAAATTCAAATCGCAAGCTGTGGCCGATGCGCCTAGACTGATTGACGAGCGCTCCAGAGCTGACACTGAGCCTTCGTATAGAACGAAAAGACCTCCACCACTGTTCAGCAACCAGGAGGTCATGACCCTGGTCAAATCACCTACGGAGCCCCAGCCGTCCCCAGTTGGTAGCTTGACAAGAGGGTTGGGCCGATTGTTCGGCCGACGACGGTCACAGTCTGCCGCATCACGCCGGGAAGTGGTGCGACAAGCTCTCAGTGACGAGCCGGACATCCACGATATTTCCTTTGCTGGCCGAAGTCTCGTTAGTCCCACTAGCGATCGGTCATTTATTGCAGCAGAACCGTCTCCTCTTAGCATCTCGCTATCGGCATCACCTAGACCTTCACTGGGCCATGAGGAATCACTGAAGGCACTCGAAGGATTGACACCCGAGCCGGTCGCTGTCGCTCCTCCGATGGTTGTTGTGGAACCAGCAATCGAAGACCCGCCGCTGAAGTTTACTCCCTCTGCTGAGACCGACAATACTAAAATCCCCGAGACGACGGACGTCGCCGTGGTGTCGCCTGATCCCCAAGGTGCAGAGCTCATTGAGGTTCTTCGGCGGGTATCTGTTGATTCGGCTTCGTCTTACGGTTCGGTTGCTTTCTCGGAGAACACAGCCAGCTCCAGATCGAGCTCGCCCCAGACCGAGCACATGGCGAGCCAAGCATCTGAACCATCAAATGCCGGGCTACTCAAGCCTGGGGAGCCTGATGTGCCAGCACCACTAAGACCAAAGATTCCAGAGCTTTCGCCCGATTCACCAACGGATCCGTTCTTCCAGCAAGGCCGCCTGTCCCCAATTCCAGACCTTCCGAATCACGCATCTGACTCGACTGGCTCGTTAGTATCGATATCCGTGGGTTTACAAACAAGCCCTAAGTCAACCGATGAACCTCAGGCATCATTGGGCAGCAGTACCAAGTCCACAGTTCCCAACAAAGGCGTCTGTCGCGGCTGTTCTCAGCTGATACTCACGGGGCAAAAGTCAGTGTCGAGCGCAGACGGTCGGTTGACTGGCCGGTATCACAAGGAGTGCTTTGTGTGCCGAGCGTGCAAGATTGCATTTCCCACTGCCGAATTCTACGTTCACGATGACCAACCATACTGTGCTCACCACTACCACGAGCTAGAGAATTCTCTTTGTGCTACGTGTGGCAAAGGAATTGAGGGCCTGTACATGGAAACCGCCAATGTGGCGGGGCGTGGGAAAGAGAAGCATCATCCGGAATGCTTGAAGTGCACAACTTGCAAGGTTCGACTGGACCACGACTATTTTGAACTGTCCGGGAAGGTGTATTGCGAACGAGATGCGTTTCGGCTTGCAACTTTACCAAGAGCCCACGACAATGCTCCCAGCCGCCCGAGCCCATTGGTTCGAGAATACATCTCCAGTGGAGATCCTGGACTCGTGAAGGGCAGGAACTTCCCTGAGCGAAGGACGACCAGATTAATGACGACGACATAATTTTACGACAACGATAGATGCATCTTCTTTTCTTTGAACCTGGCCAGGATGATAATTGGATGCTAGCAGCTTCGACTTTGCACGACGGCAATCTTTCCACTTTGTGGCGCTGCAGGATTTAGTTGGCTGCAATTCTGCTCCCTTCCAACATTAATATGGTATATACGAGACTTGTGCAGGCCACATGGCGAGACCATTTCCTGCCGATAGGGGGTACAATCTGAAGATTATATTAGATATATATCGATAATGTGTATGCTAGCGCACACCTCGACCCAGATTTTCCTGTTATTTTTCATTGAAGATTACAAATACATTCCTCCAAATGACCTGCTTGTTTTGTCGACTCCAGTGGTTTGTGCGACGTCGGGCTGTTGGCTGCCTCGAGTGGAAATCTTCCAATAGGCCCGATAGGCCTGAGGGCACGTTGACCTCGTTTTCAATAGGTTGACAGGCAGACAGGTGTTGGGTGCGATAATCTATCGATCTCGACACAAGCCGTGCAGTGGCGGGCAGGATACTCAGACTCGAAATAGTTGTTCGAGCCTAGGCATCGGCTTTTCGGTGAGGTGCGGCACCCCCACGACGCACGCGCGCATGGCTTGGGTCGGCTAAGCGTATCATGACGCTCCTGCATCAATGTTGGTCGGCAGGGGATTTAGTGTCAGATCTGGCAAGCAAGCAAACAACCGAGACAGGGAAAAGATTATCCAGGAATCGGAAAAGGAACAGGAATCCCGAAGCTTGCTTTGACGACCACAAAGGAAGACCCTCGGTTTGTGTAACACGGAAACGTTTTCCGTAGGGTAGAAGGAGTAGATCCTCGTCTTGGGCGGACTGAAGTTCAGACTAGACTGCCAGCACTGCACGATCAGAGATGCGTGGATAATAGGCACCAAAGTTTGAAATCGGGCCCCAGAGGACGTCGTGTGACCGAAACAACAATCCACAGCGCACCCGAGGGAGATTAGGGGCAAGCTGACGAGCAAGATTGGGGTCAGTGGATTCAGCCGGATATCAAGACTGGATTCGGAGAGAAGCGGGAAGTTGAGAAAGGTGAGATTCTGGACTGTGGTGGGTTGATTGGAGGTAAGTGGGAGTTCCAAGATATGGTTCCGGACCACAGCGGCACAAGTTGGTGCAAGTCTCATGCGGTCCAAATGCACATGCATTGGAGCGTTTGGAGCCGGCGGCAGATACGAGGACAAAGAAAAGTGGTGCGAAGAAAAGGAAGAGTCGGGCTGGTGTGGGATGGAGAGTCAAAGCATTCGATCAATCCCGCGCACTTGTACCACTGTTCCCGCCTTTTCGAACGATAGGGGCCGAATACGACGAACAATCATCCTCTTATCGACACCTCTTGTGGAAACAAAAGATTCCTCAGCAAATACGCGTGATGGAGCACTTGCTGCCCAAACGGCTATCGGGACACAGTCAGGACAAAGCCAAAGTCGAAGCGGTCAAAGAAACAAGGCTAACTAACAGGCAGCTAATCAGCGAGGCTAGGAAGACGTGGAAGACGTGGAAGACGTGGAAGACGTGGAAGACGTGGAAGACGCAATTCCCGTTAGTCACTCTCTCCACCACACACACAGATTGACAATCGTACGGGGAATACAAGAAGGCTCGATATTCCCCTCTGGCCGCCCGTCCATCTCGACCACCACACAATCCACGTCCCAGATCTGTTCGAAACACGAGTCTGATCACCGCCCGGCTGTGATCTATTCTCATTCCTCGTCTACATACAAGGATCACTTCCGAGTGATCCGCCCAACCGCCAAGACGTTTTCCAATCTATTGCCCTCGTAAGTACCACCCAAGTACCACGGCGCTGCCTCTTCCCCGACCAGTCTTGCAGCACTGGTACCTGCATTTGTCCCCTGTTCGTGCATTTGCATTTTTGCATCTTGCATCTTCATCTGGCGCTACCTGGCGTCAATCTCGTGTCGTGGCCATCGTGCTTTCTATCATGCAGTTGTCCGCGGGTGGCACGTTCCTCGATGCCTTCATTCCCTTTCCACCCCAACACTTGTTGGACGTCGCCGTCAGGTGCTGCCCGTCGTGTTGAGAATCTGGTCGCGCCTTCATATTCTCCCTCTTCAGACCGCTCTTGCAAAAATGCTCGCTGACCACTCAACCTCTTTAAAGGTGCCATCACCCGTTCAACGGTAGCCGACGCTCTTCCCCTCCTGGAGGAGCATCGGACTCAACAAAGACCCGATAAATTCGCCATCCATCAAAGAAACCGCTGCCTCTTCAAATCTTTGATCAAAGTCATTCAGCCAATTCTACTTGACTCAATATGGCACCACACGCGGAAATCGGCGTCGGCACCATGAACGGGTATAGCACCACTCACTCCTCGGACTCGGCTCCATCGCACAAGGATCTCTTCACGGTCAATTCTCCCAACGTGACGTACACTGACGAACACATCAAGAGCAAGTACGTCTACCGCACCACCGCGGTCACCAAGTCTGCCGATGGGAAGTACACCGCAACCCCCAAGGAAACCATCTATGACTTCAAGGTCGACCGCAAAGTGCCCAAGGTCGGCGTCATGTTGGTGGGATGGGGCGGCAACAATGGCTCCACTGTCACTGCCGGTATCATTGCCAACCGTCGTGGACTCGTTTGGGACACTCGTGAGGGAAGTCGTGCTGCGAATTACTATGGCTCCATCATCATGGGCTCGACCATCAAGCTCGGCGCTGACGCCAAAACCAACGAGGAGATCAATATCCCTTTTCACGACGTCTTGCCCATGGTTCACCCAAATGACATTGTGCTTGGTGGCTGGGATATCAGCAGCATGAACCTTGCGGCTGCAATGGACCGTGCTCAGGTACTTGAACCGACCCTCAAGGCCATGGTCTACAAGGAGATGGCCCTCATGAAGCCTCTGCCAAGTATCTACTACCCAGATTTCATTGCGGCGAACCAGGAAGATCGTGCGGATAACGTGCTGCCGGGCAACAAAGCAAGCATGGCCCATGTGGATCAGATCAGAGCGGACATTAAGTAGGATACCTCGGTTCGTCCCCTCACATACTGAATCATACTAAACTCGTGCAGAAATTTCAAGGCCCAAAACAACCTTGACAAGGTCATTGTTCTCTGGACTGCCAACACCGAACGCTACGCGGACATCATCCCTGGCGTCAACGACACCGCCGAGAACTTGCTGAAAGCCATTGAGCAGGGACACGAGGAAGTGTCGCCTTCGACTGTCTTCTCTGTTGCGTGCGTTCTAGAAAAGACGCCTTTCATCAACGGCTCCCCTCAGAATACCTTTGTTCCCGGCGCCATCCAGCTCGCTGAGAAGCACGACTCGTTCATTGGAGGTGATGACTTCAAGTCCGGCCAGACCAAGATGAAGTCTGCATTGGTCGATTTCTTGATCAATGCTGGTATCAAGTTGACATCTATTGCAAGCTACAACCACCTCGGCAACAATGACGGCAAGAACTTGAGCTCTCAGAAGCAGTTCCGATCCAAGGAAATTTCCAAGTCCAATGTTGTCGACGACATGGTGGCTGCCAACTCTGTCTTGTACAAGAAGGACGAGCACCCGGATCACACTGTCGTCATCAAGTACATGCCCGCAGTTGGCGACAACAAGCGAGCCTTGGACGAGTACTATGCCGAAATCTTCATGGGTGGCCACCAAACTATCAGCATTTTCAATGTCTGCGAGGATTCCTTGTTGGCCTCGCCCTTGATCATCGACCTTGTCCTCGTGGCTGAGATGATGACTCGCATCCAGTGGAAGACTGAAGCTGCCGCGGAATACAAGGGCTTCCACAGCGTTCTGAGCATTCTCAGCTACATGTTGAAGGTAAGGCCGCACATTCTTCGCCTTGGGTATCTCGCTAACATGGCTCTCTCACAGGCACCACTTACGCCCCCTGGAACGCCTGTCGTCAACGCCCTGGCTAAACAGCGCAGTGCTCTGACCAACATCTTCCGTGCTTGTGTCGGCCTTCAGCCCGAATCCGACATGACGCTCGAACACAAGCTGTTCTGATTGCACCAACAACCCTTCCGACCCTAATGTGCAGGTAATGGCAAGAAATAGCAGGACGTGCGGAGCCGCTCGGCATTTGATGCGATGGGGTGGCTAGACTGCTTTTCTTGCATTGCGAACGGCGAATACAACGGGGTCGGTCTCGATCGAATCATTGCATCTCCTAGACTGCACAGATTTGTTCTCCTTGCTGAGTACTCTGTTGTACTTGTTCTGTCGTTTCGGCTTCTCGACACTCGTGTGTCTTCCAACTCATGTCATTCCTTTCTTTGATCAGCTACATAGTATAGCCTTAGCTACACAAGACATATTAACCCGACCTCTTGGGCTCCGCTGCTGATCATCTCCAATCTGGTAGCCTACGTAGGTTAATCTTGATAAGATCAGAAACCACCCCTTGCAAGGCCGTACAACGTCCCGACACCAGCCTTGACCCCGTCGACAATGTAGACGTCCCTGGCTCGCTCAGGGCCCAGGGTCTCGACGCACGCCTCCCGCACCGCCGTGTCCAGGCCAACCATGCCCGCGCAGCCGAGACAAATGGCCTGGACGCGCGAGGGTTTTCCTGAACCTGAGACTGACCCTGAGCTTGAACTCGAGCCTGAATTGGTCTGTCCGCGCCGGAGAAGCCGCGTAGTCGCCTCCATCATTTTCCTCCGCACCTGCTCGGCGGGCAGGTCGTGCAGTTCGCTCGCATTGAGACCCGTTGTTTCGCAGCCGACGAACGGCGACTTTGTGGTGGTGGTGGTCGTGGGAGGACAGCCAATAAACTCCTCAACGGCCGTCTGCAGGGCCTCCTCCCAGATTTTGCCGGTCGAGACGATCCCGAAGGCAGCAGGTCTTGACTCTTCCTCCACCACCTCCACCACCTCCTCCTTCTTCTCGTCCGCTTGACCACCCCCGCCCATCAGGGCAAGACTCGCCAAAACACTCGCCTCAAAAATCCCCGTCACATACTTCCTGACCCCACTCCCCCCTTCCCCCCCCGTCGCCGCGGCCGTGAGACTCGCACATTCTTTCTTCAGCATCCCCACCAGCGGATGCTGGCTGTAGCACGCGACCAAGAAACAATCGTGGTGCGGCAGCAACGGCAGCAAATGCGGGAGACAGATCCGCGCCGACTCTGCGGCGTCGGCGGGCGAGTTTATGCTGGGGATGCCCCCGGGGGACGGGGAGGTGAAGAATGTGTATTGCACAGAGGGGAATCCGAGCGATTCGACGGCCGGGATGAGCGAGGATGTCATCTGCTGTGAAGTGTTGGGGTTGATGATTAGGATGCGCACGGGGGGTGGCGGTGAGGGTGAGGCGGTGGAGGCCATTGAGGCCATTGATGGTTGCAATATCCTTCTTCTTCCTCTTCTTGTTGTTGTCGTTATTAATGTTCCTTTCTCTTCTACACTCTCTTCCCTTCTCCCCTTCTCTCTCTCTCGCGCGCGTACGTGGATCAACTATCTCTTTCCTCAAATTATTCACCGGAAACGAGAGCTACACTGGGGAGCTGGAGTTAGGTAGGTACCTGGTTCGAGACCTCGCTTGTATCTGTGAGGAATAAAAACCGCGACCACCCGGTACTCTTTCGTGCTGTGGACGACAGTGACGAGAACTTGTGTCGAGATGCTATCACGAACTTTTTCAGTTGCTTGTGAGGGGGAAAATCGCAGTTCTTGGTGTTTTCAATGCGGGGGAGGGCTCGTTTATCTTATCGCTCGATAAGGGATAACGAGCGGGTACTATATTACTTGACAGGTATTCGGACACCAATGTAGACCACTCGCTCGACATTCATGATGGCGTCTAGCTACAGCTTTTCCACGCTGAGAAGCTTTCTTTTCCTTCCTCTTCGTCCCCCTGTCTGCAGACTGGAGCGACGCAATCTGCCATCCTCAACACAACCTTTTCATGACTTCTGGCGGATCCGTCATCTCGAGTGAATGACTCGCTATTCTGTCCCCAGCTGGCTTTTCAATTCAGTCGCCTCCAGTCTGCCAGGCCGTTACAAAGATCAAGTTCTACAGCCGAAGCTTTCTCTTCAAACGCACGAAACCTGTGGTCGCAACGCGGGAGCTGTTTTCCTCCATAAGGCTAGCCCTCACCAGAAACAGGATCATCCTGCACATATCTGAGTCGGATGACCCTTGATCTGAGCCGAGTTGTCTCTCTGGATCGAGTGTTCCGAGAGATAGGACGCCGACTTGACAGTAACGTCGGACAGCTTTCGACATTTCGCTCTTCGGTAGGTTGGGACCGGTCTTTTGCAGAATGACAGAGCACCCATCTTCCACGGCTCACCAGGAGGGTCTTGAGGTGCTTGCATATTTCTGCATTCTGCATGCTGCAAGATGAGAAGGTATCCTGCTAGGACGAGCAAAAGCCTGCTCCCTGGTCATGTCGGAAGATGGATGGCTGTCTGCATATATTTCAACACGCGAGCCGTCGTTTTTGATCTTCACACAAGCTTGCTCCCCTCCACATCGTCAAAGTTGTTCGGCGCTTTATCATTAACCTTGGGGATCGCTCTTGTAGGTATCTTGAATAATCGCTGCCCGCCTGTGATGAGATCTCTAAGAGTGACGTAAACGACAAGTATCCAGAGCAGGAATACGCAAACGGAGGTTATCTGTCGTTGCAATGATTAGCCAGATAATGCCAAAGGATACCGGGGAGTTGGGAGCAATACAGATCCAATGACTCGAAAAAAGCGCGATGGTATCTCCCTTGCGAGCGTATTGCTCGAAAGAGCGAATGTGCCGATTGGGAAAGTGAACCTGTCCACCGTGAGTCGTCAGGCCACTTCACAGGCTAGGATGAGACCTACCCCCACCAGCCGATATTGAATGGGAAATGTTTGCAATGGTATATCGTTGCAACGGCAAGAAAGAGCCACAACAAAGTAAACCCCCACAAGATCAAGGATAAAAGCACTCCAAGATTGTATGCCAGATCTCCCGCCAAAGGGTGGATAGTCTTGGTCAAAGGGAACACTTTCATTGCGACGTTCCCAAGCTTCATGATTGCAAAAGCGCCCATGTTCAAAGGGCCCAGCGGAATGAAACAGGACACAATCACCTCGCGTGGAGGCAGTTTGTGGATAGTCAGGCGTTGCCAGTAGGTGATGAGAACGAACGTCGCTGCAGGGACGCCGAATCCCCAGAGAACGTAGCCGATAATGACTGTGACCAAAGCTTGCTCCTCGTTGGGCAAGACACCTGCGACCAATGCAGCAGTGGCGGATGCGACTACGGTCCCCACAACAGGGAATACCTGTAGAGCGGTAATCGTTGACAGGGGTGTCTCTTCTTCTTGCTTGATGACAAGCAGAAATGGTAGGAGTAAGGCACACAGCAGTGACACGGCTGCATCGACCATCCATAGCCTGGGCTGATCAGCAAAAGAAATTGTGCACAACTTGGGAGGTACTAACGCCCATGCCAGATGAATGACCCAGTTGCCCCAGGAAGGAGCACACACAAACACCATCATGTTGACGATAGTCCCGAGACTCTACAAGAGCCATGTCAGTACGCCTCCAGAGAGAAACTCGAGATACGTACCACTGGTATGGCGCTCAGGAAAAACGCTTGATTGGGCCGCTCGAGTATAGTGATCCATATCTTGGGAAACAGAACAAACTGGAGTATGGACACGAAGATGAAGAAAGCGAAGAGGCCGATATTCAGGCAGAAGACAATGACGGAGAGCCAGTAGAGCCATCTCGCATTGTATGGGAATTGGTTAAGAAGGCTCGCCACGACCTTTCAGGTGTTCTGAAATCAGCCATTGTGTCCAAGACAGATGAGATTAATTTGTCGTCGGCTTCGGGGTAGAAGGACAGGGCCAGCAGTTCGCATCAACTCGGGGAGGCTTACACCAGTGCCCATGGTCACCGTGAACCAGCTGCGTACGCGCCGTCAGCCCACAATCTCAGGATCTGAAGGCAGATTGACGTACGATGGCGTGAAGTACTTGACATATTTCCTCCATCCAAGCTCACCACTTTTCCGAAGATCCATAGCCATCTGCTTGCCATCCTGCGTTGCTGAACGAGAAGCTGCTGCAAGAGAGGAATCGTCGGGGCCGTCGCCCAAGGCCGGGTTCCAAGACGCAATGTCGCCATCCTCGTCTGCGCCTCTAGTTAGGGTCTTTTGCAGGGAAATGGCGGCATTGGTGACAATTCTGGTCAATGTCCTTGGGCGAGTCGGTCGGGTTGCGGTCTCAGACATTGCTTCTTTGCCGGAAAGGGGCGGGGTTTGGGGTAACTGTGTGTCACGAAATGGCGTTTGTGACGTGGAGGGCAAGGGTCGGTGGAAGGATTTGGCAAGTTGGATATACGCTTTCTCCGCGGTACATGAGAGATGCCTGTGGTTTGGCAAATGCGCAGAGGCCACTTCATACAGCCGGAATGTCCTTCATTGCAGTTGTGCTGTGGCCCTGGAGACGTAGATTCATCGATGAATAGCAGTAAGACTTGGGGTCAGTCGATGGAAGCGATAAGGCGAAAAGAAACGGTCAGCGAAGGCCAGATGGAAGCAGAAGGGAGGTCGATGTTATTATTTTGAATCTGGACCAATACGGGTCACCCGGCAGGATGAAGCAATCTGGGTTCTGGGAGCTCGGGCCTAGCAAGGTTCTTCACATGGACCCGTGGTGACTTGTCGGAATCAGGAAGGCGAGGAATACCCGATACAGTAGGTTCTGGAGCGCAGAAAGATCAGAAAGGGATGGTGGGTGGTTGGTGGATGGTCTTCACCCAGTGTTTCCCTGCAGGGTGCTTACGGAAGCTTCGTTTTCCTTTTGCTATGATTTGCGGTCCATGTAGCCAATAAGATGTGCATGTCATTGCTATACAAGAGGATGCATATTCGACATACGTGGACTTGTCGGTGCCAGTGATAGTGAAGGTCACAAAAATAAGAGAATAAAAAGATATCGCAGCCGTGCACATCGACGACACCTGGCGTCCAGAGGCTCTGCAGCTGAATGAGCGTGCCAACCGCTGTCGATTCCCCTTCACAGGTGATTGACTACTCCAGCCGAACGTCGAAGCGACACATGGCCGGTTGAAATGAGTGTGTGGTGGTGCCAAAAGGCCAGGCATAAAAGGCTGGATCCACCTGACCGAACTTCCCTCCATGTAGAGACAACAAGAGGCTTCTCCTGTCTGCCCTCATCTGCTCTGCCCACCATAGCATTCATCCTTGGGTCCAGAACTTCTGATCCATCTCCCAACCACCACGATGCCTTGACCGGAAAGTGCTGAACAATGATCCAAGCCCAAACGGAAAAGTACTGACGCCTGCAAAACTGTAGACCCAGCTAGTGGATCTTGTGTCTGTGCATGACCATGTCGGAACCCCATCTGACGAACCGCATAGCTCCATAGCTCTTCCGCGGTTTACAAAACCCGGGTTCAAGCCTCGAGGTGTGCGGCTCGGGTTGCTTTCGGCTCCTGCCAGTAGGTGTAATTCAGTTTCCTCATGCCGTTGCAGACACCGAGGGTCCACAACAGCGGCAAGAGTGTTTAAGGGACGAACAAACGACCTCTGCCGCGGGTCGATCCACGTTCGAATCCATTGCTGTAACCACGGTTGAAGTTCGACCCACGTCCCCCTCCGCGGCCATAACTTCCGCGGTAGGCTCCACGGCCACTGCTGAATTGATGGGGGACATGGTTGCTCGTATTGACGAGCGGTGTGTTGCCCCGTGCGAAGCTGCCACGGTCAAACGAATCTGGGTCAATCTCTTCAACCGGAATTTGTGGTTTGTTCTGCGCCGACTGCGCAGGGTTACTGAAGGAGGTTCGCGGAGACCGCGTATTTCCTGCTCGGCTGCGGATGCTACCAGCGCCAGCACCTCGCGACGACTGTGCTGCGCGCGCTGAGCCTCGACCCCTTGGCTTGAAAACGACCTCCTCCTCGTCACTCTCGACGTCATCGTAGCTGAAAAGAGTCTTTGGCTCCGAATTGGATGCTCTTTTCGCCTTTTCCTTGGCCTTGTCCTTCTTGGAATTTTCTTGCGTGGGGAGTTCGTTCTCTCCCAGGCCGAGCTCACTCCTCAGTTGATGAATATTTTTGGTGGGGATCCCAAAGTCCCGTGCGAGGTGCATAGTGTCAGCTGAGTTGGTAAGAAAGAGGAGACCCTCATTGGCAGGAGCCTTCTTCTCGTGCACATACCACACGACGGGGTTAAGTAGAGACTTGAGCGATGGTGGAACGGGTGTCTGATCGTGGCTGATAATGGTGGCCGACTTGACCTCAGGGCTGGTCTTAGAGCTCTGCGGTCCAGAGGAGGAGGGCGACAAAGGTGGCGTAGAGCCGGGTGACATGGTCGTTGGTTCTTTCGCAAAGTTCAGTTTGTCCAAGAGGAGTTGCGACAACGGACCTGCGACTCCTGCGCCAACCTTGAAGGGAATATCAGAGTCCTTCTCCTGTTTGTTGTCCATGATTCGAATGGACTCCTCTCCTTCGTTCATCCCAGCAGTCTTCATACTTTCGTTTGTGTAGTGTGCCTCCACCTCAGCCCAGGTCGGGTATTGGTCGTCGGGACCTTGGAGGATGACTGGGTCGTGGCGTAAATCGCCGCGAGAGGAAGTGCTGCGGTCGAGGAATTTCAATGCTTTACGCGCGCTGACGCCGATCTGTGAAGAATCTTTCTTCAAGACGTTCAAGCGAGAGAGCGCTGAAGCCGATTAGCGGGGCACTAAGGGTCAGGATTTGCGACACTGGCAGCCATACTGTACAAGGGCACAACAAGAATAATAAGGCCCTGCGAGACCCAGCTCTCAATCTCCTCGAGGTTCCTGGTCAAAGCCGTATCATCTACAAGACAACGGATGACAGTTTGTTTCGACATCTTCATGTTTCGCCGCCTTTGAATCTGCGTCGGATCGGGAGAGTCGATGTATTTGTATAAAGGGGAGGTTTACAGATTCATCGGCGCAAACTTTGGAAGGTGCGGTAGCCGAGTGCTACAACTGCATTTTTCCCAGTGATGTATTAGTGACACGGCCACAAACAGAAGGCGGCAGAGAGGTGAGGACAGGTGAGTCAAGGCGCAGGGCAATACCGGGTGTGTTTGTGGCGGAGAACAAGCTGTAAGGATAGATGCGCATCTTCGCTAGGAATAGATTGATGCCGTGATGCGGCAACCAGTTAGTTCCATGTGAGAATGCATCTACAGTGCCGACTTGCGAAGTGAAGAGAGTCCAACTTCGCGTGAAGAGGAAGAGAGTGAAGGACTGTTAAGTTCGAGTTGGTTGTTTGTGTGGTGGGTGGCAGTGGGTGGGAATCAAGAGGATCGGAGGTTGGACTGCGCGGGAAGTGAAAAGCGGGACGCAGACAAACTGCGGGTGAGCGAATCAGCCTCATTAGCCTGTCCACTACAAGCCCTGCACTCCGGCTTCCAACCGTTTGGAGGCGGGCACTGCAGGTGGACAGTCGGAATAGCACAAGGTCCTCAGTACCTAGTATCTAGGTGTACACTTTCTGTAAACCTCTACTGGATGCCTCTAAAATACCGTCAGACAGCTGACTGTGTCGTTCTTCAGCACTTCAAACAACATGCCTGGGAACCCAAACAGCTCCGTGTTGCCCATGCCCCCTCCAGCATCTACTGTACCATGGTCGTCTGTCTTTTCTCGAGTCGGACTTTCCTCTAGATCCCCCAGCAGCTCTATTGAGCTCTCTGGACTCTCTCCCCACCCCCTGTTGAGGACCATCCCTCGCTGCATTTGCTTCTCCTCGTTCTCGTCTTTGTAAGTCTCATGCCACACCTCTTTCAGCGCCCGAGATATTTCAGAGAATGCCATTTCTGAACTCAGGAATGGCCCTCGGGTTTCCCCACGAGTACGTATCACCCACCGACTTCTTCGATGGCGATTGAAGGCGAACGAGCCAGGTACGTTGCCATGTAAGAAGATCTTGGTGGCGACCAGTGGCGCGCTGGACGAACCAGAGCCTTCGCTGGTCATCGAATCAGGGAAAGGTGGTGATCTCGTGGCCGGGGATGATATCAGGATGTCAAATCCATGCTTAAAGTAGTTGTAGAAACACTCATCACTAGACGAATCTGCTCTATCTTCCTCAAGGTCGGGTTCAAAGTCTGATTCTTCGGTATAGCTCTGAATCGAAGATTGGTCGGTGTCCAGGGCCTGAGGATCGAGCCCGGGTGACATGCTAGGCCGCCGCCGATTCGCAGGGTTGCCGGTAGCATGAATAGAAATCCGCCTATCATTCTTACGGTATATGGCATCAGGGGGTCCTAGTTCCGCCACAAGATCTTGAGGTGTTGTTTCACTCAATGTGATTGCCATTGGTGGGGAGGCTCTCCGCAGTAGTTCCAGCCTGCCACCTCCGAACACTCTTACCTCCTCAATCTCGTCCGGCACCGCCTCAACAGACTTGCCCACGAGTGTCGGTGATCGAGGATACGTCGGAGGTCTCGTATACAAACTTGATCTTGCTTCGGTCCACGAGGATCCGGCGAAGATGGCCATAGACTTTGCCGACCCAGTTGCATTGGACGACAAAATTGACACAAAATCCACCTTTTCGGACCAGGCTTGATGTTTCACGGGAAAGGTAAATGCCAGTCCTGGATACGAGAGAACATATGTGCCTTCCGAAAGACCAGAATCTGGAGCAATGTATTCTCCGGCGTACGTTGGTCCAAAGAGACGGTTGTAGACATGACGAAACGTGGGACCACTGGAAGAGCCTTCATCTTGACCGATCTCGTCCGAACCCTTAACTCGGCGGACCAGATCTGTATTCTTATAAACAAAAGAGCTCAGAGAAAAGTCCAAGACCTCGATTAGCCGTAGTCGCTGGTCTGGACCGTCAAACCGCAGCCTCAGTCCATTAGAAGGGAGACTGAGGACAACCGGTTGTGTGATTGGTTCAGAATCGGAATAGGACAACTCGAGATTTGGATATATCTTTGGCGACGCTTTCAGCCTTGTTATAATACTGTAGATAGAAGATCCGAGAGCTGATGTGGTCAGCACGCCCTACACACTCCAAAGACAATACACATACTTATCCAGCTGATGCCCCTTTCTGGCTGTATCTGAAAAGCAGCCTTGGAGGCGGTTTCCGTCATGATGAAATTGGCATGCCGAGAGGAGAGAAGGACGATGAGAAGCTGCCTGTAGAGTGAAGGCTGTCGTGGTATTTAACCTGGTGATCACAGCAAACAAGAATAGAAGACAAGTCACACGGCAGTCAGTGCTGATGAGGTTGGAGACCTGGACGTGGACCAATCCGAGACCAGCATTCCCATCGCCTCATCACGTGCCAACCCCCAACTTTAGCGCCTTGGCATTGTTTACATTTCGTCCTGTTTCGTTGTTGCTGGCGGACCGAAGCAATCGCTCCGAGCCCACCAAATTCATATCCTTGTTGCCAAACCCCGGTACCATGTTTAGTATATGGTGAAGCATAATCAGATGCAGCTGCCGCACGCTCACTAAATCTCCATCTACTGTCACCTGCGGCTTTCCTGCAGCAACATGTCAGGATCACAGCGTCATGCCAATACTGCCACCAGAACCTCAATGCGCCCACCACCGAGACCGCATGTGCCGCAGTATCCTTCGATAACGGGTCGAGCTCCTTCCCCCGCAGAGTCCCTATCCTCGAGCGGTGCTTCTAACGCGGGAACTAAGAGAAAAGAGAGGGATTTTGACCAAGACCATGGCGAGGAGACGAACATCCATGTCGTCGTACGATGTCGGGGTCGAAGCGCCAGGGAAGTTCGAGAAAATAGCGGCGTGGTGGTATCAACAAGCGGAGTCAGAGGGAAAACGGTTGAACTGTCGATGGGCCCTAATGCAATCAGCAATAAGACCTACTACTTCGACAAGGTGTTCTCTCCAGCGGCGGATCAGGCCATTATCTTCGACGACGTCGTGGCGCCCATATTGAACGAAATGCTGACAGGTTACAACTGTACAATATTCGCCTATGGCCAAACGGGCACGGGGAAAACATACACCATGTCGGGCGACATGACAGACACCCTTGGACTTTTATCTGATGCAGCCGGCATCATCCCTCGGGTACTGTACTCGCTGTTCCAAAAGTTGGAAGCAGATGAGGTGGAGTGTTCAGTGAAATGCTCATTCATTGAGCTATACAATGAGGAATTGAGAGATTTGCTGTCGCCCGACGATTCCGTCAAGCTGAAGATCTTCGATGACGCGAGCAGGAAGAGCCATTCCGCCACGGTGGTCCAAGGCATGGAGGAGTCGCACATTAAGAATGCAGCAGCGGGCATCAAACTATTGCGCGAAGGCAGCCATAGGCGTCAAGTTGCAGCCACCAAGTGCAATGACCTCAGTTCTCGAAGCCATACGGTCTTCACCATTACCACATATGTGAAGAAACCCAACACAACAGGCGAAGACTATATCTGTTCCGGAAAACTTAACCTTGTTGATCTCGCTGGCAGTGAGAACATTCAAAGAAGTGGCGCGGAGAACAAAAGAGCCGCGGAAGCTGGACTCATCAACAAGAGCTTGTTGACACTGGGAAGAGTCATCAATGCTCTGGTGGACAAAAGCTCACATATTCCATACCGAGAGTCGAAACTGACAAGGCTGCTACAAGACTCACTGGGTGGAAGAACGAAGACTTGTATCATTGCCACAGTGTCACCAGCGAAAAGCAATCTCGAGGAGACCATTTCGACCCTGGACTACGCTTTCCGTGCGAAGAATATCCGAAATAAACCGCAGGTCAATTCAATGATATCCAAGAAAACTTTGCTGAAAGAATTCACCGCCGAAATCGAAAAGCTCAAGAGCGAATTGATCGCCACAAGACAACGTAACGGCGTTTATCTCACCAACGAGCAGTATGAGGAAATCACGGTCGAGAGTGAGTCCAGAAGGATACTGAGCGAAGAGCAGAAGGCGCGGATCGAAACGATGGAAGTCAGTTTGCGCAACAAAGTTCAGGAGCTGTTCAGCTTGACCAACAACTTTACGACGCTGAAGCGAGACAATGAAGGCACTCGTGCAACCCTGGAGAGCACAAAAGATGTGCTTGAAAAGACCGAAACTGTTCTCGCCGACACAGAAAGGTTGCTCGCGGAGGAGACTGCTCTTCGCGAAGCACATGAAGTCACCGAGGAGAAGTTATTCGGCATTGGGACAGAGCTAGTCTCGACTGTTGGCAACTCCTTGAAGGATATCGATGGTCTGCAAGCCAAGCTTAGGCGACGGTCTGTCCTTCATACACAGAACCGCGAGTCGTGGAATTCTTCTGTCAACCGGGCCATGAATATCTGTGGACTGGTTGACGAGCGCATCGGACGCTTCCAAGCAGCCCACGCCGAAGCCGTCGCTGCAAGCTCTTGCCGTATTGAATCATTGATAAAGGCCGAGATGGCTCGCATGGAGACTACTGCCCGACTATCTCAGGAGAAGTCCTCCGAGCTGGCTGAGGATTGTGCTGCTGTTGAGAACCAGTCTGTTCAGGCCAGAGATTCTATGAACAATGTCCTCGAGGAGATCAAAGATCTACGTGAGAATGTCAAGGACAACCTCAGTGAGGGCCTTCAAGGTCTATCCCAGGCAGCTGCGAAGATATCTGCGGAGGTGATCTCGGAGCTTGAGCAGTTTCATACCCAGTTGCATTCATCTTACAGCGGGCTCGGAAAAGACTTCAAAGCGATGTTTGATGACCTTAGCAAGCAATTAACTGTGCAGCGAGAGGAAATTGAAGCCTTGTCATCGGCCCTCCAAGCGGCGAGTCGTACAAACATCGAGGCATCACTTTCAGCTTCCACCCAGCTCGAAGCCATCAGAGACGAGGAGAGAAAGGCCGCCGAAGAGGAGAAAGAGAAGCTCAAGGAGCAGATCTTGAAGCTGATTGACTCGTCACATCAGCAACAGGATCAGAGACTGTCCAGGAGACTGAATAATGTTCAGTCTCACCTCGTTGAGGCGACAGAGCGGTTCGAAAGTGCTGATAAGTCTTATCGCGATGGATTGGACACGTGGACTGCTCATGGCAACGAACTGATGACGCTGGTGGTCACGTCAAAGGACGAATTGAAGACTAAGATGAAAGCTGACTGGACGGTAAGTACGGCACAAGTTTGATCTTGACTAGAGGCTAATATCTTGCAGGCAGTCAGTGCGCGCAACTCAGCCATTCAAAAGTCCACCAAAGCCGTCCACGAGGAAACAGTCAAAATTGTCGACGCTCAGCTGACGCAAATGCCAACTCAAATGGGAGCTCTAGACGAATTTGTGACACGAGCTCGGCTGCAGAACGACAGCCATCATGCTGAACGCTTACAGTTCTTGGGAAGAGCAGTATCTCATGCTCAAGACGGCTTTAGCAGTCTTGAGAAGGCGTCGAAGCAAAGCGTTGAAAGATTTGGAGCCTTTGCAGGAGAACAGGAGCCTCACCGAGCAGAAATTGACAGACTCGTTGGATCTTTGGAGCAAGAAACCAGGCATCCTCTCCAGGAAATGAAGGCAGAACTCTCAGAAGCGACTTTGACCGAGTACATTCCAACTGGAGAGACGCCGCAAAAGAGGGATTGGAGTTATCCGACACACCTGCCACGAACCGAAAGCCACGAATCCATCATTGCCAGGCTGAGAGGCTTACCTGATCCTGCTCTTCTCACTAAGACGCCTTTATCAGTAAAGACACCTGGCCGTTCGCCTAGGAAGCAAGCTTCGCCGCGTAAAGGGCCTACATCGCCTTCGAAGCTGCCAAGTCCAAGCAAGACCAAGATCTTCACCGACATTGAGGATCCCACGACGCAGGCATCTACGATATCGCTTTCGCAGACACAAAGCACCACAAGTGGATTACCTCTCACTGAGCCAAAATCTGGGTTGAAGGAGGTCGACATCAATCTTATTAACGGCAATAGACCGATAGTGTCATCAACAACATCCATGACATCGTCCGGCAATGACGAGAAACCTGTACTGCTGGACTTCAGTAAGAGCGTTGGCAGTGGAAGTCAACAACCGCCTCTCAAGCGGCACGCGACGACTAATGCGATTGTCGAGAGCAGACTACCTACCGCGAAGCCGAGCAGGGTGACAAGAAGCACAATAGCTGGGTTAGCAGGGATGGGAATCGGTGGCGTGGAGAATTTCAGCCAGAGTGTCGGACAATTGGGCGGGGGTCGGAGGCTGAGAAGCAGTCCGCCTGGCTAGTCTGGTCATGGCCCTGGGAATCTGTGTTGTTCTGTTTTCTATTCAGCGAGTGGATCTTGTTCATGTGGCGGTGGTGTCTTGGGTTGGGGAAGTGCTGCTGGATCCTGATGAATCGATGCACATTGCTTTCAAGTCGAGTATTGTTAAAGATACCCCCGTTTTGTTTGTCATTGCGTTGCTGTTTCCACGGAGCTCTGGATAAAGGAACTACTTGAACTAAAGAGGTATTGCCTGATTATTGGATACCCTGGCTGGAAGTAAGGACGGTCGGAGCTGGGATGGAACAGGTTACATGGATGGATTCAGTGAGAATACGAGAAGTACCCAGGTAGACAAACAAGAAGCAGAAGCAGAAAAAGAAGTCACTTCCTTGGATCCTCGCTGACTGACTACAACGGCGTCTTCTCATGATACGAGATCGATACTCCGTACTTATCTCGGCATATGTAGCTGTAGACAGGCGCTTGGGCGGATTAGAGGACTGGAGGACTGGAGACTAGAAGCACCGTAACGGCATCCGTAAGGAGGAGGAGGAGGAGGAGGAGGAGGGAGTTGTGAAAGGGGCATTAAATGAGCATATTAGTGGGTTCTGTCTGTTTCTGTGTCTGTTTTCCGCTCAAGGGTAAGAAAAGAGTCTTTTTCTTTCCCTTCCCCATCCCTCCCAATGCTCCTTCACGAATTCTCTTTCTCTCTCTCTCTCTCTCGTTCTGTCTGTACTCCCTCGCCCCCAGAGACCTTCCGTGCAAGGGAGGGTTCGTGTGATCCAATCGAACCACGTAAAGCAGGTGGGTGGGTAGGTAGGTAAATGATGATAAGCAGACAAGAAAAGCAAGGCCAAGGCTGACTCTTGACTCCCAGCGCCTGCAGGTGCTTTGAGCGAGCAATCAAGCACTGTTTGTCGTAAGCTAATGGAATGTTTCGAGTCTGCTGTCTTGCGCCGTTGAAACTCCGTCGTCCATAGGATAAAATGGCCTTTCCAAGTACTATATCCGGCTCAATCACGCCTTAAAGGGGAATTGTGTTGGGTTGATTCTGTCCCGGTTGGTCTTTGACCAGGATCGCGATTTTTTGGCCTACCCAAGGTGGAAGGAATCTCCTATCGGGACGAACCCGCCGTCTTTTGTCTGTGATCGATTTCCCATCGTCTCTCTCTCTCTCATCTTATTCGTCTCCGCCCAGCGCAGCAGCGCCCACAGGCGCACTGATCCCGCCCACACCTGCCTCAATAACCATCCTGATATCATCCAGACGTCGCTGGAACCGGTCAATCATCTCTTCCATACTCTCCTTTTCCCTCTCGGCGTCTCCGGCTCCGGCTCCGGTGGCCTTCTCTTTCGCCATTGCCAGGGCAAGGTCGCCGGGTGTGTTCCCTCTCCCCTCGATGCGCAACATCAGCCCTTCTTCCCCTTCTTCGCTGGGTCCGCCGTCTCCAATGGTCGGCGCGGCCGAGATGCTGGTCCGCAAGACCTGCCATTCTGCGCTGAGGCTGTGTGCGGATGTGACCTCGTAGTTGTAGCCTGTTATTCCACCACCACTGACGGTGGCGCCGCCGCCTCCGACCGAAGAAGCAGCCCCTGCTGGGGTGGCGTTGTCGTCTTGGTTCTGAGTGGTGCTGCGAGGTTGCGGATGCACGTCGAGGATGATGTAGTGCTCGCGCATATCGGCCGTGGGTGGAGGAAGGCGGGGTGCGTTGATGCCATCATCCTGACGATGGAGGTCCTGGTCTTGAGCTGCGTGTGAAAGTGGCCGCCCGTGTCGTCCTCCCGGTGGAGCACCGCCCCGATTGTCCCCTCGTTGGGTGGGATCCAATTCCTCGAGACTCCTCAACGCAGCCTCGGTGATGATGTCGGTGTCATCGTCGGCAAAGATGTAGTGGACCGTCGGGTGGTAGTGCTCGTTCGTAACACTATCCTCGATCAAGGTGAAGAAGGGCTGGAAGGACGGGATTGTCGGCGGCACCTCTCCCGGATGATGGGCAGACGCAAGGCCACCGCCATGGCTGTAGTGTTCCGACTCGGCGACCGCGTGCTCCGAGTACTCGGGGTTGTTGAGGGTGAGACTCGGTCTGTTGCTGTGGGCGAGCTTGGCTTGCTGATGGGAGGCGACGATCGGGTCGTCTTCGAATTGCGGAGAGGGCAGGAGGCTGCGGGTCTTTGGAGAGGTCGTCGACGGCTGCGGTTGCGTTTGAGACACTGGCACACCACCGCCGCTTGTGGTCCGCCGCGATGTGGGATTCGACGGCGAGGATGGGTGCGTGGGGACTTGACGGAGCTGCTGGGACATGTCACACGAGATAAATACCAGACGGTGTCAAGGTTGCGAGGGCTACATCGTGACAGATGATGGCCGGGCCCGGCTTTTGATGGGGGGGAGGGCGCAGGCGAAGAAGAGTGTTTGCTGGGCAGACGCGAGGCCGTTGTTCCATGCAAGGCAAACAATTAATGTGGAGAAAGTTCGCTCCCCCCACACCAGGCAAGGCAAGGCAGGGCAAGGCAAGGCTACGAGGCTGCCACTCTCTTCTGGTAGGCGACTCAAGTGACACGGACAAGTTAAATTTGGTAATGTAGGACTATGGTTTACATCTCCACGTCCTTGCCCTCGATCCAGGCTTTGCACTGCCAATATAGAAGATCATGCTTGTCTCCACAGTCCTTGCTGCCGCCCTCAACTCCCTTCTCGCGCCTGTGGCCGGGCATGTCTCTGAGCACCGTGACGCCCATGGTGGCTTCCTGGAGGTAGGCCAGGTACCGATAGCCAGTGGGATAGTCCTTCAAGCGCTCCTCGTCGAGGATAGGCACTTTTGCCGGGTTGACAGGGATCAACTTGTCCTAGATACCGGAAAAGGATGTTCAGTTCCTATCGTGTGTACCTAATTATGTGCGGTGATCACCCGGTGGGCCGCTTCTTATTGCGGGGCGGGTCTCCCTTACCTTTTCATACCAATGCCTCACAAACCTCGCCCGCCACTCGCCGTTGTCGGGCATCTTGACCCAGAAAAAGCAGAACCGGCAATCACTCTCGGCGTCGACCTCGCACCCATCAATGACAAACCGTTGGGTGATGGTCGCCTTCATCTTGGTCACCGCCCGCGTGGCCTCGCGGGTGATGTCGGTCGTGATGCCGTGGCAGCGATGCATGATGAAGGCCCCCTTGTCCATGCCCGCCTGAGACGCCTTGATGAAGTCCAAGTGGTGCGTCCTGCCGGTCCAGGTGGTGTAGATGTAAGCGTCCGGGTGGAAGATGGATTTGAGATTCTCCCATTCACACGCATCTCTGGCCACGGCAACGGCAATCAGCAACAGGTCAGAAAAGACGTGCACGCAAAGGAAAAGGGACCTTCTGACCGATAGAGAGGCCAGCCCTCGGCCAGTTCACGCAATTTGTATCTCTCGAGCACGAGACTGTCAGGCCCGTTGTTGCGGACTGCGTCTTCTGGGCGCGAGCCGGCCGGTAAGGAATGGAGGTCGACCATTGCTGGAAACACGGAAATTTCGACCAGAGCACCTCGTATCTCAGTCTGCTGCACCGGATCAAGAGCACTGGTTCGAGGAGGAGAAAGGGGAAGCACTCCAAGTTGAGCACTCGGGCATCCCCCACAAACTCCAGTCGTCGGATCGGCATCTCCTCCCGAAGCGCATGGCACAAGCGCATGGCACATTTCGTCATGTCACAACCCATACGAAGTACATGGTACTAGGTATAGAATATCCAGGTACCTAATGTATGGATCGCGGGCACCAGTCTCGCACGTCTTGCGTTCATGTTCGTCATTCTGATTCCATTTTCATTGTCTCTGTCCCACGGCCTCTGGGAGACATCTAGACACAGCTTATATATTGACACAAAATGTGATACAGTAATGCAATGATAGCCATGGCAGCTTTGAAAAACAACCAATCCTTTTCGCCTCCTCAAATCCCTGACTGTGCGACCCAGCGGAACATCAACACTAACCATTCCTGGTCTGGCAACGAATCCTCTATGGCCACCCAGTGCAGTCGTCGATCCACTCGGTTGCCGAACAGTAGATCATGGGGATATCCGCCCTCTTGGCTTTACCCTCGGATCTCTTCTCCATCGCGGGCTCTGCAGCCGACTCCACACTGCGCTTCTTCACGACGGGAGCAGCAGCAGCAGCATCTTCGGATCTCTTGACAACGGGTTCGACATCAGGCCATCCGGTGCAGTCGTCAATCCACTCGGTGGCAGAGCAGTAGATCATGGGAGCTCGCTTTTCCACGTTCTTGGTGTCTCTCTTCTTCAGGTCGTCCTTGACTGCATTAGGCGCCGGGGCTCCCCCATCAGGGTTGGTCAAGGCACCGCCAAAGCCCATGAGTGTGTTCCAGGTCTCAGCAGTGGACCTGTCGCGAGTTCCCAAAGCTCGGATCTTCGCTTGAGACTCGCGGCAAAGAGACTTTGCGGCTTCATTTGCTCCGCAGACGGTGGCGAGTTGGTCGCAGATTCGGTTGGTAATGATATCTTGCACCACCATTAGTTACAGCACAGCGCAAAAGATCGACGGTAAACTTACTTGGGTTGGGAGCCTCTTGCTGACCACGAGCACACAACGCATCGGTAGGCAAGAAAGTAAAGTCCACCGATGATCGTCCACCAAGACCACCTTCAAACTTCATGGTCGGGAGGCAGAGGCCAAAGTCGGGGTCCTCCCTCATGACAGATTCCTTGCCATAGGACAAGACGGCAGCTGAGGCTGAACCAACAGCCACCAGCAGGGTGACAGCAGTAGCTTTGACAAGCATTTTGATCTCCCGAGATGCTGGAAAACAAGTAAAGAGCGTGAGGAGAGATGTTCTTGGAAAGGAAGGACTGTAGAAAAGAGCCCGGCCAGCGGTAAAGAGCGAGAAAATCGGAAACAGAACGACGACAATGGGAAAGAATGTTTGGAATAGTGAGAGAGAAGGCGACTTGGCAATGGCAGGTCTTGGAAGTGCCTTATAACCAATTGACCTGGTCGCGCGGATGGCAGAGGTGCCGATTGCACGTTTCGAACATGAGGCGGAGCGTGTCGTGGGTTGCGTTTCACGTGCGGCCTAGGGGGTTCCCCCAACCACTTTTGGCGTCCGCCAGCACAAATCCTCAAACGAGTCTGTGTCTGCAGTGCAACCCATACCTGTTTGGAGAGAAGGACTGTAGTTGATGCTGACGCTCACGGCTCAGGTAGCGACGAGGAAATAATCAGTAAGACCTTTTTTCGCGCTGAGAGGGGGGACAACGTCTGGGTAAACAGACACCCCAGCCACCCAAGGACCACGGGTGCACTGCACTCGGCAGCTCGAGACAACGCGTTCATGACAGCCACAGTATATACAATCACTCCCATTCATGTCTCTATGGGTCCATCAGTCGTTGTAGGGCAGTACAAAACGTCCTTGGGTCCGAATGCGTATGTGTCTGAACTCCCCCGTCAATTTTGACTAGGACCTTGTGGGCGTGTCGGAGATAGGCACAGACTATCGATTTCGAGCGTCGAGTGAGCAGCAGAGTGAGACTGGAATACACGGCATCCATGCCATCCTTGGCGGTAATTGCCCTCAGGTTCAGGCGATCAAGCATCTGAAGCACAATGGTGAAGCGGACAGTGTCGCAAGAGAAAAGGGAGGACCAGGAAGGGAGACGGAATATCCAAATGGGGATTAGTGGGCTTTGTCACGTGTATCAGAGCTCCTGATCACGTGGCCGCTCTCTCACGACTTGTACGACGGCTCCTCCCTCAATGCTTTCCATTTAGTCGTTTATGCAAACTTCAAACAGGCGGAGGTGATCAGACTGAACAACGGGATTGAGGACCATCGACGTGTATGGTGCAGATGGACCTGTAGCGACCACGCCACACAGTTACGACGGAAATGCCGGCCGAACCCCCCAGATCTCATCAACATGTGCACAGAGCAAGAATTGACTGTTGCAAGCCATTCAGCGAGCCCAAGATTAACATAGGAGATGCCTACATTACTTGCAACATTGCCGAACAGTACGGGAACAAGGTGTCGACGTATTTGAGCCTCAAGTCCGCAGTGCTTGAAACCCCTCAGCGGATTGTCGACGAGACCAGGATGGCGGCGATGAAGCAGAAAGGATGAATAGCAGAGACCATGGGCCAAAAACACAGCTTGTCTTGTTTCCAATCCTAAGTCCAGTACACCACCCGTACAGTTTGACCTTCAATGCTCGCGTACGTGAACGCCACCCTGAAGGACACCCAGTGCTTTTCGTTAATCAAACATTTCGAGAAGCCAGCCATTTCCTGATCTTGAGAGTGGCATCTCAGACAGGATTGTAAGCTCGTGTATGTCCCTTCCCGTCGGAAACCTTCAATGGCTTTTGGCAAGTTCGTGCTCATACAATCATTCTTCATCCCACCCAATGCAATTGCAAGTCGTCGATTCGTTTCACTTGACTTCGTGCTCGCGTACCTCGTTTTGTTCTGTCTTCTCCTGTCCCTGACGGATCGACTCCGGTGCCACAGCGGCATACGGATCCTCATCTGCTCCACCATCCTTGCGTGGTTGGCCCTCCATATCTACTTCGATGCCAGCCTTTTCCTTCTCCATTATCTCTGTCTCGGCTTCCGATTCGCCCATCTCAACACCGTCCGCCGACACTGTATCCTCGTCCTCCTTGACGGCCCCGACCCGGCCGCCACGAAACATCCCGCCAAAGGGTGACCTCTTCCTCGCCACTTTAGGGCTCGGTTCTTGCACCTCGATGACGACAGGCCCGGTCTCCTTCTCCGCGTACCTGTCAATGAATGCCTCCTTGAGAACCTCGTAGAGGAAACTGTATTGCAATTCGTTCATAACCATCATCATGCGCTGTTCGCGGAGCGTATTCACGGTTTCCCATATGAGATCCTCTTCGTCTTTTGGATCGGGTGTGCTTGCTTTTGGAGGCCCGCTCCTGCCCCACGTACCTGGACCGTTGGAGTTCGTTGTCGGGGTATGCGTCCCTGTTTGTGGAGGGGAGGACTCAACCAGTCGACCCGCTTCGAGCTCTTGTAGGAGGAAGTCCAGTGCTATCCAAGTGCCTGTCCGACCGACTCCAGCAGAGCAATGCACGATTCGTGGAGAATCGCCTGCAACCGCTCGTGACACTCGGGTTAGTTCCAGTAGAGCCCTTCGATCTTCTGCCTCTGGTTTGCCAAAATCCGGCCAGCCATGGAAGAGGTAATGATAGATTGTTTTGGTTTCACCATCGATCGTCAATCGAAGTTTGCGGACTTCACAACCAATCTTGGCGTCGTAGTCTAGGGAAAGGAGAGTAACGGAGCCGCATTGACCTTGCTCCTGGGCCGGAACTTCCTGTCCGTCATCTCCAGGGCCACCTCGCGGCTCGCTTTGAAGGTCTTCGGCATCTGTTCCAACACTATCAGTTTCAGCGCTTCTCGTAGGGGAGTCCAGGAAGGGATCACCATCATCCATGGTCTCTGCGTCTCCATCATCATTGCCGTCCTCATGAGCGGGCAGAATTATCGTGGGGTTGTTCATGTCGGGAGGGAAGTACTGGGCGCATTTCTCCTTGTTTCCTTCGTAAAGCTGTGTGAGCATGATAACAACGCCAACATCGCCGGGCGTCTCTTGCATAACCATGTGCCAGAAGTGTGAGAATTGTCCTTCTTTTGGACCTTGGGTGGCGATGTAAACACTTTTGGCTGGGGCTGTCGCGGGAAGTAAAGGCTGACCGGTCGATGTTGGAGTCGAATTTCCACTGCGAGGTTTTTTGGCGTGTCGACTTTCAAGAATGATGGGAGACGCGTTGACATAGTCAGACCCTCCAATTGGCTTTCTCAATTTGACCCTTGATGATTCCCAAGGCTGAACATTGCCATAGCGATTGCGGCTGATCACAGTCCATGAGCGGTCGACCCGGAATCGAGAGGTATGGGGATTCTGGGATGCATGCTGGAGGCGCATTCTCTGCTTCCACTCCAAATCCTGGAATGCTGACGAGATCTCTATTGCCGAGGCGATTAGATCCTCGGATATCTCAATGTGCAGAAAGTCCTACGCCCAGAGGTACTACTTACTGGCTCGGGATTTGTTGAGGTAGGCAGGTATCTTGACGTTCAGCCGCTGCGCTGGGTCATCAGGCTTTCCAGACACACCGTTAGGTTGTCCCTGGCCACTGGAAGGCGGTCGAGAAACGTTGGCCGACATCTCTTGGGACCGTTGCCTCTTAACGGAGCCTTGCGGCGGCGTGCTTAGGGATAAAGTCTGTGGCATCATTGCGGTGATGTCGGCGATGGTCACTGCATCGGAGGAGTGAGATGAGCCAGCCCGACTCACCGAGGTTGAGAGGGGTGGAAGCGAGGAGGAAGTGGTAGGCCGGATGGTCAGGTTTGGGGTTGGTTTATTCTTCCTCCCCGATGTGTGGATATGTAGTCTTTGCAAGATTGACGGACGTTTGGGAGGGGTGTGGTTAGAAGATTCCCCAGGAGAAGGATCCTGAGGAGCGGCACCGGCTTTGTCAGCGAACAGCCTTGAGACAGTCGTTGTGATGATATGCGGTGACCTCTTGAATGAACAAAGAAGAGTTTGAGGTACTCTGGATACAAAGAGTGCCAGCGGGCGATTGCTGTGTAGTACTATGTACCTAGGTAGACAAAGAACGTTGAAAGATGCTTGGCGAGTCTGTGTTAGGAACTTGAACTTGAAGCCGGTTAATGTCGTCAAGGCCGCGGCTGCCGGGCCTTGTCAAGGACGACTTGGCTGCTCAATGAATCTCTCCAGACCTCAGATACAATGGAGTGCGTCTTATCGGTTTCAGGAAGCGCGGGAGGGGGATTGATATCGAGGGGTCGCTAAGATGCTGCCCTAGGGCAAAGAAAAGGAAGAATGTTCTTCGAAGGAGGCAGACTGCCGATAGCCTTGTTCCGATGGAGATCTTTTATGGATACTTTGATATGGATTTTATGCTTAAGCGACGATTGGGGATTGTATTGTTCCAATCAAGAAGGAAATCCAAACTTGAAGAACAAAAGAGGCCGAATGGCTGACCTCATATTGCAGCCGGGGCCTAGCTGCAAACCCAGCCTGTTTGTAAATAAAACGTAATTACAAGCCTTTTGACTCATACACCTCGCACACCTGCTGTCACATTGGCGGTGTTTGGGCTTTGTATTGCTCCGTCACATACAGCACTCTTGACTCTTCTGGCGCTGGATGCGGAGACATCATCAACATCAATCAATATTATTATTAGTTGTTTCAGGCTTCGCCAGAGATGTCGGCCAAAAAACCCACCATCTCAACGTGAGTCTTCCATATCGAGAGTTTCTTGACGCCTGACCGTTGGAGGACACTGCTTCACCAGCATTTTGCCAAAGCTGCGCTCGGACTGGCCAACCTTTGCCTCTTTCCACCATGGCTTGGTGGTGGCTTCTTGAGGTCTGATTGTTTCGCCCCTCAGCATCGTCTGGAGGACAATCCACTGACATTCACCTAGAAGCGATTAGTAGAAATGGTAGGCCATCCCAGTATTGGGCCCGGATCTCTCTCGTACCAGCTCGTTGGAAAACCTCTGACGAAACACGATCCTCCAGCTCCTACGCAGTCCCTCCTTCCACCGTGGCGTCCAGCGCGTCCACAAGAAGGTCCATGAACTCCAACATGGCAAGCCGCCAGAATACTATGGCGGCACACACCTTGACCGTATGTGTCCAAGAATACTTTTTCTGGTTGTTGTGTACCCCAAGAAGAAAAGGATCAAGCTCACATCTTCGATATGTGAAACAGACGACCAAGCCACCGAGCGAGGCGTCGGCCACTTTCTCAAGCTATTCTGGGAAGAATTGAAGACGGGTCATAAGCCTGAACCGCCAACGAAGAAATGAACAGCGAAAGATGGCACTGCAAAGCTGTCTGGCATATTGTACACACGAACGCTCAGGGAAGTTGTCGATTGCGAATGGTCTGAATTTGAGCGACGGCGTTGGAGGCGCGCATACGGCAATGATATCGAATTTCATCTCTGAAAACACGTTTTGACAGGCTCGCAAGTGCCTCCTTGGTGGGTCAATGACTAAAGTGCAGGAGAGAGACAACCTGCATCCGATCGCATTTGCTCTTGCACGGATGCCCTCAATAATAGCAAAATCAGTTCGACCAAGGTAAGGCTCCGAAACAACATACAGGCAGTGGTATCCACAGGTGCTCTGGGAATACGGATTATATCAAGAAAGCTCAGGACAGATGCTATACCATCGGATAAAGATTGGGTTGGCTCATTCTCTCTCTACATGGGGGCTCGACCCTCATTCCATCCGAAGAGCAGGTCTACGCCAGCCAAGGAAGTATGTGTTGCTTCTTCTTCCAGGCTTCACAAATCGAACAACGAAGGACGGCGGACATGAAAATGTCTTGAGAATTGACTACAAAGCCCGCCATTGTGGATTAGTATACGCGGGCAGCTGGAAGATGTGAATAGTGCTCCTGTGTGTCCACAATGTGTATGTGTGTTCTCTGGATTTTCATCAATTCTCTCATTGGTCACTTCTGGACGACTGGGGTGTGGATGCAGTGAACAGTCGACCGACTGGTGCTCAAAGGCCACCTAGAACTGGGCCCTTTTTTTGGTCTCAGGGTGACAGGCGACAGGTAATTGAATCATGGTTTCCAGATTGCGGCCCAAGACTGTTATCCTGAGATAGTAGAGATTTGCAGTTGTTGAAAATGAGGCTTGAACTGCCATGGCATCTCCAACGCTCGTCTGCCGCCACCATCCGCTCTCATTCGCCCCCCAAAGACTTGACAGAGATACAGGGCACACACCAACATCCGAGGATCCCGATACAGCGGTCTGAGGCTGTCGACCAGGCTTGGGAGTGTTAGACCACAATCGCATGTTACTGCTGTCATGCACGTCAAAGACTCCCCGGGAGGGCAGTGAGGAGACGCAGATGCCTGTAGCAGGATGGGAGACGGGACGGATTTGAAAGCAGTTGGATCACAAAACGCTCCATGGCTCCGTGGCCGGCCGCACTGCAGCGGAAACGGAGTGCGATCGAGAGACACACTGCGTATCTCCTCTTTGCCAAACCGCTGTCATCCCTGTTGGCAACCTGCCGAATCTGTCAATTCTGTCAATTCTCAGACTCTTATCTCCTCGCACTTGTCAGGAGAAACAAGCGGCGCTGGAGGAGAAAGCGGTGTACAGGGACAGAGGAGGCAGAGATCTGCAAGGTTGAACAGGCCACAACTGTCGGACACAGTGGCTGTCCAAGATGCGTGATTCACGTACACATACGTTGCGCTGCGCCGCCACCATCGCTGGCCTTCAGCAGAGCTCGACTTCCCTGACAGCGGCAGCAAGAGACGGCTTGTTTGTCAACCTGTGGTTGGTGAACCATTCATTTGCTAGCGTTGTGCAACGTTTCCATATCCAATCAGTGCCAAAAATTTTGAACCATCAACAGACGATCCAACCCGCGGTGTGACGGGTGTCCACCCACGTCTCTAGAATCGAGGTCGCCAACATCATGCGGAATCCTTGCAATACCTATTGTGACGTTGGAAATGCCGATATTGTTTCTCAGATGTGCTCAATCCCATGGTGGTCAACATTACAGAACACCCAATTAGTCGCAAAACCTGGTGGCTAAAGCCCGAAATCAACAAAGTCAAAGGATTGGCAGGATCTGGTGCATACGCGTACGAGTAACTGGACGCCTTTGGACGATCTCCGTAGATGGGTCGCGTCTTACTTGGGGCCAGATGCACTTGGAAACCACAGCTAGACTGAATCGACCTTCTCCCGCGTCCTAAATGGCGAGGAGGGGTCGTTGAAGGTTTCTCGGGGCTGACTGCGCTGCCTCTGCACGCAGCGACACACATGTCACCTTGCTTGTAATGGAAACCCAAAAACACCCACGGTTTTTTGGCAAGCTCATCACCCACTCCACTCTTCGATAGGCATTGAAAACTCCAAAGCTCGTGGAGCACCTAGCTTCAAACACAGGGCGAAGGACGTGCGTCATAGTAGTGTTCCCTCCAAAGTTACCAGAGCATTTTCATCACATCGACTTGCACTTTTGCCTGGAATCACCACGGCGTGGGTGAGAGCCCGTAGAATTCGGATTGCTTTTCGTCATTGGCCATATTGTGATCTGGTTGTGCTGATGGCCGGTGTCCGACTCCTCGCTTGGATAGGTAAGTCGAGACTCTGGGGAGCCAATTACTGAACAATGCTCGTCAGTAAGATGCAGAGCTCCTGCGCGACCGTTGAGAAATAGCTGCATATCCACTGTGACTAAGAAGACATCACAGTCGCCAGCCACCCAATCAAAAAGAGCGCAGACTAAGGGGTTAGGATGCGGAATGATGCGGACGATGTGGTTCACATGCCCAGTTTCGCTCCCTTTTCCCCTTGTTGAGGAGTGCGGCATCAGCAAAGATCAGCTGTGCAACCATCGGTTGCACGTACTCCGCAGCGACCACGAAAAGGAGGAGTCGAGCGATCCTACACCCCTTTAGGCACATGGTCTGGACAGTGGTGGCTGGCGCTAAGACATGCAGGAGATCGTTGATCGCTCCAGGGAAGGGGGGCAACCGATACCCAGATTCAGAGTCTGAGTGCAAAAAGTCGTTGGTAAGTGGCCAGTAGCGAGGCGCCCAACATTTCTCCATCGTGGAACAGGCAAGAGACCCTGAGCGCTTTGCACTCTGAACGCGGATTGGGCAAGATGCTCACCTCCTAGTTGGTACCAAGTACTTCGTATTCTGGATGGGAGCTGAAAAGAGGCGAAACAGCCTGACAGTGCTGCTGAATCACGAGGGTTGTGAAGGGGTGGGGAATGCCTTACAAAAAGCCTTTCAATCTGATCGTGATCTGAACGGGTTGGACTTTACCCGCCACGTGGTGGCGTCCTGCCATTTGCAACAATGCAAGCAATATCCACCTTGCTCATTGACATCTGTTCACTACATTTGGCATCACACAACAGCCGCGTGCGTGAAAGGGGACAAAATCAGTACCGGGAGCAGGAGTCTTCGAAAACCACGAAAGACAAAGTTCTCAGTGGAAGTCTACTTTGTCAGGCTCCGAGGGCGGTCGCTGGTGGAGGCCTGGGGGGGCTTTTCCTGAACAAGATCGCTGCCGGAAATGTGAATGCAAGGAAATATTAATACGAGGATGCATTGTAGGTCGTCGTGGCGTCGGCCAACCTCACAGTCAAGTGGTCCCTGGCAACGAGGCCGACGGGGAGTCTTGCCCCAAGTGTGGTCTGATGTGGATGAGACTCTGGGTGAACGATCGGCAAGCTCTCCCTCATCGGTACCCAGCTCCAGCTCGCCAGGTAGTGTAGCAGTGCTGGCCCTTGAAGATGGCCGCAAATGTGACTGGCGGGTGTCACTGCGGCACCACCATCCCTCCCCCAAACCATCCTCTGACTGGTAGATCCGAGTCCGAGTCAAGAGGGGACTGACTCTCTGAGGGATATTCCGGAGGCGTAAAGAAGTCAAGAGAAATGCCACGATTTCAAAGCGTGATGCTCGCTCAACGGCACATCGACACCAGGACGCTTCCACTAGCCAGTTATGGGCGCAAGATGTCCATTTCAGGGAAAGGTTGCACAACATCTGGGAGAAGGGCGGCTTGCTGCATCACATGCTCGATCCGGGCAACTGGAATGTTAAGCCGTGGATTCTTGACATCTGTCAAGACTCAAGACACGACTTTGTAGCTCCATCGTAGACTGGGGGCTAGAGCCGTAATAGGTCGATATTAAAACTCTGACAGTTCAAGCTCGATGCGAGGCAGCCACATGGTTTCCAGAGCGCCGCCCTGATTTGCCCCCGCAGGCCGGAGATGCATCAACTGCCATTGTTCGAAGCTCACCGCCTTCGACCAGGAAAGCCACGGCGGGAAGGGGGCGCCGAAAGACTTCTGCTCAAAGTGGCAGTTGACACGCCAGATCAATCTCTATGTACGTACGAGTACAGGGTACGAACAGCATGGTCAGTACTCAGGAGGCAAACTCGCCAACGCCTAAGAATAACCGGCATGAATTTGGCGGAGAGACCCAGATAGCCGAGTGCGACGGGGGAATCTAGGGGTTTCCGTAAGCCGAAATGGGATCGGATACCACTTGCTGGAAACCTAGCTGCTGCTACGGAGCAGATACCTGCCCGTCCAGAGGGAACCCAGAAGGAAAAAGAAAGTTCATACAAAGACGGCCACAAATCAATAGTGGCGAATCGATGCAACGATGGTATACATCAATGACGCCGGCACCACCGGGGGTGAGGGATCAGAAGGCTCTGATACGTCGAGATGGATCGATCTGAAAGCGCTCCCCGATTTGATTCGATAAGCTCTCGGATTCCACGTGTAGATGATGGGCGACGTTGGCTCCGAGTTGGGCTCAAATTTGGCTTAGAATTGGCCCGGAGTCCATTTCCACCTGCTTGACCCAACACCTCCGGCCTTACTGCTCCCTTTGTCAGATGTCATCGTAGCCTAGACATTCCTAGCTTTTGCGCCGAAGTCTATGTTGCCTAAAATCCGCGATTCATTGGTAGAGGTGCTCGTAGGGATCATGTCAATGCTGAACTTTAAGGGTCAACATTCCGCGAGGTGTGTTGGATGCAGGAGAATCAGACGACAGCCCGAGACTGGCTTTCTTTTGGCATGTTCATCTCGCCGCGAGACCGAACGCTGGAGGCGTGGCCGTTAGTGTTCTGGCGAAGCTCAAAAGAAATTGAATGGACTTGCTGGCACTTGGTAAAGCATTGACGGCGTAGAGCTCCTGACAAAGGTTTTCCGATGGCGCCAGAGGCGTCTCGCTTAGCTGGGGACCAGGGCGGTGGAGTGGTTTTTGCTGCAAGTTCGAGGGAGCGCGAAGGAGGTTCAGCCAGATACGAGCAGGTCATGGGGGGGAACGAGCGTCGAAGCGATGGGCAAGGGCCCGGCGAGCAATAGGCGAGACGATTTGGGCATGGTAGGAGGCGGCAAATTGGTCTCAGAGATCCAAGTTCAGTGAGCGAGGGGGCCAGTGAGCGGGTGAACCACGAGTCGACAAATCCAGGCTTGACTAGACTCCAAATTGGATTTCTTAACTCTTGTTACACAGCATGACAAGAAATGCGTGAACAGTCCCAAAGGAACCGGGCGGCAACTGACCCAGGGACTGCGAAGTACGGCCAGTGGGTAGCCATTGGTGAGTGCGGTGTTACATCTCCACTCGACTAGAATAATTGCTCGAGCTGTGCAGGTACGGCGGCAATCGGCAAGTCTCAACCCTCGACTGAAGGTGCACGTCTCAAGATTCTAGGGCGGGGGAGGCAAGGGAAAAAGGGCGTGAACGAGGGAAGGGCACCGGAAAGACAGCCCAGCCCAGCCCAGCACAGGTTATGGTCAAACATGCGGAAGCGAGAAAGCAGATCTCTGGAGGCTGCCCAAACATAGGTGACTGCAGAGTGCTTTACCGAGTCCCTCGTACATGCCCGCTAAATACTACTGCTAGGCATCTACCTAGGTGTACCGAGTCGATACGCATAGGGGGCCGTATATGCCTACTAGGTACCTGGTGCGCAAGTCTTGCGGTAAGTGCATAAATCTACAGAAGCCAGGTATTCTATCAGTACCTAAGGTAGCAGGTAAGGGTACCTATAAGCAAGCAAGCAAGCAGGCAAGTAAACGAGGGATGACCTGAAAGGAAGTAGGGTCCCTAACGGCGGCCGGGGGGTGTTGCGACTCCTCCAATGCCCCAAAACAGTTGCACCATCATGATTCTTCCAGGGCCCCTGTTCTCTCCCTCTCTTTCGCCCCTCCCTCGCTCTCCCTTCCCTTCTCTTTTTTGGTGGGTGAGTCCTTGGGCCCCAAACCGCCCATTCCTTAGCCGGCCTTTCTCTCTCCTCCCCCCCGCTTTTTCTCTGCCTCTGGCTGCAATCCAGCAACTTCGCAACTCCGACCATTCCCCCCCCAACATCCCGGTCCAAGCATCGTAGGCCGAGACCATCGCGCAGGAAATCGTTCCATGATCATCGGCCAGACAAGGCTCGCCCCTGTCAGCAAGCTATCAGTCTATCGCTGAGAGAAAAGAGCCACCGTCGTCCTCCATCCTCCCCTGGTCTGCCGGTAGCTTGGTCAGGTCAAAGGAAGGTCAGACTTTACCCAAAACACCATCTGCCTTGGAGGGCGTCACCAAACGTCAACCCACTTACGACGTATTTTTGATTCCCTGGCGCAGCCACCCAGCAGCTCGCAAGCCCACCAGCCCACAAAGGGCCCCCAGGGTGCTAACTGGCTGACTTTTTCTTTCTGGGTCAGACTTCCAGAGAGAACCAGCACCCACACAGTGACAGGGGGTCCAACCCTCTCATCGACTCGGCCTGTGACTCGCCAAGGTTCACCAAGCCCACTTTTTGGCTTTTGCACACCTGCACCTGGACATCCGGATTCAAGGTTCCCACCTGCCCTCCGGCCCATGCTTAGCGCGATCTCTCGATCTTTCTCCGCCCATCTCGCTCTCTAAGACTTGCTCATCTTCATTCTTTCACCATCGTGCCAACCTTCGAACCCGAAATCCGTCAAAATCCCCTCCATCGCCACGATCGATTTCCTAGCACACTGCACATGCGCCTTCTCCTCTTCTGAAGTCCTTTGTTACATCTCTTGTCCTTGCACATTGTCGCTCGACATCCTTTCGACAACGCCTTGCCCACCACAAGGCCAGCCAGGTATCGAGCACATCTGCACTTGTCGACAGCGATCCGTGGAGAGACTGCGCAGTCTGACCTTTTCATCCCACCAAATCAAGGAGTCGGATTTCTCCTTTGGTCGTCTTTGGTGCTGGTCTTGAGCCCTCAACAAGTCAAATATCAGGAGTGCCGGTCAATACGGCTCCTTGCACTGTTCATACCCATCTCGTTGGTGCAACGACAACAGGACGGGGCCTAGGCTTTGCGTCACGTTGGAGCGGGCGGTCTTGCAACTTCGTGCGGAAAGGTACATTGGAAGCAAAACATTTTCCTTTCCGCGGTCTGGCCTCATGATCCATCGTGCTATCCTCAAACAATAGAATAATCATCATTGTTGGAAGGAGATTATATCTACTCGTCTACCATCACAATGGCAACAATAGAAGCCGCCCCTCGACCCAGGTAATGTCTTACCCTCTACAAACAGACCTGAGTTGCTGATGCGTATATCAGAGACACTTTGCCATCCATAAGTCATCTCGACCTTGACACCATCAGATCCGAGAGGAACGACCTTTCGAGGTATTCCATCGGTAGCGGTCTGAGCATCAGCACGGCACCCTTGGCCAGTCCCACGGCATCCATGTACTCGGGCCAGCCTCAGCCGTACTCATGTGCACCGTCAACAGCAGGCTCTGTCACTGGTGTGTCGGGTTACATATCCCCTCCCGAGTCCACCACTCGACGTTCGACCAGGGACGAGAAGGAGTCGCCTGATCTTCGCAAATCTCTGCCTTCCATTCATGAGGCTCTAGGAGACAAGTCAATGCCCTTCTCAGGCTCGTCCCAGCATCAATTGCCCACGCCTTCGGCAGCCGTTGGCCCATCGTTCTCGGATGGCCCCAAGGGTCCTGTGAATCCCTTTTCTCAGCCGGCACCCTCTGTGCCTGCCTTACGAGATGTATTCTCGGCGCCTCAAATGACCGCATCGACTCCAACCGAACCGCAGACCGCGAAGCCGCCTTTCCCTCCGCCATCCGTGCCGGCACCCGATCCTCGTCAACCAGTCTCTCAGACCTTTGGCTACCCAGGCTCTCCCAGTTCTCAGCAACCGTCAAATTTTCGTTCGGCCTCTTTGGCGAATACCACGTTCACAAACCATAATGAGGCTGCCACAGGCCGATCTCCTCAGACTTACGAGCCGCCGAGGCAGCAACAAGCTTTCCCACCATTCAGTAATCCCACCTCCTCAAATGCACTCACTTCTACCAACGAGGTCTTCCAATTCACCGCAGGCTCGAAACCCGCGAACGAGGTACCGTACAATGAGGCTGTCAAACGACATTTGGAGGTATTTGACGCCGAGTTGGGGATCAATGAAGTATGTTCCCTCCGCATTTTTGACGAGTGATGTGGCATTGACTATTTCTTTAGATTGGCGAAGCCAGCCTTCGTACGCTGGAGTTTTGCCGGACATGGGGTCCACGTATTCACCAGGGAAGCCGATCGGGCTACGTGCAAGAGAATCTCCCTCCAGGAGCGGAGCTAGATGACCTGCTCCGTCAAACCCACCGCACGTACGAGCTCTTCAGTTACCTGCGAGAAATGGTAGTCGCTCAAGAGAATGCGAAGGCAGAGCAAGCCCGACTTGCTCGGGGCGCTCAGGCGGAAGAAGAGTACCAAGGAACTTCGGACGAATACAAAAATGGGGGTTATTCAGGAGGCGATGCGAAGAAGCGACGTGGAGTCAGTATGCTATGAGCGATTGCGTTGCTTTAGCTAACATATCCACAGAAAGCCGCGCCGCCTGGCCGATGTCACAGCTGCAACCGTGCCGAGACGCCCGAATGGCGAAGAGGTCCAGACGGGGCTCGCACTTTGTGCAATGCATGTGGCCTTCACTATGCCAAGTTAACACGAAAGTTGGGTGTCAACAAAGCGGCAGCTATGACTGGAGCAAACCTCCGCCCCAAAAATGCCGATTCCACGAGGCCGTAGAGGGTGCCGGCTTCCAACATGGAGGCGGCGGCTCGGAGGCAGAAGATGGATAATGGCTACGAATCTACTTGTTGACACATGCAAAATCTCTTTTAGGAGACACGTTTACGACTATGTGGTTGAATGCTCGGGCACTTTTTACGACGAAACCTTGGAAGGAGTTTTAGCGGCGTCTTCGGTTTTGATTTCAACGATGCCGACCAGTACACAAACATTGGACCAGTTTATGGAAAGGATGTGTTTGCTCAAGGGACTGTACAGATGAAGCTCGGAGTCGTGGAACGACCAAAAAGCAACTTTGGGGGAAAAGACGGCGTCATTTTGTACAGTCTTTGTGCCTTATTAGAGGCATCATGGGGAGCATGGGCGAAAGCGTCGTCCGGAGGGGTCCGTGTGGGCTTGTTCTCTCTGATACCCCGACCAAGGCCTTATTAGAGGCACGCGGAGCATTGTGGCTCCTGGAAATATGTTTTACGATATTGTTATTGCTTAGTGACAGGCGGCATTCCGATGGGATGGTTGCTGGATGGGTGGGTGATGGATCAGAATAGTTAAGCGGAGAATGGATCTGGGGGTTCGAATTGCGCCTGTTTTGAGGTTTGGCTTGACACTCCGGACGAAGGAAGACAATGCAGACGGAGAGAAAACGAGCTGATCCTCAAGCAGGTGTATCGTTTCCCTCTTCTGCCTCTGTTCAACTTTTGGTTCTTCCGGGTCGCAGCGACTGCAGGGAAGGTTTCTCAAGGGACCAGCAGTATTACACAGGAAGGAATATTCAAGCAAAGGTCGCAGTTACAAAAAACAACAGAGACTATTCACAATACCATGGCAGCAGCCAAATACTGGATTCGGCTTGAGGGCTCCTAATTTGTCGCGTTTTGCTTGCCTCCCGTTCCTTGCACAAGTCTTGAAGCTCATCCCCAAAGGTTGCTTGCCACAGGGCAAGTCATGGATCAGCCTTTCTGAGTCCTTGCGGCCTGTGATAACAGTGGGCACAGAGTATCTTCGTGAGCTTTGGTCGAGGCAGCCACAGAAACCCCTCAAACCCTCAAGGAAAAGAGGTCTCTGAGACGTCGGTGGTGTTGTTAATCATTCACGTGCATGATTCTGGGTATTGTCCCAAGGACTTTTTGTTGACTGCCGGCACTTTCCAAGCGACCAGGAGCCAGACGCCACCAGGACAACTGCCAGATCACTCGATCGAGATCTACCGCTAAGGGGGCCAGACACCTTTTTTGCTGGCACCGAAATCCACCTCCTTCCCAGACCTGGTTAGGAGGGTGAACAGAGAGACTCCCCGTTCGTTTCAAAGTAATGGCACCAATGGAGTGAATTTCTCGCACTGGGAGGGGGGCAAAAAGCTGAGCGAGGGAAACTCGAGTCAGCACCACCTCGCCAGAGGTCACACCACCTTATGGGCCCGCCAAACCAATCGAGGGTGCAATACAGTCAAAAGCCCAGCAGACCAGCACAAACCAGCACAAGCCAACAAGCCACCCCGGGCACAGGCTTCGGAGAAATCTTGTCCTGGAGTCTAGTGTCGACCTAGGTAGGTTGTTAGCTTTCAAGTTGGCTGGCGAGAGACAAGGCACGCACACTAAGATACTCGAACATGCAGTCTGGACGGGGTTTGAGCTGCGAGAGACCGTTTTGGGCGATTGCTCCTCGCGTCGCCCAACATCAACTGCCCACTTACTTTGTCCGGGGGGCTTTGTTTCGGACCTGGCCTTTTTGAGCCCAAATGGAGTCACGCTTCTCGCTAGTATCCAGGTTTTGAGAAGTTGCGACAGGATTTGACGGTTTATGATCGACATGTGCTATGGGATAGTCGCATAGGTAGTCCTTGTCTACCTAAGTACAGCGACCCAAGGCGCCCCGAGGTCAAGGACACTCCAGTGGCCCACGGGACGAGTAATCGACTTCGCACCCCTACATCGCCAACCCAGGATCGGCGCTTGCTCTGCCCCCGCTTACCCTGTGTCTGATCTGCAAGCCATCTGCCCTTAAACTTTGGCCTGTGCATGATCCATGCCATCGGCCAGCGTTTCAGTTGGTTGGCCCGGAGGCACATCACGCAAAACAATGGTTATCAAGAGGCTTCGCATGGGGTTACGACGGAACACTTCGGGACTGGGCAACTACTTGACATGACCTGAGCCGTGGTTACTGGTCACCGGCAGGGTGGCTGCGCTGTGTTTCGCTATGCGATTGGCTTTCTCCAGAGCAGGCAGCGAAAGAAGCGTTTCAGGAAGAGACCGACCCGAGACCAAGGGAAGCACAATACGCGGTAGACGGGCGATTGATGCCACCACTTCGCCATCGACTTTCCCGTTTGCTATGGGCTAACAGACGAACAGCAGCCGTCAGCAGAGCGCCTGGGATTGATCGTGCGTCTACCTAAAACAAGCAAATGGGTAGATCCCTCGAATGTCTCTATAGCACCCCAATCTCCTTGCTGATCTGCTGAGATGGTGACCACAGAGTGGACGGCGAGATCTTCCGGAGTAGTCCGCTACATCTGCATCTCCCCCAGGTAAGATCCCAGATCCGGCCATCCAGGAAGACTGGGAGGAAAAAGTCCAGATGTCACAGATTGTTGGCGAGCAGATCACGATGCCCAACCTCAAGTCCGAGCATCCGAGTCGAGGCCGAAGGGTTGCGTCCAGGGTGGAGAACTGGGGGCTGGTTTCTATGAGTAAAGTTCTGAAGCATTATTCACTCGTCCTGCAGGGTCGGAATAAACGGCCGCTCTCTGTTGCCATTGTGCTCTGACCTGTTTGTGTGTTGTGGCTCCGTCCTGCTCCGTACTACTACCTAGGTACTGGTACTACTGCGAGCTGGATGATTGAGAGCCGGGATTACAGAGTGGAAAGTGGAAAGGCGTCGATGGAAGTGGCTCCCAACCTCCTTCGTCCGTTTTGCCCCAGTTGCAGGGCGCCTTCCTCCTCTGGCTCCTCTGGCTCCTCCCCACCTTCCACCCATGCCCATATTACGTCAGAGGCTTCAGGCTCATCAGAACTTCAGAAGTGGCCAGCCAAGCCTTGGTAATCCCAGGTGCCCAGTGCCCACTGTCCAGGGCTTGTGGAAATAGGCATCTACAAACACTTCTCACCTCACCAACCCACTCCCCCAAAGAAGAACAAGTGCCAGACCTCAAGTTGATCTCGCATCCAAAGAATGTTTGTTGTTGTCGTTGGTTTTGTTGCAAAGATCAGACAGTGCCACTTCAATCACTAGATAGCCCGACCACTGAAGCGCGCTCCTACGCCGTTCCTTCAAGGTTCGTATACTCTTACGAGTCTTGTGCATCATCCTCCATCCGGGCCGCGGACCAGCGTGGTCATGGTCACACTTCCATCATCATCGAACTTCACACCTTTGTGGCGTGGCCTGGACCAGTCGATGGATCCTTCCAGACGCCGCCAACGCCAAACTTCATCTGGCTGCAAACGGTCGATGCCAACCGCCCCCGGGCCCAAGCGGCCAAAGTCACAACGGTTGATCACCCTTTTAAGCGGCCCCTGTCGCACCTACGTGAATTTCCCCCCTCCACTGGGGCCTCTAGCCCGCACCCAGCCCCCTGGTCCTGGTTCTCTTGCAGTTGGCCAGCTACCTATTACTTATTGCGGGAGACCTCCAATGATTGCTCGTCCAAGTCTCTTGGCCCGCGATCGGAGGCTCTAGCAGCGCCGTGGTCTTTTCTTAGCTCCACTCTTCATCACCGTTTCAACAGGGTCATACTTGTAAAGATGAATCCCAAATCAAACCTGTTCGTGCACCAAGGGATATACAATATCAACATTCCAGCACCAAGGCGTCCTCGTACAAGCGAAAAACCTGAAGTGATATCCTGCCTCGCATCGTCACTCTTGTCACAGCGCAGGAACGACTCAGGCCACTGTGGCTCCACACGCCGGGAAACATCACTCGTACTTGGTGTGGAGACACCGCAGGTGTCCCCGAAACCGGGTCTTTTTATCTCTTGTCCAGATCTAGCCCTGTACCTAGGCGCGTCGTTGATTGAGAATCTCCTGGCCGTTAACCGGACCGGACGGACTCTTTGACAAGGTCCATGAGCGGCGTCCATCCTACGAGTTATGCTATCCCACTTCCCGCAGCCCTAAGAACAAAAGAGAAAGCCCCTCTGACGCCTGGGTGGCCCGGGTGTTCGCCTCCATGGCCACATCAACCTTATCCATCATTAGGTACCTAGGCATTCTTGCCTGATATCCGCTGCAGATCGATTCTGGCTAAGCGTGATCGAAGATCACTCTCCTCGACTTGCCTGCTCGATTCAACTTGTCGTCTACACGGCGCTGTGGCGCCATAACCGAGATGAGATACGGCGCACCGCATGAAGCGATATGTCCGATGTCTCAAAGCTGACATAGGTATAATCATCAACCGCGACACAGGAGTCAAGACTGTTCTTAGTTGATGCTCTTTATCACTCGGCCACCAGGTTTTGATCATTCAGCTGCGCCGCGATTGTACGCGTGGACGTCGGACCGGAGAAGCCTGAAACTCCAGCACAACGGTAGACTCGTTTCAGTGTCTCCCTGGGGCTGGAATGGTCTTTTTCTGGGACTTGCGACCAACCTCAGTTGACCAATTTTACCTGGGCTTGAGTCTTCAGAGGCCGTATCTGAGATCTATGTGACTTCCTCGCAGCTAGCGAATCGAAAAGTACCGACCCTGTCCCTAAAACATCACCCGTGTAAAGCCGTCAGTCTATTCATTTTCCATTGGGATGCCGCGGGCTGTGCAGCCCTGTACTTGCAGCATCGGCATTGAGAGTAGACTTGACTTCGGAACATGGGTAGTCGTCGTTTCGACTCCTGCGCAGTCTTTCTGGGTTTCCTTGAAGAGGCCACTTCTCAAAATCCAGATGATCTACCGGGATCGTTGCCTCGACTCGTTTCTATTGTTGGAAATACACTTCTCTAGTGCTGGCAGCGCGTCCATGTGCTTTCCGAAGAGTGTCTCTACACCGTCTCAGTGCGAAGATTATGTTTGTCGCTGAGGACATCCACCCGATTAGAGGTGCTGAAACCTCATCGACAGGTTAGTCATTAGGCCCATGAATGAGTATTGCTTACGCATCTGCGCTGCATCCGATGGCGATGCCGGGCCTCAGCAGATCTTGCTGTTTGGACATTGAGCTGAACCCATGGATGGGGGCCAGTTGAGCCGCTTTGACTTGGACCGTTTATTGCCTGGAACACGGGCCCCAGAGGGTGAAGCTTGTGAGTCAATCGCTGTCCGCTCATTTCTGATTTCGGACGACGTTGGTTCTTTCAGGGCCGAAAGTGATCGTCAAAGTAATATTTTGAAGCAGGAGGACCAATACGGGAGAGTGTGTATTGGCGATCACATTAGGGTCCAACGCTGACATGAATATTTCCACCACTGGCCACCTCTGCGTTGATCATCAAGACATTTCGCAACCTGGATTCTACTTGGAATGGCTCCGCTCCAAGAACTAATTCGCGTGTCCTTCGAGGTCAGGTTATGACTCAACCTTCCGATGTGGCAGCCTTGGATGGGAGCAGCGCAGATGCGAGGCCGCTGTCGCCCTTGTGCAGGTGGCATAGCACAGCATTCACCGCATCACAGAAGAGCGATAGAGAAGAAGACATCTTAGACGCTGTTGTCCAGCGATCTTGGTGGCATTCTGGTCGGTGTCACGCCTTCTTTTGTCAGCCCCTCCCCGTTCCAACCAACTGGCTCAGCGTGCGCTGAGGTTATGTAGCCCTTGTATGTCACGAATGGGTGCAAACAGATGCAAAAATGCAGGCCGGCACTTGGGTCCCTTCTGCACCGAGAGCGTTGTCCAAATACTGAGTGAGCCTGACTTCAATTTCGACTCACGTTGCTGGCGACCATCAGAATCTCTTTAGCCGGGATCGCTCAATGCCACTGGTTGGACTGGCCCGCAAAGCCCAGCTGAAGAGTCCCCACCGTTTTCGGCGTGCCGTTTCGGTATTGTGCAATAAATGCTCATTTCTCCATTCCAATATGTTGTATCCATGGTAGGAGTGCATGCGCTCAGCGAAGGAGACTGCTAACCGATTAGAAGGTTCACGTCCTCGAGAAGACACTGTACTGGCATGTATATAGCGCACAGTCACAAAGTAAAGTCACCAACAACCCGAGCAATCGACGTGGGTCAAGCGGAGGCTCGACGTGCGCTCGTGTTGCTTGGAGAGTTTTTGACCGGCGGACGTTGAGGACCTAAGGAATTAAGTCGGGAGGCGTAATCCACGCCTCATGAGATGTAGTGTCGGTCCAGACTGTCTCGCTGCAGACGGAATGTCATGTCGGCCCATCAACAGCCACGCGTCGATCGGAGCTGGCACTCGTTCTGCCGGGGTCAAAACTCTGCTGCGGTTACAGAACATGGCAGACGCTTTGGTACCAGCAACCGTTGCTTTGCGTCTTGCCACAACCATACCCTTGATCAGAAAGCTGCGTTGCTCGGCATGTGTTACTCACAAGCTTGACCCAGGAGCTGTGAATTCATTCTTCTTGCTTATGGATCCCATCTGAATGCATCAGGGCTGGAAATACCCGGAAGGTGACGAGAGGCTGCGCCTCTTTGCAAGTCAAGATGCTTTTCAGCAGTGAAGTCTGGACAATATATCCATTTTTGAAGCTTGGGAGACTCTTGAAGGCGAATGCTGCTCCATTGCAGGGCTTGTTGCTGGCAATTGGTCTAGCACGGGCTTATAATCAGCTAACAGTTCAATGTAGCGATGTCGGAACTACGTAGTATGGTGCCTGTTATATGAATGTCGAATGCTTTATTCTGGTTTGGGGCACCTACAACCAGAGGCGGAGGATGTCTGGCTTGGCCCGTAGCTTCATTGAAGCACTCATCGCCCTTTTCATTGAGTACATGAAGCTGACCTTTCGTTTAAAGGGGCAGCAGCAGCAAGAGGCTCGGTGGTAGCCTCGTATAACGAGTAGAGCTGAGAGCCTGTGCTACTGCTTGGCACGGCAGATCCAAGAGGGGACGCCGGATCCGACAAGACCAGGAGTGCCGGGGTCGCTGCTATCAACTGTCCCTGGGAGTGAGTCATCCATAGGATCCTGCTGTCGTTCTGTCTCTTCTTTTCACCCGATGGTGACGACCCGAAGGGGTACTGTGTCCATCACCTGTAATACAAAAGGGGGGGATTACTCATCTGGCCAGCTAAAAGGAACCACAAGTCGAGCCGCACCTCTGTGTTGTCCGTAAAGCATGGAGCAGGAAGTCAACAAGATGGCCACGACAAGTGAGAAGATGGAAGCATCGGCAGTCACCGTCAACAGCGCGTCGGCCACGTCTCTCGTAGACCTCAAGGGCAGGTCTGCGGTGCCAATGCAGTCGCTACCTCCAACCACGGCGTCGCAGTCCCCAGAATACTGCCATCGGCTGGCCGACATCTCGTCACGGGCCACAGTCAGCGAGCCGCTGAACATTGTCTTCCAACAAGAAAAGACCGGCAGGGCCACGGCCGTGACGCCAGAACTCCTCTACACGGGCGCCAAAGGGCGGATCGAAACCAAGGTGGCCGCTGGGGCGTGGGTCGTCGAGGCAGCCAACTTTGCGGCAGTGGCATGCTGGGAGCCGCCATCGTCCAACGTGCCACCCTTTACAGAGGCCCAGTTTGCGGAGATGGCACGGGAGAGGCCCGTCTTTGCACAGTTTGCCCGAGACATCCAAGCGGCGAGGCTGGCTAGTCTGGGGCCCGATCAGCCATATTGGACGCTTTCGCTGATGGCGCGGGATCCCCAGCGCAAAGACAAGGGCGCCGTGCGAGCTGTCATTGAGCCATACATCAAACGAGCCAAGGAGGAGAAGTTGCCGCTTTGGCTGGTGGCAGGGAATACGAGGGCCAGGGATATCTATGCGTATTTTGGCTTCCGCGTGGTTAAGCTCATCTGGTCGTATCCTAGGGACAGGAAAGAGGGCGACGAAGGCGTGCCCACATGGTGTATGGTCTGCAACTGGCCGGTAGAATAGACTTGTATCCAGGACCTGAGTTGATTGCTAACAGCCATGTGTATGTATCTGTGCATCCTGATGCAGGAGAGTGAGTGGCTCAGCAAGAGGGTGTGAATAGAAGGGCAACTAAAAGGGCATGGGTTTTCTCGCGAGTGATTGATTACTAGACGCCCGTGACGCCCTGGGTGTTGACTGTGGGTGGCTTGTGTTTCCAATAACAAAATAGTCCAGCGCATTGCATTGTGCGGGGTGCATGATTCCTCCCTCCGCCTTGTCATCCGCTGCCACTGCCATTGCCACTGCCACCCAACCACCAAAAGCACCGACCATCTCATCTCATCCACTCATCCACTCATCCACCCTATTACCACTACACGTAATTCCCTATTCAGCACCTCCAGAACCTCCAGCACCTTGCGGTTTCCCCTTTGATCGGCCGGAGCGAGTCCCTAAGAGCTGTCAAGTTGCTCCTCTCCATCTCTGCCGCCCTCTCCAGGATATGCACAAGCCACTTCCCAAGTGAAAAGCCTTCGACTCTCTTGAAACGCCCACCGTCAGTATCTATCAGCCACGCACCGGCCTCGCGCGTCGTCTGACATCTCGCCCGTCAATCAGCTCGTGGTGCTTGTGCGCAGAATTTGCATCGTTGCTGGTTGGCACGCCCCAAGACTTGACATCTAGACGTACCGAGTACAATGTGTGCTCTCTCCTAGCCTCAACGTCCTAGCAAGGTTTGCCATGAGTTTGGAACCAGGAGAAGCCTCGACCGCCAGTGGTTCCAATGCCACCGACCGCGTTGTCAAGAAGAGAGCTTCGCAAGCCTGTCATCACTGCAGGACTCGCAAGGTGAAGTGCGACCTGGTCAAATCGGGTGTTCCTTGCCACAACTGCTCCTCGGACGGCATCGAGTGTGTCATCCTCGAATCGAGACGGAGCAGGAAGTATCGTCTGCAGAAGCGCCAGTCGAATCGCCCCGTTGCCCTTCCGGCGATTTCCCAGGCGCAGCCAAAGACCGCTTTAGAGCAATTCCCCAATGGTTCCAACGATGCAGCTCCAGCAGCACTTGAACTCGCTGCCTCAGGCCAACCGAATCAAGGTAAGACCTCCCAGATGGTTGCACTGCCAGCAAACGCTTTAGTGACGCAAGAACTCCCTTAGTGCCTCCCCTCGTACCTAGCAACTTTCCGACCCCTCCTGTCGTCCCTCGAACCAACAGTTTGGGCCCGCCGAACTCGGCAGGTGCTGCTTCTAATGTATCCGTCGCCGGAGGTGTCGATGATCTGCCGCACTACATTCGCCCTTCTCGTCCCGAAATTCGGCAGGACGACTTGGAGTTCCTGCGTCGCCGGGGTGCGTTGAGCTTGCCCTTGGGTGAGCTTCATGATCAGCTAATTCGATCCTATGTGCTCTATGTCCACCCGTTCATGCCGATCGTGGACTTGGAAGACTTTCTGGGGGCTTTGGGCGGCAAATATGGCTCTCCGAAGATCAGCCTCGTCGTCTTTCAAGCCATACTGTTCTCCGGCACTGCCTTTGTCGAGTTGCCGCTCCTCCAAGAAGCAGGTTATGAAAGTCGGAGAGCTGCAAGAGCCGATTTCTACCAAAAGGTCAAGGTGAGCGGTTGAAACTCACGACTTTGCACAGTATTGTTGCTCTTCTAACTTATTCAGCTACTCTACGATTTTGACTGGGACGTAGATCGAATTGCATTAATCCAGTCATTGCTCCTTTTAAATTACTGGTATGTTTCCGAGAACGACCAAAAAGACCCCTGGCATTGGCTTGGAGTCTGCATTTCTCTTGCCACCAGCATCGGGCTGAATCAGCCCTTTACACATGCGCAGAAGGATCCGAAGACCAGCGCTTTGTGGAGACGAATATGGTGGAGTTGCGTGCACCGCGACAGAGTCATCTCGATCAGCATGCGAAGACCAATGCGAATCAAGGACGAAGACATTAGACTTCCACCGCTGAAAATGGACGATTTCGAAATCGAGCCTACGTCCTCGGCCATCTCATCACTCAAGGGCAATGCTTTTCTCACGGATAGACATGTGAGATCCATGTTGGCTGAGATGTATATCGCAAAGCTCAAACTGCTGCTCTTCATTGGACAGATCCTCCAACACTTCTACCACCTGCGCGGCTTTGGCGGCTCCACATCCGAATCCACCATGCTTTATACTCCCAAAAGATCCGAAGTCAACGGGAAGCAGTATCTCGACCTGCAACATGACCTTGACCAGTGGTACAGGGATCTTCCACCCAGTTGTTGGCTGGTCATGACCAACAGCAGTGGTGATCCCGATCCTTCCACTTCCGATTCTCTTTTGATGCACCGTTCAACATTGAGAATGCTCTATCTGATGGCGTCTGAAGCTCTCAATCGCCCTCAGTCATTGTCCAAGCGACCAAGTGGCACGGAGAATAGCCCAACATCCAAGGTCAAGGAAGCAGCCGAGAAGATCGCGGAAATGGTCGAAACTCTTCAAGAGCGAGACCTAATCAGATTTCTCCCGCCACTGTCGGTGAGTTTTATGCTGCTCGCCCTTGCTTCCTTCCTGGTGGATATCAAAGCGAAGGGTCAAAGTGTCGGAGCACTCCCAGGACACCAGTTTCATATTTGTATCCGAGCACTGCTGCGCCTGCGAGAAATCTGGCCGATTGCCGATGCTGCTTGCTTTTTGATCGGACAGATGATTACCAAGCATCAAGTCGGTAAGGTTTCGACGCCTGGCGTACAACCGGCACCCATCGAGCCAAGTGAAACTCCGTCAAGTCTTTGGCGCCCTCCTAACATACCCCGCGGACATCCAGCTGCGATCCCTCAGTTTGAGGAGATACCTGGAGCGGAGGTACCTTACAGTTCTACCAGTATAAGTGAGCCACAAACTTTCGAAACAACTCAACCCGGAGTGGTCCCCACCACGACACAGGGGTTCGTTATACCATATAATTGGTCAGAAGAGGACTTTGAAGGCGACTACGGGATCATGGTTGAGGCACACGCGTTGAACATGGATCTTGCCATGCCCGATGCTGAGGTTTTGGACTTCTTTGGCAACGGTACGTGGGACTTTGAGCCGTCACCGAACCATGATCAAGCTGGACAAGACGGCATGTCATATGCTTCGCGGCATCCATCACTCGCCGGCGAAGCTTGGATCCCACCTGTTGCCAATCAGTATATGGATGCTTTCCGTACGCCAAGGTCGATTTAGGGGTTTGTGATCGCAACTCGAATGATTTCAACGAATCTGAAAGTTATAACTATCGACTCACAGAGGCACTTACAAAAGCGGCGGGCTTGAAATGCGGCCCGCAAGGCATTTAAGGTATATACCTAGGTACACAGGATTGCACAAAAATTGCGTTGTCATCCAAAAGAAAAGAAACAATTAGGCCATTTCATTTTCTTGCACACATACATATAAATCTAAGATTACTATACAGCCACGCAACAATATTTCCAGTGCTGAGAATGTCGTTTTCGCTCAGGATACAGACAGGCGAGAGCGAGCTGGGCCTGGGGACGGTTTTACGGCTTGGACGAAAGGAGGGTGTCTTCTCTTCTCCTCTTGACTCGACCCAACTCGACTCGACTCGGCTTGCTTCATTTCCATACTTTTTGTATCACTCACTCATTGCCGCGGACGAACGGACAGAGAAGAAAAAATCCGAGTAAAGGAAAACTTTTGGATGCGCTTTCAGTCTAGTTTCTTTTTTTCCTTTTTTTTCTGACTCATTTTTCAATACAGTTGCTGTTTGGCTTTTGTATAAGAGGGTCAGTTATCGTCCGTCGTTTCCTTCGTACTCCCGTCGCCGCTGCGATAGTATCCCTTGAGGGCCTTGGGACTTGACTCTGCAACCAGCATGGGGGCGCGCGTCTTCCTTTTTGTAGCCCTGCTCGGCCCCGTCCGTCCTGTTTCTCCTTGCTCTCTCAACAGTGCAGAGAGAATGGTTAATGGCAGCTTCGGATCGCAGGAGCCAAGAAAAGGTTGGAAGTCACAGAGTATGGCATACTGCGAACCTGGTTGAGAAAGTGTATTGTAGCTTCGTTCCCTTCGGCGTCCAGCAGAGTCCAGCTCGCCCGAGGACCAATCGCCCCTAATCTCTGTCAACCTCTCCCCTCCCGATAATTGAGCACCCCACATTTCTATCACCATTTTGCTGGCTCACTATCTCGGACCCAACTTCTCGAGTATCCGAGGCCCTTGTTCCTCCCACTCCTGCTTGGAGATCCACATGTTCTCTTTGTCCGACATGATATTGGCCAAGACGGCGCCGCCCAAGAACACCATGTGTCTCCTCCTCGGGGGATCCTCGATCCGCACCTTGAATTTGTTGAGGCGTTCCGGATTGCCACCTAGCACGCGGGTGAGCCAGAGTTGCTTGAGTTCCTTCTCCAGGCGCGAGGGGAGGCCGGGATACATGCTACTGCCGCCGGAGAGCACAATCGCTTTATACAGGGAAGAGCGAACGTCCACGTCGGCAGCTTGGATGGTGTTGAACAGAAATTCGGCGATGCCGGGTTGTTCGACGTCGACCAGGTGCGGCTGGAAAAGGCACTCGGGGGCTTCGAAGCGTTCGCTGCCTACGCGGATCACGCGGCCGTCTGGTAATGTGTACGACTCGACCAGGACGGTGGTTTCTTCTGATAGACGTTGATCGAGTGTCAGGTCGTATGAGACGTAGCAGAGCTTCTCCTTGATTTGACGCACAGTTTCGAAGTCGGCGGTGCGATTTAGCGCATAGCCTCGTCGTAGAAGGAGGGCAATGAGGTTCCGGGTTACGTCACGGCCGGCGACGTCTAGGCGGCGAGTGAGATGGTTGAGGACTGTGGACTCGTATACGGGGACGATATGGGTGACGCCGTCGCCGGAATCGACGACCACGCCTGAGGAGAGGCCTTGTGCGTAGAGCGCCAACACAGCTTGGATGGCGACATAGACCCCGCCGAAGCCGTAACGCTCGAACATGACCTCGCACATCTGCTCCCTGTTCTTGAGCGGGTTCATTGGTGGTTCCGTCAACAGGATTTTGCGGCCCCGTGGGTCGACCTTTAATTTCTCGAAGAAGGTGAAGTCCCAGAGATGTTGCATGTCGTCCCATTTCTTGACGATGCCGTTTTCCATCTGTACCTCAGTTCATTCTTGGGGTCAGCCATCTTCCCGACTTTACCGGCGTGGAGCAGTCTTTTTTGTGCCTGGGGTCTTAGAGAAGGTCCTCACAGGATAGCTAATTTGTAGCATGGACCTTGCAGCGGCGGCCTCGTCTCCACACATAATGTCCTTGACCACGATATCTCCTGCCCGCTCTTCCGACCGCAGAATCGGGCGGCCGACGATGGAGGGGAACTGGTGTTCGGGGAAGTTCTGTCGTGAGGTGACTGGTTAGATTCCGGGTTCATCTGGAGGCAACGGTCAAGGGCATGGGCAAACGTACTTGAGCTGCATAGCCGACCTTGAGGAAACCGGTACCCCCATCGAGGACTATGGGTGCCTGTGTCAGCAGAGATCAATGCAATGTGGGCTGGCGAGGGGTCTTACCGATGGGTGGTTCGGCCATCTTGGGAGGAAGGGTTGAGGCCTGTGTGAGCTCACAGCTTCGGAGCTCACGGGATAGGAGGGGATCGAGGAAGCAGAGGCGGGCGAAACAGAGGTCGAAGATTAATGTAAACCCTGTGTGCACACTGCTACCAGCACGAGCGATCGACGTAGGCGCAATTGAGGTGAAGCGGCGGCATTGTGCTCGCAGCCTACCGTAATGCCAAGAGTTTCCTTAGTCAGCGGCACTACCCCTCCACGCCCTCCTACGTCCAAAAGGGGAGGCTGAGGCCAGGCGAGGCTGAACAGACAGCCTTCTTCGTTGCCTGTGAGTTTCCTGATTGAAGATCTACCGGCAATATCTAAGAGTTCGGTCCAGTGTACCGTCGAGCCGGGTCGAGAACCAAGTGACACAGTCTGACACAAATACACTCTGAATCCAACGGAGCTGAATAGTGCTCGACTGTACTCGGTAAGCGGGTGGGCGCACTCTCAGCATAGAGCTAATCGCGTAGACGAAGAATAGAATGCATCGATCTCTAAAAGCAGACAAGACACCCATTGATATCTCAACTTGGTTCGCCATCCTCGGACTCAGGCATGTGTAGCAGTCTCAGCCTGGTATGACGTAGATCATCATCTCCGCAATGGCCTCAAGTTCCCCAAGATTGACTGTGGGGTTAGCGACGTCCCGAGTTTCGGACAAGCACGCGAGGCGAAGCATCGAGCCATACCAATAGGTACCTTTGCGGGAAGTATGTGATGTCGTGCTCCTTTAGTCCGCGGCTTATCGTCTGCCACAACTTTTGCAACCCTCGGTAAGCTGGCATTGTGCACAGATAATACCTAAACAGCACACACTTATCTTCCCGGAGGGAAAGAAAAAAATCCCACCTCTGAGTCTACCGGGTGGCCTTCAGGAAGATATGGACTCCGCACCTAAACCTCAAGGCGGAAAGCTACACCTCCTTTTCGTCCGCCACGGCGAGACACAGGACAACATCGACCGAATCCTTCAAGGCCTGCGAGACACCAGCTTGACGGAGAAGGGCCACAGAGAAGCCCAAGTCCTCGCTGACAAGTTACGCGGACAAAAGATCGACGCTGTGTATCACTCGCCCCTGTTGCGAATGGTGCAGACGATTAAGCCCATCCTCGCAGACCGTCCCGGTGTCCAAGTCTATGCGGACCAGGATCTGACGGGACAGGCTCTCGGGGAGCTCGAGGGCCGCTCGTACGACACGATCGACATGGGCAACCCGCGGAGCGCCGATGGTGGCCCTGGCGTGGAGCTCTTTGACGATTTCGTGAGACGGCTCAAGCGAGCCTTTGCCCGCATCGTTGGCGTCGAGGCCAAGTTGGTCAAAGAACAAGATCGAATCCTGCTGGTGGCGACGCACGGAGTGGGCATCACGTCCATTTTCAAGACTCTGGAATCCAGCCCTTCGTGCGATGGATTCAACCCCAAACTGGCCACTCGAGGTCCCGACGCGTTCGAGGTCAGATGGACCGACAGTGATGATGTGGCGAGACTCGTCGTCTCACAGCCCGCGCAGCTACCCATCAAGGACGGGGTGTTGGACTGGGATTCGATCTCTGGCCAACCATTTCTAATAGAGGTCTGGGGCAAGAAAGAAAAGGCATTATGAACACCTACATAGGGATACTGCAAGCTTGCTGCATGAAGGATGGTGGTTAGAGAAAAGGTTGCAATGCAGATAAGATCAACGTGGCTCCGATTTTCTTAGAGGTCGACACTGGCTAGGAGGCTTCCCTGACGATATAACATCATCCCCTACTACCAGCATTTGACCGGCGTGGTTCGAATTTTGCTTCAAGCGAAACACCTGCTTACCAGCTCCTCCGAAAGATCAAGACAAGCATCAAATCGATGACAATCAAATCTATTGCGCCATATCATCATTCATGTCTCATGGCCTCATTGAAGTCGTAAACTGACTTTTCTAACTTTGTCCTTTCCCGTCCCCTCGGAGAAAAATTCGAACAACCCAACGCACGAGTCGAAAATCATCGTATCGCTAAGAAGAACGCGTAAACGAGCCCTTTCAAGTTTTCCACCAACCCATACCTGACTTGCCTCTCTCAAAGTCTCGTGATATGCCCATCTGGGCCCGAAATTTGGTTGCAAAGCGGTGATGTGCAATTGGCAAGCTAAATCGACGAACACATGCCCTCGCCTGGTTTCCCGATATGATGCTCTCCAGTCTCGCTGACTCGCCTCAGATACCCATCGCATCCCCAGCCAAGTCTGCGCCAAAATTTCCAACGGTCGTGCGAGTCTTTTCCAGCTTATTTCTGTGGTACTTCGTCATAGGGTCCGGCGATCTTGACGGGCTTCTAGACTCCTTTCGCGCCAGAAAACGAGGCGTCAGCGCATCGTGTACCGCAACAGGAACCTCTTCTTGCACCAGCAAATATGGGACGAGGAGAGACACGAGGAACGCCGGACGCTGAAAATCAGTAGTCGCTGGCACGACTGCGACTCACCGCACGTCGAGACCGGGATCTCCTGCTGCTGTAGTCATCGAGATCGCCATCTTCATCCCACGCCTTTTTCGCGCGATTCGAGTCTCTGATTGCGCGTTCATCGTCGTAATGGCCACCCGCCCCTGCACCGGTACGGCTCCCACGGTAGCTCTCACTGCTCTGTGGCTCGGGACCGTCGTAGTACCAGTTCCCGTCTCGGCCCTTGTAGTAGCCGCCTCGTTCCCTGGCCCGCTTGCGTCTCTCGCGTTCCATACGCTTTTTGTGGTGTTCTTCTTTCTGCTGAAGCAGCTCCTTGTGTTGACTGTGCTCCTCAGACAGTTCATTCCACTCGCTCACCGCACCTTTGAGGCCCAATGCCGCAATGCCAATGGCCGCGGCGTCTTGCCACCGAGATGCACGTTGTTGTTTGTGGGCTTCCTCTGGGGACATTTTGCCCGCGCGGACCTGTTCCATTCGTTTGTCGTGCGATTCGATGGAGGAATAGACTTTGGAGGCGGCGTGGATTGTGGCCACGCTTGCTAGAGCAGCGGTGAGCCATTTTTTACGTTGCATCTTCCGGATATTCTTCTCTTCCTCGGTGGACGAGACGAGCGAGGACGAAGAGCTTGAGGAGCTTCGACGGCGGCGGGAGCGACCTGACGACGACTTTGCTCGCACGCGTGATCGTGGAGGCACGGAGCCTTCAGAGTCATAGTAATTGTCTCTGTCTTGACCTCGGCCACGGTGGGCAACAAGCGCACCTGCGCCCGCACCGGCGGCGGCGCCTGCACCAATATCCCGACCGCTGTGCATGGAGCTGGCTCTCTGGCGCTGTCCAGACCGACCAGGCCGTCGGGGTAGAATGTCTCCCTTGTGCCTCACCACTTCCACAATCTCTTCGTCTGAGGCGACATCGCGCCGACGGCGTAGGACGAGGCCCTTCTCTTCCATTGTTCTTCTGTCCATGAGATCGGGATCGGGCTGAGGGACTCTGCCACGCATCTTCTTGTATCTGCGGTGGAGAGGATCGATAACCTTGTCCTGGTGTGTGATGGCGAGGTTGACCCCGTTGAGGCCTAAACCCAGAGCCTGATCCATTTTGAAAGAGGCCGGGCGTTACACGCGGCTGTTCGTCGTGGTTCGGCAATGCACCTCGCGTGGTGTCTGGAGATTGGGAATGGTTCGCCGGCTATCAGGAACGCCTAGCAGCACCGAGCGCCCGACTTGTAAAGCGCTGCAACGGAGGTTTCGGTGCACAAAAGCACGGGCTTGCAAGGATATATTGGCCTATTGGCTGACCAAGAAGCAATTTCTGTATTTGATTGGACGCAGATCGGACAGTTCACTGAAGAGCAAACATATTGCAGGGGCACAGTTGAAGGTTTGATGTATATCGTAGGCTGCGAAGCTCGTACAGAGGAGCGGGATTGCGCTTAAAACTGCAGGCACAGGAGGCACCATAAGCAAATAAGTAAAAACGCGCGGTGTGTCTATAGTGAAGACGTCATTTGTGTAGCTACCTCTACACCGACATTAAAAGAGTCCATTGGGTTGTTTAGAGGCGCTCGAATTCAACTGGACGGAAGGATGAAAGAAGACTGAACAGAGAGCAGACATTGGTCATGGGGCTCGTATTTAACGGCAAACTGGACGGGTCGGCAGATGGGGCCGCGTCTCACGGGCGCCGCAGAATGCTTATTTGGCCAGGAGTGCCATGTTACAGGAATGCTAGATGCTAGAGGACGAGGAATCGAGGATGCCATTTCTGTGAAAGGCCCACCTCTGGACGCGGGCGAGGTGTGAGCATCGAGGATCAGAGATGGTCGATCCCTGATCAACCCCGAGGCAAAGGGCCGCCCAAGCTTTGCTAAGATCGCTTCTCATCTCGCGATCGACAACATCAACCGCGAAGGCTGTTGATACCTGAATGGGAAAGGAACGAGGAAATGTCGGGAGGCAGGTAGAACGTGCGAAGGGAGATTGAGCGTTTTTTCCCTCGTTGGCGGCGGAAACGTGGCAGAAGTGAGAAGAAGGAATCGCTGCTTGTCGCCTCCCAAACTTGAAGAAGAGGGTGCCACTCAACACGCCAACAAGGAGAAGGAAGACGTTGAACAGGGGAGAAGGCGAAACGAAAGGATGAAGGAGCAAGGGGCCAAAGGGAAGAGGCTGGCTCCGAGTGTCGGGCGGTAACGAATAACGACGTTTGCACAAAAGAAGAGCGGGGAAAACTCTCCAGCACAGTCTACGAGTGGTTGCATGACGTCGGTCGGGCTCCTCTTGAGACTCCTCTGGGCCGCTCCGGTGGCACCCAAGTAGCCTTTCCCTCCCCTGGTGGCCCCCATCAGTTACACACCTATCCGGACGAGTAGCAGGGAGCGTTGTTCCCCCCCAGAGCAAGCCCAAGGCACCCACACAGGCACTGGCACCGACACAACTTGAAGCACAATGCCCAGGCACGCCCTCGGTATGCTAGCCATTGCTGTTGCCATTGGCAGTTGTTTATACTCCTCATTGCTTTTAGTCCGTCAACCACGCCATCGACGTCACCAGCACTCACCATCAGTGCCGTCCACACAGCCTTTTGCACCTATTCTACTGCACCACCTACGTACCTAGAGAAGGGTACAAATGACCTTGGAAACCTTGGAACATCACACCTGTACCACTCAGGAAGAAGAATGTTCGCTCGAAGGTAACAAGACTCCTCAGAGAATGTCATCTCGGGCCTGTCAATTGTCAGTTTCGAGCAATCGATTTTAGCACATCTTCGGCACAACAACAGTCAATGAGAGCGGCTGAGTTGCAATTTGACATCCGTGCTTCAGAGGCAATTCCTCCAACAAAACAAAACCCTGTGTCTGATCTCGTGAGCTGAACATGCTTTTGGAAATGGCATTATTCTCGAACTAAACCTGCAATGCCGCCAACACCCGCGGGCAAATACATGTGTGCTATTAGCAACAATCCACACCCTCTGCCGAGCATCGCGGGACAACAACGACAAACAATCATAGTTCGCCATGACGGGCGGTGTCGGTCGAAGTGCTGTTTTGCGGTCCTTTGAAGACGTCCCCACTCAAGATCTGTCCCCAGGACTTCTTCACTTCGTCAAAAGCCACGTCGAATTGGGCACCCATAAACCACGCAGCCGCAACCTAGTGTCTTGTTAGCGCTAACTTGCAAAATCAGAACAAGGGCTCGCTCACCATAATGGCAGTAACGAAGAGTAACATCCCGATCACGGCGCCGAACAAGGCGAGTGTCTCCTTTAATCCTCTCGAATCTGCTGCATCCTTGTCTGACTTTGCAAGGGCTGCCCGAGCCTCGTCGGCCTTGTTCTTGGCCAAGATCTCCTCCACCTTTTGGGATGGGAATATTGACTCGATGAACTGCTCCACCTTGCCACATGCAATGCTGATTTTCAGAAAATTCGGGTCCTGCGGCCGATTCTTCTTGCGGATGGAATGGATATGTCGGCGGAACACTTCGCATGCCACCTGAAGGTTCTGGGTTGATTCGATCATGATCTGACAGGCCTCACCCTTTGTGATTTTGATGTTGCGCTGAAACATGGCGTAATTCCTGAAGCAGAGGTCCAACGTCGCAATCGCCATGGTCTGTGGAATGGCGCAAAAGTTGAATACGCTCTGCTCCCTAAGCCCAGCCATGTAGAAAATACATTCGTCGGCATGGTTGAGCGCGTTCAATACCATCTCCGCGCTGCAATTCAATGCCTGCTCCTTGTACTCGGGCTGGAAGAGATCTTCGAATTTGTCCACGTGCTTCGACCAGATCTCCTTCGGCCAGAACACTCTGTTGTCGTCGGAATCCTCTCGCACGTCCCGGATGATGTTAGTCTTTTGCAGGAAGATCCCCATCGACTTGTGAAGGTGGGGTCTGTCCAGCAGAACCGGATTCCCGAATTTGCTTTCCACAAACATTCTCGTGCATCCCTCACCAACCAATCCCGCCACATAGTAACAATATTCGTCGTACTCGGCGCACGTGATGACAGAAAACTCATTGTTCTCGGATTTCAGGCAGTAGTCGGCCATTCCATTGCCCATTCTCTTTGCGATATCCTTGATGATAACTTGGTAGGCAGGTTTGAGCTTTTTAAATTCTTCGACAACACATCCGTAGTTGAGCAACAGGTCGCGATCCTTCTCTTCTGGCCTATTCTCAGTATAAGTCCATCCATCAATGTCAAGCACCTCATCGAAGTTGCGCAGGACTGGCTCCTTCTTCTTTGCGGGGATGGAGGTATCATCTTCAATGGTGTCCAAGCCGCGCAGGACCAGGTAGAACACAGTTACAGGCAGCAAAAGCTCTGGGTGTAACTCTTGAATGACGGCACTGAATGAGCGACTGGTCAAGTTCAGGTATTTGAAGCATTGCTTGGTGACTTCAGTTTCTTTGGATTCATCTCGTTCGTGGACAGGATTGTGCCAGACTTTCCTGAGCAGGTGTCAGTGGTCACACGCCATGGACACCTTACTCAACTCACCATTGAATGATGGAGCGCAACTGCTGGGGGTGGAAGAGGTAAAATAGAACCTCGCTGGCTTTGACCATTGTGACGAATTTTTGGCTACAATGCAGTTTTCAAATCGAGATGTGGACAGCTCCCCGTGCTCCTAGCTGACCATTGAACACTCCAGACGTATGGGATATACTAAGCAATAACGAGCGACCATGACCGAGAAAAGGAAAAGGGGAGGCGAGGTTTGGATAAGTACCCGCGCTCGACCTGAACTAGACCATCGTGTTTTGTGTGTGGAGGTTGGCATATCCGAATGGCACGACCCTTAGCCGAGGATTCATCTACGCGGTATTGGCAAACGAAGCGATGGCCGAATCAGCTCTAGGGATGTTGCCAGGCCAGTCTTTAGCCACAGTGGCCCCCAAGTGGCTCAGCTACAGGCTCAGCTGGTGTCACTGGTCTACTAGTACGCAGTGCCTATGACTTCACTCCCCCCTTTGCTGAGATCAGTGCTTGCGGCGACCAACGGGTGCGGCGGCCTTCACGAGCCCAAAGGCTGCGAGATAAATCGTACACATTTCCGTCCCATGCCAGTCGACGCGTAAGCCAGAAACTCCCATCCTTCTCAGTCCGCGACTGCGCCTGCTACAATGGTTGTCGACACTTCCTACTACGATGCCCTGGGCGTCAAACCAGATGCCTCCGAATTGGAAATCAAAAAGGCCTACAGGAAGCTCGCCATCACCACGCATCCTGACAAGAACCCCGGCGACGAAACTGCGCACGCTCGCTTCCAGGCCGTTGGCGAAGCCTACCAAGTCCTGTCGAACAAGGACACTCGTGCCGCTTACGACAAATATGGCAAAGAAAAAGCCATGCCCAGCCAAGGGTTTGAGGATCCAGCCGAGTTTTTCAGCATGATATTTGGTGGCGATGCCTTTGTCGACCTCATCGGCGAGTTGAGCCTGCTGAAAGATCTTACAAATACCATGGACATCACAATGCAGGCCATGGAAGAAGAGGAACTTTCCAAAAATGCGGAAGAGAAATTAAACATCCATGAAGCAAAGGAAAAGGAGGCGACCGCTGCGAGCATGAATGCAAAGGAAACCGAAGCAAGAGCACACTCCGCCCAAGACGGAACCACTGTACCCCCACCACCATATGTCTCCGGGGAGGAGCCCTCGACGTCTACTAGCAGTCCCTCTGGGACTAGCACCCCTCAGAGAAGATACGCTGGCCAGCAAGCAATCATGGACCGATCAGAAGAAGATGCGCGAATGGACGCGGCGGGCTTGACCCAGGAAGAGAAAGACTTGCAGAAGAAGAAGAAGCGCGGCGGCCTGACCAAAGAACAGCGGGAGAAGTTGGAAGCCTACGAACGTGAGAGACGACGTCTGCGAGAAGAACGAGTCGAGACTCTCGCAAAGAAACTGATCGACCGGATCAGCGTGTGGACAGAAACAGACAAGGGGCCCGAGGTCACGCATGCATTCCAGGAAAAGATCAGGCTCGAGGTTGAAAATCTCAAGATGGAGTCCTTCGGTATCGAAATCCTTCATGCCGTCGGACAGACATACCTACAGAAAGCCACATCGTTCCTCAAATCCCAGAAATTCCTCGGCATCTCAGGCTTCTTCTCGCGTCTAAAAGACAAAGGCACCCTTGCAAAAGATACGTGGAATACGATCTCCTCGGCCATCGACGCCCAACTCACAATGGAAGAAATGGCCAAATTGGAAGAAAAGGGTGGCGCCGACTGGACTGATGAAAAGAAAGCAGAGTACGAGAGGAAAGTCACTGGCAAGATCCTTGCCGCTGCATGGAGGGGCTCCAGATTCGAGATCCAGGGTGTGTTGAGGGATGTCTGTGACCGAATTCTGAACGATAAGAACGTCAGACTGGAGAAGCGGATAGAAAGAGCACATGCTTTGGTCCTATGCGGGACTATCTACCAAAAGGTAAGCCTCCTTTTATGCTTGAGTAGCGCACGCTCCAGCATCCCAATGATTTTTCGTGCTATTGATGCTAACATCCGTGTTCCTGCAGGCTGAACGCGATCCGGACGAGGAAGGCGACTTTATGGCCTTTGAACAACTAATGGCCGAGTCGATGAAGAAACAAGAAAAGAAAAAGGAAAAAGAGAAACAGAAAGACAGCAACCACGGCGACCAACCGCATAGACACTTCTTTGGCGGCAGCAAGGAGCCTACCGCTGGTGGCTCACCGAGACAGTCGACGTCGGCATGAGTTTGACCAGCCACAGCCAGGGCCAGTGCTCCCTGGACCAGATAAAGGCTTGAATGAAGCCGGATTCCAGAGAGTTGTCTGACTCTCGTGGATCGACGACTCGACCATCTGTCAACAATCTGTTGCGTGTGGAATGTGTCTCTTTTTTCTTGCTCGGTTGGCTAGACACGCCTTAAAGCACGAGATGCATTATTGCAACAAGCTCTTCTCTACTTACACAACCACTACTCCACTACTAGGGTAATGAGGACCTACACGTCTCTGGACCGTGAAGGGCAGAATCAGAGGGCGGTGGATGCTAGGAAAGGATCGGTCAGGATTACAGGCATGGGAGCGTGCTGTTCGTCGTGCATTGAGACGCCGTCGCAGCTTGATTCGCAGAATAGATACCAACCAAATAATGTTTCTTTTCCCTCTTCGCCTTTGCCTCGTTGCTATAAACCCCCGCCCTTTCTACAGTAGATACTTGAATGACTAGGTAGGAGGCTGTTGATAATCCTTTTTTGGCTTCTTCTTTACATACCTATAGACTGATCAATCGGATCAGTCTTTCTCCTGTCCGGCCTTCTTCGAACCATTCGTTCTCATTTACGACCTGGGGAATTATACACTGTAGGCAGCCAACCCCTTTTGCAAGGCACGGCTCTCTCTCTCTGATCTTCCTCCCAGCCCTTTGCGCACCTATTCATCACCAAGAAAAAGCAACAAACTCAGCGGTGATTGCGAAGGGGGTATCATTTTGTACAATACAAGAGGCGAACGACAACAACGGCAGAATTCCCGCATTCTTATGCCCACACCACCACCACACAAGGGAAACTCCCGTCGCCACAACAAAAAGGAAATAATAGCAATCTCTTTTCAACGTAATAGGGCCGGCCTCCAATGCAGTCAGTCTGGTCATTATGTCGTGATAAGGGAAGAAACCTGCAGGTAGTCCTTCCGTGGATCAAGTCCAAAAGGTTTCAAGACGCCACTCTAGCTGGAGGTCTCCCCCAGCTGCGCGCTGACAGAATTCAATATATCCGATAATTCGTCCAACGAAGGCATCGCTGTCACTTCGCTGGCAGTTATTGTTGGAGGAGGCGACTCGGCTTCCCAAAGTTGAGCCTCGTCCAAGTTCGCCTTGGTGATGCTGGGACTCAATAGCCCTTGTCTTGCCTCCTGTTCTTCCACCCCGTTCACCAAACCCCGTTCATCCAGTTCGTCATCGTTCAAAACTCTCCCTCCAAGCTTCACATCCCCTATTCCCACTCTGTAATCTAAAGCCTTGTTTCCTTCTCGGATCAGCTCTTCCGAACAGGTGAGACATCGTTTGATGCTTTGGCTGAGTTTCTGGAAATCAATAAGGAGTTGTTGATGGCGCGAAAGATCTTGCATCAGTCGCTTCTCGTCTCTCGCGCGCTGGCGTGATTGAATGGAAGGGCTTAGCATGGAGCCTGACTCATTGGATAGCATAGACCCGTCCTCATCATCGAGATCGTCTAGATCACTATCATCGTTGTCTGAGAATTGACGATCTTCATCGTCAAACTCCGTGACCGTATCGAGCGTGAAATTAGACTGTTCAGAGGTTGTCCGTGTTGTCGGCGCAAGCGATAATCTCCCTGAACGTGACAGTCGACGATACCTTCTCAATTCTCCGGTCTGCTTGCGGAGTTCACGTTCCAAGGTTTTATTGATGGCCAGTAACGATGAGTTGGAGATTTCCAAGTCGAGAACTTTGCGTTCCCGGCGGGCATTAGCAGCTTGATCCAACTGAGACGGGACGCTCGTCGTTGCTTGGTCTGTTTTTGGGTCTAAACTCGGCGCGGATGCACCAAGCGTCTTTGTGGCTTCTGGAAATTCAATGTCGCTTAGGACAGAGGTGGGGACAGTGTTCGTCGATGCGAGGCTGATAGACCTGGGACTCAATGTTTCCGGAGACAGAAGGTTATTCCCGTGGATCCGGGGTGACACTGAAGGAGTAGGGTGGAGATCTAATGGTTGGGGTGCTTGTGCTCTGGTATTGCTCAATCTCCTGAGAGCTGGCGAACCAATGGAGCTGGCGCTGATTGACTTTCGATGACCTTTTGGTGTAGGCTGAGATATTGTCGTACTGCCTGAGCTGCTTTTAGGGCGTTGGGCAGTCGTTCGAGGCCCTGGCGGAGAGGGCGACTGGCCAGGTTGTGGTTTTCGGGGTGACGGGAGTTCTAGAGGGACGCCTCTGTGAACCTTGTTTGGCGATTGAGGCGGAGTGTTTCGAAAACCGTGTGGAGCTGTTGTAACGGCCGGACTGGTCAATCTCTCTGTTGAGATGTGAGGAAGGACGTTACGTCGAGCTGGTCCATGTGGTGTCAAATCATTTGCCCTGAAGAACTTATCGTCGAGGTTCTCCTTTCCACTTGAGTTTTCCCTGGTTAGCGGGGGGGAACCGACGAAGAAGTGTCCTGGCTTTGGTGGGAATCGGTGACCCTCGTCAGCGTCTGGGGATCCGACGACGGGCTTGACCTCGTCTGCGTGAAAGAACTTTGACGCGATATCTTTGTCGCCCTCTATCATGCTCTTTGCGGCGGACAACCTTCGATGGACTCCCCCAGCAGACGTAGAACCCGACGTGTTTGCTTTTGGCAGAGCACCTGTACTTGCAGCAAGCCGTGGGCTGGTGAGGCCGAGACCTCGCATTGCACCCCTAGTGGGTTTCGATGCCTCATTGCCCGACGACGCTCTTGGCCTCTGGCCATTGCCTGTTCCTCTCGCCTGTGCCGGAGTCAAAGGAGACTCTGTGCCGACTCGTGATTTCCTTGCACCCGACCGAGGAGTGATGTTTCCGTTTAAGGGTGTTGTGGTCTGATCGGGCTTGGGGGGTGATTTTGACCTGACGAAAGGCTCTCTGCGAGAGGTCAAGTTCGGGGACGACGAGGCAGAACCCACCACCCTCGGTGTCAATGGGCTCTTGGCCGTGCGGAAATTTGCGCTGAGGGCGGGAGTGAGTGGTTTCGAGGTGTTCGGCCGGGTTTGTTTATCGGCGGGCATGGTTGTCGGGAGGGGCGAACGTCGAGAACGAGGAATTAATTGTGGCTGCGAACGCTCTCGCTCTCGCTCTCCCATGACAGCAATGGATGGTTGTTCGAGGACTCATAGAGACCATTATTGTCGGCTCAAGTGAGCGAGCAGGCTCTGTGCTCTGTAGGCAGGCATTGAGCGCAGGCAGGCGGTGTCTCTCCACATGAATGTCAACAAGCTGTTTGGGATTCCGGGCGCACGCTCCAGTGGAATACCGCAAAGGGTTTAGTTTGGGGGTTTTGGTTCCGTCATTGAACGCAGGTGACTGGCACCCACTGGCACCCACTGGCACTGACTCTCGCTAAACACGTCTAGGTACCACCACGCCTACCACGCCTACCACGCCCTCCACGCCCTTCCCTGTCGCTCGTCGCGTCCCAACGGTTCCTCGCTAACGAGACACCCTACTGCTGAAAACAGCATCCCTCGATATGTTGCCCGGTGCCATTCTTATGGTGTTGCAATGACATTGCATGAAGAAGATGATGCCTCCCTAATAGATGTCGACCCGGACACAGACAATTCTCAAGATGACCTCGACCAGAAACCGCAGGCTCAGGAAGCCCTCCTCCAGGCATCCCAGCACCATTCCCTGAAGCACCATCTTCTCGGTCCTTCCTTGACCAAGGCTGGACAGGATGCGGTCGATCAGAAGAAGGTCTCTGAAATTATATACGAGGCCTCCAAAGGCTCCAAGTTCTTCAACAATGAAGAAGTGAAGGACAGGAACTTGACTTTGAAGATCGAGCGGATTTTAAAACAAAAGGCACAACTGGAGAAGCTCGACCTCAAGACAGACCTGCGCCGGGCAGACGACTACATTGCATGCCTCGAATTGGCCAGAGACCTCTCACAGTATGTCGTTCACATCGACTGCGACGCCTTCTACGCCGCTGTTGAAGAGATTGATCGACCTGAGCTCAAGACTGTCCCCATGGCCGTCGGGATGGGCGTCCTTACCACCTGTAACTACGAGGCCCGGAAATACGGTTGTCGCAGTGCCATGGCAGGATTCGTGGCGAAGAAACTATGCCCTCAACTGATCTGTCTACCCTTGAATTTTGACAAATACACAGCCAAGGCAAAAGAAGTAAGAGCTATCCTCGCAGAGTACGACCCACGTTTCGAGAGCTCTAGCATCGACGAAGCCTACATGAACATCACAGAGTACTGCAACACTCACGGGATCGATCCCGAAGCTGCAGTTGAGCAACTGCGAAAGGAAGTGCATGAGAAGTGCAAGATCACGATCTCCGCCGGTATTGCGCCCAATGCCAAATTGGCCAAGATCTGTTCCAATAAGAACAAACCCAATGGGCAGTTTCGAATACCCAACGATCGAGCTGCTGTCATGTCGTTCATGTCTACACTCCCAGTGCGCAAAGTCAACGGCGTCGGTCGTGTGTTTGAGCGAGAGCTCGATGCCATTGGCGTTAAAACGTGCGGTGATATCTACGTTCAGCGAGCATACCTCTACAAGCTCTTTGGAGAGAAGGCATTCCAGTTCCTGATGCAGACCTATCTTGGTCTTGGGCGCACGGCTGTACAGCCTGCTGAGGAGTATGAGCGAAAGAGTGTAGGAACGGAAAGTACATTCCGTGACATCAGCAACAAGCAAGAACTTCGCGAGAAGCTTCGCCATACAGCCGAAGAACTAGCTAAAGATATGGTCCGCGTCGAGGTCAAAGGTCGGACTCTGGTTCTGAAGGTCAAGCTACACACTTACGAGGTCTTCACCCGACAAGTCGCTACCCCAAAGGCGGTCCACCTCGCAGATGATCTCTACAACTACAGCCTACCGATGTTGGCCAAACTCGAGAAGGAGATCCCGGACTTCCGGCTGCGTTTGATGGGACTACGATGCACCCACCTAGTCAGCACCAAGAAAACGGGCACTGATTTCTTCGGCCGCAAATTCAACAACGACAACGGCTCTACGGGTATGCAAGCAGATGATGCAGAATGGGAAGTTTGGCCAGACTCAGAGTTCGAAGAAGCCGCACGGCAGGAAAGACAGGAGGAGATTGAAGAGCTAGAGCGCCTAAGTCAGGAGCAGCAGCGTGACGCCGCCCAGAACCTGGAGCCGAATGCTCTTTTCCCAGGAGCCTATGTCTCTACAGCAGACTGGCACGAACCCTTTGGCAGGTACAAGTATGGCAGCGAGCCGAACTCGCCGGCAGCCTCGCCACAATCCAAGCATGGACGGGTGCTGAACAAAGCTGCTCCTGCTGTGCCGGCCTTGAAAGAAGAGCACAGGCAAGAAGCATTATGGGACTGTCCAATCTGTCAGCTCCCGCAACCAGCAAGCGACAGGGAGTTCAACAGCCACATCGACCTGTGTCTCTCGCGGCAGACGATCAAAGAGGTGGTAGCCGAGGCAAATGGATCTGCTGCAGTCGCAGCCTCTAGCAGAGCATCGCCTGATGCATCCATGCTAGATAGGCCGAAGTCTGTCAATGGGGTGAAGGCTAAGAGAAAAGTCTCCTCTAGCAATATGATGGAGCCGGATGTGGCTGGCGGGAGAAGGCAGAAGAGACTATTCTTTACCTGAGATTTCACGACTTGGTTTGTACACGGGCTCATGAGAAATGACGTTGAGATACAAATAGACAATTCATGTTCGGACTTGCAACTCCCCATTCTCAGGAAGACTCTCCTGCTCGGGGTGTATATGACCTCCAGCCTTAGCTCTTCTGCCTCAAGCCTGCAACGGCTATGTAAGTTGACGTATATAATGTAGTCCGCAAACGCCTGTAGATGCCAAATTCTTTCGAGAACCCCCCGCCATGTCCAGTCTGACTGACTGGAGCCATGAATACCTCGCTGCTCCCCATGCCTAGAAAGTGGGGTGTTGAGACATCCTAGACCTCGACCCAGAAATATTCCATTTCAATGCATAGAACTGCCACATGCAGGTGGTGGCCAACATGGACATCCATCCCGTGTAGGTAGCCACGCTTCAAAAGTGTGTCCCGCTCTGCGCCCTGCAGGATGCGAATGCGATCCGCCAAACGTTTTATCAGCAAAGATATCACTGGGACCTCGCAAAATATACAAGAGTTGGATTACGTATCCGAACTCGTCAAAAGTAGGTGAATCAACTGGCCCTCCTTCTATTGCTTGAAGACACGGGCTCTTCATCACCTTCATCATCATCGTCGTCATCATCAAACACTTTATTCTCTTCCTCTTCTTCCCTTTTCAGCTGTTCTTCCCTCATCTCCCGGTACGTGGCCCAACTCAACATTACAAACGCGATAATGATCAAGCCGCAACCAGCGAGGGCCGCTGCACTGAGTGGTTTCCCCGTGATGATCCAGTCCGTGATACCCACCAAGAAGATCGTGAGGAGTGCGGCGACGGAGCTCAACACCGGCGACGTGAGGGACATGAGGACGAGGAAAGAGCCGGAGAAGACGGCGTTGGAGAGGGTCGAGATGGCGAGCAACCGGGCTGCTGGCCCACTGGGGATCTCGAATGTTTCCAGCCCGGTCCAATGGAGGATAGGTAAAGGAATCCAGAGAACGGTCAAGGTGAAGAATCCGACCATGCTGCCAAATGTGTTTGCGAAAATCATGCCCCTGCCCGGAGAGGTGCCTTCAGGGGGGCAGGCGAAGCGTTTGTAAAGAACTTCATAAAACCCATACGCGACCGAGCCAATGCCAATTATGATGTTTCCCAAAAGTTTTGTTCCGAATCCCTTTTCAGCACCAGGGTTCGCCGTTCCCGGGCCCGGGGTGGTGTCGTCTTTGTCACCATATGCGACAACCAGGACGCCAATGATGGCGAGTGCGACCGAGAGGCCCTTGTCAAAGCGTAGTTTGTCGTTGAGGAGCATGATGGAGAATACGTAGGCGAAGAAGGCGGAGCAATTGTAGATGGCCGTCAGGTCGGATGGGGAGGTTAAATTGACAGCAACATACCACGATCCTCCGGCCATGGTTAGAAACGTGGTAATGAAGGCGGTGGCTTTGATCATGTAGGGCCATGGGGAGATCAAAGTGGTGGACTTTGAGAGATGTAGTTCTTGAGAGCGGACCATTTGCGCTGTAGAGCGAAGGAGATAGACGTGTCTCCGCCAGAACGCAGACCAGGATAGTTTTCGTTTCTGTATCCGGAGGAAGATGAGTTGGACGGGCCAGAGGCATATCCAGGAGCCGTGTGTCAGGTACATCATGCAGTATGCCTTGTCCCATTTCAGTTCGTGTTGAATATACACCGCAGTTTCCGTCTGGACGACAAAGGAGATGAGGGAGAGGATGAGGAAGAAGGAGGCGTAGATGTATTTCCGCCGAACCATGTCTTCGGGTTGGGCGTATGAGGGTGATCGCGAACGGAATGTGCTCCTCCGGGACGAGGCTGCTGGTCTGGCTGAGCCATGGAGACTTGGAGACTCCGGTCGACCTCTGGTATTCGCTTTTTTATCTTCCCCTAGTAGCGGCTCATGCGATTCTGGGCCCGTAGGCCTATGCATGGGCGTTCTCCCGTCCATGTCGTCGTCTTCGTCGTCGTCGTTTCCTCCGTCGTCTATAGGTTCGTCATTCAGATTGAAGTGTACTCCTCGACTGTGCTGTCGTTCGGCCCGGAATTCGTCTTTTATAGCTGGGGGGAGGGAGTTTAGACGTAAGGGGCTCGAAGGACGCAAGGGGGCTTTGGAGGTCGCGGCAGAGGCCGTTGTGAGAGGTAGAGGGGACTCAGTTCCAGGAGGCGTATAGATGAGATCCCCCCCGGACGAGTCGCTGCTGTCGGATGGTGTCATCCATGCGGTTGGGAGCAGGCAGGATTATAAAAAGGTCACCAGATTTGGTCAGTGGTCTGCGGTGGGGGAGGACAGAATCAGGCGCAGTCGGTCTGGCGGTCGATAAGTGGCACTGTTGGTTGCAGTGGGACAGGCTCGTGCGCCTCTGATAGGAAGGGCTTTATCGTCGTTGGTCAGATTCACCAGTAGTAGTTGATAGAAATAATGAGAGAATTGCACCATCTTTGCGGAGGTCGAAGGTTTCCATCATCATTTGCACGAGGAGCCTCACTAAACCCTGCCGGTTGGCACCCAATTGGGGTGAAGGCGAATAGGCGAATAGGGCTCCGACCGCTATAGTCACTAGGCTAGTGTTAGGCTGTCGGCCCTGTTAAGCTGGACCCTGAATCCCACGTTGGGTGCATCTGACTAGGCTCAATTCACTTAGGGGACGACCCAGGGGACCCCTATCGCCCAACCTCAGTGGCCTACTCGTAGTTTGACCGCTGGGGATATCTATCACCGGTGCTTTGCACATACACACTCGACAGGTAGCCAGCAACGCAGTTCTCATGATAAGCACACTGTTGAAAGAACGGCCATGAAACAAACGAGCAGATCCAGTTGACTACACCGGTGATTTCTAATCGTGCACAGCAACACAGTCAATCATTGCAGGCGCAGGTAGCACGTGATACTGCTTCCTGGGTCCTGAAGATCTTGAACGCGACTTTCTTCTAACCTCACCTTGTTCTGCTTCTTCCAATTTTCCGCACTGGCTTCCTCGATGCGGCTCTTAGATGATATCGACAGTTTAGTGATCCCAGTATAGAGACAGTAATTGCTCTGAACGGTGCTCTGAGCTCCTTGACCAGAAGGCATCCATTCGAGCCGAGTTTCAACTCGATCTGTTCAGCAGCAATGAGTCTCGCTATACACTCACGATCCATGATAGCGAGATCGAGAGCAGGAGAAGACTTGGGGTGAATCACGCGGATTTAGAGGCATCAGCCTGAGTCTAAATACTTGTTAAGTGGTTTCATTCTGAGAGGCTTCGACTAATCTGATAGGTCCTCCAAGTCGATTGTCAGGATCATATCTTTTCTTCAACGCTTGCAGCCTCGGGTAATGCTGGCGGTATATCTGTGATTATGCCGTCAGAAAGATGTGAGGGAGGCTCTCTGAAAGGTCTTACCTGGGTGAGAGGGTCATGGAAGCCTTCCATTACATTCGGTACGACTTGAACCGGCATTGTTGTGTTCACTATCTGTTTTGGACCGTCTATGACCAGCCTCTTCGCCATTTCGGTTTCTTCTGGAGGCGCTCCGATATCCGTCCCGGCGCCGAGCGTTATCTTGTGCTGAAAGCCTTGAGGACGTGGCCAAGCGGAATCGACGTTGGATCCAAGAGAATCTCGCTATTGGGATCTGGTGAGAGGACGAGCAGCATGGACCAGCAAGGGCGTACTCACTGTGGTGAAAATCTCGAAAAATAACTGCACTCGCTTTGCTACTGACCCCGGTGAAGCAGCGGCATTGTCATACCAGTCGAATGCTCGAAGAAGTGTCGCCTCATCCACCCTGCTTAGTGCTAGTGGAGCCCACCAAACATTGGCCATACCCTTGGCCTTACCAACATTTTCTGGCGAAAGGGTCATCTCATGATCAGGTCAATGTCACGAACAAGCCTTACCTTGCAGTTTGGCCATACCTGACAGGCCAATTATCTTGGTTGTGTCTACTGCTCCCGGACAATCCAGCGCCCATTTAAAGCCAGCGTCACTTCTCCCGTGTGTTTCACCAAGCGCGTCAAACGCAAGGATCATCAACATATCTTCTTTAGCACCCATATGTATCAACTGCTCTTTCCTCATCACAAAGAGACAGAAAGCCACTTTGGGATTTGGAGGCCTTGCATCCATGGCGGCAATACCTCTGACGACAGCTCTCAGCTCTGTCTTCGGGATGAAAATGTACCCGCCCCAGATCTGAGGCTGATACTTGCGAGCTCGAAGCTTGAACCGAGTGACCACTAACCAAGAGTCAGCATAAGGGTCTGGCTGCAGCCAATCACGCCTTACCACAAAATGCGCCATTCGTCCCTCTGAGCCCCCAGAGCAGTTCTGGGTCTTCGGACGCCCAAAGGACAGTCCCGTCAATTTTGACAACCTGGGCGTCGAGGAGATTGGCGGGGTCTGAGGTCAAGCCATATTCTGAGGAGAGCCAGGAATATCCACCACCTAAAATGCTTCCGCCCACGCCCACGCTGGGCGTACGAACAGATACAGCTATCAGCAAAGTCAGGATCTCTTGTTGACTGTGTCCGGCTAGAGAAAGGACATTTCACTGGACCACTTACTCGCAAAATCTGGGGCGATCCTGTCCATCTTCTCATAATATTGACCCCAGCTTTGTCCAGCTCCTACCGTCACGATTTCATTTTGCCGATCGAAGTCAACATCATCAAATGCTGTCATGCTTATCAAGACATCCTTTGCCGAAGCCGAACCAACGCCTTGACTGCGAATGCCAAGGCATAGGTCTGTTTTTGAGAGGTACGCCAAAGCCTTGCTCAATGACTCGGTATTCGTGGGACGAATGACCGTGGCAGGTTTCAGGTCTTTCTGTGCCGCCCATGGCAGAGACTCTGCTCTGTACAAGTCTGAACCAGGGACTATGATTTCATCAGAACTTAGGATCGATCGAAGCCGTTCAATATGTTCGGTAAGAGACATTTCTGGCGTGCTTGAGATGCCCGGCCTACAGATTGAGACTTTGAAGCTAACCAATCGACAAATCCGAGATCAACAGGTGCTTTGCAGCAACTTTGGTTCGGGAACAGCGGCTCATCTCACGGTTGCTGACTGCTCCGAACATGTGGCCACACGGGCGGCCTAACCATTCGAATTCCGAAATTGGAATACATAATATGTCTACGACGGGATTGCCACAAGCTGTACGTCAGGCTTGATGCACTCCAGCCTTTTTGGAGTCTTCACATACCCTCCAAGTCTGTCAGGGCAACAGTCTTGAAAGGCTTCGGCAAGCACCTCGGCGAGCCTCCGAGACAGGGATATACCACCCCTCGCTGAGACATCTTTACGGAAGGGAAATACCCCCGGGCACTAACAATACAACTACATGGATGTCTGATTTACATCGGGTCTGCGAGGGAGCATCCAGCTCTAGGTATGAGTGAGCCGTCAATCGCTGAAGACAAGTGCATGCCCGCGGTAGTGCCGCGGTCAACAGCCCTGGACAAAAGATTGTACGATAGGAGGCGGAGTACCGACATCGAAAGACGCATAATGCCGGGGTGGCACCTTTTCAAGCCCGATTCTGACACCCGACATCTCACTTTCTCGGTCTGGAAAGGCATGCACAACAAGCATTGTCCATTCGCTCAGGGGAATGTCTCCACAATATCCCCATAGCTGTTCATGTACTGTCGGAGTTCGACATCTCGCAGAACGATATCACTCTTACAGCTATTCAGGGCTCACTGCTTGAAAGAGGCCAATATGTGGCGTCTTCGTCATGATCGTGCTCGCAAAGTGAACGCTGTGGACAGACACTGAACGAGGGTGGGAACCGAGTCATTGGATTCCGTTGTGTTTGACTGCAGATCAGCATTTCTGACGAGGATCTGCCAAGTGGCTGTGCAAGTTACAAGCCCTACTCTCATATTGTCACGGAGAAGAGCTTGTTAGAGATTTTACGCCTTGCCGGGGACAGATCGAGGCTTCGAAACCATAATACGAGGTCGTTGCAGCAAGACGTGAGCAGACCTGCTTCGACGCGAGACGTGATTACCACCACAATCTCACCATTGTTGAATCTTGACAGGAAGCTTACTATGTCGCAGTCAGTCTCTGTCGACTCTGTTAGTGTCCTCCTGCGGGCTGACATGCTCATCGAGAGCACGAGAACTGGGTACGTGTGCAGGTAAAGGGATAGCCGAAGCTTCGTCATAGGGTCTCAATCGCCTACGTGGAGGGACGCTAGCTAGCTTGCAGGCGAGGTTGTCCGCGTTGATGGCTGCCTACCAATTGCCCAGGTATGGGAGTGGTAGGTCGAAGATCATATTCATAACTGGGCGACACTGAGTACTCATTACGGAAAGTGGATAAGTCATGCTCCTGTTGTACACTCAAGTCCTTGATTGGACAAGCGGATCATACCCCAGATTTTGAAAATGAGCGTGAGAATCATGGACTCACGTCCTTGATATGACCTATTTGGGAAGTAGGGGACTGGATGTGGACATTGTGAGGTTCCTACGGAGTCAATCTTACTGAACAGTCACGAGACTCGTGCGAAGTCCGCAGTTTCAGGCGAAAATGCCCTGGTGCGCCTTATTAAACGAGGCTTGGTACAACCCTGATCGCGACCTAGCTGGAGTCAAAACTGACATTTGAGAATTCATACAGGCAAGCATACAGATGGCAGTGAAGAAGACACTTTTGGAAGGTCTCGATCTACGCGATCTAGTTGTCTTTAACGGAATACAACCTGTAAGGTAAGCGTTGATCTTCATAAGTAAGCAATCCTTTTGACTAACTTTCTGAGAAGCCTCTGCGTCAGAACAAGGCTTTGTTTCGCATAATATGACATGCTCAACGAGTTCCAAGAGTCCCAAGCCTGTTGTGCTTTGACACTGCCTCGTAGGGCGTCGCGATCGACACAATGTTCTCAGCTTTCCTTTCAACCAAGCACATGACAGCCAATCGTGCTGCATTCTGTGATTGCAAGCATCAGGGTGCTTACAGGCCTAAGGTCCTGCATAATCACATCAAATCACGGACAAAAGGACCTCAGCTGGTTGGAGTAGTGAGTGTCGATGTCATTGAGGACTGTCCGGGGACATATATACGTTGGCAGTTGGATACTGACCAGCGGTTCTTGCCAGTTCCCTCTTCATCTCTATTGTTAGCTCGAACTCAGCGCCATGTATTTCCCGGCGCTCATGACCGCTGCTCTGGCAGGTGTATCCTGTGCAGGTCCTATCAAAAAGATCAAGAGACAGACCATTCAAGATACATACGACTTCATCATCGCTGGAGGTAAGCTAAGCACCCCGTGCCACGAATCGGTCACTGACCTCAAGCAGGCGGCACAGCGGGTCTCGTTATTGCAAACCGATTGACTGAATGTTCCAACATCAGGGTGCTTGTGTTGGAAGCAGGTCCGGAACCGGGTGTCGTTGCGAATTATATGTACCCTGGCGGCAACCAATACCTTGCTGGTGAGCTTCTAGCTCTGAACTCTTGCCATAGCTGCTAACCACTACCCCAGGTACCGCGATTGACTACAACTACTACACCGTGCCGCAGCAGAACCTCAACAATCGAATTCTTCCCTATCACCGTGAGTGACTTCATGGCTTCCGGAGCTCAAATTACTGATCGTGTGCTACTAGGAGGACGTGGACTTGGGGGAAGTTCGGCCATTAATGGCTTGTATTTTGGAAGAGGCAGCGCTAGTGTCTACGATCACTGGGTGGAGCTGGGCAACGAAGGCTGGGGCTGGGATGATTTGTATCCTTTGAGCGTCAAGGTCAGTGAGCATGACATGTTTCTACGCAGAGGGAATGACTGACTGTGACAGCAAACCCACTTTAACCCGCCCAACTTCAATGACAGCTTCGATCACAGCTTCCAGACCTGGGATCCTACTGCATACTCCAATGGCGAGCTACAGATTGCATTCCAAGGGTTCGTGCCAGACTCAAATGTGGGCTTTATTCGCGCTGGCGAAGCCATCGGCATTCCCATTGTCAATGAACTCAACAATGGCAACAACACAGGTGTCAAGCAAGGCACAGGATGTTTTGACAGCAGGCTCAGACGCAGCTCGAGCTACGACGCCTTCTACAAACCAGTCCAGAACCGCACGAATCTAGACGTCCTCCACTATGCCTCGGTGACCTCGATCCAGTTCACCAAAGACAGCAATGGAACATCACGCGCCACGGGTGTCTCCTTCACAGATCAGCCCACTGGGCAATTTATCACGGTCAATGCCGCTAAAGAGGTCATTGTGACTATGGGTGCCTTCAATACCCCTCAACTGCTGATGATCTCGGTCAGTGATTATGTGGACAAGTCGACGACTCCTTCTAATGTCGCTCCAGGGAATCGGGCCTAGCGCACAGCTGAGCCAGAACGGGATCACCCCAGTGCATATCAACGAGAATGTCGGACAGAAGTGAGTGTCAGCGCCCTCTTGACAGAATGCCGCTCTAATTCTGCGTAGCTTGAACGATCACTGCGTCTTCAGCATCATGGCCTTGGTTCAACAAACAGCTTCGACGAGTTTTATGGCGGTCAACGATACCACACTTGAAGCGGCGGAACAGCAGTTCCTCGATTCCCTGACGGGGCCATACACGGCTCCTTCTGGTATCACTAATGCTTTCCAGCAATTATCGAATGCCACCCTGCAAGCCATAGGGGCGCAAGCTGTGCTCGATGCAGGACTTGTCAACCAATCGCATGTCGAGTTCTTGTATGAATCCCTCTTTTACCCCAGCGGACCGGCTTTCCTCCCGGGCGCTTCGTCAACTGGAAATGGTCTTTCGTCCTTATACTATGTGCCTCAGTCCAACTTGTCTTACATTTCTCTCACGGCGTCGCCGCTTGTGGCGCTCAGTCGCGGCAGCGTGACGCTGAAGTCGGCATCAATGTTTGATGCCCCAAACATCGACCCTAACTACTACTCGAATGCGACTGATCGCGCCGTCGCCATCAATGCCTTCAAGGATCTGAGAACTTTGCTTGCACATCCAGCTATTGCACAGTTCACAACTGGGCCCAACAACGGCGAGGTCCAACCGGGATTTGCGAATGTTCCTGCAAACGCCTCGGACGACACCATCTTCGACTACATCAAGGCCAATACCATTCCGAACTGGCATGCAAGTGGATCTTGCCAGATGCTGCCCGAGGCAGCTGGTGGTGTGGTAGATGCACGTTTGCGAGTCTATGGAGTGCAAAACCTCCGGGTGTGCGATGTCAGTATCATCCCGCGGCTGCCGGATGTCAACCTCCAAGGACCGGTATACATGATCGCTGAGAAAAGTGCTCAAGTCATCAAGGAAGATTACAATTTGCAGTGTTAGAGTCATTGTCGAAGTGGCTGGAATGCGTGTACATTGACAGAGGCTGCTCGTGCTGGTCTAGAGGTATTGGGGCATTAGTAGTTGTCGCGATGCTTGTACTTAGTACAGGGCTGATAGCTGGACAAGCTCCACTTGATATCTCACTGGCAGAGAGTGGCTTGATCCTGGATGCCAGGTCGATACATAACGACAATGACAACACCTGGACGAAGAATGCCGTAAGAGGAGAACACCGACCGTGCCGCATTAGGCTAATATCAATATCCCACTGATTGACCAGAATTGGGAATTGGAGAAGGAGTCCAGTGGCGTCACTTTCTTGGGGGAATTTGGGTGCGCGCCTCCGAGTGTAGCTGATAGCAAGTCGCTGAAGGAACCACACCATCGTATCTACTATTACTTTCTATCTTTGAGAGAAAGTGGCCTCTTGCATGAACAAAGTCTCGTCCTCAATCTCATGTTCCGCGCCGCCATCGCCCGTTCTCAAGCCTCCCTCTCACCCCAGACGGCTTCTGCCCGCTTAACATCCCTCACCCGTCACATATCCCCAGCTCCCTCCTCGTTTTCGGTCTCGTCCACCACCGCCGCCGCAAAGATGCCGCTCGTGACTTCCACCATGATCAACAGTGACAAACCGCGCGTCATCCTCGGGCTCATGACATTCGGACCCCCCGGGACCGAGTCCAAGGGCGGGCGGATCACGACTTTGGAAGAATACAACAAGAACCTCGACTACTTCCAGTCCCGGGGTTACAACGAGGTGGACACAGCGCGGGCTTACATTGCCGGCGAACAAGAGGCATTCACAAGAGAGGCTCGATGGAAAGACCGCGGCCTGACCTTGGCCACCAAGTGCTTCCCCGCGAAGCCAGGCGACCACTCCCCCGAAAAGCTGCGGGCGAGTCTCGAGAAGAGCCTGGCCGAGTTGGGGACGAATAGTGTCGACATCTTCTACCTCCACGCCCCCGACCGATCCGTGCCCTTCAAGGACACGCTGCAGTGCCTGAACGAGATGTTCCAAGAAGGCAAATTCGTCCAATTGGGCCTGAGCAACTTCGCGGCCTGGGAGGTGGCCGAGGTGTGGAATATCGCCAACGAGCGAGGTTGGGTGAAACCCACGATTTACCAGGCCATGTACAATGCCATCACGAGGGATATTGAGAAGGAATTGGTCCCCTGTTGTCGAAAGTGAGGACCTCCAACCCGCGCAGCTACCTGAGAAGCCAAACAAGCTGACACGCGGTTTTCCTGCAGGTATGGAATAGACTTGGTGGTTTACAACCCGGTAAGTGTTGTTTGTCGTCTCATTTTCCTCCATCCGTCAAGGAACCCCCGGGACTAACGCAAGCATCCAGCTCGCCGGTGGCGTGTTTAGTGGCAAATACAAATCCAAGAGCGACATGCCCAGCGAGGGCCGCTTCGCAGACGTGTCCCGGACAGGAAAGGTACGTAAAGTTTGAGGAAGACTTCATAAGTCTCTCAAAGCACCTCCCCCAAGCCAGCAGACTCAAATTTATTAAAAAAATCAAATGCCCTCCCAATCACCTCCCACAACTTATCCTGATCGTATTTGTATTAGATGTACCGCGACCGGTACTTCCAGGACTCGACTTTCCAAGCCCTCCAACTGATCGAGCCCGTCGTCCAACGCCACCAACTCACCTTACTCGAGACCGCGCTGCGATGGTGCATCCACCACTCGGCCCTGAAATTCGCCAAGGATGGCGGCAACGACGGCGTCATCATCGGCGTCAGCTCCCTCGCGCAGCTGGAGAGCAATCTGAGAGATCTGGAAAAGGGGCCCCTACCGCAGGAAGTCGTGGATGTGCTTGATGAGGCCTGGGAGACGTACCTCAAGGGGAGGGGCCCGAGTTATTGGCGGTAGGTAAGATAGACCGTCTTGCCCGGAGGGGGTGTAACAGAGGTGTAAGTACGGGTCCAGTGTCTCTCTCTCTCCCCAAAAAGAGGACTTGGTGAGGGTTGGGGGTACAAGAATGGCGATGGTATGATTCTTACGATACGAGCAAGCGATAGATAAGAGGTCGAGAAATGAGTGCAAAAAAGTTCAAATCGTGAACATTCGCCATTATATGAATCCATTTGTTGTCAACGCTCGCGGTATAGCTATGTGTAGGAAGCCAGTTAGAGTAGTGGAGGCCACCGGGCTAAACTCAGGAGCCCTCAGCCTCGTGAAACGCTATGGCCAACGGCTCGTACCCAAGGCGATTCCATACGAGGAGTTATTACTATTTCTACCGAGTAGATAGATTCCTGAGTGCAGAGATGTTTTTCAAGGTTCCATCGGTTCCATATTGTGCTACATACACCATATCCATCATGGAATCTATCTCCCTTTGACACAGGCTTTCTCAGCGGAGTATGGGTATCAACTTCCAACCCTTCCTCCCCTTCCATTGCCCCTTCCCCTGCGTGCTCTTGTTCCAAACCGGAATTTCATATCATCACTGTCGTCATCCTCGCTGTCGTCGCCACGCACAGTCGTGACAGGTAAAGTCTTTTGCCGCTTTGGCCGGCTCGTCTCTGCATTGGAGTTTGCAGCCCTCTTGCCCTTCTGCGATTGAGTCGTCGCTCTCGCTGTTGTCGTGTCGTCTCCGCCTGTCTCGGAAGCGTTCTCGCTCGCCTGCCGCGTCCGGTCCGCAGCACGGGTACGCCTCGGCGTGTCTGGGTCGATCTCATGCTCCGCGATGTCCTCTGCTTCGCGCTGTAGACGAGAAACCCCAGGAGTCGTCCTAGCTATCGATGCATTCTCAGCGTCTTCTTCTGCCTGTTCAATCACATCGTCGATTTCTTCATCATCATCGTCCAAGACGATCCTTGTTCTCGATCTCCCATCGGCACGACCACCGACTGTCCCGCTCGACGGCTGGGTCTGACTCTGCGTTGTCCGTTTGTTTCTCGCCTCTTCCCTGCGCTTCCTTTCCCTCTCGCGCTCCTTCTCTTCTTCAGTCTTCGACCAATATTGATCACCCAATCCACCTGTTTTATTCGGAACTTCGACTAACTGCACGATGACTTTGTTGGCATGAGATCTTCGCTGAGCTGGATCGCCTTTGCGACGGAAACCCTTGAAGTTCTTGCGACCATTCCACCTGGGATCCCAGTCTGGTCCATGATCCCCGTTGACCCTACTGTTCGCCTTCTTCATCTTATCACGGACTGGTAGATCAACAGTGACTACGTCAACGAGGTTCGCGGGTTCCTTGTCCTCAATGTCAGGCAGGACAGCTTCAAGCTCTTCTTCCTCTCTCCGCGCGGCTTCTTCTTTCACTTCCCGTTGCTTTCTGGCGGCTTCGCGGACGTCGATTTCTCGTTCCTTCTTGATCCTTCTCACAGGTGCTGGACGTGGTTGAATATCATCCATTTCATCAATACGGCCATTCGCGGCTGCTTCTGCGAGCTTCCGTCTCTTCAATGCGGTAGCTGCAGGAAGGAGATCATCCATTTCCTCTGCGAACGTATCAGGTCGCTCTTCTGTTGGGGAGCGAGGTCGCTTTCTCAATGTCGCAGAAGGCTCTTGTTTGACTACGACAGGTGACTTAGATCGCGTCTCCGGTCCGGAGACGTATGCTTCTTCCTCAATTACCTCGTCGTCCTCATAAACAGCCACGGCATCGGGATCGAATCCATCGTCGAAATTCTTGAATTTGGTCAGTTGCGAGACTTTAGGGACGGAGAGAGGTTTTGTAATGCTTCCTCCTGCATCATTGACCCGTGAATCATCCTGCCCTGACGTTTGAGAAGGCTGAAAGGACGCTGCTGCGTTGTCTGCCGCTTTCATGGCAAGCGCTGCTTGAAGACTTCCGTTCTCTGCTCCATTAGATGTGGAGTCGCCATTTGTGCGAGACTCAGGAGCCTGCCCTGTGGCAAGGGAGTTCGCTGCAGATGGGGGAGGTGCGATTCTTCCATCACTGGTGCTTTCAAACGGGATTGGTTGTTTAAGGAGTCCGGCATCGTTTGCCAGAATAGCTTCCAAGAACTCGGACTGATCAATTGCTCGCTGGTCCATCTTCAACGCGGTCTCATTGATAAGCGTGTTGGTCCATTCTTGGACATCCTCCTTTCCAGACCATCGAACCAAGATGACTCCGCCTTTTGATCCATTTTCATTTCCGCCAGCTTTATTCCCGGCCGCATTCTGCAAGAATTTAATCAGCTCGTCACTTGTTGTTTCAAAATTCACCACCTTGAACAGTATAGCTTTCCCATGCCCACTCGTTACGACCGGTAACAGATTGTCATACTGAGTCTGCTCGCCAAAGACAAACGTATAATGTTCAAATACGTTGAGTCGTGCGGGATCTGGCTGATATGATTTCGCAGGTCTGATTGTGGGTTCTTTTCCTGGAGGAGGAAGATGGTCCTTTGGATCAGGCCAGGCACTGTCGAAATCATTTTCCAGCGGAGACAGATTCACCTCCTGGCTCAGAGTGATGGGAGTGGCCGCATAGTCCAGGGCATCGAGATACGACTCTGTCACAAGGTATTTGGCGTTGACAAGCGCTAACAGACCCTTGGCAGTATTTCTCTTGCTGGCCACCACATGAGTCGTATACTCAGAAGAAAAGTCGCTGATAGCTTTGATATCCAGATCTTGTACTCGTGCCTGCTTTGCCTTGAGAACTCCCGACTTGATCTCTTTCTTGAGAAGGTTAAAGGTGAACACGCAGGGTCGCCATGTGAGGGTGAATTCGTACGGACAGTTGCCTGGTCGAATTGAAATTTCGGCGTCATTCAGTTCTCGCGAAGGGTTCGGTTCTTGCTCGTTCTTTGGGTCCTTCTTCTTGATCAGCTTGCCGTTAACAAACGTCCCTGTCTTTGAGTGATCCTCAATCCGTATCTTCGTTCGGGTGTGGATTTGACCGACGTCGGTATCTTTGACAGGGTCAACGGTGATATTGAAATGTTGTCTGGAGACTGTTTTGTGATCAATAGCGATCATAACGCCATCTTTCTTAACCCGACCAAACAAGTATCTCTGCCCAGGCTTGAGCCACATTCGCCTTCCCTGAAAGAAATCGGCATTGGTATCAAGAATCCACATAGTGGGAGCATCGTAGGAGAGGATTCCAGGAGGAGGATGGGAACGAAGAGGTGAACTGTGGAAAGCAAATGGTGCAGTAATGAAAGTTGTATACCGGACTGGAAGCGCAGCAATGATGGCACGACGAATAAATTATGACGCGACACGACTTTCGACCCTGGCGCCTGAGAGGAGAAGGCGAAGCTAGTGCTTTAGCGGCATCGGTGCCTATTAGGTTCATCCCGCAGATTTTGGGGGCTGAAAGTCTGGCGCCAGCTCTTCCCCTCAGCCCGCCATTGAACACAAAGAGGGGCTGGCATGCTACACTACCTAGGTACCTAGGTGGCCGCCAGCGCGGGGCACTTGACCATGGCACCAGTGGCACATGGAAATTGGCGGGATCAGCAGGGCATTCCAAGGCCCGAGCTTTACCATTGCCATCGCAACAGGTGACAACAGGGCCCAATCGCAGGGGACAAAGGGTCTCCGACGTCAGTCAGCGGCCAGTCTGGACAAGAGCATCTTGCTCCCACCTACGAGTATCCTTCCTTAGCCTTTCCTTCAATTTCAATACTCGAGCCTCACTTCAGTCGAGAAAGCCACTTCCTATCAAGATGTCTAACGCGTTGAACGAAGAAAACACGCCTGACCTCAAGGTCGACGAAACTCCTATCTCCCCCATTGAGCGCCGGAACTCTCTCGAGAAACACCTGCAGCAGCGCCCTGATGTTCAAGACCTGAAGAATCGCAATATCCTTCTTAACAGCAATGCTGCCCCGTGAGTCTACAGCCTAGTCTGTCAAGACGCTAGCGCAGTTCCTCACTATGTGTGCAGGGCCCTGCAGGCAAAACAGCACGAACTCGAGCGTCAGCAACAATCGGACAACCTGAGGAAGCACCTCGAGAAGCGACCGGAACGTGAGGAATTGGTCGAACGTAGGGATCAGTCCATACCGCAGTGTTGCCGCCATTCTCACATTCTAATAGGAAACATCCTGCCCGACTCGAACGCCGCCCCTGCCCTGCAAGCCAACCAGAAAGCATTGGATAGACACATGCGAGCCGATAGTCTTGAGCATAAGATTCAGCAGCGGCCCAAGCCAGAACAGCTGGTGAAGGAGGGCATCCTGGAAGCGGATGAAGACCCAACCAAGCCATGAAACAAGAAGGGCCGGAGGTCTGGAGGACACGTCGTTTTGCGTGATTCTGATATACAAGATGGGGGGTGTCATGGACACTGGCCAGTGGGGGACTGACCGACAAATGCTTTAGTAGCTCTCGAGATAGCCCAGCATTTGAGCAGACACGAGGCAGCAAATGTCCTGCGATCTGAGAATGGACGCATCCTTTTCAATAATCCTCAACTCCTTCGCCACTGTCCCGCCCTGCATTACCGAACGAAGCCTCTGGTTTCCAGCCCTTGGGTCTCTCCTTGCCTCTTACTATCATTTCGTACACACCGTTCTCCACCTTCTCCACGGACTGTCTCGTCACCTTGAGCTTGCTATCAAAATGTTTCGAAAGGCTGAAATTTTTGCTCGGGTCTAGCCCTTCCAGACCCGCGCGCAGATCTTGCATATCCGTCAAGATCGAGGACTTGTGGGATGACTCTGCTCCTCTTGAGATTCCAGCTAACTGCCCGTTCGTGGCCATGTTCGTAATGGCGAAACGCATCAGCTCACCAGTCATGTCGAATAACCCGAGCACATAGTCATCATAAGTGAGTGAGATGCCTGCTGGAAGCTGTGCCTGGGCATCCTCAAACCTCATGACCTGTTGAGTCTCCAGGTATCGCTGGAAAGTGACGGCTTCCATGAACTCTTGAATGCCACCGCTGATGGTGCTGTGGTACCGATATGCGTTGATGCCTTGTAGGTCTGGGACGACGCTCTGAAAAAGGTCACGGATGGTGCCAAACATGGGCGTCGTTTGCTTAGATATCGAAGCATGTATGGGTTTGCCTAGTTCACGAACTCTATGTTTATAGCTGTGAGTTGCTGTTGCCAATTGTGGTTGATTGTTGCCTCACCTTTGTAATGCAAATATGCTGCCGACACTTGGTTAGGGATGTGGAACGACAAAGCGCATAGACTCTGCACTCACATCTTCTTACTTTGAGCAGTCACATCCCTTGACACTTTGACAATCTTTTCTCTGCGATCATGGTGTTCATCGAGCTCGGCCCGGAAAGCTTCAAATATGGAGAGAAACGGTGATTTTGCCTCAGACGAAGCGGCCTCATTACCACCCATTCCGTCGTACTTTCTCTTTGTTCCTGCCATGATGAACCTTTGAGATTGTGAAGGCTCACGGGATACACACCTTGTCGGAAAGCAGGAGACAAAGTGCTGAAGTTGTTGTGAGTGCTGCCAGGAGTCTACCAATTTCTCTCGCTGCTTTCAGGGCAAGAAGGCTGAGCAGATCGTTGCGAGGCGTGATGATCTATGGATTCGAGTTTGCGGTATCCCAGAGGATGTTAGAACTGCTCCTTTTCTACTGGTGCTGTCCTACTTTGCGTATTTATATAGTGTTTGAGGTCCACATCTCCCAGAGCCTGACAAAATAGCCAGTTTCCCCTGCGAAGCACAGGCCACTAATGCGGCAGTCCAGCGGAGACTTTGACAAAAGTTCCCCCAATGCACGTCAAACCACCATTTCAAAACCGCCTTGACTGAATGAACGGTCCTTCAAACGGTTTGCGCACTCATCTCAGTCAAGTCAAGCTGATTTCGACCTACCTCGCACTCAGGAGCAGCGGGAGGCATCAGGCACTACGATAACATGCTGCCGGCCTCATGGCTTCACTCCTCAAATCCCTCCTCTCATCGCGCATCTCAGTCTTCACCTCAGCCTTCCTGCTTCGGGCCGTCCTGCTCGTCTATGGAATATATCAAGACTCGGTTTCCGCCCTGAAATACACAGACATCGACTACTACGTCTTCACAGACGCCGCCCGCGCCGTGTCCAGGCACGCGTCCCCTTACGATCGTGCTACATACCGATACACTCCCCTTCTAGCATGGATCCTGCTGCCCACCAGCTGGGGAGGACTTTGGTTTCATTTTGGAAAGGCATTGTTTGCTCTGTCTGATCTCATCGCTGGATGGCTCATTCTCAGGCTTTTGAAGAGACAGGGTTTGGGAGAGCAACGGGCTCTGAGATACGCGGCCGTGTGGCTCCTGAACCCGATGGTCGCAAACATCAGTACACGCGGAAGCAGTGAAGGTCTCCTCTGCGTTCTGGTCATGGCTCTGCTCTGGGCGTTCGAGACCAAGAAAACTGTTTTGTCAGGTCTGCTGCTGGGGATGTGTGTCCATTTCAAGATATACCCTTTCATTTACGGAGCGAGCATGCTGTGGGCGCTGGAGACCTCTTCTTCCTCTACAACAAACACATTGCAAGTTGTCTTCCAATTCTTCAACGAGAGCCGCGTTTTGCTGCTTCTGACCTCGATTTCAACCTTTGCAGCCCTCAACCTGCTCATGTACAATATCTACGGCTTCCCGTTCCTCCAACACACGTTCCTCCATCACTTGACTCGAATTGACCACCGGCACAATTTCTCCCCGTACAATACACTTCTTTACCTCTCCTCGGCGCAGGCAGCCAACCCAACACTTGCCCATCTGCGCTCCTCAATCTCCTTCGAATCCTTGGCCTTCATTCCCCAACTCCTCCTCTCCACGATCCTCATCCCCATTGGTCTGGCGAAGCGCGATCTTCCAACAACCATGTTGGCCCAAACCCTCGCCTTCGTGACCTTCAACAAAGTCTGCACATCCCAGTACTTCCTCTGGTATCTCATATTCCTGCCACTATACCTGCCCAATTCGTCATTACTCGCGAGGCCCTCGCTGGGGATAACGGCACTGGCACTCTGGGTCCTCGGGCAGGCGATCTGGTTACAGCAGGGCTATCAACTCGAGTTCTTGGGCAAGAGTACGTTTGCCCCGGGCCTCTTTGCGGCAAGTCTCGCTTTCTTCGGGATTAATTGTTGGATATTGGGGATCGTGGTGGGCGATGTCGTTGACAGGTCCACAACTTCGAAGATGGCCACCACCATCACCACTACCACCTCGCAACGAGGGCCCGAAACCTCATCATCCTCTCCGACAACAGCCTCTGGACCGGCGGGCACTACTACCGCGAACGTCTCTGAGCTTAAGGCACGGTCAACCCGCGACAACAGGCGGCGTGGGAATGCTAGTATCGACACGAGCGGCATGGCCCATGTGCATTTAGGGCCGAGGGATCGAGTCTTGAAAAGTAATTGAGCCGGATCACGTTGTGAGCCATACCTCGGAAGATCGATCTTTTGAGGGATCGAGGGTGAGGGATTGTACTAGTACTGACGACAGTTATCAGAGAAATTACAAGGGTATCGCCCGGAGGAAATGTAGACTGTGAGGATCGAAAAAAAGCAAACCGTGAACTTTTTGGATTCCTTGAAGAGCATGATGATCCCAATCACTCTACACTTTCTTTCCCAACAAATCTTTCTTTTCTCCCTGCCGGTCAAATCTGGGGGTTTTGATCCCCCCAGATTTGACCTCTGGATCTTTCAATCCTATGAGCCCTCTTCCCCTTCCATTCCATTCCATTCCATCCCACCCCGTTCATTATACCCAAAACATGCAAAAATCCAGCAAGACATATTTCCCGGAGTCGGACCAGATCTCCCGCAAGAGGAAAGCCGTGATAAAACCAAAGCAGAGTTAAAACGTCATGCATCAGATACAAAACAACACAGCGCAACACAGCGCAGCGCAAAGAGCAAAAAGAGAGGGGAAATCCAAAGATCCTCGATTGCACATCGAAAACTGGGTACAGAGAAAGAGCACATGGTCCCAGAACCCACCCACCAAAGCAAGAAACTTTTTTGCCCGCCCGACCCCATTAGAATTTTCCTCATCACATCAAATCCATACACAGCTCGTGACCTGCTTGTTTTGCGTGCATACATGCATGCCAGTCAGTCGTTGCTGACCATTCATTCAGCCATCAGTTTGGAATATACAAAATGAGACACCTCGTGGTCGAACAATAGCTGGGGATGTAAAAGGTTCCATTTTCGTCAACGCCCCCCATGCAACGAATGTCCTCGGCGTTGCTGAAAATTTTCCAGCTTTTAATATGAGCTTCGAAGCATTCCACTGTTTTTCTGCACAGAAGACTGCGGTAAGAAGAAAAAGGTGGGCAAATCAACCACCCCTCACATCAGCAATGATCTTGTAGCTGGTCGTCTTGATGCTCCGTGGCTTCGACTTGGGCCAAAGCATGCTAGGCGCGAGCTCCAAGACAGGAGGTGGAGATGCACGTCCAGGACCACCATAAGGATAAGCCGGCGGGCCCCCGATGCCAGTCGAGGCATGGTTGGAAGAGCTCGCCAAGAGGGCCATGTGCTTGTAATAGCCTTCTGTACACTCGATCCCCTCCTCCAGCTCCACGTACCCGACATCGGGCATCACCTGGCTCAGCCTCTCCACAATCTCCTCGTTCCAAATGCCATACACCTTGCCATGCTCCAGCAGCCAGTACGGGTTCAACAGTGTACAAGGAGAGTCCAAGTCAATGTATCTGATCCGCACATACTCCAGATTCGGGAAAAATGGCAGTGCCTCGACGGTGTTGAGGACAAGACGTTCCAGAGCCTTGATGAAGACGAGATTTGTGAGTCCAGCGCCGTCGGCGATGATACCACCTAATTCTTGGATAAATGTCTCTCCCGTTTTGGGGTCGGTTGCGGTGACACGTTGGCGGCAGCATGACTTGACCACTATTTCAAGATGCTTGAGTTTGGGTTCTTCTGCTTTTCCCGTTTGAGAGGAGATTGCAGAGCATGCACTAGTCCACAGGCACTCGCAGATCTTTCCCCTGAATGAGAGTGATTCGACGTGTGGCAGAACACGACCTATCTGGTCGCAGAGATGCGGTGGTCGACCACCCAAGCTTGACCCCAATGGTATTGGTTCTTTGCCGTACATTCCATCGAGAGAGATGTTGACATGACGGAGTCTTGAAGGGAGGTATGTGAGGACTTCGTTGATTGTGGCGTCCGCTTCAGGACGGGGTCTCGCGTAAGCGCAATGCCACTCCTCAACGTTTGGCAGAGCATCCTCGATTGTCTTCCAGTGCTGATAATTTCTCATTATATTCCAGGCTCCGCGCATGGCGAAGGTGCGAATATTTGGTAATTTGTCCAACCGCTGATTCGGGTCGGGGAAGAGGGTCTTTGGAAAGTGCCGAATCATGTTGGACTTCTTGCAGTGGCCCCCTTCTAGTGTGAAGATGAGCGAGTGAGGGAAGAAATCATTGATGTGGGCAAATATCTCTGAGAGTGTTGCTGAGTAGGCGCATATTGCGTAGCTGAAGCCTAGCACATCGGTGGCTGCAATCAGGTCTCTTTCACTTGCTTGCTGCACAAGGTGATAGGAGGAGCCATTGTTGCGTTCTCCCGCCGGCCTGGGTAGGAGAGGGTTGACAGAAAGATCGTGGAAGGGGGCCTTGTCTCCCCAAACAGGGACCCAAAATTCAATATGCCGGACAAGCTTCCTCAAATGAGCATGAGAGCTGAAGAAGGTTTCAGACTCTTTGAGTCCGGCCCGAGTGCCCTTGATCTTGATATGTCGATATATGCGCTCTTGAACCATATCACGCCAGGCAGGTGAGACCAGCGCAAAGTCCGAGACGGCCTTGCGTCGCGGGTGTCGCATCAGGGATGAGACACTCTTGCCCCGCAGTGATGTTGATCCAACATAGACTGAATGCATATCCCCGAAGATGAAGTCGAGGATCTTGCCTTGAACTTCGAGCGGCAGGTCATTGAGAGACATTTGAGCTTTACGGCTGCCTTTTTGAGATCTGGAAGGGTCATTCTCCTTTTCTTGACACGAGTCTCCGGCGTCCAGACACGGCGAGTCCACGGCGCAAACGGTGACCACTCCAATTGTCTGTCCATCTGGCTGTAAGGGCTCCCCGACAAGGTCGACAACCGAAGCTACTGAAGGAGCACGCTTCCGAGGCGTCGCTAGAGGGAAAGCCACATCTGATCTGGATAGTCTTGTGGGTGGAACGGAATGCCTTTCGTGTACTTCTTGCGGCCGGTTGGAATCGTTGTCCATGACCACCTCTTGCAACAGCATCTTGACCGGAGACTGCACCGGCCCCAATTGCCGGGGCTACCCTAAGCGTGCGATCTCCGGTGGGCTTTTCAATGGATCGATTGGGAAGGTGATCGTTGTGATACACCGGACTTTGTCACCGGCGAGGCTCAGACTTCGAGTAAGAATGGGCAGCTGAAGGACTCGGGGCAGAAGTTTCTGCGGGTTCCGCGATTGAGCAGGCGTCGGTGCTGGGTATTAATGCTGGCCAGGGCGAGAACGTGTCGTCTGGCTAGTTTCAGAGCAATTTGCATGTCCTGGAATGAGAGAAACACAAGCAGGCAAAGGGGGGCTGGTTCAATAATGTTGTCGGTTTGGTTGTCAGGCGGCTGAATTTAATGGCGCAGGACACAGCCACAAGTGAATGACCCTGAGAAATGAATGCACATGCATGCACTGCCACCACCACCCGCGTCTCAGCCTTGCCAAGGGTCTGGAGATCCCGACGACCGCGGGGGACTCCGCTACCATGGTGGATGAGAATGAGGAGCACCTGAGCGCTGTAATCCCAAGAATGAGTCCGGCGGGAAATACATGGCCATCCTCAAAAGCGAGTGCCACGTCAGACGTCAAGATAGGCAGCATTGTCGTAAGTGCACGCTTTGCCATATAAAGTACGTGTGAAGGCTCTCTAGAGGCCACCGATGGTCGATAGATATAGCTATATAGACTACGAACTAATTGAGAGATAGTAGCTATAAGAGGTATAACTATACATCCCCTATTGCGTTAGGAGAGTCTTTCGGAAAGAGTACTCCTGGCCTACTTATCGTAGACTAGGATTACGGGGATTTGAGAAGATGGCTCTTTCCACCACATTGGCCACATGAAGCTCAGTTGATCCTCCCAATCCCAGGAGAACCCCGTCTTTGCTCTAGGATTTTAGTCACAGACCCAGGATGTCGAAGTCATAAGAGAATGCATGGCAAGTGAGACTGAGATCCCTAGAGGTATCTAAGCTGGATTGTTCACGGGATGGATGTTCCCCCCTCGGGCCAAAGTGCTGAACCAGCAAGAATACAAAGGGTACCCTGGTTACGAAGCCGAATCCGAATAGCAATATTATGTGTTGGACGAGACTACATCAAGTGGGAATCAATCGAGATGACATTGGACTCTATGTGACCCTTTCTCGATGATTTTGCTCTTTCAGCCTCAGCGTGCAGGAGAGCAATGCTGGTATCCCGCACTAGCTGGATCGACATCATTGCCGGTTAGTCTCCATCCATTGTCTGTGTGCCGCAGCCATCCTCCTCTCTAGTCGCTGCAGACGTTGGGATGAAATGTCTACTGGAAGGTCAATCTCGCCTACGGGAGCAATGCCTCCTAGCCTCTGGACTTGAAACCGAGAGCGCACATTGTCACAGCGCAGAGAAGGATACATGTCGAAAAATGCAGGATCGAGTTGCGTGCCTGGAATATCGGTCAAACGTAGCCCGTAGACTTTGCACAAAGAGGCGATGCTGGGAGAAAGCTTCTGCCTGTAGAGCTTAGCTGAGGTACCTTGTGTCGATACCTGCCTGCCCTGTTTTTCCAGGAGGCAGAGCTCCCATAGACGGAAACTAGTACTTGCGGCGACGGGCGCTCCACGGTTCGCCGGGATGTCACCCTTGCCAGCAGGTGTAGAAGGTACACATCGCTGCGATACGGCGTTCTGAATCGCGGTGCGAACGACGACATCGCTGTCAATTTGGGTGGAGGGTTGCAATAGTATTAGTTGCTCGCGAAGATCTGGCCACGGTAACCAGTCAATGAAGGGCGAATGCGGGATGCACAGTTGCACCTCGGTGGGACGATAGTATGGCGGGAGTCGACGGTAAGATTCCAGGCAAGGGGCGTTGCGCCAAAGCTCGACCAGGCTGAACTGTTCACGAGCTCCCTAAATAAAGCCCGTGTTAGTGTCAAGGTCTTCCAAATATCCCTTTGGGAAGGAAAGAGTCGTAATTACGATAAGTTCCCAGAATATCTCCACGGTGGGCCAGGCTTCGTGAAGGACCCACGAGGTGCCTTCAAAGGCTAGCATGGCAAGGCCGTCAATACTAAAGCAAGTTAGATATCCGTGATGATCTTCCTTGGTGTGGACGGGATTTCAGTGTAGTTTCATACCTAGTGAATGTTGACGTGAACTGCGCAAAGAGGTGACCCATGGCTTCTATATATTGATCAACCTTGCCCGCTGGGTTGACTGGATGAAAACCGACTTCTCGGTCCTCGTATCTCAGCTGCACATCCCGGTATACGGGAATAGATTGATACGATCCTGACATTGAGTCATGGCCAGCGAGACTCTGAGAAAATCCAAGGGAATTCTCTTCCGAATAGTATGTTCCGCCATTACGGAGTTCATCAGCAGTGGAAAGAAAAGACACCCGAGTTGTTGGTTGATTCCCAGACTCAATCGTCTCAGATATGCCGTCTTGAGTTGAAGGTATTGTGTGATTATACAGATATCGAGAATTGTTTGCTTCGCATGGATGGCACCGTATAGAGGCAGGAGTATAGAACGGATCGCCAACGTTCATCGTTCGGATATGTGGGCTGAGAGTTATACTTGGCTCGAGATAGCCAAAAGTCGACTGACTCCAAGCTTGGTCATATTCGAATGCCATTGATCGTACTGGTGGCTTGAAGTTGAGTCGAGTCTCCACAGAAGCTGGAAGAGGCGCGAATTCATCCATGCCAGCTACTTCTGCTGCGGCCTGGACAGGCCTGGGTTCACAACCCTGTGACACAGAAAGATAATTTTGCCCTGGCCACGAGCTATTGTTGTTTTCCATGTTGTCATAGTCGCCAACGTAAGGGGATGTCACCGTCTCCAGGAGCAAAGAGGGAAAGACACCTGACGAGGCCACATCGAATTGACCATATCCATTGGCAGCTGTATTTGCCGACAATGGGACCTCTGCTGCGTGGTAATTCTGTTCAAGACCTGGCCGCCACGGAGACTGCGACAACTGGCCCATAAGAGTGGCACAAATGTTTTCCACGCGTTCTAACCGGAACATCAGCGACCTTTCGTCGCTGGCGGAGGCCATTATCAAAGCAGTCCATTTAAAAGCAGAGATATACCTGGGACCCGACGTGCCCTGCGGACGAAGAGCATAAGATTGGGATGGATCGAGAGATATTGATTTACATCCCTCCCATTTGTGGGGAGAATCTGGGGTCGCATTCTGCTACCCCGTACTCCTCCCGTCATTAGTATTCTACGGGAAAATTTCCGCCATCTTCCCATCATTACTAATGGTAGACAGGAGGATTATTTCGTTCCAGGCGCTTAGGGGAAACTTGATGACAGACAATCGTTCAATTTCCGTACAGTAGTAATGGTTTTCTACTTCTCAACCTAGAGCTCAGAAGACGACCTCCATCCCTCAAGCCTTGTTATAGTTCCCCCAACTCTATGAAACCTGAGTGATGTGACTGTGAGGATTTCCTTTCCAAAAGAACAATCCTGTAAATGGACGTTTAGGAGTTACGGCCCGTTGAAGGTAAGATAGATATTTCAATTTGTTATTCAGGAAATATGTATATTGTCTTTCATCTCTTGTATAAGCGAACGAGAATGCCTTCCTGCTTATTGAAAAAGGCATCATGGGTATGCCACTCCTTGTCGGGCTGAACAAGCTCCACTCTGAATTGTCGTAGAAACTGAGGGATGATTTTGTACATTTCTGCAAGAGATATCTGTATGTCCAAAATCGTTAGAAGCGTCAATGGGATTGACAGTCAATACGAACATTCTTGCCCAGACAAGTCCTCGCCCCCTGGCCGAAGTGGAACAAGTAGCGCTCCATCTTAACGCTGGCCTCGCCCTGAAGCCATCGTTCTGGCACAAACTGGAGTGCGTCATCCCCAAAAACATTCTTGTCGAAATGAACGACCGCTGCATTAATCCCCACTCGTGTACCTCCGGGGAAGAAACGACCTGAGATGGTGGCACCCCCAGGAGGCACATGGCGCGGCAGCGACATGCCCACCGATGGATGGATACGCAGACCCTCCTTGATGCAGGCGACAAGATAGGGAAGTTCGATGGCTTCGGCGTAACGGATGCTGGGGGACAGTTTACCAGACGCCGAAGCTGCGAGGATCTCGTCGACAAGAGTCTCCATGGCGGCAGGGGTCTTCATCAAATAGTAAAGGACCGCTCGAATGGCAATCGCGGTGGTGTCGCTTCCTGCCAGCCTGTCGAATCAACGAATTAGTCAGGCTCTTTCACAAGGTGCTGTTGTATCAAAGATGGTAACCCATTGAACGAAGTTCTGGTCATGACACATACAGTGCAGAGCAGACCTCGCTGTTGATGTCCATGACCACCCAACCTGGTTTGACTTGGAGGAGACTGATCAGCTTGTCTAGCATGTCTGCCCGCCCGCCCCTATTTCCAGCTTCCACCTCCGCCAGGCGGCCTTGAACAGCTGCTGCGGCCCTTTTCCGGATATTCTCGAAGCAAGTGATTCCGGCACGGATGGAGGGCGCCAATGGACCAAATAGTTGAAGTACCCTCCGCGCGTAGACAGGAAGCACGCCGCCGATTGCAGCAGCCGGAAATAAAGAATCTAGGTGTTGGATAGTGTTCTCGTAGTCGTGTTCGCCGTCGAGGAATCCAAACCTTTCACCAAAGAAAAGCTCTCCGATAACGTCGAACGTGTACCTGACAAGATGTCACAGTTAGATGTGTTTTGTCTGTCGAAGGCCAGCCAAGATCCGTCCCCCTGACTCACCACTGAATCCACTCCCCGAGGTCGACGACCGTGCATTGATCTGCGTGCTTGGCCATTTTGGGCAAAAAGACTTCCGAGCATGAGTCAATGCACTGCTCCGATTCCAAGATGGTTGTCATCGAATACAGATTGTTGACATAGCGGCGACGGTCGGCGTGCACTTTCTCGTCCCGGCGAGAAAAATGATCACGATGAGGCTTCATGGCTTGAAACTCGTCGTAGAAGTCTGTCTGCTCTGCGTGTGAGGTCGATATTGGCAGTGACAGTGCGTGTCCAATATGTTTGAAGGGAGGCTAACCTTAACGAATCCACTCTTGATTCCATAGATGATCTTGATTGCCTCCGGGTCCGAGATGGAGACTTCGTCCGGTGCAATTCTCACAATGTCTCCTGAATCCAAGGCAGGGTTAGACAAGCTTCGTGCTAGCATTGACCACAATTTGAACGGCTTTGAGCCTTCCTCATACCGAGTTTGTCATGCAGGTCACGTTGCAAAGTATCAATATGGCCTCTATAGACGTGAAATGCCAGCCATGTCCGGGAAAGCGACGCCCAAAAGGGACCAGGAATGCCAGCGAGAGGGTGGAAGAGGCGCATGTATGCGACCCACGCGCAACAAATTATGGGAAGAGCATAAAGGGCAATATAGGGGCTTGTATAGAGCGCCAGGCGCTCGAGAGCTGCCGATGAGAGCATCTGGAACGCACTGAAATCCTTTTCCCTGTCGAAATCTATTCATTGCCCTGGCAAGAAGTGGAATATATATAGACCAGGTGCTCACAACATCAGGGACGTCTTTAGAACTAGCTGTACACGATGATCTGGCACATAACCCCAGCTGTAGGACATCGGTGGAGCACTCCATGACTTGGATAAATGAGGAACATTTATTCGTAGAGTTGTTCTTGGTCAAAGAATGCTGTGGTCGGAATCGAGCTACTCGCTGTGTATGGCTGTCATTGGCCGGTTGAGGCAGAGAAGGGCTCGGAAATTGTGGGGGTGGCGCCAACTACCAAACTATGGTCGAATAGTTCGGAATGAATATGAGATGTTTCCGGTTAGGTTTGACTGAGAAGACAGTAATTCAAACGCTAGATTCTGCGTGAATCGTCTCTTTGGATTTGGGCACATCTGAGCTCAAAAAAAGCAGTCTTATCTTTTGTTGTTGCCAAACACCTTTGGATTTCGAAGACGAGGCTGCATATGCTCCAGGTCTCCATGGTTCTGGTCTGATTAAGCCCGGAGCTTTCCGATTGTTTCTTTCATTGTCACCATGGCATACACATGCCCAGCTTGCTCAAAGAAGTACACGCGTAGAGATCATCTCCACAGACATGCTCTCACTCACGACAAAGAGCGCGCATTCAAGTGTCCGATCTGTTGTTATAGGTTTGGCCGAAGGTCAGGATAAGCTCAATTCATCGACCAATTGTCACATGCTTGGTTTCTGACTGACTGATTACCTGTGGACAATGAAGGGATGTTCTTCTGCGACATATCCGTTCTCACGCTCGGGCTAATTCCGCGTCTCACGCACGCTCACGGTCGGTCGTTGCTTGTGATGCGTGCTCTACCCGGAGTGTTCGCTGTGACAACGGCAGGCCGTGTGCATCATGCCGCAAAGCCGGGACTGAGTGTAAGGTGGATCGAGATTTCAAGCATGGTGGACGGTCAGAGGTAGTAGGAGATGACAGTTCTAGTGGCGTGTCAAACGCCCAAGGAGCCTATCGGTCATAGGTTCGGTAGTGTATGCGTCGGCGAAGATGATATCAGCGTCATTATCCAAGTCGGTGGTGTGGGAGAAAGTTCTTAAAAGGGACCGCGTTCGCAGGGTATATCCACGACTGAACCGAGGACGCATGTCTTGGGGCCTGAAGCACGCAGGAAAGAAGACAAGAAGCAGACAATCATGTAATATGGATATTCTTGTGAGAGAAGGTATGCCTAGCTCTTGTCGTCGATGCTGCCTCAAGCAGTATGATGTTGCAAGTGTCTGAAAAGCCTGTCAAGGTGACAAATGCTTAGCCTCGTTTCTGACGCACACCGTGTTATGTCTCTCAAAGCCCACAATGTGCATTCTGTCCGAGCTGCTCAGAAACTGCTTCAGTAGATGAACAACATGAGCTCCGATCTCAGCCATCTCTCTTCCTGCCGATATTGCCGAAGGACTTTGATCCAGGAGTCCGGGGCCAAGGCTTCAACTGGGAGTAGTCAAGCTCACTGGACCTGGCGTTGGGCTGCATCTTGCGAGGGTCACGGTGGTCGCGTTATACGCAGTTACTGTGGTGGTAAAGTTCGCCTCCTGCACCACAGCATCAGCAAAACAGCTTCCTTCGGAGGCGACATGGAATTGGCTCGCACGACGTGTCAAGAGCAAAGTCCTTCAGCAAGGAGACTCACCACAAAAACGTGGCCATATGGAATGACCACGATATTGTTGCAGCCATGACAATCGTAGACTTGAGATGTGTAGGTTGTGAGGGAATAGTAAGTGCTTGTCGGGCCAATTGCAATGACTGGTGCCGTGTACGCAGTGGTGGTGCAGTCCGCAACTTCTGTCAACGTGCTCGTGGAGGTGCTGTCAAAGTCAGTTGACTCAAACATCATGCGAAAGAGACGCTTGTCCGCCCACCTGAGGATTGAAGTCGCCAATGCGTGAGCTCGGATGATGAATGTCGACGTCCAAGCGAGCACCACAGACAGGAGGAGGGACATTTTCGCCATGTTTTCTCCGAAGAAAGAGTCGAAGGTGAGTTGGTGGACGAACGGACCGCTGAATATGTGGAAATGTCTTCAGACAGAAGAAAAGTGGAAGCAGAGGGAGAAGGAGCTGGAACGAAGAAGAGCAAATTCAAGAGGATCAAGGCCCGACAACGGCAGCGTTCCAGGCAGCGACAAGATGAGGTTATCGTCGTGTTCAAGAAATGTCAAGCCGTGGTTATTGGTCCCTTGTTGAGTCTTCAGCCAACGACCCGGAGTTCAAGTTTGAGGAGATTTGAGAGATGATCAAGTCATGGTGCATGATGCAGAATCACACAGAAAACGTCAATCGGAAGACTTGTGAGCAAAAACCCGTCCACTTTCCAGCATCCAAATTTCCATTTGTTTTGCATCAAACTGTCATTTGTATCATGCAGCCTTCGACCCAGCTTTTAATCATGCCAGTAATGAGCGGTGCTACTGTACAATTGCGTTCATCGAGCGCCTTGAGCTCGGAAATGCTGCGCCTAGCGATATAAGCCAGCTTAGAGAAATTAAAGTCGTTTCGTCTCTTTCGTCAATGCCATCCATCACTGAATGCCCCCAGGATTCATGACGATTCCCATTCTCCTCCATTACTCTGTCCTTCCTCCATGTATTCATCTCATCTCCACTTGTGTTGAGCGGTTCGTGCTCATGTTGCAATTTTAGGCAACAGGTTCACTTTGGCGAAAGTGTCGTCGAAGTTGCGCTTAGTCCTCGTCGCCAACCTGACCAAGTCAGCAAGCGCATTTACGCTTCACTGTCATCACCAACTCGGAGAGTTCCTTGGCTGCCAAAGCCTTGAGACCAGAATCCTTCGAGGGATGGGGAGCTACATATCGTCAGCAATGTTCGATGATCAATTATTCAGTTCAACATACGTGCTTGACATGCTGTCATGAGTGAACAGAAGCCAGAAACCAAAGACCTGCTCCTCATTAGCGAATATCCCTAAAATGAAGGGCGAAGAAAGCTCACTGGTTTGGCGAGAATGTCGAGGACCGCATATGCAATGATCTCAGAGTCGATGTCAATAACGTGGCCACCCTCAGCAAGACCCCAGATACTGTCATTCGTCAGTAAGTGGTTGTAAGGTGGTGGTTAGCGGGCTCACATTGGGTAGAGTAGCCACACAATGAGGGTATAACCAGCAATGGAGGCATAGAACGCCTTGGTCTTGCTGTCCTTGCTGGCAACGGCCTCACGACCATTTGCTGCCAGTTGATAGACAATCACGAGGAAAGCAATGCAAGCCCAAGCGTACCAGCCCCATTTTTGACTGTCTTCGGCCTGGCCGAAGGCTGCGAATAGCCCACAGAGAACCATAACGACATCAGCAAAGATGGCAACCAGGATATTTGCACCGCTGAGTCCCGCGATGAGAGCAAGGTCGAGAAGCAGGAGTGGGGTTGTGATGCTCCAGTCAACATATCTCGCCCAGTAGACATCGCGTCGGTATTCTTGGGTGGTATTTGGGACTTTCTTGTGGTGCTCTGTAACAGTGTATGAGACGAAGGAAGTGCCATCACCAACGGCCATAGCGAAGTAGGACAGGAAGGCAACGGTCGTAATGAAAGAGGTCAGGATGTGGAAGAGCCGTTTTTGCTGTGTGCACGCTTGTCAGACCAGACCTTGAGTTGCAGACGGACTCGCAAGACTTACCACTGGGACGCGGAAAGCCATGCCATAGAAGGCAAGGGAAGACAGGGCCATGAGCACGACAACCACCCTGGTAGATTGTGAGCAATGCAAATCTCTTCATGGACAAGAGGGAGCATACCACAGAGTCCTCTTGCCAGTATCACCGGCCTCAATGTAGATAGGAGGAGTTGGGATGACAGTGGGAATAGGAGCCACCGAAGTGGAAGCCGTAGGAGCGGTCTTCAACATGTCTGGATGGACAATCATGTTGCTGGCAGCGGATGTAGCGTTACGGAAAAGGATGCTTGAGTACAGAACGATGAGACTGGCAGTGAGCTAGATGGGGGGACTTGGGTGTAAGTAACAACAATAACAACAATGGAGAGATGAGAAATTCAAATACGAGTTGTCAAGGCAGCAGTCAAAGACGTCAAGTAGAAGTTGGGGGGAAAAGAGCTTTCGCTCGTTGGCTGAAGCAAGAGGAGTGATGGAATGGCCTGAAGGAAGTAACGATGACGAAAAGAGTACCATCTGCGCAGCACTCGGTGGCACTTATTGGACCCTTGGCTGGTAGTCATACCACCACGGCTTGACTCTGTGAAAAGTGGCAGTTGCCGTGTGATCAAACGGGTCGAGACCCTTTGATTGACCTGTGGAGAGAGCAGAGAGAGAGGGAGTCTGAGTGGTCCTCACTTCTCACTCGGATGTTTCTTTCACTGTCACAAGCAGGACAAAAATTGTGTGCAGGTTGATGCGGGGTCGTAGGCGTACCAGTAGAATCAAGGCAACATGGGCGTGCATGGACCAGGGGTGTGGCTGCTGAGGCTGGTAGGCTTAGGTACCAGGTTAAGGGGCCAATCACTCCGGGCCTCACCCCCAGTTTTAGGCGGCACTTACCCTTGTTTAGCTGGTTGTACGGGCAGCTTTCCCTCGTAGCTGCGGCTTCGCCCGCCGCCAATGGCAAGCTGCTCAAGCTTCTTCATCCAACAGTGAGGAGAAGATGCAGCACGAGAAGCTGTCGACATCATGCCATTTGCTCCGTTGCGACTCGTGAACCAAGCAAGGGCTTAGCTGAATATTGTGTCGAGGAGAGCACACGGTGTCCACCATGAATTTCACAGCTGCCGGCAACTGGCGGGTCAAAGAAGACAACAGTCGGTGGGCAAGTCAGCAGCAGCCACTAGACTCCCAAGCGTCACTTGATGACGTCGATCATCGGGGATTTTGGGGATTGCGGTGATGGAAACCTGTAAAAGTTGCTGCCACAGCTTCATTGTGGCAGAAGGAAACGCATCCAGAAGGTGGACCATCAGCATCATGTCTCTCAGGCGCACGTCTGTGGTACCTCCTGTTTTTCTTCTTCCGCCTCTGTCTCAAATCTCAGAGCCACACGGTGCTTGACAACTCGCACCGAAAAAGAAAGCCCAGTTCCTCTTAGTCACACAAGCCACACCTTTACCCCGCAGTGAAGAAGGATCTAGCTTCCACCAATGGATCCAGCAGTTGCGGCGTTGATGCTGCACGTCAAGCTCTAGTCAATTCTACAAGATCCCATGACCACCTCATGGCAAATGAGTCCCCAGAATTGATGCTGCGATCGGGCCATCAACACGAGCCGCAAGCCGATCTCGTGCTTCGATGCTACCAAGTCTGCCCCCACGGCACTAGAAAATGCTTTTGAGCTGTTGCATGCATCCAGTGTCCTCTGCGCGGTTCTCCGCATAGCGGCAGTGGAGTGGTAGTTGATTATTGGTACAGTGGTAAGTGAGTCGATATCTACCTCAAAACTTCAAGATTCTCCCAAATTTTCAATGTTGGAATTCCGTAACCGCATCTGTGCATCGGTCACAGAGTAAAGGTGTCTCTTTTTCTTCCGGCCTCTTCTGTTCCTGACATTCAACCACGTATCTCCAGCATCGGTCACATTTGAGATTCCGAGGACTCTTGACAATCGCCCGCCCTATCTTCTCACCCTCCGGCGAGACAATGTCGCTGGAGAATGACCAATCCGACCCAGGTTCGGCGCTCGGTTCTAGAGGAACTGTCTCGCCGGCTTTTGTTGAGACAATCTCGGCGGACGATACGACCAGGAGTTCTTTCCAAGTATCTTTGGGAACACTCGAAAGATCAATCTCTTTCTGTAAAAATATCGAGACGTCGGATGCTAGGGACTGTCCCATGAGTTTCTGCGTGCGCGCTGTCTCTTGAGCTGCCTTAACGCTCGAGTTGATAGAAGCGATATAGGGCAACACAGTCTCGAGTGACCGATCGTGCCATTCCCCTGGCAGATGTGGCCATGTTCTTCTCAATGGGTGCTCAAGCATCTGCTTGTACTTTTCTGTGCTATGCTCCCAGCTTTCTTCAACCAGCAACGGCGCAATGGGCCCTAGCATGTTTTGGAAGTGGTAAAGAATGTGATGAAGTGCAGTCTGGGCACTGAGGCGTCTGGGAGTCGTAGGCATATCGCAGTAGAGAACATCCTTGATCGCCTCAAAGTAGAAGCTCGAAAGATCAGTCGTGACCCATCGATATACGGAGCCAGAGGCTTTGTGGAACTCAAAGTCAGTGTATGCTTTGCGTACTGAAGCGAAGGTCAGATGAAGGTGGTGCATGGCAATTTGATCCAATCGGGACATGCACTCATACGGGATAGTCATCTGAGGATCGAAGTCTGCCAGCATGCCCAACAACATCTTGAAGGTAAGGCGGTACTTGTCAAGCATACTGTGGACAGAGGACACTACTGTCTCGCTAATCACCACGTCCTTTGTCCACTCACTGGACGCCACCCACAGCCGCAACGCATCTGGGCCGAGCGGATGGACTTCGCGCTTCTGCTTTGTTTGTTTCGCAGGAGGTGCGAATCCCGAGATGATTTGATTGGGGGCAATAACATTGCCTAGGGATTTGCTCATCTTCTTGCCCTGGGCATCCAAAGTGAAGCCATGGGTCGCCAGAATGCGGAATGGAGCGTGTACTTGATGTGCCGAAGGGGAAGCGGCATCCGAGGGGGACTGGAGAGACTTCTGGTATGCAATATTCGTGAGTAAGCTCGACTGAAACCACCCTCTATGCTGATCGGTGCCCTCGACATAGACATCGGCCATTGGCGTTGGCTGAGCCCGGGAACCCGCAGACCCGAGATCATCCTTGAGCATCAGAGTCCAGCTTGTTCCACTGTCAAACCAGACATCCATCGTGTCAGAACCTCGAGTGTAGTCTGAAGCGCTCCCTGGCAATCCTGGAACAATCCAACGGCTGTCGTCTTGAGGATCAGACCACCAGGCATCAATGCCGCGCTCGTTGATGGTTTTGATGATGTGATCAATACTCGGGGATGTGAGGACTGCTTCACCTGTGTCCTTGTGGTAAATCGCCGGAATCGGAACGCCCCAAGCCCTCTGTCTGGAAATACACCACTCGCTCCGATTCTCCACAAAACTCCGCAGCCGCGCTCTGCCTGATTCTGGAAGAAAGGTAACGGCGTCGAGAGAGTTGAGCGCGTCGGTTCTAATCTTGGAAACGTCCGCGAACCATTGGGCTGTGGCACGAATGATGACTGGCTCTTTGGTCCGCCAGTCTATGGGATACTTGTGGATGTACCGATGCTGGTGGACAAGAAGGTTGTTGGCTCGCAGAAGTTGGAGGATGGTGCCATTGCCCTTTTGGAACACGTCTTGTCCAGCAAGGAGACCGGGATCCTCGGGTGATGCGGTATCATCAAAGCAGCCAGAGTTGTCGACCGGAGCTTTGACAGAAACAGTAGAGGCTTTTAGTAGGGGCTGCAAAGCTTCGTAGTCTTCCATACCATGACCTGGAGCGCAGTGCACGAGTCCCGTACCACTGTCAGCGGACACGAAGTCTGCATGGATGATGGGGCGATTCGCTGCTTCTCCTCCGAAATGGTACAGACCCGAGTAGGAACTCTGCAACAGCACGTCAAGAGGAACATCTTCCATGACGACTTCCACGCTCTCTCCAATGCACTCTTGGAGATAAGGCACCCTCGAACGGGCCACAAGCAGCGTACCATGAGTGACTGATTTGACAAGGCAATATGATAGAGACGTGTTGATTGCAATTGCTTGGTTTGCGGGAAGAGTCCAAGGCGTAGTCGTCCAAATCAAGGCATGAACACGGCCATCCGAGAACGGCTCAAAGCGGTCTAATGGAAACTTGACCAAGGCCGCAGTAGAGACATGGTCATCTTTATACTCCAGCTCGGCTTCAGCAAGAGCAGTCCCTGAGGAGGTAGACCAGTAGACAGGCTTATGCTTGCGGTATATCAAACCATACTGAGCCATTGCTTGAAACACAATCAATTGCCGCAGCTCGAAATCTTTCTGCATGGTCTTCCAATGACTGGCCCAGTCACCCATGACAGCCCAGGATCGGAATCCGGCCATCTGCTTTTCCACAGTTTTGTATGCGAATTTCCTTGCGGCACTCCGTATCGAGACGGGGTCGACACCTTGTCCTCGCTCCCAGCCGTGCTTCTCCAGAGCCTTGAGCTCGATTGGCAGCCCATGGCAGTCCCAGCCAGGTACATAGTCAACCCTTTGGCCTTCCGCGAGCCTGCAGCGGCAAATGATATCCTTGATGATCTTATTGAGTGCGTGTCCAACGTGCAGATCTCCATTCGCATACGGCGGCCCGTCGTGGAGGACAAAGGTGTCTGAAACAGGTCGTTCCTGGCGCTGCCAGGCATAGAGGTCAACTGTGCATCTTGGAAGATATCTGGCAAGGTCGGCGGGCCTGGGCCGCGGTGGGAAAGTCGACGAGGGAAGCCGCAGAGTGCTCTTCAGAAATTTGGCGGCATCTTTCAGAGGTGCTGGCATAGCACCTAAGATACCATACCAACAAGCCACGACCGGGACAAACGCAGCCAGTCACCGGCGTATCTGCAGAACAACTTAGGGCGAGAAATGGTGGGAAGGAGACAATCTACTCCTTTGGTGGACAGCTCGATAAAACCAATGCCTTGGGCGAAGACGCGGTTTTGCATGGCGTGTAAGATCCGCAGCAAATTGACAGCATGGCGGAGCATATTCTCGTGAAGCGCTATTCTAAGGAGGCAATTGACAGGTACCTACCTCGCTCCCTAGGCATGCTAGGGAGCTAGATACGGGAGTCTGTCCTGGCTGCTGGGCTGAACAGAAATTTGATACACATTCTGTCTTCCTCGAGCATATCCAGCTGATTATACCACGGGTTTTCTAAGGACTAGGTTGCTCCTTGCAAAGTGCTTGGGGACAGCCGCCCGCTGAAAGAGGCACATTGGGTTACTCATTGGAACGAGACAGAGACTATGAGAGCTCGACAAGAAGACCACGCCCATTGACGATGCAAGAAGGATGCTGAGACTCAGACCGCGCCAGCCTGATTAAACGGAGGAAGCAAACACCAAACGCCCTCGCTAAATGGAAAGCCACCAATGCAGCCCGATGCAATGCCCTTCGCAGTTATCAAAGACATTCATTTCAACCTCAAGATTTCCCCGAATTTGATGCCGAATTTGATGTTTTGGATTTGATCAGTCCACTGCTCGGAGATACCCTGGAGGCCCATTCCCTGAACGAATTTAGCACATGTACTTGATGCAATGGTCGCCAATGAGACTTACGTCCAGCTGCCATCATACAGTCTCCGGTCTTGCTCTGAGCCAAAGTCCGCCTCCTTGAGCGCCGCCTCAATGATGGCCGCGGTCACACCGGTGCCACAAGTGGTGATGAAGGGTGTTTTGGGGTCAAGCTGCTTGCTCTCGAAAAGCTTTTTTAACTCGTCCTGAGGAAGCAACGCTTTGGTCTCAGGATCCAGCAGTTCCTGAAACGGTAGACTTGTTGACCCAGGCATGTGCCCACTCTTGATTCCGGCTCTCGGTTCTGGATCTGTGCCTTCCCATCGACCTTTGGACCGAGCATCAAGAATTTGGATCTCTTCTGAGCCCTCCTTTCCGTAGTCGTAGCCTATTGTTTTCATCTCTGCAAACTTGACCACCATGTCCGTATTGTACGCCGGGACCGGATACTTGGTGATGTTGGGGACTTCTGGAGGACCGGTCTCGACAGGGTAACCTTCCTGGACCCAAAGACGGAAATTGTTGAGAATGTGGACTTTCGGGTGACCAAACACCCGCATGGTCCAGGCCACACGAGGAGCAGAGAACAAACCGAGTTCTTCAGTGTCGTAAACGACGACTTCATCCTCCCGTCTGACGCCCATCTTGGACATTGCGTCCGCAAAAGCATCGCAGGTCGGGAGCATGTGTGGCCATTCCGACTCTTGGTCCTTTATCTCATCAATGTCAAAGAAACGAGCAGTGGGTATTCTCTTCTTCAGAAAGACCTGGAGACCTGTTCTTCTTTCGGGGTCGTTGGGCATGAACCAAGCGGCACAGATGGGAATGACTTTAGGGGCTGTGGATATGACAGTAGGAGCATTCTTCTTGAGAGCCGCGTCAAGCTCTTTTGGTGTCACGAGGTAGGAAGAGAAGCCTCGGCAGCGCATGTTGGATATGCGATGGATATGGCCATATAAAGGGCGACGAACTCCGCACTGCCCAAGCGCGATGGAGCCGAGCAAGGCAGTCATTTTGCGATGGACCTAGATCATATCATCGTTGTGTGCAGATGGACAGGAGGCTGACCATGTCTGGGATTGTGCTAGAGGACACGGCGAACAGTAGAGAGATAATGATTGTGAGTAATGACAAGCACGAGCTTTTGCTGGATGGTATCATTATCTACGCTAAGCTCCGAGCTTTTCCTTTGCTACTCCGCATCTGACGTATTAGTAGTTGATCTGGCCCCGAAGCCCACAGGCCAGAGAATCAGACCCGCATCGGCGGAACAGGAGAATTTGGACGCGACAGCCCTCCACCGTCCACGCGACAGGCATGTGACAACTCGCAAATTGACGGTTCAACTGCTACACCAAACATTGCACCTAACAACCTTGACGCGATCCCACAAAATACTGCCTATATATCCTCCTCCAGCCAGAGTACCTTTTCCGATCAGCGGCGAGACTCTGGCTCAGCATGAAGGTCAAGATCAAGACATGGCACGCGGTGGCCACATGGCGATGGGACATGCCTGAGGACGAAGTCTGTGGCATTTGCAGAGTCCAGTTTGATGGCACTTGTCCTACGTGCAAGTTTCCTGGCGATGAGTGTACCCTTTTGATGGGAAAGTGCGGCCACTCATTCCACATGGTACGTTTGACGGTTCATGGCTATGGAAACCAAGCTCACCTGAACAGCACTGTCTGTTGACCTGGATACAACAAGAGTCCGCCCGGGGTCTCTGTCCAATGTGCCGTCAGAGTAAGCATTGATCAATTAAGGGAGAATGAGGAGAGCTAACGCTTTTAGAATTCGAGTGGAAAGACGGTAATCAACAAGCACAGGCGCCGGAGGCCGGTTGAACAATGACGCTCATCTTGAAAGATATTCACATCGGATACAGACCGAGGTTTTGCAACTGGACGCGGTCTCGTCAAGTGAATGTCACTTCTCGACGACAGAAGCCTTGGAACATATTGGTCGCACGGAAATATCTTTAGCCTGAGTTGAGGATTCAAAAGCTCCTTCAGCAGGCGTCCGAGCCTCTGCCAACTACATCTGCCACCTAACGAGCATTGAGTGGGCACGACGATAGACTTCGTGCTAGGTGCAAAGTTTGTCCTGTCAAGGTCATGGATCAAGATTCCCAGCACAAACAACGCCGATTTGCTTAGGCAGAGCAGTCCTACTCCCGTCAGGTGGCTGAGTCTGCTTCCGCAGCAAAGGGCAGAGGACCTTGACATAGTATAAACATCGATAATGACGGACTTGATGACATGGAAGAGGGCCCCGTCAAGTTGTTTTCTCGGGTGGGCATCTCGAAAACGCCTGAACGTCACCGATAGCACGAGTCTCTGGATGCGGGTTACTTTCGCTGTCCTAATACGTGCTTCAGAAGAGAATGTCAGGTGACGACACCTGTTTGGATCTACTATGCCTGTCGCCGAGCCTAGAGCCCTAATATAGGAGCCGAAGCATCATTATCTCTCATCAAAAGAATAGATTTGGACTCAGTATCACTGCAAGGCCTCGAGGTCGACAGTAAAAGCAGCGGGATTATGGTCCACCTCTATTCCCGAAGCGGCAGTCTCGTTTTGCCCTTGGCTTTTCGCCCTGCGGTTCGTCAGTTTGTCGCTCCGCAAACCTGCATGACTGAAATGTTCACTCAACACACCAACCAAACTTCGCTTGTTCAGTAAAACTCCTCCTCGTGTTCGCACCGATTTCTGCTGCATTATAGGAGGGTTTTCGCCCTTGAACCGCACCCGGTCGCATACCTCTCCCGCAACTGCGCCGAGTTCTTCTGTCGAAGTCCGCAGCTGAGCCGAGTCTCCCACATTCTGAGAGGAGCGGAGGACAAAAGTCCCAAGTTACCGGCGTCAAGATGGATCAAGCGGCTAGTCAGCCCCGGAAATGCCCCGGGTTAAACTGCGAGAACGACGCATCCTCACTACAGTGTCCCAAGTGTAAAGAGATGGGCGTTGACAGTTTCTTCTGCTCACAAGACTGCTTCAAGCGGAGTTGGGTAGGCTGACCTCTGGTCTTTTGTAAGAAAGACTATGACCTATGGACAGAACAGAAATCGCTGACCTTGCTTTGCAGGCCGAACACAAAGTTCTACACAAGAGTACGAACCCCTTCCGAAATTTCATTCCTCCAAAGGTTGTGTCTAAAGTCGATCCAGAAAGCGGCCACTTCAACCCATATCCTACCTACCCTTTCACCGGTTCTTTAAGGCCTGTATATCCTCTGTCTCCGAAACGGGAGATCCCAAAGTCAATACCGCATCCAGAATGGTCGCAGGACGGCATACCCAGGTATCCGTACGTCCGCAAAAACAACGTCCAGACACTCGACGAAAAGGGCATCGCAGGCATGCGCAAGGTGTGCAGATTAGCTAGAGAAGTCCTTGACATCGCTGCTGCTGCTGCGAAGCCCGGGGTGACGACAGACCACATTGATGAGATTGTCCACAATGCTTGTATAGAGCGCAATGTGGGTTGGGCACTACCGACCTGTCAAAGGGAAAGGCTAACACTTGATTGTAGTCGTACCCCTCCCCTCTGAACTACAACCACTTCCCAAAGTCCGTCTGCACATCTCCAAACGAGGTCATCTGCCACGGCATTCCCGACCAGCGAGTTCTCCAGGATGGCGACATCCTCAACATTGACGTCACTCTGTATCACGAAGGTTACCATGGCGATTTGAACGAGACATACTACATCGGCGACAAGGCCAAGGCTGATCCAGATAACGTCCGCCTCGTCGAAACCACACGTCAATGTTTGGACAAGGCTATTGAGCACGTCAAGCCTGGAGTGAAAATTGGCGACTTCGGGGACATTATCGAGAAACACGCCAAATCCCAGCACCTCAGCGTTGTCAAAACCTATTGTGGCCACGGCATCAACTCCTTGTTCCACTGCGCCCCAAATGTGCCGCATTATGCCAAGAATAAGGCGGTGGGAAAATGTAAGGCGGGGATGACCTTTACGATTGAGCCGATGATATGCTTGGGCAGTTATAAGGACAAGACATGGCCGGATGACTGGACGGCAGTCACCAGCGACGGAAGCCGCTCGGCCCAGTTTGAGCACACATTGCTAGTCACGGACGATGGAGTCGAGGTCCTTACCGCCCGGTTACCAAATTCGCCAGGTGGTCCGGTACCTATGCCAAGTTTTGAAGCAACAAATGGAGAAGTCAATGGAGCCGCAGCGAAAGCTTGAGCTGGGTTGTGAAGATTTGCAAGCAAAGGAACGTGACGGGTTTTACGGTTTGATGGGAAAGTGAATGCGATCGGTGGTAATGACCCAGGCCTTTCGGTGTTCTTCGATGCTGAGGGACCCCGAAGACTAGGGCATTATTCATATATTTGCCTGGAAATACCTCTTGATGTGGACGAAAACAAGGCCAGAAAGAAAACCTTGGGCGGGAGACGCCAATTAATGATCTTACGTCTGGTTTAGTGAACATAGCTGTTGGGCAGATCATTGTGTCTTGATGTGACATCTGCTTTCGATACTCCCCGGCAAGGCTAGTCACAGCGAATGCTGCTGTTCTCGATTTCGCCTGCTTGAAACAGTACGAATATGTGGGATGTCCCGAATTCCACACATGCTGTTCCCCAGACGAGGCTGTGCAAAATAGGGGTTGGAAGAATTCACCAGGCAGGAGAGATGTATCGAGGGCTTGAACGCAGCATGCGGTATCGATCTATCCTAGTATTTCAAAGCAAGGATTTGTTCAATGTGCTCCCTTTCGCGACCTTTGATCCTTTCCAAATGTTTACGAATTTGAATTAATTAGTGAACATTCACTTAATTAGCGATGGTGGCGGCGAGTGACTTTCTGACCATGGCCCGACCCCAGCCCACAAGCACCAGCCACAGCTTGGCTTTCGCTGGCTCTTGTCGCTTGTCACTTGCCACAACTGCCACTGCTCGTTTGGCGTGAACCTCCCGCAGCCTGCAGTGGCACAATGAACGGACTTGCAGCAGCAGTATTCAGTCACATCTCCTAGCGCTATCATCTCCTCTTAGACGCATCTGACCATGCCGTCAATATGTCAGATCAGAGTTATCGGAAGCCATTATTCCTGGCCATAGCTGGGGCCGTTGCCCTCACCGCCGCCTACTACACCTACACGCAATATGCGAAGCCTCCCCGAACAGAGCAATCCTCTCTCCATCGCAGCAATGCCATACGTAGGCCGAGAAACAGAAGGCGTTGGCGTCGCGGCTTCGAGCTATCAAGTATCGATTACGATCCAGTCGAGCGAGCAATCCACAATCTCGAACAACGGAATGCATCCAGACGAGGATATGGAGAATATGAGAACAGATGGTTCCTTCCTACACAAGCGCACACACAAGCTGTGGACCTGACGCTGATCCCGTCCAACTTGAGATCTATCAACGACTACCTCCTGCAACATTCTCCCGCGCAGCTGTCTCCCCACCAACAAGAATATCTCCTCCTTCATCTCCACGGCGTCTTTGTGCAGAACTTTCTGAGGGAGGAATGCCCAGAAGGTTATATCATTGGGGACGATGCTTGGGTGCTGGCACAAGCCATGGAGCGCCTTGGAGTGGCTCCAGATATTGTTTTCCAGGTGGCCAAAGCATTTGACGAGGGGAGATTTCCTCTCAATGATGAATGGAGCCCACTTACTGCTCCTCGACCCAGTTCAAGAACTCGCTCTGTACAAACCGACGGTGTGACGGAACAAGGTGGCTTGGCGCCTCGCGAGGCACTACAGGCGCTGGCGGATCCTGACGATGCGCATAGCGACATCTCATCTGGTAACAACGACGAGGATCCGGAGGGAAGCCAAAACATGCTCGACCTTCTTTACCATATCGCTGGCGAGCAGGCACGGCGGGAAGGCTATATCCACCGCGGTGTCGAGTGCAACAGCTGCGGCATACATCCCATTCGAGGCATCCGCTATCATTGTGCAAATTGTTTCGACATGGACCTCTGCGAAAGCTGCGAAGCTAGCTCTGCACATGGAAAAGGTCATGTCTTTTACAAGATCCGCATCCCGGCCCCTTCGAGAGGAAACATTAAGCAAGTCACCCCGGAGTGGTACCCCGGTAATCCGAGCGCGTTTCTCTCGTCCTTGCCGACGAACGTATCCAAGCCATTACTTGAAGAGACCAAAATGGAGCGCACCGAGTTGGATGCTCTCTACGAGCAATTCAAATGTCTGGCGGGTCACTACTTTCCTGCCGATCCGACTGGTCTGGGATGTGCAATTGATCGAAAGGGGTTTGATGCTTATTTCATCCCTTCGACTGGAGACAAACCTTCTCCTGCAAATTTGATCTACGATCGAATCTTTGCCTTCTATGACACAGATCAAAACGGTCTCATCACCTTTGACGAATACATACGCGGCCTTGCTCGTCTGCAGGACAAGAGCCGCTATGCCCGACTTAAGCGTATCTTCGAGGGTTACGATCTGGACTCTGACGGTTATGTGGACCGCAAAGACTTTCTTCGCATGTTCCGGGCGTATTACGCATTAAGCAAAGAGCTGAGTCGGGAGATGATCGACTCGCAGGAAGATTTCGGATATAACGAAGAAGAGATTCGAGAGGTTGTTCAAGGAAGCCAGCCCATCAGTGCTGCGTTCGGAGGCGGCACTCTCTACGGTCACGAATCCAGAAATGGGCAGGGTAAACAACTTCAGGCAAATGGAGATCTGCATCTTACCAACGGCACAAATGGCGTCCTGCAGCCGGACGGTGATATGAGCGGAGATCGTGCTCGGGCTATCGGAAACGCTGCACTTGGCGGTCGCACTAGGAACCATCCTTTCAGGTCGTTTAGACAGGAGCCTCCAGAGGACGAACCTTTGATGATGCTCCCAATGGGAAGCAATTTCATGCAGTCAGGCATGGAGCAGGATGAGCCAACTGAGGAGGACGTCACCGGCCCTGATGCTCCGTTGCAGACATATGCTTGGCCTCCAGTGCGGACACCAGAGCCGCAGGATATCAACGAGGCGCTCGGACAAGAGGTGCCGTTGGACGACATAACAGATCCAGTTGATAGAACCAGAGTCCTGTTTGCTCAGTCACAGCGGCTTGATGCTGAAGGTGATCAGGCGGAGGAAATGTCGCGCGCCAGAGCCGTTGAAGAACGATGGCGCCGCCGACAGTTCTATCTCGATCGCGAGGAAGGGCTGACTAGGCCAGCAGGCTACACTGAACCCGATAGTTCGGATGACGACGACATATCCCAAGATAAGAAGAATGGGCGTAGCGACGTCAGTCCTCGGAGAGCATCCATGGCATCAAGATCCTCGTCTAAGGTCCGCTTTGATGATAGCGCCATCGAGGGAGACTACGAAACACGGTCAAATGCTTCATCTCGAAGCATTCCTGCCAATGAAAGATGGGGCGGCTATGAGCTTGGCCAGGCCGAAGCAGACATCGGCAAAGACATTCTCTACCAAGCCGTGCAACAAGGATTCAACGAGTTGCTCGATGTGCTATTCAAAGACAAGGAAGACGAGCACATGGAAGCACGTGAAACCCGAGTGGATCGGCATTGCTTTGGTTACGAAAGAGCAAAGTTCGAGAAACTGCTTGACGAACTGGGAATGGAAGCGGATGAAACGGAGGAAGACTTGGTCGAGAAGATAAGACGCAGGAGGGAGAAAGAGAGGGAGCAGGAGCAGCTGGCCATGACTGATGCTGCACCAATGACAAATTCAGGCAACGAAAGCTCAGTTCCTCAAGACTCCGAAGATCATATAGGATTGATGTTCGGCTCTGAAGCTCTGTCCGCTCAACAGGTGACCATGAGTCCTGCCATCGCAATGACCGAAACAAATGGGCCCTACCGTGATCCAACGCTCCCACAGTTTCGACCTGACGAAACGGAACCACCAAGTTTGGCCGCTAGTGCGGCCCCAATCCCACCAAGCCAAATCCCACGGCCGGATCCATTTGCCGGCGACCCGGAGAAGGCGCTCAAGACGCATTACCTTTGGCTCAGGCACGATGAGATTGACGAAGAAGAAGACCGTCGAGGCGGCCCTGGGAAGCTCAGCTTTGCCGAGTTCCAACGTAAGATGGTGTCCAAAGATGAGGTGACCAAGGCTCTGGGGGACAAGGACAAGAGCAAATGCGGCGGTAAAGATCGAGAGACATGGGAGAGCAGTGCAGACTTGGGAAGACTGGCTTTTGTGGGCACCTGGTTGGAAATGGCCAGTTTCTAGAGCGATGGTAGCTCGGTACTGGAGGAGCGTTGCCCTGGTTTTCATCATGTTTAGATTGTACTACCAATTCCACGATTGCATGACGAGACAAAAGCATGATACCCCAGGAGTTTCTCGGAGGAAAACCCCCTTTTACATAGGACCAAGATCATGGATAGATTAATTGAGGACGGACTGCCCCGAGCTTTTTCTCGACGTCGTGATAGAGATGCATACCTAGGTAGGTAGGTACATGTAGGTACCTGGCGAGCCGTGAGCTGCGAGGCTGGTAGGAGCAAGGCTGCGACACGGCATTACTGTTTTTCCATCCCCGGCTTGGCGTCTTGGTGGTCTCAAAGTTGTTACTGCTGAGGCTGGCCGGGCTGCTCTTGGGAGAAACATCCACTGCTTCACAAGGAACCAATCTATGCCCGGCAAATGACCACCTTCGAGCAAGATCATGGCAGAGCCATATCGTTATTCGGCAGGCAGCTGATTGGGTTGGAAGAATGGCTCAGCGCACGCAGGTGTGGCCCTTCAGACCACGCCAGCAGCACTCGTGACAGCGGCCTGCGACGAGAACGCTCGAGAAACAATCGCCACACGATCAATGCACGTCTCGGATCTACTGTGCACAGGCCGGCTATGCCTATGCCTATTGCCCAAACACCACGCGCAATCACCATGCTGGTGGTATGTTGGCCGCTGTGAGACGCGAGCGAATGAGGCCACTCCACGAGACTTGGTTCGCAGCTCTGAGTGGTCAGAACCGAACAGGCCCCTGGTGTTGAGTATCAAAATCCCGTGCCCAGTGGCTCGCCAAACAATGAGGACTATTGACTTATACCGCCCACCTGGACTTCTGCTGATCCTTGCGCTGATGATTTCTTTCGCTTCCAACATGTCTCTCTTTTACCCATCGCCTTCTCTGTCCGAAAGACCAGTGGGCAGGATAACGCTCTTTTCCAGCTAAGAATGGCCCATCTTACGCACCCGTGGGTGGCCATACGCCGGCCGCGGAACCTTAGGCGACAACGATGGATTGGCGGGGTCGGCTTTGTAGGAGGCATACGGCAACAGTGCAGTTGCGGGAAGCCACATTCTCGAAATTTTGATCTGTGTCTTTTGTTCCCTCGACACAGATTTGGCTCCAGCCGGTTTAATACCGTGTTCCTGCTGTTGTTCCGCCTGTTTTATCACGCAGGAACCTTCGAAGTCTCCCACACCGGTTATGCCAAACGGCTCTACCTTCCGCTCCTGCAGGAGGCTGCGTCGAAGCCTTTCGAGGAAGTGACCAACGAGAAGCCACTTATCGACCCGGGAAACCAAGGGCTTCCAATCGTCTTCAAGAACTTCAAACGCTTCTCGACGAAGGGATGGTTGGAGACGTTGCTTCAAGATCCTGCCGAGTTCAAGAATCTCAAGGTCAATTCGATCACGTGGATTAAGGCTCTCGCCTCCCCGTTCTCTCACGAATTCATTCAGTTCATTGTCGAGGACTCTGTGACCGGTCAACGGACGCGGATTGCCGCTGGCCGGGAAGAAACCGGAGACTGGGTCCTCGTGGGCTGGAATTGGGCTTCAGGGGACACGCCCTCCGACCATTATAACCTCCCGCTACCACTCCTGACAGTCAGTTTTGACGACCCCGACAAGCGACCGGACTTGCGAGCGCTGGCTTACGTGCTATCCGCGACTACCGAAAAGCATCCTGCATATAAATTCCGCAGAGAAATGTGCTGGTGGTACGCCGAGACTGTGTTGGAGGTGATGCATGAACAGTTTGGAGGCAAGGTCAAGGAATGGGAGTGGTCGAGGTATCGATATTCCTTCATCGTCAAGACGAGCTTCATCAGGCGTCGAGTTCTGACTCGGCATGCCGAGTTGTTCAAGCGGCAGCTGGCCGAGGAGATGAATTACTAGACTGCATGGACTGGATTTCGCATGACTGGATTTTGGACATTTTCATGGGTCTGGAGTGGGACATTGGGTATTTCTGCATTTATTTCAGAGCCCTGTGGGCTTGGATCGGAAAATAAGATGGATAGATGCTTCAGTTGCTTGATACGGGATCATAGGATCTAGAGCCAGACCTAGACTACCTCTGCTGGACCGACTCCCCAAGAGACCCAGAGTACCCACAGGGTCTGGTCCAAAGAAAAATTTCTTGCATATATTTTATTCTGTCTCAATCTGCTATCACACCAAGACCCCCTACCACGACTAGGGCGAGCCGATCCGACGACAATGACCACAATCCAGGTCCTGTCAGGTCGAACTGGCACCGGGCCAGCAGGCAGCAGGACCTCGATTCGAACCACCCTTCGAGCACACCAAATCCAGGTTCTGTTCAGGTCAAACTAACAATAACGGGTTAGCAGGCGGCAGAACCTCGATTCGAACCTCCTCCTCCTCCCCCTTCTTCCTGGACTCAACTTATAAATACTTCGTAGTAAACCGAGAAAAACCAACCCGCAAGGGCGAGTTTCGCTTATCACGCAACCAGAGTTGAGCTGCTTCGTGTTAAGTTTTTGCCATTTTACTATTGCCCCTTTGTTTTTGAGGTTAATGCTTGAGATATTTTGTGTGCGTCTTTCCTAGTGAGACTCGCCAAGTACCTAGTTAACGCAGGTAGGAACCCAGATATATCTGTCATATGTACAAGGCTGTGCAAGGCTGAATCGCCGAAGATTAGCCCGGTTGACATTACGCTCCCGCATCATCCCTCACTCCAAGTTGCCCTCATCTCCATCCCACTTCCCAATCCCGACTTCCCGCACTCTCACACTCCTCAGCTTCCAAACCCTCCATCTTCACGGCGCGATAGTAGAGAGTCTGCCACTCCTATCGCTCTCCCTCACTCCCTCCCAAAAAATGTCTGGGCCAGAAGTCCACCATCTCTTCCACCACCCTATCGCCGACCATTCCTTCTCCGCCGACCGCTCAACGCTCGCCGTTGCACGAGAAAACAATGTCGAGCTGTACCACCGGTCCGGCTCCAAGTTCAGCTTGAAGGATGAATTGAAGGGCCACGACAAGACCGTCACGGGCGTGGACATTGCGCCCAATAGTGGGATGATTGTGACTTGTTCTCAAGGTAGATTATTTCTGGCCTTTTTGTCTCTCCCTGCAGATGACTGATGCCTTGATAGACCGCAACGCCTACGTCTGGGAACCCGGCCCAACCGGCGAATGGAAGCCGACCCTTGTGCTCCTCCGCATCAACCGCGCCGCCACGTTCGTGCGCTGGTCCCCGTCAGAGAAAAAGTTCGCCGTCGGCTCGGGCGCCCGCGTCATCGCGGTCTGCTACTTTGAGGAAGAGAATGACTGGTGGGTTTCGAAGCACCTGAAAAAGCCCATCCGAAGCACCATCACCACCGTGGCGTGGCACCCCAACAGCGTGCTTTTGGCGGCCGGGTCCACGGACAGCCACGCCAGGGTGTTTTCGGGATTCATCAAGGGCATCGATGAACGCCCCGAGCCGAGCGTGTGGGGGGAGAGATTGCCCTTCAATACCGTCTGTGGAGAGTACCTGAACGACGCGGCGGGCTGGGTTCACGCCGTGTCCTTCTCGCCGAGCGGTGACGCCTTGGCCTTTGCCGCCCACGACAGCAGCATCACCGTCGTGTACCCCAGCGGGCCCGAGCAACCTCCCCGGGCGATGCTCAACATCTCGACGCAAACCCTCCCCTTCACGTCGCTGATCTGGAACGGCGAAGCCGAGATCCTCGCCGCGGGGTACGATTGCGAGTGTTTCCGCTTCCGGGGCAGTGAGCAAGGGTGGGAGCTGGTGGGCAGCGTCGAGATGGCAAACACGCGCCCGGGCATGGGCGGCGGCGCCATGAGAGAGGAATCCGCGCTCAACATGTTCCGGCAGATGGACCTCAAGGGAAAAGTCAAGGACGACACGCAGTTGAGCACCACGCATCAGAACACGATCAACACCATCAGAGTGTTCCAGGGCGGTCCGGGCGGTGTGACCAAGTTCAGCACAAGTGGTGTCGATGGCCGGGTTGTCATTTGGACGCTTTAGAGGGTATATGTACCACATGGAGGACTGGAGATCGATGTGTTCAATTCTTGAGTATCCTTATCCACAGAAAGCATTAGCTGGTCTAATCGCCAGAGAAAAGCAGACGCGTCAATGGATGGAATCTAAAAGACGCAAACAGCTCCTTTACGAAGCTCCTCTTCTCCTCTTCTCCTCTTATCCACGTCTACGTCCCGGATCGCTGAATTTTTGAGACAATGCTTGTGCTGCGGGCACAGACCTGCTCAGTCAACAGCGTCCTCAGCTTCGTCAAGTGTCTTCACTTTGTCCGTCCATCTCCTCTCCACCACCTTCTACTTCTTCTTCCTGCTCTTGGTACTCACTCGCCTGGTCCCGACCGCTTATCGCCTCGGCTTCAGCCACCGCCGCTTCCGCATCCGCATCGATCGCCCGCATGCGCACCGTAAACTCCACCTGCAGCTTCTTCAGCCAACTCCTCAGCGCCTCCGCACCGACCTCGCCTCTGATGGCAGTCTCCCTGGCATGGCCCAGCTGCTCCTTGACATTCAAGATCAATTTCCTCTTCCGGGCCACCGCCGTGGCTCGGGGGTTTCTCTTCCTCGCTTCATTCCGCTCGTGCAAGGCCTGAGAGACACGCGTGGCCACGTCGACCACGTCGCCGGGTAGTCCGATCGCCCTCGCGAGAGCCAAGCCGTAGAACTTCTCCTCTTCGTACCCGTCCGCGATCTTGTACCGCATCGTCATCTTGGAGTAATCCTCGCTGATGTTTGCGGATAGGTGCAGGTTGGCGACCCCGGCGCGGTCGGCCAGGATGCGCGGCAAATCGCGAAAGTGCGTCACGAACCAGACGTAGGCCTTGGACTCGATCAGCGTTTCGGCAATGGCGATCGCAATCGCCAGTCCGTCTGTCGTGCTGGTGCCGCGGCCCAATTCGTCGACCAGGACCAGGCTGCGCGGAGAAAGGTTGCGCAATATGAATGCCATTTCACGCATCTCGGAGGCGAATGTGGAGACGTTCGCTTCGATGTTGTCGTCTGTGGAGATGCGGGTGAAGATCTCGTGCGATAGCGGGAAGGAGGCGTACTCGGCAGGCACGAAGCAGCCGATCTGTGCCATCACGGCCATCAGCGCGACGGAGCGGATGTAGGTCGACTTCCCGCTCATGTTGCATCCGGTGATGATGTGGAAGCGGTTTTGCGGTGTGGCGTACACGTCGTTGGGCACAAATCTGTCGTGTTGGTATTGCAGCTTTTCGCGAATGGGATGGCGGCCGGATTTGATCATGAACGAGTCCAAGTGGAGCTCAGGCTGGACGTACTCGTTCATCGACGTCGTGACGAGTTGGGCGAAACCCGCGAGCATGTCGAGCATGGCGATGGACTCGCTGATTTTGAAGAGCGGATGGATTATGCTCCGGACCTCGTCGATCAGCTCTTGCACGGTGGCGTCGGACAGGCAGATGACTTCATTGTGGGCGTCCTTGATCTTTTGGTTCATCTTCATAAGATCCAGCGTTTGGCATTCGATGTATTTGTTCTTTTTGTAGGTGTTGATGAACGTTTCAGGCGTGGGCTTGTCCGTGATCTCGCTAGCCGGGAAGCGCAGATAGTATTGTCTGTCGGAATCGTATTTGAGTTCGAGAGGGATTTCGCTCTCTTCTGCATAGACGGATCAGCTGTAATCTTCCGAATGCGAACAGCTTCATACGCTTAAGAAGTTGGAACATGTCGTTGACATCTGCGTTCAGCTCCTTGTATGCCTGACGCGCTACGTCGAGAAAACTGTTGACTCCAGCCTGCTTGGTTTTAGCATGGCTACCAAGATTCTCGTTGTTCCCATACCTGAATGCCATAGACTCTCTGGTTTCGTAGCTCGAGTGGTTTAGATGAATACCGCACATCGATGTTCAGACAGCGCCCGAGCAGATTCTCCACTTGTGTGTAATTTTCTGCGTCGCAGAGCTCATACAATAATCAGACGAAAAGCTTGACCAGTAGGGGTTCCAAGTCACCTGGCGTATAGTCTGCAGCTCTTCGCTGCTTGCGCCGGCGAGAGCCTGACAGACCGGTTTGACATCGTCCACAAGAGTCTTGAGCATGAGAACATTGTTGATGGATTGTTCCATGAAATGGAAATCTTGCCTTGTTGAAATGATGACAAGCTGTGTGACTTAGCATAGGACAAATCGGATATTTCAATCACGAACCGCGGCAAGTACACGATCGGCATCAATGAAGGATTTCAAGGCTGTACCTGTTAGCAAGTTCTTCTCACGAACAGGACCTAGTACCAGATCGAACAGCAAAGAACATATCCTCTTTGGATGTGAGTTCGCTGAGAGCTTGCTGTCTCTTTCTGATCTTTTCCGCATCCGTTGATGGCTGCAGGACATTGCTTCGGAGAAATCGAGCGCCCATTGGTGTCAGTGTCTGGTTCAACAACCCAAAAAGACAATCTCGAGATTTGTCGTTTTGGAGATTCTGGATCAGTTCAAGCGAAGCCATAGTGGAGAGATCAATCATGGTCGAGCCTTCCGAGGGTTCAAACTTGATCCGAAGCGTTTGCGGAGCGAACGTCAACTTCATCGCCAGATCGATATACTTCAAGGCCTGCTTCTGTTAGGGAAGCGCAGAAAAGATGGCATCTACTTCCAACCTACTGCCGAAAAACAGCATGTTGCAAAGTAGTTCCCGGCGACAGACAGCTTCAACGATTCCAAGTCATCGGGGAACGCGAGTTGATGGACATAATCATGGCCACTAGTTTCAGACCAGTATTTACGCTCGATTCCGGTCATGGCGATACCAACCTTCTCTACTTCGAGGTTCTCAGCAACGATCGAAATGAGTTTCGAATCTTCGGCAGTCTTTATGAAGATGATCTCCGAAGGTGCAAAGACTTTGATCTTGTGGCATGTACGCGCATAGGTTTGAGTGTCAGTAAATTGGCAGAGGACAGCTTCAGAAGTGGAAACATTGACAAAGGAGAGGCCAACGGTAGGAGATACGCCTCGCGACTCGCTGATTGCACAGATGATTTCATTGTCACTGTAGCTGGTAGAGGTCGCCGCGGTTCTGGGACGAGACCTGCTGCCCGTCTGTGGCCTAGAAGTAGTAGCCGTTGTTAGTCTTGTAGCCGGAAGATTACTGCTGGCAGCAGAGGATGACTGTGGCCGAGAAGCCATGTTCGCAGGTTTGCAACACCCGGTGTCCGAAGAGAGACGAAGTTTGTGAGGCACAAGGCGAGCAAGGCTGAAGTCGGGGGTAACGGAGTTGATGGAAGAGGAAAGTTTGCCGCGCATTTCCCCTCACGAGGCTGAAGCCCATTTCTGCATCTACAACAATTTTTTGAGCACGCACCTTCGAGCCAGCCTGACGAATCAAGGGTCGTCTTCAAGCACAGAGCCAGAATGGCCACCCTTGCGCCGCCTCCCAGTAAACGGCAAAAGATCGCTGCAGAGGAGAGAGCAGAGAGGGCACTTGAGGAATCGAAAATCCCCGACAACTTGGGCAGTGTGAGAGTGCAATTTGTCGACCAGAGCACGGGAAAGTCAACGGGACCTGTGGTCGCGGTCCCTGTGAAAGATGCCACTGTCAAAAACCTCGAGACGCTGTTGAATACCATACAAGGCAATGTATGAAAGTTGTGTGAACCGGCGAACGTCGCTCAGCATGCTGAACTTCTTTTTCCTAGGATCCCGCCGAACGACTGCCCTACCGCTTCTTCTTCCAGAACGATCGACTCTCGACAACGCAAGAAGTTGCGAATGCCATTGTCGATGTGCAGACTGACTTGTACAACTCCGTCCTCAAGCCCGGCTTCAAGACTACCGAAGACAATATCATCCTCCAGTTCACTCCTCAGGCTGTATTCCGCGTCCGCGCTGTTTCAAGATGTTCCGCGTCAATAGCAGGGCACGGTGAAGCCATCCTCGCGACTGCATTCTCGCCGGAGACATCTTCCAGAATGGCCACCGGTAGTGGGGACAATACTGCTCGAATATGGGACTGCGATACGGGGACCCCATTACACACTTTGAAGGGACACACGAGCTGGGTGCTTGCGGTTTCATGGTCTCCCGACGGCAAAATCCTTGCTACTGGAAGCATGGACAACACCGTGCGACTGTGGGATCCAAAGACAGGAGAACCTCTGGGCGGGCCAATGAAGGCACACACGAAATGGATCACAAGCCTGTCATGGGAACCATACCACAACCAGGCACCGGGTAAACCTCGATTGGCATCGGCCTCGAAGGATGGCACAGTCAGAATCTGGGACATACCGCTACGCCGCATCGAGCAGACCCTTTCCGGGCACAAGGGATCGGTGACTTGTGTGCGATGGGGCGGGCTTCATCGAGTCTTCACCGCCTCTCAGGACAAAACGATCAAAGTATGGAACTCGCGGACGTGGAATTGTTTACACACATTATCCTCGCACACCCACTGGGTCAACCACCTCTCTCTCTCCACCGACTTCGCCCTCCGAACATCTTACCACGACCACACGGGTAAGCCCCCATCGTCAACGGAAGAAAAAGTTGCCAAGGCGAAGAAGCGATTCGAAGAAGCGGCCCGTCAGGAAGGGAAGCTGGTGGAAAGACTCATCTCGGCATCTGACGACAACACCATCTTCCTGTGGGAACCGTCTTCCTTTGACCCGGATTCAAAAGCCACTCCCAAGCCCATTGCGCGCTTATTGGGCCACCAAAAGCAAGTCCTCCACGTGTCCTTTTCCCCCGACGGCCACTACATTGCGTCAGCGAGCTTCGACAACAGCGTCAAACTGTGGAACAGTCGAGATGGCAAGTTCATCTGCACCTTGCGGGGTCACGTGGGATCTGTGTACATGTGTGCGTGGTCGAGTGACAGTCGGTTGTTGGCAAGTTCGAGCAAAGACACTACCGTGAAAGTGTGGGATGTGAAGACGGGAAAGTTGAAGATGGACCTGCCGGGACACAAGGACGAAGTGTTTGCTTTGGATTGGTCGGTGGATGGCGCCTGTGTGGCCAGCGGTGGGAAGGATAAGCTTGTCAAGCTGTGGAAGCATTGAGTCCGTCGTGAGTTTGAACACGGTGCTGGATTTGGTATGGTAAATGCAATGGCTGGGCGTACAGGTTAGACGTGATGAAGACTGGAGTGATACCCAACGATCAAAAAGGTCATGGTAAATATTGGATTTCAATGAAATATGTGCAGGTTTTTTTTTTCAATTCTGTGAATGTTGTATGATTCTGGATTGTTACAAGCAACCATAGCCTTGCCTTGCCCACCAATCCGCCTGTGGTGGCCATCGGCCTTTTTCCCAGACGACAAAAACCGTGCCACTTCTTCCGCCACCCCTGATTTACCCCTTCTTTCGCCTCTTACATTCTAAAACCGGGTTTCTGGCCAGGTGGATTGTAAACAATCTTCCTCGTCTTGATAGGTGCCCACTTGTATCGCTTAACCCAACCACTCAGGGCCAGTAGGGCAGTGCCAATGATCAGGACCTTGAAACCCATCTTCTTGCGCTCGTCCATTTCTGGTTCCGCGGTCCAGTTCAAGAATTCAACCACGTCCTTGGCCATTTGCGAGCTGGTGGCGGGTGTGCCGTCTTCGTATTCAACCAATCCGTCGTAAAGCACACGAGCCATTGCGATACCAGTACCCGGGAAATACGGGTTGAAGTTCAAACCAGACTGGACGCTCGCACCTGCCGGGGGTTCCTCCGGGTAGCCGGTGAGAAGACTGAAGATATAGTTGCAGCCGCCGTGACGGGCTTTCACCATGAGCGATAGATCCGGAGGAAGGGCACCATTGTTGGCGGCACGGGCAGCTTCGTCATTCTTGTACGGAGACGGGATGTAGTCGGACAGCTTGCCGGGTCGCTTCTCGATCTCTCCCTCATCATTTGGCTCAGTGTCGTATTCATTTTCTTCAGCCAGGGCCTTGGCTTCGTCGACGGTCATCAGTGTGCCGACAAGTGACCGATATGGGATTCGCTTCAGAGAGTGGCAGGCGGCGCAGACTTCACGGTAAACTTGGAATCCTCTCCGAAGACTGTCAAATGTCAACTCGGCGTGCACGTCACTGTTGTTTTGATAGCTCTTACGCAGCGTGGTCGAATGTTTTTGTCCATTTCACGTGCTCCCACGGGTACTGGGTCGGGTGTAAACTTGAGCCTCCTGTCAGTCGACTGTAGCTCTCCATCGATTGCTTGGACCTTACCCCTCTTCTGCGGGAGTCATGGCATAGACATCTTGACCGAACAGATGATAGTACCAGGCGATTGAGCCTACTGTGGCTGCCGTCGCAGCAGAAGCGCCCAGTGTTAGGTAAAAGGGAGATGTGGCGGCCTCGGAGGTAGTCGAAGATGCGGCACGCTAAAATACACCGTCAGCCATAGATCTCATCGAAGCACATCCACGCGCTGCTGCAAGATATGCAAGGAATGGTGGACTGACAGTTGTGGTCTTGCGGACAATCGTTCGAGCAGCAACCCTCAATGGGGCACCGCGGACGGCCGACGTTGCCAACATCGTGTCCAAAAGCCTTACGCTCTCGACAGATGGTGGACTAGCCGTGCGAAGACGTAGAGGAGAAGGCGAGTCGTGGAGGGTGGAGGGTGGAGAGAAAAAGAGTGACTCGGCACAGGTCGTAGAGGAGAAGAGGATGTCCAAAGTCGAAGCTTGAAGCTACATTTTCCCGGGGTTCATTACGTCCTCTATGATTGGCTGATTCTGGATCTTCATATCCTGGTTCGAAGCGGCAGCAGCCGCGAAGGCCACGTGATCTGCCGGCGCAGATGAAGTTCGTCACTCGTCGACTTCTTGGAATCTCGCAACGACGGCGCAGGTTGGAATTCCAGACAGACAGTTTTCTCTCGTCCTTGCCGCACCGACTGCTGCATGGCGTGATGTCGATGAGTCAAGCCAAAAATCCCTCTTGGAATGACCAGTTCAAGAGCACCAACCAGCGCGACTTCAACACCCAAGTCATCATCTCGGTCGTCTTCGGACTGAGTGCGTTCCTTTCTTTCTGCGTATGTCTTCCTGACTTCTACGGCACTGTTCCTGGATACTGACTATGGACAGGTTCTCCGGCCCAAGTGGACGAGCCTATATCATGCGCGCAAGAAGCACTCCGGCGCAGCCTCGCGTTTACCTGACCTACCCAAGTCACTATTCGGATGGATCCCAGTGCTGCTGAGGATCTCGGATGCAGAGGTTCTGGCTTCGGCCGGTCTCGACGCCTACGCTTTTCTATCCTTCTTCCGATATGCCATCAAGTTTCTCTCCATCACCCTGTTCTTCTCGCTCACCATCATCCTGCCCGTCAATTACAAGTACACCGGCGAACTACCTTACCCGCCCATCAATGGCACGGCGCCATTCCTCGAGCCGACGTTTGCGTTTGCCGACGATGAGAAGAGACCCAAGAAGCCCAAGATGGAGAAGGACGACAGCTATCTATGGATGTATGTCGTGTTCGCCTACTTTTTCACTGGTGTGGCCATATCCCTCTTGATTGTTGAGACCTCGACTATCATTCGGATCAGACAAGCATATCTCGGGACTCAGTCCACCATTACCGACAGAACTCTGCGCTTGTCCGGCATTCCCAAGGAAATGAGGTCGGAGGAGGCAATCAAGAACTTCATTGAGGATCTGCAGATTGGGAAAGTGGATAGTGTCATGCTGTGTCGAAATTGGCGCAGATTGGACGAACTCATGTCGAGCCGCATGACGTGCTTGCGCAAACTCGAACAATCATGGGCAACCTATCTGGGCCACAGCCATTCGCTGCGCCATTCTCGCCGATCTCACGTAGAACGTGATCTCCTTGATGAGGATGAAGAGAGCGGAGCTCTGCTTTCACGCTCGGAGATGGAACAAGCTCACGCTACGCCCATGGGCACGAAACGGCCAACGGTCAGCCTTCGTTACGGGCCATTTAAACTCTACAGCAAGAAGATTGACGCAATCGACTATTATGAGGAGAAGCTGCGGGTCATGGACGAGAAAATAACCGCCCTGAGAAACTCCGAATTCAAACCGACGCCTTTAGCTTTTGTCACGATGGAATCGACTGCTGCATGCCAAATGGCCGTACAGGCAATTCTCGACCCAAAGCCCGGACAACTCCTTGCAAGCTTAGCGCCGCCACCGGCCGACGTGGTGTGGAAGAACACGTACCTTTCCAGGAATCACCGCATGGTTCGGTCTTGGAGCATAATGGTCTTTATCGGCTTCCTGACCATTCTATGGGCTGCCCTTGTTGCTCCTCTGGCAGGTCTCCTCAGTATCGAAGTCATTGACAAAGTACTACCCGGCCTTGCAGCAGCCCTCGAGGATCACGAGATCATCCGCTCGCTGGTTCAGACGGGTCTGCCAACCTTGCTGTTCTCCGTGTTGGCATTAGCTGTGCCCTACCTGTACGATTGGCTCGCCAATCAGCAGGGCATGACCTCCCAAGGCGATGTTGAGATGTCGGTGATATCCAAAAACTTCTTCTTTATCTTCTTCAACCTCTTCATCGTCTTTACAATCTGGGGTTCCGCCACTACATTCTACGACTTCTGGCAGGATCTGCGAGACATCCTGCGAGACACCGCAGGAATCGCTTATGCGGTCGCCAAAGCTCTTGAACAGCTTTCGCCCTTTTATGTCAATCTGATCGTTCTCCAAGGTCTGGGTCTTCTGCCTTTCAGGTTACTCGAACTCGGCTCGGTCGCGTTGTACCCGTTCTACCTCATCAGCGCCAAAACACCCCGGGATTATGCAGAGTTGTCTCAGCCGCCGATCTTCAGTTACGGCTTCTACTTGCCGCAAACCATGCTTATATTCATCATTTGTATTGTGTACAGCGTCCTTCCTGCCTCATGGATGATCACTTTGTTCGGATTGGTGTACTTCCTGATTGGCGGCTTCATCTACAAATATCAGCTGCTCTACGCCATGGAACACCGCCAACATTCCACCGGCCGAGCCTGGCCAATGATCTGCAACCGAGTCATTACCGGATTAATTCTCTTCCAAGTTGCGATGACGGGTATTCTGGCGCTTCGGGGCGCTCTGACAGCCTCGTTATTCCTGGCCCCTTTGTTGGCCGGTACTATTTGGTTCACTGTATATTTCCAACGAACATACGTTCCTCTGATGCGATTCATCGCGCTTCGAAGCATCGACCGTCCGGGTACGCCTCAGCTGCCCACACCTCCCGAGCCAGCTTGGGACAGAGATACCGAGTATGGGCGAACTGTCGATACGGACCCAGAATCCGGTCTTCGCTACATCAACCCGAACCTTGTGCAGCCTCTAGAGACTCTGTGGATAAGGAAGCCCGGACATGGACGCCCTCAGAACGACTGAGATACTGGGAGTAGGAAAAGCGTATTCGTTTCGGACCCTGCGTTGGAGCATAGCAAGCGGTGTGATTGAATTTTGTCGTCTTCCTCCGAGATACCCATGTACGCAGTTGTCAGCCATATCGTCTTCATACCCCTGGCTCTAATATAATGTGTCAACCAAATAGCCCATCACACGAAATACCGGCCGGGCTGGCAGGTCCCGAGACTGCTCCTTCTCGTCACGACGTCTGACTTGGTTTGGAGCTCTTTCTCCTTGATGTTGTGGAGGCGCAACTGACAGTCGTTTCCACGGCTGCTCAGGTGGCGGCAAGTTCAATCTTGTCGCTTGGGCCACGTCAGCCAGTCGTCCGGTAGGTGCAATTCGCTTGCTGTGCAAATTAGCACCTCATCTCTGGTAAATTTCACCCCTCTTAAGAGGTACAGCCCAAACCTTTTGCTTCCTGTTCCTGTACCTATCTTTACATTAACGCTCTCATTCCCTTCATATACCCTGTTACATTCTCATTATCACTACTTGTGACCGATATAGCTGTCGCCGCCCTGGCTTTTGAGATCTTCGTCTCTCGAGGTATTGCATCTGTACACGACCGCGAACTCAGGATGCTCTACCCTGCCAGCCATCACTTCTGGCCCGATCTCCGATCCTCGCCCTTTGCCAAAGACTTCAGAACGGGATATCGAACAGAGACGACGAGTCGATGCCAGGAAAGAGCATTTCCAGGGATGATACATCTTGCAGATTGTTCAATACAGCACCCAGGCTTTGGATTGCGTGGCACTAGTTTGTCCACTGCGCCTCACCCTAGCTTAAAGCGTCGATGGATCTCAGAAGAAGGCTGCCACCAAAACAAACGCCAGGATCGAGAACAGGTCACCGTTGTTTCTAGGCAAACCTTGGTCGTCGCTGAAAACCCTCTCGATCACTCCCTCGCCCGTTGCGGGTTGATCAACGATCATGCAGACCGTGTCCGAGAATCACACCTAAGGCAGCATCACCCTGGAAATTCTCTTCCCGTCGCTCCCACAAAGCCGTCCTCCGGCCACCGCCCTTTAACAATCCCCGCCACTCCGGGGCTTGATGTTTCGCCAATCGCTACAGCTTCACCTGGGGAAGAACGAGAGCCCGCTGGTCATGGACCTGACCGAGATAAGCCCAGCATGCTAAACACGATGGACGGTGCGTGTGATATGGACGATGATCCTACTCCCACCGCATCCAGTCGAAACTCCAGTGTAGTTGATCCCAAGGCACAAGCACCACGGCCATCAGTCGTTCATTTCTTATCTGACGACCATTTACATTGGAGAGAAAGAGAGCCTGCTACTTTCGTCAATCCGTTCACTCCTGAAGAAGCGTCGTCCAGAAAGACTTCCGCCTCTTCCGAAGCCACAGCCTACTTCCGGCCCAATGCTTTTGCTGGTCATCGAGACACGCTGGCAAGACTGCACAAATTCACCAACAGGTACAGTGACGACGAAGATCCTGCAGACAGTGAAACCGACTCATTTTCAACCGCTCTTACCCGTCAGCCGTCTCTATCTGGGATGTCTAGACGAGCCAGCCATGCGGGAGCAAATCTGGACCTCTTCTATCCCCAACGGGTTGTCGACACTGTGCTCCGCTATGTGGCGTTTGATGATTACAAGGCTATGCGACTAGTCTGCCGCCAATGGCGTGCGAATTTGCCTCAACCCAGATTTCCTGGAGCGTACCTACTTCCGAGAGAGATCCTGAGAGAAATTTTCTCCTACTTGGCGCCCTGTGACTTTGACTCGGCCCGCCACACGTGTAAAGCCTGGTTCTTAGCCAGCTTGGATCGCAAGGTCCTGGTTTCTATGCTCAGAGCAAGTGGATGCCAGGCTGCGTTGGCCACGGATCTTGAGCGGGCGCGTGGGCACATCGCTGCACAGAGGCGAAGCTGGGACAGCAGTCTTGGCCCAATGCAGACCGACGGTGAAAATTTCATTGACAAAGAGTGGCTGTGTTCCAAAAGATTGGCTACAGAAAGTCGACTGTCGCCCGACTGGCGAGGCTGTCTCCTGCCCGATGGCTCTCCTAGACTTCCAATCATTGAGGAAGTCGACTTCTCGAAGATCATCACCTCCCGCGCTGTACCCACCAAGCCCAGGTTCACAGTGTCAGCATGTGGCAGATTTGTCCTTGTGGTCTCTGGAGGCGACATATCTGTCTACAGCTTGTGCGATTCAGAGCAGTCGCTTGCCCCTGTGGTAAGGCTAGCCACGGGAATTGAGGTGTTGAAGGTCAGCATGGATACTAGTTCGGAACGATACTCGATTGCCGCCCTCCTGGCAGGCCGCATCGGCATGCTGTGGGATCTACACGGCAGCCATATGCAGACAAGGTATCGCAACCCTTCCGGCGAGACGATGAGCTTGAGAGTGCAGAAAGATATTCACAGTTCAGCCATCTACCAGTCTTCAAGGCTGGCCAGTGTCAACCTTCCCATTAATTCACCTGAAACGCATGCTGGAGGAGTGTCTGATATGAATCTTGCGTTAACGGCGTTGGATGATCACACGTCCCCTCCTGGTGCTCTACCAAGCCCCCGATTCTCGTAGGACGAGCAGATGCCCAGCTCGGAGAGCCCGGAAGAGATTGAGGTGTTGTGTGAAACGGATGGTTCTGACCAAGTTCAAGATCGTTTGGGAATCCCGATTGAGACCAGGGCGACGGCCATTTACACTGATCTTGGAAGCATGGATGATCAGCCAAGGAGCGTGGCGATTTGTCCCAACCGAAAGTGCGTTGCATTTGGATGTCGGATGGGCATCGAACTTCACTGGGTCGACGCTCTTACCGGGGACCATCTCAACCGCTGGTTTCCTCTTTCCGCGCCGAGCGACTACCTGTATTTCCTGCCTCAGCGACGTGGGGTGGACTCGAGGAGGAAGCTCAGATTGATATCGAGTGCCGCAGGACCAGTTGTCACTCAGCTGCTGAGAAGCGACAGTACACCGGCCAAGTCGAAATTCTTCCCTACCCCAGCAACCCTTGGTCGACGCCAAAGCTTGACTAGACTTTTCTTTGGGAACATGCCATTCCCCACGCCCGCCGGTGGTTCAGGGGAGTTATCCGGTTCTGTCAGCCCCCAAGGAGCCGATGAAGGCCAAGGGGTTCTGCGGACTGTTGATTGTGATCACTTCCATGCGATCCCAGTGAGCGACGGCTTTCACCTCGTTTTCACGGATCCAGACAGTGGGCTTCTCTGCTTGGGTAGCGATGCACCGCTGGGAGGTCCAACCAAACTTATTCGAAAGATCATGTTCATTCCTCCCGGACAGAGCGACCGAATGCCTGCCCCACGCCGCTACGCAGTTGGCAAAGCGCTTGAATGGGGATTGAGGCTCGTCGTGGTCTACGATAATGATGAGGTCGTGCTCTTCAATATTCCCTCTGATGTTTTCGGGCAACTGCAAGACCAGAGAAGCTCGACCGACATCTGGGACGAGAATTCTGGCGTGGTTGGGCAAAGTGATCTGATCATGGACTCTCTGATGAATCGCGATGGAAGTGGCTCGCCTAGTGCTGTGACAGCCCGAGGAGCCCCAGAAAGCGACGCCAGCTCTGCTCATGTGCCACAGCAATTTGGTGGTTGTGTCATTGCTCGTATTACTGATCAGGTGGTCGATGACATTGCGGTCCAGTCCGACAACGGTGGACTTTCTGTTTGGTTCTTCTACAGAAATGGGCTTGCTGAACTCTATAGCATCTATGCGCCTCGTCCCCATCAAGTGCGAAGAAGGGTTGTGGGAGAGAATGGCCTCATCTCGGACTGTGACAACCAGATGCCTATCGAGACCAAGACTGATGCTCAGCCGGCAAAGGGAAAAGAGAGAGAGGACCAAGGAGCCAAACACGTCAAATGGGCCGGCCAGGGAATTATGGACTGAAACACTTCAAGACTACCTTGAACAGCCAGCCAAGCTTCGAGCCTGTGAGATTGTGATCAAGAAATGGCGGTGCCGTCTATGTCTATGAAAATCTATTCAGCCCGCGTAAGAGCGGATCTGTGACTGGAAGAGAGGTCACGACCTCCACAAGGGGATCGGTGTTGTGCAGATACCCTCCAGAGGACGGGTTTCTCAAAAACAGTATCTTTCGAGCGAAGCTAGATTGGCTGCAAGAGCGACCTATCAGTACTCATCGAGCATTTCTTTTCGAGAAACGGTAGCATTGACTTCACTTCCTTACACCCTCGTACTGTCCTTTTTCGCGACCACCATCAGTTATGGTTGCTTGGAATGGAGCATCTCTTAGGGCTCCATATTCAAAGCCCTCAACAGCGTCCTTCCCAGTCGATCAACTTGCTCCGCCGTCGTAGTCAAACTGGTCATGAAGTAAATCATATCGCCCAAGACGCGCGAATGGATCCCACAGCCATCCTCGTCCAATAACGTCAAAAGACGCGACTGTAGCTCTGCAGAGGCGGTCGAAGTGTAACCCCCGGTTGAACCTCGAGGGGCGGCCACTTTTAGGACGAGGACGGTGCCCAGTGCGAAACACCCGGTCAAGCGGGGATGGTGAGAGAGTTCTTGGAGGAGAGAAGGAGGGAAGAAGGAGTAGATGTCGGGGTTGGTCTGTTTCTGAGGGACGGCATCCTCTCCAAGCAGAGATGTCTCTTCCGACCAGGCTCGCTTGAACCGGCTCCAACTTCCCTCCCCTTCTTTGCTAGAATCCATCCGTCTGTACTCGTCCAAGGCCTTGTTGGCGACCATGCACCCGATAGGGTGCGCCGTGTAGGAATGGCCATGTAGGAGGGCGTCAGTTTTGGAGTCGGAGAGGAACGTCCTGAAGATGGACTCGCTCGCCGTGGTGAGGGCCAGAGGTAACAGACCTGCGGTGAGGAGTTTGGCGTGCGCGGAGATGTCGGGCGCGATGGAGGGCGGCAGAGCCGGCTGGGGAGATTCAGAGGTAGAGGTAGCGGTCGTCGAGGCGAAGTCGGATGGAGAAGATAGGAAAGACGACGAACTGGACCGGCCGAGGCGGTAGAGGCCCGTGAAGACTTCGTCCGCGATGATGGGAAGGCCGGACCACTCCACACTACTACCACCTTCTTGGCCATCTGCTGCGTCGTGCTCGGAGAATTGCTTCGGCGCAATCAGGTGAGGATTGGCTCGAATCGTTTTGATGAGCGTCCTTTGGAAGAGCGGGTCGACGAAGATCATGCCTCCCGCGCCCATGATGATGGGCTCGAGGATCAGAGCGCCAAACCGCCTGCCTTGATCGCGGACGAGGCGTTCAAGTGTCGCGGTAATGTGGGATTCGTATCGCCTCGCGTCCTCTGTCCGAGCATCAAAGTCAAAGAGGGCGTGGAGGGATTTGAACTGTTGTGTCTGATTCGTGGCATACATCTCTTCCGGCATGGTGAGTTCCCAGACGCCCTTCCGCATCAGGACCGACGGCGGATCGAACCAGTGACCCCATGGCTGATGCCAGTCCACCTTCTCGTTGAACACACTGGGCTCGGAGCAGTTCATGACGCCGATGGTGTCGCCGTGGTAACTCCCCTTCAGGCCCAAAATGGCCACAGGTGTCTTGCCACCGTCGTCGTCGTCGTCCTTGGTCCACCCGTATCGCTGGCTCGAGGCTCGCAGTGCCATTTTCACGGCAACCTCCATGCCCGTGCTGCCATTGTCGGTGAAGAAGACTCGACTCAGCCGCGGATTCTGCAGGGTCGACAGGAGGTTGTAGGATATGTCGAGCGCGGGTTCGTGGACGGCGTGCGCAAACATGACATGCCCATAGCGACCGGCCGCGTGGGCTGCCGTCAGTGCGACGTTCGGGTTGCCGTGGCCGAGACCCTGTGTCCACCACGACGCAGATGCATCGAAGAGAGGTGTGAGGAGGGGTTTCGGGGTTGGCTGTGCCGCGAGCGGAGTAAGGCCCATAGTCGAAGTGGTCTTGGACGACTCCTTGAGCGCCGGATCGGCTTCTTGGTTGTAGGTTTGGAAATGGTCATTGTATGCTGAATCGATTGCAATGATGTTGTGGGGGATACCGTGCTGGCGGAAGGGATGCCATATCACCGCGTCCGCCTGGGAGGGCATCGACGTCAGCTTGGAGATGCGTGAGAAGTGCTTTTGATTGAGCAAGTCAAGCAGGTTTCGGGCGGCGCCCGTTTTAGACCAACCGCTGTAGTAGCTCGAGAGGGCGCGCTTGTCTTGTTCGCCGTCTTGCTGCTTCTCCGGTGGTTTGGGCAGCGCAAACGTCGAGATGCCGTGGTTCCGGAAATACCGGTCGAGGTACTCGAAGTTCCCCCACTCCGGGTCGTCGAACAGCACGATCGAGTCGACGTCGAAGCCCCGAACATGCAAAGATTCAAACGCCGAGATGGTGGTCGCGATCCCCCCGAGCTTGCTGTCTCCCACAAGAATCGTGGGGAGTCTCAGTGGTCTGTACAGGTCGGCTTGGACCGTGCCAGAAGGACCGGGGGAGAGGACGCCCCCGGCAGTCTCGACGAAAGCATACCGCCCTCCGGCCTCGACATGCTTCCCCAGAATAGCTTTGACTCTGGACAATATCGAGGCGTCTGACCTTGGGATTGATGGGTCTTTGTCCAATTGAGCAGCCAGATGCGGGCTTAACGGCCGTGAGAACTGCGAGATGTTCTTCGAGACCGTCCCGGGCACAAAGGTGTCGATGTGTCCTACATCTTCCTCGTCCCGGGGTCCAGTCGAGACGGGTTTCAAATACAGCACCCGTTGGTCAGGCGTCTGGAGAGCCCGACACAACAGCGTCGAGACGATGGTCTTGCCAACGTTGGTATTGGCTCCAAAGACCTGCCATGCCTTCAGGTCGCGCCACAACATCCCGCCGTCGTCGAAGAGAAGGGGAAATAGAGAGCGAGCAATCTCCGGGACCAGATTTGCGATGAGTCGCTGACCGAGGCTGCGCGGTGGGATTTGCTCCTGCCAAGCCACGGCCCGCTTTTTTACTTCCCGGGAAATTCCGACCCTCCGATTGGACACCGAAAGGCTCTTGCGCCGCGTCAACTTCCTTTTTCGATTGAATTTCGTCGAACGCCGGGTCGTCAGCCTCGAGTTGTTGACCCAACATTTCTCCTAGCATCATCCATCAATCATTGATCTTGACCCCCGACTACAAAGACGGACTCGGCAGGCTATCTTTCTGGGGGAGTTGGACTTGAGAGTATCAGGAGACTCACGATTCCTGTCCAGTCAGTCAGTCACTAGCCATGCCATCATCCCCATTGGAACAGCGCCTTGCTGCTCTCCTGGAGAAACGTCGATCGCAGTCGAAGCTGCGAAACCTCAAGTCGAGTCCTCCAGGGTCTGTCGACTTCTCATCCAACGATTTCTTGTCCTTGTCCACAAACAAGGAGTTCCAGGATGATTACCTGGCGGTGCTGAATGGAAGCCACACGCCCATTGGATCAACGGGCTCGAGGCTCCTGGACGGCAACTCTGAATTCGCCGAGAGCCTCGAACGAGACCTTGCTGCTTTCCACGGCGCCGAGGCTGGCCTCCTGACCAACTCGGGCTTCGATGCCAATGTTAGCATCTTCACCTTTCTCCCTCGACCGGGGGATGTCATCATCTATGACGAACTCATCCATGCCAGTGTCCACGATGGCATGAGACAGTGTAGGGCCAAGCAACAAATCTCCTTCAAACACAACGACGTCGAAGACCTGAGTCGGATCCTGCAGCAATTCTCCTCCTCGAGTCCCAGCCAGACCATTTTTGTCGCCGTGGAGACGGTTTACAGCATGGAAGGCGATCTCGCCCCGCTGACGGAGATTGTCGATCTGATGGAAGCTATGTTGCCTCACAACAACGCGCATCTAGTGGTGGATGAGGCCCATGCCACTGGCGTCTATGGACCGAATGGCTCCGGCAGAGTCTGTGAACTTGGACTGGAAAAGCGTGTTTCCATCCGCCTCCATACTTTCGGCAAAGCTCTTGCATGCAACGGCGGTGAGTGGCCCCCCACCCAGCATTCAGTACCAATGCACACCTGTTGGCTGACGAGACTGGAAGCAATCATTCTGTGCTCTCCTGTGATCCGTCTCTTCCTCATCAACTATGCCCGACCGCTCATCTACACAACCTTTATGTCCTATCCTTCCCTTCTCGCGATCAAGACGGCATATGATTGGCTCAAAGAGGGGAAAGCGAATCTGGTAAGCTTTTTGACTCTGCAACCTATGTCGCGGCTAACATCATCCCTTGCCAGCTTGCTGCAAACCTCTATCATCTGATCGATCACCTCTACACAGGACTGCAAAGCTTGGCACCTGTCGTCGCCGAAAGTGGCCCGGTATCGAAGACTTTGGTGTCTCTCCCAACCACGTGCCCAGAGTCGCCCATTTTTGCAATCTTGAGCCCATATCCTCGGTCATTGGCCTCGTACTGTCAGTCGGCGGGGTTCATCGTGCGCCCGGTCGTTGCACCAACCGTTCCCAAGGGCACAGAGCGGGTAAGGGTCTGCCTGCATGCAGGGAATACAGTCGAGCAGATTGACCGGTTTGTCGAGTGTGTCAAGCAATGGATCATCACTGAGGGCACACGGGATGTGCATACAGACCAGCTGAGCCCGCCATCAAGCCACGCCATCAGCCAGCCGGCGGGACTAAAAACGGGAAGTAGCCTTCTCGCGAAATTATAGTCAAATTTAATACGTGTGCTGGCGTCCCTCTGCAGCAGCCTGCAGTGGAGCGGCCCTAGGGAGCCTACCGCAACAACTACGATCCACGGATCAATGCAGCTTGCGGGCGCGGCTTTTGGCGTTATACGCAGCACCGACATAGGCAGAATACATCATGCCCAGCCTGTCTCCCTGTTTACCCTAGCCATGCGATGGTCTCTTGCACATTTCTCTCACACTTGACCCGCTTCCCACGCTTTCGCGTAAATGTCCATCGCCGTAACGAGGCCGTTCCTCTTTGGCTCCCAACCAAGCAATTCTCGTGCCCTGGCGCTGTCACAATGAATGGTCGCACCCAAGGCCTGGAGGAAAGCGTTGTCGCCAGGCCCGACGAGTCGAGGTCGAGTCGCCCGCCCTTGGCCTTGCTTACTGCCCGTGCAAATGCGGCGAGGATGTCGCGGATGTTCTCGGTCGTCGAGACCAAGTCGAAGACAGGGTACACGGAAGGACCTCCCCCAAGCAGGGAGATCTTGCCGACGCCGAGGCAGACGGCCGACGCGACATCATCGACGTGGATCACGGGAGACTGCGACGTGGGCGCCACGGGGATTTGCACGTGGCTCTTGCCGTCCGCCACGGCCCGGGCGATGGGGCCCCACAGCGCACTCCAGCCCGAGGAGGCGCGGCCGTGCATCTGCGCGGGCCGGAATATCATCACGTCGAGCACGTCGCGGGCCGCCATGACCTGGCGCTCCAGCTCGGGTCGCCACGCCACAAGAGCGAGCGGCTGCGTAGGGCCCGACGCCGTGCCGACGGGATCCAGGTCTGAGACAGCACCGTCTGACTCGCCGTGGACCCAGGCGCCGGAGATATAGACAAAGCCCATCCTTGGAGGTGGCCCCACCCCTGCTCCTCCTCCTCCTTCTTTTGCGCTGAAGGCGTCCAGTTGCTCCTGCCCGACGGCCTTGACGTCGGCAAGGAACCTGGCGCTGTCGCCGTACGCGGCGGTGCAGTCCACCACGACGTTGATCCGGAATTGGCGAATCGCATCCAGGTAAGGGCCCGGGGTGTTCGCCGGGTCCTCACATACCACAGGGGTTACCTCGCACGCCGCCAGAGCCTGGGCCTTGTGGGCAGATCGGCAGAGTCCGTAGACGGTGTGCAAGCCGCTGCGGACCATGGCTTGGGTGACGGCCTGGCCGAGATATCCTGTTGCTCCGAAAACCAGCACTCGAGGCATCTTGAATCGGTCGGAGGGGGAGAAGGGAAATATGGGCTGATGACTGGCAATAAACTCGTGAAGAGTTGACCGACAGAGAGTTTGTCCAAGTTAAGGCCCTTGTGGCTTCCAGATGGAAAAATGTCTGTAGGGACTGGCTTCCGCAAAGAAGACCGGGGGACTGCGAAGGTCATGCTTTCTTATACCATGTCCCTCGTCCGAGCTGATATGGTGTGTCCTGCCAAGTTCAATCAATTCTCGAGTTCCACCTCGAACGGCCCGTAACACTGCAAATGGATCACGAAACACCCTACACCTTGATCCAGTCAATGAAGCGACTGCTCTTGGTTACAACGGGAGGACTCAGATGGCCATGATTTGCGGGTTAGGGACTCACGGTCAACGCTCGACGTATTCGAAAGCGATGGAATGCGAAGGTCGATACGATCTAGGTACCTAGTAGACTTATGTCAGCTGCATGTCGGTGATGGCGCAGACCAAGGAGGCTGTTCTGGTCCCCAAAGAATACTGGAAACATTGCTAGGTCAGTTACATGTTTTGATGTCGACGTGTCTAATATCGACTCTTGTGTTTTCCTAATTGGGGTTTCTTATGATTTGACTGCTTCTGAGAGGGCGTTGAGTTCGGATGGTGCTTGTATGGTTTGGTTGACCGTCATCTGGCAACCGTTTAACGTCAGTCAATCCAGCCACTAACTCGGTCGCTCGGTCGCTATGGCTGGTCCGGTCATGAAGTGTCAGGAGTGTCAATTATGAGTTTGGTGGCAGAGGCATGTCATGCCATCCACCCCAGCGAACACTCGGATGCTTAAGGAGTGGGACTACACAAGCGAAAAGCTAGACTGGTGGACAAGCTCCTACAAAGCCTCGCCGAGCCGTGACTCGCTTTACGCCTGCCAAACACGAATACGAGGCTCGCTTGGGAAAGGAGCGGGAGGCCACTCGACCATTGGCCTCGTCTCCAAAGTCTGGCCAAGCACTGCGCCTCATGGGCCATGGCGCCTCGTCGTCCTCTAGTATCTCCTTTCCCCTATTTCCCTTTGCCACCAAAAGCTACCAGTCTCGTACCGATCAGAGATCACTTAAGATTAAAAGCGACACCCCAGTAGGGCGTCTGCAGCATGGTTGCTTGCTTCGACATGCCTGCCTCCCGCACCGCTTCCCATGCTGTAGCCTCCAGGTCGTCGAGGCTCACACCGATGACATACAGTTGACCTTTAGCCCTTTTACCACAAGAAATCTATAACTATCATCTTTGCCGCGTACCCAGCGTCATTGATTCAACAGAATCTGACACGGTCTGTCTCCAGCTTTGTCACAGACTTCCAGGATGACAGTTGTCCCACAATGTTGGTTGCTGGCGAGGCGGCAAAACACTTTGTGCGGTTGGTACTCTACCCTTGGTCACGCATCGCTGGTCGAAACACCCGTCTATTACATAGACATGATTGTTCTCACTGAGTACACTATTTTCTGGTGCCTTTGTATGTCTTCGTGTTCTCATGTTTTGGTTCCCAATTGCCGCAACGCCCCGAACCCGAATTTCCTCCACGCCCGCTGATGACCAGCAAAAGAACCATTACAAGCCACGTTTAGGCATCGAAATAAGCTCTAGTTTAGAAGCTCCGATCCAGAGGAAACTTCTTGGACGTTGAAGTCGTCACAGTCCGCTTTGTTCCACGTCAATGACCTGGCCAGTGGCAAATGGAAGGTCTTGGTTTGAATTCATCTCGTAGAGGATTTGAAAAAGGACTTGTCTGTTGACTCGACAGCTATCTCCTCGAAACCTGGGTCGGCTGAAGGCCGTCGAAAGCCTGGCTATGATGGGTTCCATCTCTTCTGGTGTCGGGTTGTACTGCGTAATCATGTCTTTGGCTACCGAGCAAGAAATGCTGTTGCTGTCATCTGCCCAGAGAGGTCCGTTTGGAGGTACAAGAAACACGTGGCATACAAACGAAGGCTCGCTGGGTGGGTGTGTCCTTGTCTCATGCGGCGGGAGATACCACTGATGCAAAGAGTTCGGGAAGCCGTTAGCCGCCCTCATTGCGGACATTGTGCTCGCAGCAACCAACGGTGGCGCCATCAGCTGATCACTGTACTGAGTGTCGTAGGTTACAAGGTTTTCAGTAAGCACGGGAGGTTGTGGTGTGCAGCAGGACGAGGGCGATGGTGTAGGACAACATGCACCACGACCATCAGATGTCTGGCTTACAGCAGTTGCAGGATTTGTGACCTCGGGGACGAAAAGTTTGGGCTTCAATTGTCGAAAAGAAGCGGCCGTAAGCCCGCCCGGCCGTTGGAGCGTTGTTTCCTCAGAGATTCCCACATTGTCGGGACTGATGCCAACATTCTTCAGCAGATCCCGCAAACGAGCATTCTCAGCTTGAAGTTCGGCAAGAGCAGTACGTTGCAAGTCGGCTTCACGACAGGTGTTGTGGCACTGTTGTAACTGGTTCTCGAGCTCCGCAAGATATTCCCGGCGGCGAGCACGGCTCCGTCGTTGGTTATCGCGGACTCGCTGCTGCTTGGATTTGGCAGCATCGACCTTGGTGCTTCCTTCGCTGCTTTCGGAATCCATGGGTGACAAACATCGAATGTACGATTCGCCAGCCAGCAGATATATAAAGTGGCCCACTCGGGAGCTCGAGACAGAGTGCAATAAGATCCAAATCAGTGGCACGGTTGAAAAGCCGAGGGCATGAGGAGACGTCACATGTCATTCCTGATTGGCGAGGTCTTAGGCTAGAAGCAATCGAACATCATTCCGGAGTGGCTCCAACGCCCCAGAACACCAATGCACGCTCAGACAAACAAATGGCGACACTTGGCTTAGAATGGGGCGTAGGAGAGGCCATCTAGAAGTCACTAGCCGCCTGGACACCGCCTCCTCCGACCGGAAAGACCATTACAGGTCGGGCTGAGAAAGCACAACATGACCGGGGTAGTTGGGCTGGGGAGGGAAAGGTTGCAGAGTGACGCTGCTCCTGGAGGGTGAGGGACGTTTTCAATGGCAGGCAGGCCATGGCGGATTCGGGGAAGTGACATTTTCTGAAAAGAGGCCGGAGTGGATGTGACTGCACAAAACAACCAAGCTGAAAGGTACAGGAGTGCGATGGCCAAGCACTCCATACCCTGTAAAAGTACTGCACGGTCGTAGCATTCATGGATGCTGGTGTGGCTTGGACAGTGAGAGTTGAAACCGGATAGGGGGCTGGTCGCTTTTCGGGTACCGTTGGCGGGCTCCCTGCGACCCTCCCACTAACCAGCCCTTGCCCGGCTGAAAAGCCGCTTGCGCTTCTTCGATACTTATCTTACCTAGGCAGGTAAGGATCGGACCCGCCGGTGCTTGCTGGCCATACCTTGCGCTTGCTTTGCTGCTCTTGTCGTATCCCTCAGCTGGTGGCATCCCGGAATTATGGCATCACGGGTAACAGGTGCGTGGCAAACAATCCAGAAATACGTCCCGAAGGGTGGGAAATGTTGTGGCGATCCAAAACGAAGAGGTGGTAGAAGTTCTGCTGCAGGAAAGCTTTGGGTAACCAGGTCCTGCGCTTCATTCTTCCAGATGGGATTCTCCGAAGCTCGCCACGAGGTGTTGGGATAGCTCTGCCAACCACTGCCACACCCCGGGTTTCCTGTGGAAGCATGTGTAGATGGCAGCGCGTTTCGAGGTCGTCGTCATCTTGCGCCGGGCTAACTTTTACTGGAAGGTCAGCAATCTTGACGGTGGGAAAAAAGGCCGTATAGTACTCGAAAACCCGGTCACCCCTGTCCACCGCTCTGTTGTCGTCTTTATCCGTAATGCTCAGGAGCCCCCTTATTATTGCGTCAAAAGCCCTGCATCGCTGACGGCAAGTTCCACCCACAAACTCCGAGATTGGGGGCTGTTGAGGAGGGGTGGGGATGTTGAAAGAGGAAAAGTTGAATACGAGGTAATAGACCCTGAAGACCATGACGGTGCACCAGGGATATCGAAACAACCCAAACATGATTGGTACCAAACAGGCGGGTCGTAGGAAAACATCGCCATTTGTTTCCATTCTCGCGTGGAATCAGGGGAAGGATCTGCCAAAGTCGCCGGCGCCAGCAGAGAACCTGTGCATTGAACAGCCGACAGGTAGCACAACATTCACTCTGCTAACAAACAACCTTGGAAGTAATGGGTAAGTGGTAATACGGTAGTACCCCACATTGGGGCCATTTGGAATCTTCGATGGAAGCATTCTATTCCACGTACGGAGTAGACTTCAGTTGAGACCGCCACTTAGCCACAACCGCAGGGGATATTGCTGCCCGGCATCTCTTGCTTGTGCCAGAAGAAAAACCACAGTCGACGCAAGGCCCCAAAAGGACTTTGCCCCTGGACGTCGGGATTTGAGACGTTCGGGCTTCAAGTGGTTGCCGACGCCTCGCGAGACTCTGATTTTACAGGCTCTGGAGTTTTTGACCTCAGCTGGGAATGATCGTTGTTGGCCCAAACCTTCTGGGTAGGCATTTCCGCGGGTTGCAGATCGCTGCAGAATGTAACATCAGGGTGTGCCACACAAATAACTCGTAGATGGGGGTTCACTTGGTAGTCCCACTACCGTATGCCAATGCCGTATACGCGTCAAGCCAATGCTCAATACAAGGCAACGCCACAACTTGTCTAAAGACTCTTTCAGGGCTCCTTCTCTTTCCGGTGTGCTCGCGGGCGACCCACGTTAATGGTTGCGGCGGACCTCGATGGGGATAGATTCTACCGAGCATTAAGCGAACTTGCGGCTGTAACGAACGTCATGCCCTATGCTATCTGCTTTGATTCTTTCAAGCCCCGACGTTCTCCTTCCCTCGAGTAGGTATTGCTCGCACTTCTGCAAACGATCTGTTCAACAGTGTCTTTTCCTTGAGTCATACGGTGTTCACGCTGGGCTCCTCGATTTTCGCCTCAATAGCGCGAAGGAGGGCAATAACAAGTTCGGTCGTCGCTGACTGACGGGTGAAGTGAGGGACGTCTGCGGTAAGGAGGAGGCAGAATTGGAGCAAACTTCTGCTTCCACTGCCATTGCGACGAGAGCTGTGGAATGGTGATTGAATCGTCGTGTGTGGAGGATGGAAAGGTGAGCTCTTGCGCTCAGTGCTTTCATGAAGCTGGAAAGCCGTCAGTATAGAGTCTCAACTTGTTCTTCTGAAGCTTGAGCAGCTAATATCTGGTGCTTCAGCAGTGGACACACCTATGCAGCCTGATGGGTTACAAGAGGCCATTACTTCCTCCTTTGAGGCAAGGACATTCTCGATATTCAATATTACCTTTCGGTTCAGAAGACAAGAGGCGCCGGTCGTGAAGAGACGAGATGCGGCTGAAGGTGAATTAGCTGCTCCATTTGGAGGCGGACGCAGAGGGCGTGATGACTGTAGTGAAGCCATGCCATACTGCTCATCAGAGGTGAGGCAGGATCAACGATTTTCCCTGCACAACCAAGCTAGCGTTCTAAAGAGTGAAAAGAAATTTCGCAAAGAGGACAACACCTTCTTTCTTGTTTATCTCCAGATCAGACCAGATCATCTCTCCCATCATCAAACCTGGTCATCTCTCCCATCACCAAACCTGATCATTTCCCCAATCATCAAACCTGATCACCTTTCCATCATCAGACTTTCAGAAAGCACAATGCCGGGCCGTCGTAGACGCCCACGGCCACCAAGGCCTCCTACCTACCCTCCCAACTCCACCTACACTGCTCCCAACCCTACCTATCCTACTTCCTACTCTGTTTACCCTGCTTCCAATCTTGCCTACACTGCACCAAATGCAGTGTACAGCGGCCCCAATCCTGCCTACACCGCCCCAAATGCAGTGTACAGTGCTCCCAACCCTGCCTACACTGCTCCAAATTCAGTGTACAGTACTCCCAACCCTGCCCACACTGCTCCAAATCCAGTGTACAGTGCCCCCAATTCAGTGTACTCTGCTCCCAATTCAGTGTACTCTGCTCCCAATTCAGTGTACTCTACTCCCAATCCAGTGTACTCTGCTCCCTACCCTGTCTACACTGCTCCCAGCACATATTGTCCTCCACCCCAAATGCCAGTGTCAGCACTCGGCACAGGAGTCCAGGAGCGTCCACCACCCCAACTGCCAGTGTCAGCACTCGGCGCAGGAGTCCAGGAGCATCCACAAACCCAACTGCCAGTGTCAGCACTCGGCGCGGGAATCCAGAACCGTCCTCAAAATAGCCTCGCAAACAGAGATGATGTTCCTCGGAAGATCATCCCGGGCCGAAGGGTCCGCGTGTGCCCAAAACCAGCCTGGGAAGAGTGGCCTCCTCGGTTTCCAGGCGGTGGTCATTTCAGAGATTCCTTTCGAAATGGCCGCCCAGTTACGCCTCCCACTCCCCCTCTCCGGACTCCATCCCCCCCTCAAAATCCCATTCAAAATAGCCTCCCAAATACGGCTCAAACACCTCTCCAGGGCACATATCCGCCCCAACTTCAAGCTCCAAACCAGAGTATTACCCAAAGTCATGAGCCCGCAGGTGGCAGTCAAGCTGCGCAAGATGCACCGCAACCAGACCCAAGTCCCTCTGCATACACATTCAGAGGCACCAAAACAGACCAAAGTCTCTCTGCATACATATCCAGAGGCACCAAAACAGACCCAAGTCTCTCTCCTTATATGTCCAAAGGTACCCAAACTGACGCGAATGGGGTTCCACAGCAACCAATCGAACCCCAGCCTTCTGCTTCTCCTTCCCCTCCCCCTCCCCCTCCACCACCCACAAACAATATACCCAACCAATCCCTCTCCAACCCACTCTTCCACTATGCAGAAGACCAGGGTCAGAATCAAGGACTGCCAAGTAGAAGGCAGGCAGACAACACGCGAGATCCCTTGAGGCAACAGGCCAATTTCGGCGGCATAACCAAAAGAAGGCATACTGCGAAAATCACAGTGGCCAAGGCCAAAGCGGCAGCATGTCTTCAGGACATTTTTGGATCAGATTCCACCCTGCGGCTAGCAGAGAGAGACACATTCAACGCTCAAAACACCACGGCGTCTGTGTCTAGGAATGATAGTGCCCTCACCATCATTCGGGATGTGGATGTTGATATGCCAGATGCACCCGATCTTGACGACAACGGAACTGGATAACCAGCCTATCAAACCACTACCACCAGAACCTTTTGGAGGCTCTCCGGTTGGTAGTCTCTATTTATCGCCAGCGATAAATTGACTGGGCAGAAAATCTGCAGCAGAACCTGGCCGCATATCATCAAGAAGGGCGAAATCGTGAGGCAAGACACTTATAACCCTTCGCTGTTGGCACCGATAAAAGATCAATGCTTGCCGACACCAGCATCGATGCAAGCTCTCGTACTGCTGCACAAATTTCAGCGTGGATATCCCTTCCCTGGACTGCGAGGTGGCATGTTAGACTGCAAATCATAACAGATTCGATGTCACCGTGCTGGACGTTTTGACCAACGCCATGGAATCCACAATTTTGACGAAGAAGTCGTCATAGACATCGGTAACTCCACTCACCACCAGTCATAGGGGAAAACATCCTCAGCAAGATATTGTGTCTCTTGGTTTTCAGTGGAGAAAGGAGCTGATCAGCAGCAAGGATAGCCTGCACAAACGACAGCATACGACTGGATGAGGAGGATCATTGGCGCAGGGAAAGACAAGCAGCGCTACATCGTCTTTGGCCTGATTGGGCGGTCCTTGTGGACTATTTAGCAGATACTCCAATGAAACGACTTCTCTTTCCTCTTCGTTTCTCCACGTAGACATGAAAGTAGGCTCCGTGACAGTTCCGAGACTTCAATCTGTTACTTGAGTACCTAGCGAGCTAGGTAGCATATCCGAAAAACCATTTCCACCAGCAGAACCAAGTAGGCATAGAATGTACCCACTCGCTCACCACTGGCGGAGCGTTTACGGGAAGGGCCGGCCCGCACCGGACATCTGCAGGGTGCCAGTGCGTTGAGCAAACTTTCCGTGCTATACTCGTATATCATCATGTCGTGTCACTGGAGCAGAAGCCGAAAAGACCAAGCTTAGGTCGCCATGATCTCGACGGACGTGATATCTGAAAACATGCGACTTCCGATACTATATTCATTGTCTCTCCCGGCAATCGTCTGGCGGGTACATACTACATGGCCACGTGGAAGCAGGGAGCACGCCTGGGACAATTGATCAGTGAACCAGCCGCCAAGGATCTTTCTATGAACCAACTCTACCGTCCTCAGATATCAGATTCGTCTGGGGCATATTCACTGTTGAGCCTTGGCGATAGACCACACACTCTGATTTCCTTCACATTTGCTTTCTGTCGCAGTTTCAGTCTTCTCTTCCTTTCCTATTCCAAACCATCACCATCATCATCAACAACCCACACTCGCTGTAGAGCGAGTGTACAATCACTCTCGAGGCGCCGAGATGTCGTCTCAAAACTCTCGCTTCTATTCTGCTCCTTACCCTGCTCTTCCCCCTGCCCCTGCCTCTGCCCTTGCTCCTGCCCCTGTTATTGTACGCTGCTCAAACCCCAGCTGTACTCAAGTATGGCCCGATGGCAGCAGAACTCAATGCGTCTGTGGCGCGCCTGTAGGCTCTTACCGTCCCCCACAGCCGAACTATGGCTACTACCCTGCTCAATCAAACACTGGCGTCTACCCTCCCCAGCAGGCCACTGCCTTCTACCCTGCCCAACAAACCCCTGCTCCCTATGGCGCTCAGCAAGCCGGCGCTCTATACCCTGCCCAACAGACAATTGGTTATCCTTCTCCACAGAATGCTGGTCTTTCATCCTCTCAGCAAGACGCTGGCGCGAGCAATGCGCCGCTTCAGGGGTTAAGTGCACCACAAGTTGCGCAGGCACAAAACACACAAGGTGCGCAGGCACAAAACGCACAAGTCATTGGCATCGCAGCGTCCCAGGACCAGCAAGCTTCTCGCAAGGTGGCCAGAGTGAAAGGACATAGACATGGTGAGGACAAGACAGGACGTTACAGTAGGTCAAATCCCAGCAAACTCTTCACCAGATCTTCAGCTAACCATGGTCTAGGTCCATACGGTCGGCGACCTCAAAAGCCCAAGTCCACGGCCCAAGCCCAGACCCCGCGAAGCCAGTGGCTCTTCACTGAGCCTGGCATTTACCAATTTGAAGTGAATCGAGAGCCAACACGCTCAACATGGTGCTTAGATCACCATTTTTCTCATCGCACCAAGCCATGCGACAAGGAAAAGCCATTGCAAATACTGAAGGAGCCTTTCATCATGCCTGGACTCCTCCCGCCTGACTACATTCGGCGCACACCTGCTGGGGAAGCACCGGCCACAGTTGAAGATGCCGTGTTTGATATGATGTCATTTGCTGAGGAGTTGGAAGCCTACACTAGATGGGCAGTAGAACGCGATGACACACAGCAAACCTTCCTCGGGATCTTTGACCAAGCTTTGCGGCATCGTTCAGACTTTACGCAAATCAGGACAGACCTGTTGACTGCAATTTCCTCGAACAATTGTCGAGCACATGCCCTTATCCTAAATCTTCATCGGGTGGCTAAACATGCCTCTACCCATTTTTTCCACAAACTGGCCACCGAGTTCAATACATTCGGTGTAGATCGCCGTCCAGCACCACTGTTGGAGAAACAGTTCATTATTGATCGACTCACAGATTTGAAAGAGGCGAGACTCCGGCAATCCTATGGCGCACAGCCTGACATTCCACAGCAGCTTTGGCAAGAGTTCCACAGCGTGACAGAAAAAATTCTGGGCGAATACGTGGCTGATGTGATCGCCACCCGAGAACAAGACCGCCAGAAGGCAAAAGACCTTCGAACCATTTTGGAAAGCAGTCAGTACACAGCTGCATTCTCTCAAGTCTGGATTGGCACCCAACTTTCCATGCCGGCCATTCAGCACAATCTGATGCCCTCCCTCATCTTCACAGATCAGCGCATATTGAGGAACTCGTTGCAAAATATCTCAGAACGACTGGCACGGGATCAACAGACTCGGCAGGCACAAAGTCCGCCAACTGCAGGACGTGCAGGACCCGCAGTAACTGGTCTGAGAGCTTGATTCTCTAGCACTCCATCAGACGCTCACCCAGATTTGTAACTTTGGTTGTGGAGTGCACATTATTCGGAAGATTGGATAAGGAACTCCGATTTTTTCCACAACATGAATGTACTCGGAGAAACGAGATTGGGAAAACAAGGATAAATAGCAGAAGCTGACAATGAATGATATTCCTTTCCCATAAGACCTATTTATCGTAAACTAGTTTTCGCAGAACAGGATTCGCTCACTGAATCCACGATGTTATGGAGTAGGAGTAGATAGTGCGAATGAAATTGTGTTGTCAGAGGAGAAATGGATACGTGATGGATGGCCCAGGGCCCCTAGCGTACCTGGTGGGTGCCTAGCCACAGTCCCCGAAAATTCAACCGCACGGGGGGTATGTCACGTGAACACCAAAAAAAAACAAAAGTATATATTTTTTATGCTCCGAGGAATTGCTTGGGACTTGTTCCCATTGTAAGTGGCCTCCTTTTCCCGCGCGAAAACTCGGGACTAATGTGCGTTCCAGTGGTCAATTTGAAACGATACAGAGAAGATTAGCATGGCCCCTGCACTAAGGATGACACGCTTCTCAAAGAGTGCTAAAAGTTTTTTTTTGTCTTCTTATAAGCTCGTACGTGGTTCGACGCCGGGTAAGGGCAGCTTCTTTATTTTGGTTTTTGTTTTCAGTCGTGGTAAAGGAGAGTGGTGGATATAGGGGTTGCGTTCTTGGCATGTACTAGGCATACCTAGCTCGCTAGGTACCTAAGTCAAGCAATTACTGTAGATCCTTCCCACCTTCAGTTTCTCCCTCATTCACCAAGAATGTATACTTTTTATAAGCTATTGCAGACTAATAACGATAAGAACGCTTCAACCTAGAGTATCATTTTGTGCTTCTGACGAATTTTCGATGATTTCAAGGGAGACGCGAGAAATAATGCCGACAGATTTGCAGCGACCCGCACGAAACACTATGATACCCAGATTGCCAATCTCAAGCTCTTTCCCGACCCTTTCCTCACATGTCGTCGTCTCAAGTCCTCAATAATGTTGATTCCGCCATAAAGCACAGCTCCTCGACATGGATGCTGATGTGTGCATGTCACAGGTTGTCCAGGAGATCTCGAGTATGTCGCAGTCAATATCCCTTCGCGTCCAGCTCAGACTCTGTCCACTCCCACAGTTTCTTGGCCAGTTCCCTGTCCCGACTCTGCTTGGACCCACTGTTTTCTTTCCCGACAGGAGTATAATACACGCCGTTCTTGACCTCCTGCCTCTTCCAGGTGGCCGCCCAGAGTTGTGTCAACGCGCCTTGCTGTACGGTCAACGGACCAACCAAGTGGTCGAAGACTTTCATGAACCGACCACTAAAGCCATTCTGGTCGAATACGACGTTGGCCAGGTTCGTCTCCACGCGGCCTGGGTGGATTGATACTGAGATGATCTCGGGGTACCGTCTTGCGAGCTCCCTCGCGTGCAAGACATTGGCGAGCTTCGACTGCGAGTAGAGCCTCGTGGGGTCGAAAGGCTGCGTGGTCGCTTTCAATTGATCGAAATAGATTCCCGCACCCCAGGCCATCAAATGCCCACTGGACGAGAGGTTGATGATGCGCACGTCCGACCCCGGTTGCGATGCCGTCTTTTGCATGAGCGGGAGGAGGAGACGGGTCAAAAGAGCGTGGCCCATGTGATTGGTCCCGAATTGGATCTCATAGCCGTCTTCCGTGAGACCGTGTGGGTGCGCCATGATGCCGGCGTTGTTGACCAGGATGTCGAGCCTGTCGGTTTCGGAGAGGACTTGGTCTGCTGCTCTCTTGACAGACGCCAACGAAGAGAGGTCCAATTGCAGAAACTTGACACTCGCGCTGGGTGCTGCCGCAGTGATGTCCTTCATGGCGTCGTCATACTTGGCTTGCGATCTAGCGGCCAAGTAGATCCGCTGCGGGTGATGCTTTGCCAGTTGCAGGACCATCTCTTTACCACACCCACTATTTCCTCCTGTCACGACGATCACCTTTCCTGCGAGATCCTGGATGTCTTTGTCCGGATCAAAGTTGTAGACATTGTCGAATGCATTGAGGAAGCCGAGAAGATGCATGACTCGGAGATGTACTCGGGGCGATTGCGAAGTAGCTGCTCTAGTAATAGTCTCTGGAGCAAGACAAGGAGGAGACTTGCCATTGCTCCATGGCCAGTGACTCCCTTTATGACCTGTCTCTCTCTGCTCAAGATATGCCCCAGGCAGGCGTCGAATAGTACGTGGGTGGAGTTCGACCGCGTTTGTGCGATTCGGCCAACGATTCCCCCTAGCGCAGTCAACCACGTCGCCAATCAAAGAGCTGCGGATACGAAGACATGGCTGCCTAGTCAGGAGCATGCATCCAGTAGCGCGAATTTGGACCATGGACGAGCACGGACAAATGCTTACACTGGCCTTTTTATCACGGTATAGCTGTATGCTTGGCATTGATGTGAAGAAGTCAGTAATCACAAAAGGGGAGCAAAGTCCCGCCGACACCCTGACTTTGATCCTACTTACTAGGTACGTGATTCGCCTACTATGCATTCTTTCCCCTGCTGATTGCTCAACCATCGCCGCCTTCTTCTCTTAGGCTAGCATTCACTTCTGGAGCTGTGGGAAAAAGCCTTGCTATCACAGCACAGTCTGCGATTTCGGACTGGCTGCATGACCTGGGCCTCCTCTTCTTCGTATTCAATCTGCTCGCCGAGACTACAGCTACCCGGGGATTACTCGAGGCGGGTGACCAAGTTGAACGCCCTACTATCTCACCGTACCGCGTGGGAGGCAGACATGAATGGACTCCGTCATATTCGCTTCTCCTTTTCTTGTCCTCGAGTCCTGCCGTCATAAAAGAGAGTCTTCTCGTGTTTCCGACGACGACTGATATGATTGTGGTGCCATTGGTGCCAGAGCATCGAGCCAGAGGGGATCGAGGCTCGCTTGGAAAAACAAAAACAGCGACAATAATGATGACTGATCCTTTGCTGCTCCGCTGTTGGATAGTCACTAGTGACTCGTGATCGACAGCCGTCTCGAAGTCAGAGGAGAGGAGGGAGTCCACAACAACAGACATTCTGACAATCTCACAGCTTACGAGAACAATGAGGCGATCCCAAGAAAGAGAAAGCATTACACCTGGTGCATGTGAACGGGAAGCTGTGACGCAAAAATCATACCAGGAAACCAAGTCAGTAAAGAGTCCGACTTGGAAAGCCGCACATGTCTCGCAGACAATTCGTCGTCGGTCTGGTTATAGCTCGCATGGAATCGGTGTTAGGGCTGTCAGTTTACAATGACCCACGACTTCAGCTTCCTCTGCATAGGCTCATACATCGACCTCGTTGCGGCAAGAGAGGAACACTCGTCTATTCCGTCCTCCGCCAGAATCGATGCGCAAGCTGCAGCAATCGACAACGGCATGAAGGAACCACATGGGCACAATCTCGTCTCCCGAAAATCCCCAATTTGCAGCCGGCATTGGTTCTGTTTGCAAGGGTCGCAGAGACGATCATCTGGGGTGGTCCTCTTTTGGACCTCTTCTTCTGCCGTCGGATTCTGGTGGCTCCTCCACCGCTTCTCGCCGCCGAATCGCTGACCCCGACCACGCATCTGCCGGCAGGAGTACTTGGTGGCTCATCGTCGGCTTGAGAAGGTAAAAGCACGAAAGAGCTCAAGTGGCGAAATATTGCACTGGCTCGGTATTGTCGCAGCAAAGAAAAGGGAGGACAGGGGCTGGCACTGGCAGACTAAAATCCTCGAGCAAGGGGTCAAAAGGTCGGTCGAGTGGAGAAAGGGATTTGGAAAAGAGAGGAGGCCGATGTTGATCCGATCCGTGTGGTAGGGATCTGAAGAATGACACACTCGACTCGACTCGACTCAATGGTACCGATGCCTTGCATGCAGCTGGTATGAAGAAGAAACAGGCAATCCGAACGGCTGAGGGTTGACCCGGCACAAGTCGGTCAACCGGGCAGTCCCACCTGTCACGTGGAGACGAAGCTTTTCTGTCCCACCTCGTTCAAAAGCCGAATCCCTACCTCGTAATACCTACCGAGTATCTACCTAGGTACCTAGTAGGTACTTGGTAGATTCGCCTTTACCTACAACGGCCAATCGCCAGTAACTGACCTGGCCCACCGGCCGGGCGAATTGCCATCCCACTTCTTTCGCTCCAGATCGTCCACCTGAGATGAGAGGGAGCCACCGACGGAAACGATCCCCGGAATCTCCCGCCACACAAAAGGACGTCTCTGTGTCGCCTCCCCATCACGCATTTGGCGTCAATACCCGACTGGTCCCAACAACAAGGGTTTTCACCACCTGTTGGCTAAAGATCTTTCTCTCGCTACTCTCTCGATTTTTATTAAACAATTCTTGGTCCTCCGATGCGCGGGTGGCTTGCTCAGCTCAAGGGAATGATTAGTGTCGTCTTCCCGGCTGCTCCCCCGTGAACGGCCTAGGTAGGGTCGACCAAGTCCCACGGCTCAGACGTTCCCGGTCATACGATCATACGATGGGAAAAATTACCAGGTAAACCCCCCGTTAGCAGGAACTCCCGCTGCGAGGTCAATTTATTAGGTCAGGTATCTGGGACCGATGCAGCCAATCGCCGAGGTACATACCTAGGTGATATTGCCTCCCCGCACTCTGGCGCTTTTTCTGACAATGCAAAAATTCGATATTACTACTAGCTAGTTATCCTCCCCCCGTCCCATCAATCATCAGAATTTCCCAGCGGCGAAATAGCCGTAGGTAGTAGGTAGTAGGTAGGTACAAATAATATCGATTTTCGCAATTGGCGTGGTTTAAGGTTCAATGGGGCGCTGCTGCTGCGCTCTCCACCTCGGACGATCAACGCCCACGAATCACACCAACAACCGCCAGCTGAATCCTTGGTTGCGTCGCGCCATCGCCATCGCCATCGCCATCGCCATCACCCAGCCTGTCTCTCAAGACTTTTCATGTTCAGGAAATGCCCACAGAGCTTTCCCCGATCCGCACCCTCGTCCGCGAGAGTTTGTCGTTGGATCTCAGGTGGCTTTTTTTTCGCTCTCTCTTCTAAATCTTGTCCCAAGTTATGTCCCAAACACGTTCGGTGAATGTGTTTCCTTTTTTGGGGGAGGAAGGGTGGCCTCTGAAGAATCCACAGGCCATGATCTAGAGAGGGTCATGGTCAGGCAGCCGATTTTACACGTCTGGGGTCGATGTTGGTCTCATTAACTATGTATATCGTGCATGTAGACAACTATGTGCATTTCTCAAAACAATGACAGCCAAGTCAAGTCGCTCAAATGCCGTTGCAGCTTCCGCAAACCTCCTTCTGGATCATCTGCAGACAAAATTGCTCCTCAACTCCGCGCTTGTTTGTTCTTGCCAAAGGAATAAATGAGCACTGGTCAAAGCTGTTTCAGATGGGGTATATCAAAGCCCAAAGTTCACAATCATCAGATCCTCCTCGACCATCACGTGCATCCAGTCCACATCCAGACTCTGTCCAGTATTCATGAATCGCTCATTTTGCTTTTCGTACACCGCCGCCAGTACTTTCCGTGTCGTTGTTGTATTGCGGCCGATGCTGGTCTTCTCCATCTCGCGGAGCAGGTCCACCGCGTGCATTCGATGCGCTCCATCCGTCGCCACGAACCCGGCCATAAAGACTGGGAACACGAGATACCGACAGTATGATCGATCCTCCGCAAGGGCTTTGCCCGTCATCTGCAAAATTTGACTCGAAGCCACGGCGAGTTCTGTGTCGTAGTCTGGAGACGTTTCGAGCCGTTGCCCGGGCCACATGGATGTATGCGAGTAGATGATACATGCTCGATACAAGGACGCAGCATGCTCATACAGCTGTTTCGGGCGGACTGAGAGGTTATCGATCTCTTGATTGATCATCATCACCGCCGGTGTCACCCACAACTGGCGTAACGCTTCCTGAAGCTCGAAAATCCGGCTTTGGCGGATTTGCACGGCTTGATTTCTTTGCAGAAGATCCGCGCTGTCGAATGTGATATCACTTCGAAATTCGCGTGCCAGGAGTGCCAGCCGGATGGCAAGTATGCTCACCTCATAGTCAAGTTGTAGGATAGTTGGCAGAACTTCCACCTCATCGGCATACAGAACACTCGAGCCATCATGGCCAAGAGGGTATAAGTGGAAGCTGGGGGGAGGAATGTAATCGTTGTTCAACAAAGATTCAACGTATCCACCACTGCCGGCGCCGCTGAGGAGAGCGTCGAGGTCAACATTGCAGATCCACCAAACGACAAATGGGAATACTTCGCCGCCTAGCTCTTCGCGCCGTAGAAGCGAAATTTGCAAAAGGGTCAACAGGTGCTGCGACCAAAGATTCGAGTGCTCGGCGTCGGCGGCGGCGATCTGGGATTCAGTTAGCATGACATGGCGCTGCAAGGGTTTCAACATACCTCATAGACCAATAAAAGGAAGTGGGTCAGAAAAGCACCATCAGACGACAGGTCGTCGGGGCCTCGAAGTGTCGACTGCAATGCTGGCAAAGCTTGTTGATAATGTTGAAGAGCATCGAGCCACTCTTTTCCTTCTTGGACAGCCACGCTCAACGCTGCGACAGCCATCATCGCGTGGTGTAACTGTGACGAATCAGCAAAGCTCACAACCGTTCCAACAGGATCACATACCGGAGGAAAACCGTTGGCGGCGTGTTCCAGGATGTGAACACTTGACCGTGCCATGCCATCTCTTTGGTCAGGTTCTGCTGGGACCAAGTGTTTCCAAACCACCTGCCGAAACTGGCGCAGGTACCTGGCTTCTTGACCTACCCCGGACGACTCGGTCACGGAATCTGATTCTTCGCTGAGCACAGCTTCCTCCTGGTCCTCAACCTTGATAGTTGCTTCATCCTTGACCAATGCATGTCGGCCTGTCGGGGATATGGGTGATCGAGCCCGATTGGAGCTGAAGGTACTGCGTCGTTTGACATCTTGAAATCTGGGCAACACAACAACGTTGGGGTCTCCCGAGACGGGAATGGCTTCGACGCCGGGTTCGCGACCGAGACTGCTTCCGAGTGAGGTGGCCACGGAGTCTCGACGTAGAGGCGGCAATAATTCTCGTTTGATTTCGGCTTCGTCGTTGTACTCTGGGAGATGCTGGAAGCTTTCTGGATTGACGACGACGTTATACGTTCCAGGGCTGGACCTTCCTGCCTTCTTCTCACGCTCCTCATCTGTGGTTAGGCTGGCGAACGGCGGGAGATCGTCCACCTCGGCCGATCCAGGGCTGTTTTCGGTCAGCGCAGGAGAATTTGCTGCTGCAGGACAAAATATTAACAAAAGCCTCGGGCCGTGTGGTCGAAGAAGGGAAGAACTCACGATCCCAGACAGGACTTGCGGCGATGGTGACGTCCTGCATGCGTCCCAGAACTCGAGAGGTGTCATTTCGGAAAGAGATGCGCGGATTGAAGTCGCAATTGAGGCTCAAGCGTGCACAGGGACCACAGATGGGTTTGGATTCATCGCATTTGACCTTGCGCGAGCTGTTGCACGGTTAACATTGGGAGCCGGACGGGCTGGGTGGACGACTTACCGACAAGTCCAGCACCCGCTCCTCGATCGTGGAGGTAGCCGGGAACGGGGAGGGACACTAGGGCCACTGCGGCTGGAACTAGCCGAGGAAGATTGGTCTTCTTTGGGCGCAATCACAGGCAAGCGCAGCGGCGGTCTTCTCAAGGCCTCCCCTCGCTTGTCGACTGGCATTAGCAGTGTTGTGGTGGTGATCATGAAGAAAGTCGATCAAATAATCGAGTGCCGGCCGGGATGACGGCGCACAAAAACTTGTTCAAGGGCCACCGCGCATGTCAGGCCGCATGCATTAGTGCCTCAATCTCAGCTTCAGAGCGCCCGTGTGGCAACAAGGGAAGGACAAGGCTCGTATTGGGGGGACTGGGGAGAGGAGATTCGAGACAAGGGACGCGCGGTGAAGGAGATAAGGCAGAGAAGCAAGGGCCGCAGCGAGAAAGCAAACATCCAATGCGGTCAATACCTTGGCAGCGAAAGAAGTCGAGGTGGTGATTCCAGGCCGAGGGCTATGCCATGCTCGAGGAGAATGAAAGGAGAACGAACGGAGAACGAACGGACTTGAAAAGGATGTCGAGGAGTGGAGGATGTTGGATTGAAAAACGAAAAAGGATACATGCCTGGTGCCCTTGCGAAGTCAATCAGGAATTAGTTAGTATGGCAAATAGTTCGGGGCTTTTAGTCTGAGGCAATCACGATGTCATTGTGCGCAACCCAAGAACCAGCAAGTGCCCTGGCCATACGGACTGTCAGGGCTGCAAGGGCTGCGTCGAGTCCCACCAGAGACACCAGCGACACCAGAGACGCACGAGGGCTGCTTCCGGCATCGAGGCAGAGATCCATCTGGCTGCACTAAAGACAAGAGATGGAGGCAATGGGGAGGGAAGCATTGCGGTGACTGCCACACCAGCAGAGTTTCGAACGGGCCAGGGTCAGTGGACAATCTTGACAATGGAGCATCGGGTGTCGAGCCAAAGACCAGGAAAGCATGCAATCGAGTGGAGAGGCAGGCCCCCCCTACCCGGTGCCCTGCCCATTCCACGGAAAAACTTCCTCGGAACGGAAAATCTGTAAGCCCGAAAAAGACCGAAAGATGCACCGGCTGTGCCCTGATTGGTGGATGCGTGGGCCGGCTGCGGAACGAGCCAAAAGGGTGGGCAGCTTTTCCACTTGGCTTCCTCCCCTTCCTTCCCTTTCACCTGCCGCCCTGCAGCACTTTTTTTTCCCTCACGCTTCTTTCTGCATCTTTGCTTCTCTGCCCTCTGCCTGCGCAAGCCTCTTTCTGGGTTTGTTTACCGCCCTGGTACATAGTACATTCCGTGCCCTTCTCTCACCGCCTGACCTCGACTCTTTTCTTGGTTGTTGTTGCGTAATTCTCGTCGAGGAATACCTGATGCGGATTTTTGTTCCTCCGGTAGAATCCCTAGCTTTAGTGCCATGGGCCTAGTAGTGGGGAAGAGACGGGATCCCCCATCGGAGTCCACGAACTCGTTCTCGAAATCCAACTTTCCTTCCACCACCACCACCCTACTCATTCTGCCTTCTGAAGACCCCGAGAAAAAGGGGGTATCCAGTCAGCCTGAACAGACTCATTGCCTTTGTGTCTCGGAGACCGCCACCCACCCCGCCTGAAACCCCTCGCTTCCATTCCCTTGGGCACCAACACCGTGGATGATCAAGGCTAAATATCAAATCTACTGAACCGAGCTGAAAAACCATGTGTCGTCGGGGTTCGAGATTTGACTTTTGTGGAGAAGGCCCCCAAGATCCCGGCTTTTAGAGATAGGCAGCGCTAGATTTCCAGTGGCCTGAATCCCACAGACCGGGGACGCACATGGAGGCCACGGATGCTGCATGAAAAACGTGGCAGAGTGGTTCCAGTACCCGTACTCGGTACGCAGTAGGCACACAAGCAACAACCCACATCTCTGCCACATTCGACGGGACTTGTGCAGAAACCAAAAGAGGGTGGAGCTGGGCCCGTGGTCCGTGCACCATGATCAGCCCTATGGTAGCATTTCCATCTCATGGCGTGAGGTTGTCCCAACAGACCGGCACCGGAGCAAGCAATTTGGATTCCCAAGGACCGGGGTCGGAACTCAGACCCGTGGGCCGAGAGAGGAAGGTCCCAACGCTTGTATTGTTGCATGACGCCACGAGAAAACAAACTACTGGTCTCCGTTGCAAGCCTCTCGAGCTCGTGCGATTTCTTCACGTAAAGGTCTCGACCGCTCTTCGACCAGCCAGGGGTCGAGGATCGCCGCTAATGCGGCCGGGTCATGCATGCCTCGTTGGGCCACGGCCAAGGCCAGCTCCACACGTGATTTGCGCGCCCGTTCCATTTCTCGCCAAGGCTCTGGCGGACAGGCGAGCACCGCCATGACCAGTGGCTGAAATGGCTCAGAAGCCCTTCGCCCGTCCAACTCCGAACCCTCCCGCGCCGACGGCCGTGGTGCTGAGGCTGGTGCCAAACTTGAGGCTGAGGTATTTTTCTCGTCAAGGACTTCAGCGGTACCACCATCACCACCCACCACCTCTGATTTTGGCCCATTGACCACCAAAAATTTTGCACTGTCGTATAGTGCAATGTCGAGTGTACTGGATCGAATGGCCTGTGCTTTTTGCACCATCTTCATGGCCGAGTCCAGACTCTCAGGGTGTGCATGAGTGGACAGCATCTTGAACATGCAAGAAACAACCGCGCTAACCGCCGTTTCAGTAACGGTCTGTTCGCTATTCTTACTGTTAGTGGCAAGTTTATGCATAAGCGGGGCTGTCTCACCGATTCTTCAGGGGCTTCTCGTCAGCCTCATCCACTTCCATGACATCCGGGTCTGTCAATTCGTCCACTAACTCCGCCAAATAAGGCAGGAGCTCGTGGCTGAGGTCTAGATCTTTTCGAGCGACCGCAAACTCTCCAAGAGCCTCAATGGCGTGAGGTCGGTAAGCAACGTTGGTCCGCTTCGCTTCTCGGATTGCAATCTTCTTCATCTGCTGGCTGATCTGGCCGTTCGACCACAGTGTTTGGGCCTCCCGCACAAACTTGGGATACACCTTGACAATTTCTTCCTTGCCGTCCCAGGTCTTGCCCTCGAGAGCTGCTTGCATCACTCCCCAAATGAGAGATGCCTCGGTGTCAGAATATTTTCCTTGTACTTCCATCGACCCCACCAATTCGGCGACGGCCAAAGAGCAAGCTTGCTTGATCGGCCACATAGGGGATCCAATATGTGCCGAGATGAGTCCCACAATCTCGGTCAGATAGAGATTGATGGACCGCGAGCCACCGATATTCTCCTTCCAAGGAACATCGAACCGCTCCCTGACCTCCTCGTCATTGTCCCGTCTGCCGATGAAAGCAAAGGGGAGAAAGGTTGGGGCAGAGTTCATGAAGACGTCGTTCGCAGCCTTGGAAATCGCCTGGATGATTTCGCCAGCCACAGAACGATGGCTCAGTTCCTGCGACTCGAAGTACAACTTTTGCGCATACTTGCTTGTTGCCTGGATCTCCTTGTCCGACGCCAGTCTCATCAGATAGCCCAGTGAAGTGCTAAAGGCTACGCTAATGGTGGCGTTGCGGTCGAGGATGTGTTTGCGCGTCAATTGTATGAACTTGTCCGCGTACGGTCGGAAAGCGGTGGGATGGCGAACAACCAGCGTTGTCATAACTCTGCTCAGGCCGACTTTGGACGGCAGTCCGATCGCGGCTCGGTAAGCATTTGCAAGCCGTTGCATCGCGTCGTCCATCGCTGCAAGACCCCCTTCACTGTGCGAGCCAGCTACGACCCCTTGCATGGCGTTGGGGTCGTCATTGGATTCAACTGTCATGGTAACGCTTTCCAAACAGTCCTCGATTGCCTCTGTCACTGGAGACGCGTTGATGCTCGATACTCTCATTTTGTCCAGTTTTTCGGCGGTTAACCCATACTTGTCGGCATTCAAGTGCAGATAATTAATACTCTCGTGTTCAAGAGAGCTCAGGGAGAGCACCAGCGTCTCTAAAACTGTAGGTCCAAAGGGGCGCAGAGATTTCGGAGGACATTTCTTCACCACTTCCAGAAGCGTTACAATAGCATACTGTTGTACCTCCTTAGCCGCACCGCTATCCATCTGTTGCAGCAAGAAGGGCATGGCGTGGTTGAGCATGGTTGCAGAGCGCTTCGAATTGCCCTCGCCAATCTCCAAATTGCGTATCAGCATACTCGTGAGCGTCCTGCACAGCTTCATGGCCGCCAATCGCACCGTCTCCTTGACATCGTCCAGGACTTTGAAAGCGACCTTCCAAATCTCGTCAAGGTACTTTTCAAACAAATCGACGTCTCGGCCCTGGACGAGATCAGAGATTGCTGCGCAGCTAGCCTCGCGGGCCCGCCACTCCTTGCCCGACACAACGCTCTGCAGCAGATCGCCCATGATCAGATCGAAATTCTCGTTGATGACAGTATTCGGGTCTTTGACAAGCGCCCGCCAGATCTCATTCATGGACCGTTGGACATTGGGGTTCGGGTCGAATCGGTAGCGGAAAAGCTTAGGATAAAACTTCTTGTTTTCCGTCAAGTATGTGGAATCTGCCAGCACACGGCCGAGCCCAAATCTTCCAAACGCCGCACGACTAGACCAGATGGCATTATTCGATGCCAAATTCATGAAACGATACACCAGGCTAGGGTCTCCCATTTCCGTGGCGAGGCGGACAATATCTTTGTAGGTCGTGACGGACTGTCCATTTTCGGTAGGCAACGCACCGGGCTCGAACAGCTGCGTCTCTTCGTTCACGGTTCCGGACATTTTTGCATTGCTGCCGGTGAAGCTTTGGACCAGGTCCCTGACCAAGTCGTCCCGGAGTTGCTTGTCACCCCGCTCATAGACAAGGCTGAGACCCCTGGAGCCTGTCTCCTGAACGATCTCATCGCGGTCGTTCAGCAACCTGGCAAAAGCAGCTTGACACTCTCGCAGTCGCGCTTTGACAGCAGGTAATTCGCCACAGTATTGGACGAGGCACAGAAGCCAGATTGCGGCGGCCTTCTTCAGCGTCGGCTTCGTGGTAGTACAATCCTCGAGGACTTTGTCAATGACTGTGATGAGAAGCTGTCCGTTGACGTTGAATCCCGAAACATCGACATCAACATCAAGTTCTGTCAGCGTGGACAGCGATCTGAACCCGGCGCAAGCAACGGCAAGAGATTCTCCCAAGGTGAAATGAAACTCGGCTCGTTTGACTTCGTGAAGGCCTAGTAATCGATCCAGGAACGATTCGAAGCGCGAAGGACTTGTACCACGCGCATGCAAGACACCTAGCACAGGCCCTGCGGCAGAGACTGCTGTTTCACTCTCCTTCTTGCTGTCTGCGATCAACTGATTCAGCATTTCTTCGTCGTTTGATCCTTCCTCTGTTGGGGCGCAAAGAAACAGTTGACGGAGAGATCTGTACGCGGTGTCTTTGACCGACCTGTCGGACGAATTGTTGACAATCTCAACAACCGTACGCACCGCGTCGCGTAGCGTGTCATCAGATGTTTGCAATTTCAGCCTGAGTGATCTTCTGGTGACGCAGAAGCATGCGCGGAGGAGATGGCCTTGAATCTTTACCAATTCTTCCCCAATGGCCGTTCTCCAACGTTTGGCCTCATTCAATTCAGCTTCGGCGAGGTCTTTGGCGTCCTCGTCCAGAGAAGCGAGAATTCCAAAGACCCGAGCGCCTCGAAGCTGCAAGCCTGGATTTCCTGCAACACGAGCGGCAGCCTCAAGCCCTAATTCCTTGATACAGGGCAACAATCCAGTCGGGGCAAGAGAGAGAAGCTCAAGGGACGAATCCAAGCACTCCCCGTCCCCTCTAGATGCACCATCTAATGCTGCGCGCATCAACGGTAATAGCACGTCGCCACCCAGGTTTCGTAAATAAGACCGGATTCGCCGTCGAGCGTCTTGGTCATTACTGACCACGGCGTCGATAGCTTGCTTCCAATCCGCCGACTCTTCCGGTGCCAGTTCCGTTTCCCGTAGAGCACCACAATGTATGACATTCCGACAAAATGTCACGGCAGCGGCAAGCACTGTTGGATTGTCATAGTATTTCTTCTGCGCCGTGCCCGACCCGAAGAACCTCTCCACCAAGGCATCGAGCTTGGGGAGCTGCAGCTTTCGATCCTCAGAAGCTGTGGTGAGGCGCAGATTTGAAGCATGCCAATACGGATCCAGGCCCCTAGCTCCTTCCTCGGCTACCTCTCTCCTGCCACTTGCCGAATCCAACGCCAGGACATCGATAAAGCGAGCATCCACGTCATCGAACGGTAGGCACTTATTTGCAAACCGTACGGCCGGATATGTCGTGCTGTTGACCGTAGGTAGGAAGTAAATGGGATCTTCCTGGCCCGGAGCTGCCAAGACGTTCCACAGGAAGAGGTCTTTGAGGCGATTTGCGGTCGAGGTGTTGCCAAGGGGTGGTAGAGCATTCATGATGCGGCCGATTGATTCCTCGATGCTGCTTCTAATCTCGCGCGTGGTGTCACATCGGAGGCTTGTGAAGAGCCACGTAATGAGAACCACCATGCGATTGCTGTCAATGGATTCGCTTTTGAGACCTCCCAGGAGGCCGATGCTCTCGTACGCTTTCGAGCGAAGCTCCACCTCGGATGCGTTGGAGGAGTGGTCAGCGCTCATGGTCGGCCAGCCCTGCATCTCAATATACTCTTTCAGCAGGTCCTGAATGCGGTGACTGATTTCTCCGGCAAGATGTTGGGCGCCAACACGCACCGTCCAGGTTAGGTAGGAGAATAGAGCTGCCCGGAGCTTTGCTGCCTCGAGACCCGCGTTGGATGTCTGCGTGAGTTGTTTCTCCACAATGTCCATGATCTCGGTGGTGCGCTTGGTAGAGTTCTGGCTGCGGGATAATAGGCCCAAGATTCGTGTTTGCAGTTTGGGCTTGGACCGCTGATAGAGGCCAAAAAGTAGGTCGATCGTAGACTCAGACTCTAAGTCGAAATTGCATTGCTTGAACATAACATCGCTCATATTTGCAGCTGAGGCGTTTGGGTCAACAGACATGATAGTGGCGGGAATGAGACGTTGCCGATCGCTGAAGATGGAGGAGAACAAAAATTTGGCAAGCGGGAGGACAACCTCTGAGCGGCGTTTGAAGTTCTTGTCCATGACGGGCTGGAAGTCCTCGTCCAGGGCGTGGGCGGAGGAGTCCCTTGGATCGTAGAGCAAAAAATCGCACAAGCGGCTGACGAGCAGATCTGTCTGCGTGGGTGACAGAGAGAACGTCTCTGAGAGAGCCAAGTCTTCCTTGCTGCCTCGCTCCGGAATCTTCCATTTCCTCAATACTTCCAGGAGAAAGTCGAAGGCGATAGCCCACATTTTCCGATCCGTGGCATCAAACCCTTCAGTTTTCGGGATGGCGAACTGCAATACCCCAGGCAGAGTCTCGATTCCCTGGGCCAGTTCCAGCCTCGGAAGCCCTTGCTCAATAAACACCAGACAGAATCGCTTCACAAAGGCGTTGTCGTTCTCGCGAAACGTCTTGACCAGCGCGGCCACGGGGAGCTTGATGGACGAGGTGATCTTCAGCCGTTGGTTGATATACTGGGATATCTTGATCGCGAGGTTGCGGTTCTGAGGAGTTGGGGAAGCCAGCTTTAGGAGCAGAGCTGGAAGGAACTTTTGAAGAATAGACTCTAGTTTCTCGTCTGTTGAGGCGGAGGCGATGCGCATCTCCAGCTGGGATATCAGCTTGTATTCTCGCTCCGCGTCGGGAGCGGGCTGTTGCGTTGCCATAGTCGTGATCTGGATAATTTTGGGCTAGGAGATGTCTTTCATCTTCTGGGGGAAATGCTGCAGTGAGGTGAGCAGTTTCCAAAACCGCTCCAGGATGTTTCTTCTTAGTAAGGGCAACGATTGGATCAATTCACGTGTAGTCGGATGAGAAAGACAAAACTGAGTTGATATAACTACCACTCCTCAACTTAAGGTAAGACCGACTGAAATTGAAACAAGCCAAGGTCAACAAGGAGGCAACAGCATACTCGTCATCGAAGCTCCCAAAAGATGATGCTTTGTGATTCTGTTAATGTCTGGGGCCTCGCCACGTCGCCGTGTGAAGCCTTGACCTTCTTACTAAGGCGGCGAGGTTGCCAAGGCCGAATTTGGTTCGCTGACCATGAGCCGCACGAGTGTTGCAAGGCTGGGTTGATGTCTCCGTCAGGGGATTTTACGAATCACAAAGACGTTTGGAATGGGCTCCTGCGTGTGCTACTTGAAGGACTTTGCGAAATTACAGAGGTGTTACTACACACGCCATATGTGAAGTCAAGTGCTTTTGGGAGTATCGAAATTTGAGGCCCCGATTTGAGGCCTAAGTCCTGCGACCAAGTTCGCGCCTCAAAGCAAGAGTCTCAACAACGGATGAGTCGGGAGGAACGGCCCAAGGTGATCTTGAATGGTCTTTGATGGCTTTTAAATCAGTGGTCCTGCCGAATGCTTTGCTGCTGAAGACCCTTTCCAGCCCGTACAATGCTCGACCGATGGTCTTCACTTCCCAGTGCCTATCATACTGGGACCGCCATTCCCCCGAGTGAGCAGCATCCTTTGAAGCATCATTGTTGTACCAACGCTTGTCAAATTTCTCATTTTCATCTGCATGACCTCCAATACCTCACAACCCCACTCCGCGACAAGCCATCATCTCAATCTCCTTGCTTCTCTTTCGGACTCGAGCAGGCACAGAATATCATCGACTTTCACTGTATGCCAATACAAAAATCATCAGTTATTTCTGCCCCAGGGAAACGTCTTGCGCGTTCAACATTCTTCCCGCTCGGAAGTCTGACGTACCTGGTCCCTTGACGTTTCGGATGATGCTTCGGCTCGTGTCGTCCATGAATTCGACTCTGACTTGTGTGACACCACCGCGGGAGCCTGGAAAACACACAGTGTAAGTTAAGACGACCCGCGACAGTCACAGATTGAATATTGGTAGTCGGCAAGTTGACTTACCTGTTCGGCCGAGGACTCGGGTGACTTTGACGAGTTTGACGGGGACTTTGCCTGCCGCATCCATCTTGAACTAGACAATCGTATTGACTGGGACGGGGAGAATGGGTTTGGAGTTGTAGATTCGCGGTGGCTCGCAATTGATGTCCTGCGGGTTGGAAATTGAGCGCCGCGAAAAAGATGTCAAACGCAGTCGGTGCAATGTGGGCGCAAACTCGCCAAGACTGTCATCGGCTAAACCCCGGCCTGGAATTTTTCCGATGCTATGCTTTGACTCAGGTTGATTCTGCCAGCCATGGGGACGTGAGTTGTTAAGAGGTAGGTTGGTGAACTTGACACCTGGAGGCACTCGGTGAGTCTTCAGACAGACTGTGCTGCGCTTAGCTGTCTCTCATTCACTGTTGCGCTTCGCCAAATCTAGTAGAACCCAAATTTTTGGACTCTTTGGCCTTGAGAAAAATCGAAGTTTTCATTCGAGAAGGGTTTGGGACATTCAGGAATAGACAGAAGCAACGACCTGGTAAACGTCCATCCCACTGACCATGGATCTCGTCAATCACCTTTCCGACCGGCTCCTTTTCGCTGTGCCCAAAAAGGGCCGCCTTCAAGCCGCGACTCTCGACCTCTTAACTGGCTCCGACATTCAATTTCGGCGGGAAACCAGACTCGACATTGCCCTGGTGAAGAATCACCCGCTGGCACTTATCTTCTTGCCCGCCGCGGATATCCCCACGTTCGTGGGCGAAGGACGAGTCGATCTCGGGATTACGGGACGAGATCAGGTCGCGGAGCATGACGCCCATCTGGCTCTAGGTGAAGAATCGGGAGTGGAAGAGATCATGGATCTGGGATTTGGAAAGTGTAAACTGCAAGTCCAGGTGCCCGAGAAAGGCCCCATCCAAGATGTGAAGGACCTGGTCGGCAAGAACATCGTGACGAGTTTTACAGGACTAGCCGAGGATTACTTTGCGCGCTTAGAAGGCATGGGTGGGCGCAAGGAGAGCATTAATGGCACGGCTAGTCCGATTCCGAAGCTGAAGACCAAGATCAAATTCGTGGGCGGCAGTGTGGAAGCAGCTTGCGCGCTCGGCGTAGCAGACGGAATCGTCGACCTTGTCGAGTCCGGGGAGACGATGAGAGCGGCAGGACTCAAGGCGATCGAAACGGTGGTCGAGAGCACGGCCGTCTTGATCAAGTCGAAATCCGTCTCGAACGAACAACTCGTCGACAAGATCGCTGCGCGGATACGAGGGGTCATTACAGCGCAGAAATATATCCTGTGTCAGTACAACGTGCCACGGGCAAAATTGACGACTGCGACAAAGATCACTCCGGGCAAACGGGCTCCCACGATAACAGCGTTGGAGGAACCGGACTGGGTGGCCGTGAGTTCGATGGTCGAAAAACAGCACATTGCAACGGTCATGGATGAGTTGACAGCAGTGGGCGCGACAGATATTTTGGTCTTGGACATTGCGAATTCCCGGACTGGCTAGCGGCGGCTCCATGGGAATGAATGCATGAATGAGCGATGCAGTGGCGCAATGACATAGAGGAATGCTTTGAGACGGGACAAGTTCCCCAGGGAGGTACCGTCAAAACTTAGAGCGGGGGACTTTCATGAAAGCCTTCAGCGCGATGAGGCTCACGAAGCCCAACTCCAGAAGGTTAGAGGACTGCCAACAGGAAATCAAGTGGCGATTGTTAGACGACGGACATTTCTCCTGGGCATCATTCTTGAAGAAAGCCGATTTGGTCCCTGCTGTGCAAGTATGACACAAGTATCACATGTATTCTAGGTAAAGCAACAATTTAAATTGCGCATCGTGGAGGATGTTACTGGCGTCATTTGATTGCTGCTTCCGGTCATTCTCGAGGGCAGCTAGGCTGCGATCATTAAGTCTCTCTCCCCACAATTCCCGCCTTGGTCCGGCATCAAGTAAGAGGCCGTGCAATGCACCGAATTGATTTGAGCTTGATGACTTTTCCCTCGAGATAGACAAGCACCAAATGACATCACACAGCTGGTGTTACTAAGCGAGCACTGCCCGCTTCATGCTCCCACTGCATCCCACGCGACACATTTCTATCCCAATATCCCCAGGCTCCGAGACTGGGGAGCCGTGAATCCTCAAACAGACCTTATGTGAAAATCTGGAGCAGCGCCTCGGGGCTTCTATCATAACCACCCACAGGCGTGCACATTGATCACACGGATTTTAGAGCATGTCGGCAAAGAAAAGTGGTCCGCTGCCTTCCGACTCAGCGCCTATCACCGAATCTCTCCTCAGTCGCTTGATTGTTGCACCGGTGCTGTTCGTATCATTTCTGATATCGCTATTCCTCATTGACCGCCAAACGTATGGCAGCATCTTCGGCCGATCCGGCAGTCAAGATGGATATTACCATTCCCACCAGCGCAAGTTGGCCAAGCGAGAGATGGACGACGCTTTCCAAATGCGAAGCAAGGTCATCGCTGCCATGGTATTGTTGAGCGCGGTCTCCCTGGCTCTGCTTGCTTGGATACTGGAATCGACGTGGAATGTATGGAGATTTAGGACGTGAATATTGCTGCGTTGAAAACGGGCGACTTCAGTTTTCGGCAAAATTTCCTACCGAACGTTTGATGGTTTCATGCGGCAGGAAAGGTTGTTTGAGGTATTCACTTCTCAGGGGCATCTTTTGGGAGTTTGGTTAGCCGTCGAGTTACCAAGGCACACGAGCTTCATGGGATTGTTCTTGTGGTTGAACTTACCTGGGAGTCTCTCAATGACATATTTTCCGCGGGCCACACTCATGATAGGCACTCCAGGCACCTTTCGAATTCTCCTCTTCAAGTCTCTATCGTTGGTAGCCACGATGTAGATCTTGTGTCTCATGACTCTGTCGACTATGCAGTCATCGGCGTATGTGCCTTTGTGACCGCATTTCAGTCGCTCCCATCTTTCGTCTCTTGCGATCCGCAACGCAATCCTATACTTCTGTCCAAGCTTTTCGAGTTCAGCCATTACGCAGTCTGTAATGATCGGTATGCATTTTGCGTAGAGACAATCCATCATTGTGGGTAGCAGTTCGAGTTTCTTCTGAACGGTATGGGAGAGAAAGTTCGTATCGACGAGAACATTGTAAGGCGGGACGAGGGCAGTATTGTACTGAAAGAACAGAGAAGACGAGACTTGAGGCCTGTTTGACTTAGCAGGATCTTCTCTAAACCGAACATCTTGGATCACTTACGCTTCTCGTATCACGTCGTCGTCTGTCTTCTTGGATTCCGCCGCCTTACCAGTCTCTTGATTCTTTTTGAGACGAGCATCTCGCTGGCCGATGATTTTCTTGACTTGAAACTTGCGCGTCTTCTTATGGACGCCCATTTTGGACGACCGACGGAGAAAGAAGATCTAACCTTGAGATTCCTGCTGTGTTGTGCACCAGAGAAAATTGTACAAGCCACGGGCATAACAACAAGCGAGAAAACTTAAGGCCGGGACTAACTGCGTGCAGCCACACATTTCCTTCTGTTCTCTAAGGTGGAAATCCCCCCACTTACAGGTACGTAGGTGCCACTTCCCAGCCACAATCGCTCACGTTATCCCTTCCGTGCATGCCTAACCCGGCAGCGTTTAGCGTGCGCAAAGCCCCAAAATAACCAAGCGAGGGGCTTGAGCCGGGCTTGTTAGGGGCGCCGAACCCATGGCCTTGGGGCGCGACTCCTCGAAAAGCCAGATCTGAAACCCTCTCACATTATTGCGAAGCACGTCCGTCGTCACCCTTGCACTCCTTTCAACACCGATTTCTGACCTTCATCCTCTCTTTACCGCCTGATATTAGTTCACAATCAACCTACTCTCCAGCATCCTTTCCAGTATAGGCGCGTCCGTCATAACGCAAACATGGTCACCAACAGCGCGCTTCCAACCCTTCCGGGCGGGTTCAACTATCCCCCTCCTACTGTCCCCCCAAAGGCCGGCGCCCCTTACCTGGCCAGTTCCAAACTGCCTGAAAACTTTGTCTTTATCGTCGTCGGTGCCGTGTTGGGCTTTGTGGCCGTCCTCATCATTGGCTGGCGAATTCTTATGTCCTGGTCTATAAATCGCAGCTTTAGACGCGACGCCAGCAGTGGTGCCGGCAGCGGCGTCGCTTACACACCACTCGCAGACATTAAAAAGAACCCAGCAATACAATCCTCACATGATATGGCAGACCTGAGCAAACTGCCACGATCCTTCTCAAGTGTACCCTCGCTATTTTTCTCACCCACGGCGGAAGTAGCGAAACAGAGCCAGCGACCTACAAGCAGCCAGAACACACACCTGCCGGCTGGACATTACCGCGACGCCTCGGATTCATATCGGCGATGATTCTCAAAAATTAAAAATATAAGCTGGAATATCCTGGTTCTTTTGGTTTAAAATAAGACGGTGCTGGAGCTGGCCTTGGAACGAAGTTGTCAAAGATGGGTGATCCCGCACCACGAGGCGCAGGCCGACTCAGTTTATGAGCGGAATATCCACTCTGAGCCACTGAGAAGCGTCACAGGGCACCGTCAATCGTCCTTGATAGAGGGGGATATGGCCTGACGCCTTCTTAGGCTTCGAAAATTCGTGGCAGATGATACACACAGGTGGTGCTGGATGAGTCTAAGCCTCACAGAGTTGTCCGCAAGGCCGTGGCGTCAGAGGGATTTGCAGATGGCGGTCACTTACGGGGATAAATTGTTTGCACGAGCTACCATAAATGAGCCAACTACCGTAACGGCCATAATACTTGGATTGGATTGTTCGGGAATTTGGGCATTGAGCGAGGCGTTCTTTGGTGGGAAGGGCCTCGTCATGGCTGTACAATGCGCAGAGTTGTCAAGTCGAAGCTGTTTTGGTATTGAATCTAGTGACATCCAGATGCCGTTGCCATTCCCATTGCGTCCCACTGTGTGGAATTGTTTCCACTGCTCTCATTTAATGGCGACATCTGCGGCAACAAAATGTGCGCATCAAGCAGCCTGCCGCTCCGCCGTATCGAGAAATCATTCGGACCAGCCAATCGGAGCTCTCCATTGCCTCATATTGATCAGTGTGCATCTGGAGAGTGCTTGTAGTTGCAGGAGCTTCATTGTCTGCCATCTCCCTCCTATCTTCACTTTCCTCTGCTCCTGATTCGATCCTGTACTTTTTTTTGTCCTCATCCAGCTTGAATCTCTCACCATGTCCCTTTCCCGAGGCAGTGTCGCCCTACGACACATCCATACTCTCCCCGCCGGTCGTCGCTCTTTACTGCGGACCACCCAACGTCGCTGGGCGCGTGTCCACGACGTCCGCTTCGTAACTACACATAGAAATCAGGAGAAAATCTTGGACCGGTATAGACAGAAGCTGGAACAGAAGGCGAAGGAGTAAGTCTACCCACACAAATGCCTCGAGCCCTGGTGTGTGGCGTTCCGAAGGAGCAAGGCGAAAGGTGAACGCACTGTCGATACAGGAATTTTGGGGGGCTGGCTGTCATCTTGTGCAAATGAAGCTAATGACTGTGTTTGAATCAGCGAAGGTCATGATTCCATATCCTCCCTCACGGAAGCGTATAAGGATAAAATCAAAGACTACAAGCGTGCAGCCAGTGCCGCATTTCCATCAACACCTACGGGCCAAAGCCCGCAAGCACAACCATCTCCATTCCAACAACCTCCGCCTCCTCCGCCGACTCAGCAGCCAACATCTCCAGCAAGCCAGCCACAAGGGAAATCTTCGGCTGCAAACCAAGCTCCTGGCGCACCTGGGATAAAGCCTCTCTCGTCGTACCTCGACCTTGAAAAAGTGGCCTCCCTCCCAAACAAAGAGGTGGAATACATCTGGCGACTTCGGCACGCAAACGACCCATTGTCGCTGTGTGCCGTTATTCCGTTGGAGACATATAATCGCATCTACCGCACTGCGAGAAAACACCCACAATTTGTCCTTCCCTTACCTCGCCCTGTGGCCGAGGATGGCAGCGGCGACATGAAACAATCTTCCGACGGATTCGGAGGCGATGAACAACGGTCCGCTGCGGATATTCATTTCTTACAATGGGGGTTCCATCCTCCTGCGGGTCTTCCCCAAAGTCCGGACGTGAAAACTGCGAATACCCACACGAGTACTGTGCTCTTCACGCACTTGGCTGCCTTCAAGCTCCACGGAACCTATGCTCAGCCACACACGACAATCACGCATCACCTCGATCTCGCGGACTCGCATGGCTTGGTTTTGTTGAACGGCTCTGTTGTCAAAGGGCGGGGTGTGAGTGTGGAAGAAGGCCGTTGGCTTTTGATGTGCCTCCAGAAATTTTATGATCATGAAGGTCATGGAGGGGGCATCGGACGCGAAAAGCGGCATGGACTTCTGGAGAAATTCAGCCAGGGCGACCAGGAGTTCAATCTGGAAGAACTGGTCGATGAAGCTGAGAGGATATCATGAGGCGGCCGCCTTGTTCATTCGTCGACAGGTTCGCTCCGTAACTGGTCCTTGTCGACATCAACATCGGCTCTCTTGAGCTTCTCCCCACGTGCACCTCTCAGCACGTCTCGGACCAGAAATCCCCAGATCGCCTCAAAGTAGCCTGGCTCTGCCACGGTTGAATTGTGGTCGCCATGGGGGAATTCTTTCCAGACCTTCGCCGTGGGACATTGATCGAAGAGGGTCTTCATCATGGATGGTGGTACTATCTCATCCCGCAGACCGGAAAGAAAGAGAACGGGAATTTCTGCATCTTCCACCTTGGCTAAACTCTGTTCCGAATCCCACCGCTGGTGACAAAGATACGAAAGGTATTTCGCCGCTGGCATGATCGATGGGATCAACTTGCGAATGGATAAGAAGGTATTCTCCAAGATGACCCCGGAGATGTCGCCGACTTGATAATTTGTCTGCAACAGCTTGATCGCCAGCGCGCCACCCAGGCTCTGGCCGTATAAGACAATGTTGGTGTTCCTCAGCTCTTTATGATTGCGCACAAAGTCGAGCGCCGTCTGCCCATCGACGGAGAGTCCATCTTCGCTCGGCGAGCCAGTCGACAACCCGTAACCCCGATATTCCACCATGAAGACATGACAGCCCAAACTCTGGGAGAGGACTTTCCCTATGGGAAGGCGGTGGCCGACGTTGCCAGCATTGCCGTGAAAGGTCACCAGAGTGACATTCTTTCTCAATGAAGGATCGGAAGGTCGCAAGAGGTAGGCATGGAGGGTCTCGCCGTCCGGCGTGGGAAACTTTACGGATTCGGCGTCCTGAATACCGTACTTTTCAGGAGGGTCCACAGTCGTCCTGGAACCAGCAGGTAGATTTGCGGGGTAGATAATGTCATTCTGCTTGAAGTAGAGGAGGCTGCTTCCGAGAGCTGCGAGGCCTGATGTCGCGAAGACGGGTATGCGTAACCAGGAGAGGTAAGACGAAGCCATGGCGACAGTTTCATCCAAGCTCAGCCTGACCAAGGTGTGATTTGACTGCGGGAGGAGGTATGACCTTAGGACGGAGTACATACAGCACGGAGACTTGTAGGCAACTAAGAATGAGAAGCAGAAGCTTCTTGGGAGAAAATGTGGCTCTATATGTTTGGAATGAAGGAGATAGAGGGATTCGCTTTCAGGAGGGCTCGAATCTTGGGGTCCTTGACGTGGACGGCAAGGCAACCCTCCATGTTTGGAAGGTCGTCACTCGGTGCACTGTCCCTGCTGTGTTGGCACCATGGGCACCTTTGAAGGTAGTTTTGGCGAGCTTAGCCGCTTGAACCGCCAAGTGGCGTCTAATTAAGCCCCGGCGCTCAACAGGCATTTTTGTTTGCCGCCCGCAGCTTTCCCCAAGGTTGAATTGAGAGTAGACGCGTTTGCTGGTTCTGCCTTCCCGTGCTGCGCAGCTTCACCATACATCCGCCTTGCATTCATCATTCTACCATCGCCCAAACATACGCCTTTGCAGTACTACCGAGCACAAGGTCGAAGTCTACACATCCCTTTTCTACATTTTTGCAATCATGATCGGCCCAGGCACCGGCATGCTTGGAGAGGATGGAATCCATGTCGACATGAACCATCTCAAGTCGGGGGAAGTCAACCTGGGCACATCCATTATGGCCATCAACTTCAAAGACGGGGTCATTCTTGGGGCAGATAGTCGGACCACGACAGGAGCATATATTGCCAACAGAGTGACGGACAAACTCACCCAAGTACACGATACCATCTGGTGCTGCCGGTCAGGGTCAGCAGCCGACACTCAGGCCGTCGCCGACATTGTTCAATACCATCTTGGGATCTATGGGATCATGAACAATGAGGCTCCCACCACCCAGACTGCTGCTGCCCTGTTTCAAGAGTTGTGCTACGAGAACAAAGACCAACTGAGGTGAGATGGGCGAAAACCATCCCGACACGTGTCTTGGAACTTTGACTGACTTGTTTTCAGTGCTGGCATCATTATTGCGGGCTACGATAGGCGAAACGGCGGACAAGTCTACTCGATACCTCTAGGAGGATCATTGCACAAAGGGCCGTATGCTATTGCAGGTTCAGGATCAACGTACATCTACGGATACTGTGATGCACACTGGAAAGAAGCTATGACAGAAGAAGAAGGAATCCAATTTGTCAAGGGAGCATTAAGAGAAGCCATAAAATGGGACGGCAGCTCGGGCGGTGTCATTCGGATGGTGGTGTTGACGGCGAAGGGCGCTCAGCGACATTTGTATCTTCCAGACCAGGACTATCGAGGACCAGGAAGAGACTGAGTCGAACATTAAAAGGGGTTTGAGGCGGCGTACAAGGATCCTTTCTGGAGGTTGCATGTGCATGTTCTGAGCAATGGGCATAAGCAAGTTCGACAGAAGAGTACTATTGCTTAAGCAGGTGATTCTTCTTTTGCATGATACCAGGAATCTGGCAGGAGCATGACTCGCGCTGCCACTGGGTGATGATTCGTGTAAGAGTAAACGATATGTGCCTTGAGGCCTCCTTGGAGGGCGGTGATGGTTGTTGATTGCTGTTCAGCCGCCTTCTGTATGGTGTATGCAGAATGATGCAAGCGTGCGCAGCACTGGCATTACTGGTGGACGGCAGGGCGGGCGATGGCAAACCTGCTACCTAGGAACCGCCTGTGCCAATGCTCCGCCGGTCTTCGGGTCTTTACGTGCTGGGCGGTGATGGCTAGCAGCTTTGACCACTTGGAAACTGCGCCTCGCAGCTTCAACCCAAGCAACCCACCCATGCCACCCAGACTGCCCTCGCTGCCAAACCTAAACCCAAACCACCCGATTCCCTCTCGCTGAGACTCTCCATCTGCATGCACTTTCTTGTTACTCTCATCTTCATATCTTGCCACTTGTATCTATCGTGTCGGCCGTCGAAGTCTGGAGGGATAGACGCGCCTGACTGCACTGACATCACATACCTCCAGCGGCGACTTCCCAGCAATGTCTTTGGTAAGTCGACACAATCCTTTCTTTTTCCCCCACCCACCGCTCGCTGCGTCGTGGGCTGCGAACTACGCTGCACATGCTAGCTCTCCGCCGACCGCCAACTTGATCAAATGCATGCCGAACATCCACCACCACCGTCCAACCTGCCTCTAACCCCCGTCGGGCGCTCTGGAAGACTGTATTACCTCCTGTCCGCCCCTCCATACAAGTTGCTGGAGGCCTGGTAACCACAATCACCTTGTCGCGGACCTGTGCACCCACAAAGAGACGCTGGGGAATCAGGCTGGGCAGTGCTAGGCTGAGGCTGGTGCAGCTGCGATGGGACTTGGCTGGGTTGTTCATACCTAGAGATCGGCTAACAATCCCTATCGCAGACATCCTACGCCAAAGGTTGAGATGGGCTCGCTGGTGATCAGCCAAGTGGCGCCGGGACTCGGTCAGCATCCCTATCACCACATGATGGTGGACACCAATCCTCATCACGAAGACTCCGACAGAGGATACAGCGCAAGCGCCTCCTCTGATCAGACACCTGTCATCCACGAGCCTTCGGAAGATTCGTCGACTCCAGGGTCACAGCACGATGACCATGAGCCAGGCAGTGCTCATTCATCCTCTCCCCACCATCAACATTCCTCTTACTACCCTCAAAATGTGAACCAACACTCGCGTGGATTCGATCAGTCCGGCTTCCCTCTGACCAGCGACCCTCGCGTCGTGGTCGCCAACTCTCCTCCCTCTCCGCGGTTACAACCCACTTATCGCTCAACTAGGTCATTAGGCGCGTCAGAAGCAAGTTCTCCTAGTCGGATAAAAGTGAGAGACTTGTCACATATCCGCAGTCTTGCGAGTGAAGAATACTTGAACCGTCCGCGATTGTCAGGTCGCTCTGCCAGCTCCTATTCGGATACAGGGAGGCAATATGAAATCAGTGCCATGCCCGTTACAGACATTATCGAAATGGTCGCGGGTCTTCTTACCAAGATAACCACCACCAATGATCGGCAGCACGAGCACCATCGCCCAATTCCTCTAACAGAGGAACAGAGTCATCTAAACCCGCACGCATCTTGCGTCCTGGCTTTTCACGGCAAGAACGTTCCCGGAATTACGATCCTAAGTTATCTGAGTCGGATACATAAGTATTGTCCAACTACCTACGAGGTTTTCTTGAGTCTGCTGGTCTACTTTGATCGCATGACGGAGATGGTCAATCGGGGGCTTCTTGGGAACGTCAACAGGCGACCGGACGATTCGCCTGCCACAGCGCCTGAGTCATCCACACCCACTCCGCGTTCCCCGGTTCCTATGAACGTGGACAGCCCTCAAGAGCACCACGATATCAGCACGCCCCCCTCTCCCTCGGACTCACGCCAACAGTCCCTGCATCAGCATCCCTCATCGCCACAAACATCCAGCGCTCCGACCGATTTGTCACAATTTTTCGTGGTTGATAGCTACAACATTCATCGCCTGGTAATTGCCGGTGTCACTTGCGCCAGCAAATTCTTCTCTGATGTTTTTTACACGAATTCTAGATACGCAAAGGTATGTTTTGCTCGGCCGGTAAAGCCTTTGGCAAACCAGCCTCTTTTTCAGCGGTGACGCTTGGCACAACTGTCCTAGTGAATCCAAATGCTGACGTATGATTGATTTGACAGGTGGGAGGGCTACCCCTAGCCGAACTGAACAACCTTGAACTCCAATTCCTCCTTCTCAACGACTTCAGACTTTCTGTACCGGTGGAGGAGCTCGAGGCCTACGGCACTATGCTGGTCGAGTTTTACGCTAGGGAATTACTGGCCCAGCAACAGCTCGCTCAGCAACAACAGCAGCAGCATCATCAAAGTGGTACAGCTGGTCCATCTCCTCCCACTGGTGCGGGAGATGGGATGTACATGCGCTCCCCGGGAGCCGAAGTTGGATCATCGTCGACACAGGAGTAGTTGGTGGGCCTCCCAAGTGAAGGAAGACATTTTACCTGAGGGAACAAGACAGAGCTTTGGTGATGAAACGGATACGGAACCTATTTCCAGTCAACGGCCCGCCTTTTGTTGACGTTTACGAGATTGCCGAGTCATGAACGGATGCCATACCTATTAGACCAGATCTTTTGTCAGAGTGTTTTAGTTATGTTTCTGTCTGTGCGGAAGGATGTTGGCATCCTTTGAGCTCGAAATCGAGCTGAGGGACAACATGGGCGTTGGCGAGTGGAGGAGGCATTTTTCGTTCTTTGACTGCTTTTACATCGAGACGACCGAGACCAGAATGCTTCGGAATAGATGTTCGAATCGAGGTCGTTTCTAGAAACAATCGATCTGATGAGACAAGCCTCCCCGTTGGTTACGAGGTACTTTCTTTGTCGGTTTTCAGCTTGCCTCGTACTATGTCCCCTTCTTTCTTGAAGTCTTATCGTTTCTGGTCTTATTGTTCTCGTGTTCGTGCGCTGCCTAATCTCATCCGAGCTTCTTGAAACAAACCATCGTGCCATCATGACTCATCGCAGCGCCCTACCCTTATTTGAGACCCTGGAGGAAGCTTGAGTTTTGTAAGGCTGTGCTCTGTCCAGATGATGATATATATCCCCTTGGAGGGGAGAGGCGAGAATGGTGACGAAAGTATACATGAGGAGAAGAGAGGAAGATCAGAGAGGCACAAAAGACGGGGAAGAAGATGCCTTCTTTTCTGTTTCATATTGCTGTGAGGGAGATACAACAGTTGCTGTTGATACCAAGATCGGACAGGACTTTTGAAGATGGGCAATAACTTTTGATTCTAAGACTACCTGGGTATGTAGTGCGTAGTATGCTGTCAGGGAATGGAGCCGAGCAAATCTGATATAATAAAAACAATGCATAAAAAAGTCCTCACTTGATTGTCCCGACTGGGCGTGTCTGAAAGCTTTGTAAGAATGCAATGTCGAAAAAAGACGCCTTCCGCCGGGGTTTCAGGCATAATGTCGTGTTGCGTCGTGTCCGCTTTGATCGAAAGCTCGCAACTTTGCTGCATACCTGATGTGCATCACCAGTATTTATGCACCCGTACACACTGCGTCTCGCACAGAGCCCTTATTCATCCACCATCGCCTGCATTTTCCACCCCGAACGCAAACATTTCCATATGTCCCTCAAGAACCACGGAACAAGAATTGCATGTCCTCTGGCGTCAATTTATCTAACGCGACCTGGTCATTGTTCACCGTACCATTGATCATGTTGGCTTTCTTTTCTTGGAGCAACACCATCCTTGACTCGACCGAGTCTTCGATACACAACCGAGTGATGACGCAAGGGCGACGTTGGCCGATTCGATGGCAGCGATCCGCAGATTGCCATTCGGCGGCAGGGTTCCACCATCTGTTTGAAATTTCAGTCAGTAATGGTTGTTGAGGCAAAGAGATTCTGCTGCACTTACGGGTCGACAATGTATACTCTGCTGGCCTCTGTCAAGTTCAAGGCAACACCGCCTGCTTTGAGAGAGACGAGGAAAACCTCAACGTCGACATTGTTCATGAAATGTTCGATCGTCTTCTGTCTCTGCGCAGGAGTCATACTTCCATCCAACAACACCGTGCTGAATCCCGACTTCTGCAGCCGCCACTGGACGAGTTGTAGCATGCTGGTGAACTGCGAGAACACAATAGATTTGTGCGTTTGTTTCTTGCTGCGCAACTTGTACAGGTCATACACGAGCATTTCAATCTTTGTGGAGCTGGTCCAGTCCTCCATCTTGATGCGGTTGATGATAGATGACTTCTTGACATTTTCTTCATCCTGCTCGATTTCCGGCTGGTCCCAGTCTATGACCAAGGGAATGTGGCATCTAGGACAATCTGCGTCTTCCTCAGAGCCTCCGTAGTCACTACCTGCGAAGGACTGGACGTATGACTTGGCGCACTGGCGGCAGAATTCGTGACGGCACCGCGAACGGATGGCATCTTCGGCAGGTTCGTCGCAGACACAGCAGACGAGAACATTCTGCCCACCTTCTGCGTTTTTGCGCAGGATCAGATCGGGGTGATTGGCGACTTGTCTCATTTGCATGATGAGACCAAAGATGTTGGCATAGTTGTTCAGCATCACACCTTGGGCAACGTAGGTGTCGAATTTGCGAGTCGAGTTCGACATGATACTTTGGGAGAAGTCGCGTTCAATTTCTCCAAAGAACTCGTTGTGTATAACAATCTCTTTTGGTGGTAGCTCCATAGAAGACGTGTGATCTCGCTTCATGCGACGAAGCATGATGCGGTCAGTGATGAGACGCAGCTTGTCCAGACCTTCCTTTCTGAGTTTCTCATCGTCTCCCTGGGTGATTGGGTTAAGAATCTCTTGGTTGAACACAGAGACGTGGTTAAAGCCACTGTGCTGACATTTGGTGCATTTCTTCGACTCATCCTGGGACCAGTGCAGTTCACGACAATCGCATGTCTTGCAAAAATAGCATGCAAACGGATGAATCTCGAGGAAGCGCAAGAGTGAGAAGAACTCGCCAATGCGGTTCTGGACTGGTGTGCCGGACAAGCACCATTTGTAGGTGGCTTTCAAAGCGAAGCAGGCCTTTGCCACACCGGTGGTCCGCTGCTTGATGCTGTGGGCTTCGTCGAGGATCAATCGGTGATACTTGATCGAATGCAACACGCTGTCCTCCTTGACGATTCCGTCGCCTCGACTCCACCCCTTCTGCTCTTTTCGGAACATCGACTCCAGACCAGAATAAGACACCATGATGACATCGTACTTTTTCAGGTCCTTGACAGTGAGAAGCTTGCATTTTGGGTTGGCAGAAGAGTGGTAAATCAGCACCTTCAGCTTTCCACTGGTATATTCTTTGATTTCCGACTGCCATTGCATGAGGGCCACTGGAGGGACAATTACCAGGCTGGGAGCCTTAGCAGGATAGTCGGACATGATAAGGCTGACAGCCTGAATGGTCTTCCCCATACCCATCTCGTCACCGAGCAAGCCACCTTTCCACTGGGACTTTTCCTGTTTGATCATCCAGTCCAGGCCCTCGAGCTGAAAGGGTTTCAGCCTTCGACTGATGCTGGTAGGCTGCGGCGCTTGCACGGGCTTGATGACTGGTATCTTACCAAGGTCCGTCCACATGGTTTTGATTTCTGGGTGGGCCTTTTCTAAGCGTTTGCGTTCTCTCAATTGGCGGCGCTTCGCAGGATTTGCCCAGAACAACATTTCTTCTCGGCTCATCTGCGTCCAATCCACCGACGTGTTCCCGCGTCTAGCCCACGGCGGTTTAGATGAATCGGAATCTTCATCGTCATCGACCTCACTATGGTCTGCCGAGCTCATTGAAACAGGTGGAAGAGTGAAATCGGACAACTCTGTGTCGGCGGTTGAGGCCGCTGACGAGAGTCCTGAGCTGTCGAGCGAAGAGGCAGCGACAGCAGTGGAAGAACCATGGTTGCGGAGGGGAAGCTTGGTTCGACGCTGACGAGTGCTGGCAAGGGGCATTTCATCATCGTCATCATCTGTCACATCAACGAAAGACGGCCGAGTACGACGACGCTTGCTCAGAGGCTCATCATCGCTCTCCTCTGAATCCATCACCGCGTCGTACTCTTCTCTTTGCAGTTTTGCCGCAAGTTTTGCATCAGTGTCTTCGAAATCCAGATCTGTGATTTCAGCGATGTTTCGTTTTCTCGAAGACCCACCTCGGCCACGAAGAGCAAACTCCGAGGACTGGAGTTGCAAAGCCCTGGCTGTAGCTCCAACTTTTGCTTTTGATGTGCCGGGATCAGGTGTTGGGACAGTGCTAGTACCTGGGGTCTCGTAATCGGGCGAATCCATCGAATCGGCTATGGAAGAAGGGGCTGTTGACTCGGACTGCCTGCCACGGCGCTTTGCAGGAGCTGAATCCATCTTAGGGATAACGACTCCTCGGAATGTGCCCTTTGAGGTCGAGGCAGAAACAGAAATCTCATCATCCTCAGAGTCCGCAATCTCTGTGACTGTAGATGCTGAAGGTCGGCCTCGACTTCGGTTGATGCTTCGCTTAGGGGGTACTCTGGTGCGTGAAGGGGACGATTTTTCAGTGGCGACTCTTGAGGCTGTGGGCGGCCGGTCAGTCAGGGGTTAATATGACATTTTCCATATATGTACTTACAAGAAGCCCTTGAAGAGGCCGCAGACCTCGAAGGACGACCTCGAGCCCCCATGGTGGATGTCGAGCCTGAGAGTGATGGCAGAAGTCGGCAAAATGGATAAGGCTCGTTTGATCGACTTCGGAAAGAAAGATCGAGGGACAATCGATAAAGGCCTAGACTTAGCGCGTTTTCTGCCTGGACTGTAGCGCGTGGGACGCGTTAAGTGGTTTTTCAACACAAAAGCGGCACCCTGTAAGAGCACGGCAGGCTGGGCTTTGTGGGGTAAAGCGGCGACAGGGGCTTCGGCCAAACGAACTTCTACCGGATTTCAGTCACAGCCTCGCCAGATACTCAACCCAACGGCTTCGTCACCGGTTCAGTTAATGTCCAGGATGTGAAGAGCGTCTGCTTCTGAAGCTCGCACATTCGTCCTCGAAGAGTCAGCAGGGCTCCAACGGTCTTTCCTATAGCACTTCAGTGCTCCTGCTTTGAAATTCGCAGTATTTATCCAACTGCTCTTTCGAGCAATCGGTCCTCGGTCGAGTATGTGGTGCGTCAATCATAGTCGTAGTTCAAATATAGCAGTGGACATTGGCTTCGAAAGTGATGTTCACTTTCCCTTTGTAAACTCGTACCTCGAACTGGTTGTCACAGGCTGGAAGACACGCACGTGACCACGGATCGCGTTCTTTCACGACGCGCGCCACCAACCGCGCCACGGGGAAAAGTGCCCCTCTGCGCCTTACCAATGCTTTTCTGCCTCACAATCTGCACAGTGAATAGAGAACTTTGTCGCTGGCTCGAAAGCGCCAACCGGGTTTCGCTCACTTGACACAACCTGGTTCTCTGTTCATCTCCTGCTCACTTCTGCCATTATCGCCATTCTTTTCCTTCGATCTGCTTGATCTGAGATTCGCCACCACCAAAACCTTGCACAATGTTAGTCGTCGCCCCTGGAATAGCAGCCTTGCCTGTGTTAACACTGAAAATAGGGCGAACCGGCGTGCTGCTGCACTCAATCGCATCCGCGGACCCCAGTCTGCCCTCACAGACTTCCTCGCCTCTCACAACATCTCGGCCCAACAGATCCAACAGGATTACCAGCAACGCCTCGCCGACGCCGAGCGGGAGAGAAGAGAAAGTACCGAAAATGCGGATGTGGGCCAAGAAGAAGCATCCGACGATGACAGCGAGGATCCTGTCGAGCGCAAGAAGCGTAAGAGAAAACAAGAGATGGCTCTGATGAAGATCAAACAGAGCAAAGAGTTCAAAAAGCGCAAAATGGAGCGTGAACTCGAGGAAGGCAGCGACTTCGAAATGGACGACGATGAAATCGCCAGAGCCATGATGGCCAAAGCCAAGCCTCTGCCCGGCCAACTCGATAACTGTGAGCTCTGTGGCAAGAGATTTACAGTGACACCCTACAGCAGGACTGGGCCTGACGGTGGTCTTTTGTGCACAAAGTGCTCCAAGGAACTGAAGGAGGAGGAAAAGAAGGATGCCCAGGCGAAGAAGAAGAGAGCTTCAGTCCCAAAAGGTCGGCGTCGACAGACCGAAAGCGATCGAATGATGGGCGACGTCAAACCAGGCGCCAAAAGCCTAGTCGACATGTGCGTTCGTAAAGTGGCCGACGTCGTCAATGACATTGAGGAATTTGGTGACATGCCGCAAAACCTGTTGGATCGATTGAGCCAAATCTTCTCTAAACGGAGAGTCCTCACTCCTCGGATCCTCGAGCTCTTCCTCCGCCCTGATGTCGACCGTATCATCGTGTACGACTGCGGCAAGCTGGAGCAGGAAGACTTCCAGAAGATCTTTGCACTGATGCCTCAAGTCGAGATCGTTAACCTGCGCTTTGCGGGCCAGCTGAAAGACGGGCCGCTCCTGTACATGGCCGACAAGTGCAGGAAAATCCGTCACCTTCAGCTTGGGGCAACAAACCTAGTCTCGGACAATGCCTGGGTTGAGCTATTCAATTCGCTTGGTCCTCAACTGGAAAGTCTCAAGTTGTCGGAACTCAATGATTCCTTGAAGGATGAAACGGTGGTGGTACTGGCGGAGAAGTGTCAGAAACTCAAGAGACTCAAGTTGAGGTCTTGTTCTCACATGGGCGAGGCATCGATCGAGGCTCTCTGCTCGCTGCAAAACCTTGAGCATCTCACTCTCGGCAGCGTCGCACAGGAGACCGACGGGGGAGATCTTTACACACTTGTGAGATTGGTTGGTGCCAACCTTCGTACCCTTTGTCTAGAAGACTTCCATGAACTCGGCGGCGATGTCCTCCTGGGCATCAAGAATTATTGCCCAAATCTCCACAAACTGCGTATCCGAGGAAGCAGCATCTGCCTTGATGAGGACTTTGCCGATCTCTTTGATCGCAAATGCCCCTTCCCTCCTCTGCTCTACGCCGACTTTTCCGACAACCGCGACATCGACAGCATGAACCCGGAAGGCGATGAAGACGACCTCATTGGCTTTGGCTCTCTGGCGTTCTCAGCACTTATGGCCCATTCCGGTTCTCGACTCGAGCATCTCAATCTCAAGTCTTGTCGTCACATCTCTCACGCTGCCCTTCTTGAAGTCTTTGACGGTGTCAAGCAGTATCCTTTCCTTAGAGATCTGGATTTGTCCTTTGTTACACAGGTGGATGACGTGGTCATGACTGGAATATTCAAGAGTTGTCCTTCGCTGGCCAAGTTGGCTGTGTTTGCCTGCTTCAACGCCAGGTCGACGAGTATCCCGGCCGGAATCGCCGTGATCGGATTGCCGAACGCGAGTGCGAATATTGTGCAGGGAGACTTCGTCGCCGAGGTGTAATTTCGAGATTTATGCTCGAGAGGGTAGAGAGCGTGAACGACGGATTGGGTGGGTTTCTATGCTGAATTCTTACATGAGGTTATGATGAAAGGACGACGACACAGCGCACAAGGAGGCGCATTGTTGATGCCGGCCTTGATTTTTTAAGCGCCAACGTGGCCCACGAGCAGCTGGTAATCTGCTAATGTGATCAGCTGGTAATGACAATGGTCAAAGGGGAGAAGACCAGGTTCATCTCATCAAAAAGCACATATGAATTATGCTGAGATAGAGAATGTAGAGTATTTGAGGCCAATGCCATTATGACACTCGATCCCCTTTCTGCCTCCACTATCATGCAATGGTAGGTAGTCTTGGGCTGTCTTGGACATGTACTTTCTGCACTTGATGTATATCATTTGCGCACATATCTCGTCCTCATTGTTCCTGCCAATCACTCCCGTTAAAGCATCTCTATGCCCTCCACCAACGCCTCTAGGCTCTCACCTCCCACTCTCTTCTTATTTGATCCCTGCACCAGCGCCCTGGCAAGACCGCCCAGCTGCCGCTGCCTCGTCGTCTCTTCCAACTCCCGACTCTTCTCCCTGGCGACTTCAATCACACTCTCGCCCAGATTGGCCAACCTCGCCACGTTCAAACCGTAGCTGCGATGTGCCACACCTTCGCCCACTTCGTAGAGAAAGGTGATGTTCTCGTCATTCGTCTCTGTGAAACGCATGTGGACGTTTTTGAGTTCTCCATTCGGGAAACCATCCGCCATGCGTGCCAGCATCTGATAATGAGTGATAAACAATGTCAAGCATTTCCGCTCTCTCACGAGGTAGTCGAGCACGGAGGCGGCGATGGCGACACCATCATGCGTGCTTGTTCCTCTGCCCAATTCATCCAGCACTACCAGACTGCGGTCCGTGGCGAGTTTCAAAATGTCGCTTGTTTCGCTGAGTTCGACCATGAAGGTCGATTCGCCAGACATCATGTTGTCAAACGCGCCCATGCGGGTGAAGACTGCGTCCAGAATGCCCAACGTTGCGGACGCCGCCGGCACGAAAGACCCGATTTGTGCCATGATGGCGATGAGGGCCACGGAACGGACGTAGGAAGACTTGCCGCCCATGTTGGGCCCTGTCACCAGGAGAGCCCGCGTCGAGTCTCGGCAGATGGAGACGTCATTGGGTACGTAAGAATCGATGAGGAGTTGCTCGACCATAGGGTGGCGGGCGCCTTGCACTTCGATCCGAGTGTCGGATGCAAAGCTGGGACGCACGTAGCCTGGCTGGGATGCCACATTTGCCAATGACAAGAGGCAATCCAGGGCTGCGAGGCTTTGGATTGTGTCACGGAAAAGCTGATACTTTGTGCTGATGTCGGCGAGCAGGTCTCTGAACGCTTCATCACACGCAGCCGCCAGAGACTCCTTGTGCTGGTCCCTCTCTCGCAGAAGCTTGACAATTTCTGGTGGATGAAATCGAGACACCTTTTTGGTTCCCGAGATCTTTGCCCAGGATGCCGGGACTTTCTTGATTGTGGGAGAGTTGTTCTCGACCTCGATTAGGTACTCGATGCCTGCCACAGTCACGTAGTCAATTGCCTTTTTCTTGCCCAATTTTTCGGCGGCAGTTGATCGAAATTGGTCGAGGTCATGCTCAACGCCAGCAATGCCGAATTTATGCTCGGAAATGGCCTCAGTCTCTGAAGCATCCTGGAAGAAGGCGTACTTGTCATCGGACTTGGCAGCTTGAAGATTGATCTTGTCCAGATATCCCACCACCTCTGTCAGTATTACCGGGAGAGAGACCATTGCAGAAGAGATCAGATCTGAGGCGAAACCAGTAGATGCTGCATCAGTCGCATACGCAAATTCGGTCGCCAACATCTGTAGCGACTGGAGGACATTCAATAACTCTGGTCTCGTACACTTGCCGTAGTAAATCCGAATAAGGCTTTTCTCCAGATCGGTCCTAATCTTCGACAACACACGCCTCAACTTATCCGCCTGGACGGCTTTGTCGGGACTCAGAAGCTCTTCCACAGCGTTGAGTCGGTGTTCAATGCTTTGTACATCCAGCAGTGGCCGTCCAACCCATTTTCGCAGCAGTCTGCCTCCGAATTTTGTCTGCGTTCGATCCATCATCCAGTACAAACTGCCTTTTGTGGAATGGTCCGTCTGGTTCAAGTAGATCTCGAGACTTGTCAAGGTGTTTCCATTGAGTAGCATGTGGGATCGAGCGGAAAACGGCTGGAAGTATTTGGCCAGTTGGAAGACGTGCTCAAGTCCATACTCGGACAAGTGTTTGATCATTGCTGAGAGGCAGACGGATACATTTTCTGGTAAAGCCATGATCTTATCAAAGATTTTCGCTGCCTTCTCTGCGTCTGACCGGGAATCTTTGAGCCTTTCGGCGTAAAAAGTCGATATGTGGCTGTGAGCTTGAGCTGCCACAGTTTTCTCTTTTGCAACCCGCTCAACCCGAATCTTGTCGCCGAAAACGTTGGTCTTGCTGCCGGACAGATGGATAACAAGCTTCTCGGTGGCCTTTGAGAGCTCGCCCACGATGAGGAACTCGCATGGCGCAATGTGGAGCAGTCTGGTCTCGATTTCGCTCCGCATGAAACCGTCCTCAAAATCATCGTACACAATATCGCCTGTAGCAGGCTGGACTGCTACCAGACCAACGTGCACTTTTTCGTCATTGCCATAGCCTTTGACGTTGACCTCTGTCATGCAGAGTAGAAATCCAGTCGACGGAGACTGTGGGGCGGGACTCCCTCGACTGTCCTCTTCGATGCCTTCGATGTCGTCGATATAAGTACCTTTTGTGTACAGATTCGTAAGCTTCCTCACGAAAGGTGCGTTTCTGTTATCGCCAACAGCCTTCAACGCTGCGGTCTCCAGTTGTCGCACAACGCCAACTTTGTGACCAGCGGCAACTAGTCTCTTGACATGCACATGCAGTCGATGGACCGGAATGCTTGCAGATGCAAAACGATCCAGGTGTGCCTCGGAGGGATGTTCATCGTACCGGTACTTTCCCGGGATACAAACGATGCTGAGTTCTTTGGCCGCGATCCGGGCGTCTTCGCCAAAGAACCGGAATTTGTAACCAACTTCGACCACCAGCAAGGTGTCCATGTGCGCTCTCTTGATCTCTAAGACTTGCTTTTCCATCGGCGTCAGCTTGTTGCCACCTTTTTTGGTTCGAGAGGTCGATTTCGGTGCCTCTTCGACAGGCTCTTCCTCTCCATCTTCGTTGTCCTGGTCTGCGGCATCCTCTTCGAGCAGTCGGTTTCGCCGCTTGATTTCAGCGATACTGTCTGGCTTTCCCAACTTCTTCACAAATTTCCGGTGTAGCTCGTCTCTTCGTCTCTTCTCCGCACCGCTAATTTCCTCGAGATCCTGGTTTTCCTGCTGAGGTGACGAAGAATAAAAGTACTTTGCTGTCCCGGTTGATGCTCCGGGTTCATTTGTGGCGAGTGTTTGTCCATTGGCAGCAACAGGTCTCAGCGGTATCACAGGTTCCCCGATCTCTTCCTCTTCTCCTATATTTCCAGTCTCCTCTGGGTCTTCTTCAACGGGCGTGATGCGGCGTCTTTTCGGCGTAGGCAATACCAATCCATCGTCTTCGTCGTCCTCTTCCGTGGAGATCTGCGGACGAGATTTGGAGGTAGGAGTCGACGAAGGTCTCTTGAAGAAAGACGATATCGTCTGCTGCTTCTTCTGTGCAGAAGCCATAGTGAGAAGGCCCACTGCCCTATCTGCGGCGAAGAATGAGGGTTCGTCAAGAGTCTCAGCGGGTTGAGAAGGTCAAAGGCAAAACCGTCGTCATTCGAAGGAAGCCACGACTCCGCCAATGAAGTTGCGCCGTAGGACGCGCCACGCGACGCGTCTCCGGAAGGAACAATTTAAAGTGCCGTCAGTATTCCGCATGCCTCGATGAACAATCCAATGATTATTTCCCTGGTCGAGTCAAATACGTTGGCACCTCCATCTGTTCATCTTAAAGGCAAAAACCTCGTTATTGGCGTGGCACAGCCTTTACATATGAAGTCTCACCCCTCCTCCACCGTTATGCCTGTTGGGCCGCCCACGCATCGATCACTCCGTCAGTGTCCGGCTGATACAGCCACCGCATGTCGTCAAAGTTGTCAACGTTGCTGGCATCTACGACCTTCCCCTCACGCACGAGCGCCTCTCTCTCTGCCAGAGGTAAACGCTGGATGTTGGTCTTGTTCGTGGCCCAGTCGAAGACCGCATCCACCCGTGCTTGCCGCAGGGACTGCCAGAACGCCAGCGCATTCTTGAGCCCTAGTCTAGGCTTTGACTTGAGCAGAAGAAGCAGCCTCGTCAGAGCGTACACATCCTCCAGGGCCTGGTTCACGCCCTGTCCGCTGCTCGGAGGCAATGCGTGACTGGCGTCGCCCATGATGATGACCCTGCCAGCCTTTTCTGAATACCATTTCTTCAGCGGTGCCATTCGCATGAAGGGCCACAAAAAGGTTGTATCGACGCGCCGACAAACGGCATCAATGATTCCTTTTGCGGTTGGGCTCTCCCATTTGTCTCGAGTGTTCGCATAGAAATCACGCAAGTAGTCTTTATCCTGAGCCAGCGCTTCCCACTTGTCGCGACTGCGGTCCTCCATGCTGACCTGCATTGCCACCATGACTATGCTTCCCTCCCGATCTTCAGGCATCAGCACCAATGCTCCGGGCCTCCCCTGAATAGTGCATGCACGTTCGTAGTTTTCATACGGCCACTCGACAGAGGTCCAGGGAATGTGACTCAAGACACCCGCAATGCCTGTGTACTCGGGCCCAGGATCGTCTGGATTGACATATTTCCTCACCGAGGAGTGAATCCCGTCCGCCCCGATCAGCATCCCAGCCGACTCAACCCGCCCGTCGACGTTGAAGGTGACACCTTCCTCGCCCTCGCTCACTACGCCTTCGAACCTCGCGCCCCAACAAACCCTGACGCCACGCTCCCTCACCATGCCCAGCATCGTCTCGACCAGGATCCGCCGCCATAACCGGTGGTTCTTGTACCCGTAGAGGGTCTCGTTCGTGATCAGCGTTTTCCGGGTCGTCTCATCGCGCTCGTTCTTATATGTGCGATACTCGGAGAGCCAGCATCGCGAAGAGATCCGTGGCAGCACACCCAGCGAGTCGAGAACGCGCAGGCCATTGGGTGTGAGCACCACGCCGGACGAGTTGGCCGGGTCGGGCGTGTCCGGGTGGCGGAGATCGTAGATTGCGATGTCCGAGGGGTTGTAAAGGTGGTGGTGTAAGAGCGACAGCGTGATTGAAAGGCCCGTCAGGCCGGCGCCGATGATGGCAACCGAAGAGCTAGACGAGGCGTGGGACGATGGTGAGACATCCATTCTCTCTTTCGTACCATTCCGTTAGGGCATTTATGAATCATGACTTGCATCTTTGGTCGTCGCTGACCAAGTTATACGAAGAAATGCGGGGGTGGATATTGATGGTTCCCAGTTAAGCTGATAGACTTCTATATGTAACTTCCAAGCTCCCTCCCCTGTTATGTTCCTCAATGGAGCATACTGCAAATGTGACCATGACTCCTCATCTTGCGGCCACCTCACCAACTGCAGCAAAAGTCACCTTCCTTGTTCTCGGAGCGGGCTGGGTGTGGCAATTTCTGGAGCCGCTTGTCAAGAAGAATGCCAACATCACTTATGCCGCCACCACAACAAGCGGGCGGAAAGGCACCATCCCTTTCAAGTTCGATCTAGAATCGGACGGCCTGGAGGCGGCCTTCAAGAGGCTTCCGTTGGCGGACTACGTCCTTGTCACTTTTCCATTAAAGGGGAGAGGACCGTCGCGAAAGTTGGTGAGCATGTACGCAGAGACGCATGGCCGACACGGTCCCGCGGACTTTGACTCGGCTACTGAGGATGGCCAAGGAGATGGACGAAGTGGTGAAGCAGAAAGCTCCACCATTACGGCGACAAAATGGATACAACTTGGCAGTACTGGGATTTGGACATCTCCGGATTTTGTGGATAGCCACTCGCCCATCGATCCGTCAAACGAGAGGGGGATTGCAGAAGACGAGCTCATCTCCTTGGGCGGTTGTGTGTTGAACCTCGCGGGTCTCTATGGAGCACAAAGGCAGCCGGGCAACTGGATTGCGCGCGTAGCGAAGACGAAGGAACAGCTCGGCGAGAAAGGGGCGTTGCATTTGATCCATGGGGTGGACGTTGCAGGAGCTGTGATCGGGGTTCTCAAAGTAGATTGCGTGAAGCCTGGGCGGTTGTTTGGCAGAAGATGGATTGTCGCCGACTGTGTGAGCTACGATTGGTGGAGTATCGTATGGGATTTCAACGGTGACTCAAGTGAAGAAACCCAACATAAGGACGAGGAGGACGCACAGGAGCAGACGAAACTAGAACGATGGAAGTATCGACGTTGGGTGATGGAGCTGATGCAGGACAAGGGCGTGAAGGCGCTACCGAGGCCGATGGAGGCACTGGGCAGGAAGCTGGATGCTCGCGAGTTTTGGAATGCCGTTGGAATTCTCCCGGAGAGGACGTTGAGGAGATGAGAGGACTCCTGTCAAGAACATTGAATTCGGTATACCCGGCATTTTGTCGCGTCGACTGCATGTTGCCAAATGCCGCAGGTCGTCGCCTGGAAGGATGCGATGACAACACCAGCTGCTGCCACATGGCACCATGATCAGTGTCGCCCATGTTAGACCAGTAGGGGCGATGCCCTTCGCGACTTCTGACATGGACATTGGGGAGCATGCCTTGGAAACCATCCAGGCAGCTGCATTCGCCTCGGTCGAGAATTGAATGGACAAACAGAATGGAACGGGGGATCAGGAGGTTGCAGGGTGGAATGTGCACCTCCAGTCCGCTGCAATCGAAGGAGGAGCCTGAGAAAAGGACAGATAGTACTGGAAGAAATGCTCTAGACAAACGAACTTTGGAGATCAAGAACGACTTACGGCCCAGGATGTGGTAGAGAAGCTCGATTTCTGTCCACGAGCCATTAGCAGTTCATTTCCTGCTTGGAGCGTGCTTGCTCCCTTTTGTGGAACACATTTCTCTCGTCAAGCTCAACAACAATGGTCCTTCGCGCTCATACCCATTCGCAGCACCAACATACGGGCTCTCTGTGCATCAGCGCCAGCGCCATTCCCAGCGCCATTGTACATTTCCGTTCGTACCCTTGAGACCCTCGGTGCTGTTGATCAGCTTTCTCGTGTCGCCATGTCCAGTCTATCAAAGTCAGAGGCTGCTGCCTTGACACATTCCTTCAATTCCATGCTGCAAGAGAAGCCCCGGGCATACAACTTTGGTAGTTGTTAAAGTAATGCCCCAACAGCACATGAGACCGCTTTATGGTCCTCCAACCTCGTGGCTCACGGCCTATTCGGTTTCCATGGATTCCCGGTCAATGGACTCCCTCGCCCTTCTAGAGCTCTCCAGCAGGCAGAACGCTCTGATCTCGTCCCCAAAGCGCAATCCATTGTCTTCTACCGTTCCTTCGGCGCCGTCTGCCAAGAAAAACCTTGACCGATTGGGCAGCCACTGTTCTGCTGCTTCCGTAACGGTACCGGAGCATTTTATGATCGCAAATCGAACATCCTCGATTCTATTGTCCATTTTCCTGGCAATTTTCTTCAGTAACTTCGTCATTTTGTCATCGTTCCAAACCCAGGCCGTACAAGTCTCGTTGTTGAACCGGAACTTGATTGCAACGATGAGTCTGACAGCCACAACGCAGTCGCCGTAGATCTTCTGCTCATACAGGGTCTTACTATCGACGATATGTCGATTGCCAAGAGATAGCTCGTAGAAGTATGTGTTCGGAATGCCGTATTCCGCATTGATCCTCTCCTTGACACGTCTTCCAGTATCACACCACTGCACATTGACACGACCATGCGCTGGCCATGGTTGCGTGAACTCGTGTTGCGGAAGGTGGACGTAAACGTAGAAGTCTGGTTGCTTTGGTCGTGCTGAAATGTGAAGCGCCGAGTCGGCAAAAGGTAGGGAGCGTTCAGGATCGTAGTCCGGTCCGTTTAGTGGTACTTGAACACCGTCATCCCCCTGGACAGTGTACAGGAAAGTCTCCGGCTCCATCTCGTTGAAGATTTCGCGACCCACGGTCGCAACCAAGTCGCCAACATTCCTACACTTTCTCAGGTCTGGGGACAGAACAGTGGGTTTATTTATAGTAATAGAGGTGTGCATGTTTGTTTGCACTGCTGGAGTCGTCATTATGGGAAGGCAACCGGTCGATGGCGGGGGAGAAGGGCTTTTGTGAGGCAGGTTGAGGATAAGCTCTTACAAGCGAGTAGTTCTGAGTAGAGGTGGACTTTGCTGGAACTTGTTGTTGTGAATTCATTCACCAAGTGGCGTGTTCGTGGTGATCAAGTGTCGCAAATGGACAGGGGAGACTTCTTGTGAGGGTTCTTTGTGGGCGACGACGATGGATGATGGAAGGTGGGCGTGTAACTACCGCTTCAGTCTGCGTCCTCCACGGTATTCGTTTGGGAAGCCTACCATAGCCTCGTCAATAGACAGGCATGCCAAGGCAAAAGTAGAGCAGCTTCAGACGCCTACTTGATTCGACTTCCCCTGCGCCGTTGTTACTAAGTGGCTCCGAAATCAAGCTTCTTGGCCACGCCCTTGAACTTGTTCTCGTCGACGACGAACCCAGGAGCTGCCACTTCCGCAGCAGCCATCTTCGAATCACCGCCGCCCTGTTTCGGGAGATTCTCCTTGCTGGTCGGTCTGGGATCGATCCTCCACCACTCATGCTCCAAGGCGCCTCTTGCCGTCACCCTCTTTCGTGGATCAAGCTTCAGCATTGCCATGAGGAGATCGACGCCGACCGACCCTGCTGTCGGGAACATCTGCATGTAGAACGGCTTCTCGCGGACCGGAATCTTCTTTTCCAGCTCGAAATAGTCCCGCAATTTGGAGACTCCTGGCCAGTTTTCTTCGTTTGGCGTCCCGACAGCTTCGCAGATTTTGTCGAGTTGGGCGACCGTTCCTCCACCACTTGCCAGCACTTCCTGGTTTGCCACATCCGCTGCTGCATAGGGTCTGCGAATGAGGAGTTCGGCAAAGACCATTCCGATACTCCACATATCGACGGCACCACTGTATTGTCTTGCCCCAAAGAGCAATTCTGGAGGCCGGTACCAAAGGGTAATCACGGCGGAAGTCATCTGGTACCGTGGATCACCAAAGGACCGCGCCAGGCCAAAATCTGCCAGTTTCACTTCTCCATCCGCGGCGATCAGGAGGTTGTTTGGTTTGATATCTCGATGCAAGATGAAGTTGGAATGGCAATAGTATATCGCGCGGCACAACATTCCCATCCATGCCTTGACATCGGCAGCGCCGTAACTGACGGTCTTGTCGCGGATGAGCTCTTCCAAGTTGCCGTTGGGGAAATACTCAATGACCATGTTGATGTTTTGGTCCTTGGAAGAAAACACGTCCAACAAGGCGACGATGCTTGGGTGTGAGATTTCCTGGAGATACTTGATCTCACGTATCGTGTCAACATTAAGCCCTTCCCGCTGCTGCGAAGGGTCGACTTTGAACTTTTTGATGGCAACAAGCTTGCTCGGATCGGATCTCAAATGGCCTTTGTACACAATGGCATACGTTCCTTCACCCAGCTTCTTTCCTATGGAGCTCGTCAGCAAGTTTGGGCGTGGCTGGGAGTTATTTGATATACCAACCTTTAACATACTTGTTGCTGATATCCTCATTCATTTGCTCAGCCATGTCGAAGTCTGCAGGAGGATGGTGAGCAGGCGGGCCCGGCGCTGAAGATTGAGGTTTGGGTATTGATTTCCTCATTGCGAGTGACCTGGCTTTTGATGGTGACATATTGGCATTGATATTTGAGGGCGAGCGCGGCATCAAAGGCGACGGTGCGTTGGATGAGGGTGCCATTTTGGGAGTCTTTGACCACTGTGAATTGGACGAGCAGTGCTTGGGTGTGCCTTCTCAAGCCTTCCACTTTTCCTATACAGTCTACCTCAGAAGTTCTGGGCGGTATGGTGGCAAGGTATGGGCAACTGTGCCCTGAAAGTCTTGAGATAAATTCTGCTCATTTGATCGACACAGGATTCTAGAAAGGCCTGCACTGGCTGGTGAAGCAAGACGATGGTCAAACTTCAAGTCGAACGAGGCTCAAAACCTTGGCTTATGGATAACTCGCCGCTTTACGAGGTCCTTGTATACTGTCTACACTTGTGCAGCTCGAGAGGAGTTCTATAAGGATTTCTCGTTGCAGACGGACCTAGGTATTCATTCATGAAACAGACTCTCGCTTGCCTCTGCACATAATATTGCCTTGCAGAGCACTGACAATCCTGGACGCAACACGCCTAGCACACCTTGACTCGCCTGCCGCGGTGGAAACCCATGCCTCTAATTTACAGATCTCCGAGCTGTGGTCGTCATGCACAAGCGACATGGACCAGTTGTCGCCATGTAGCCACCTGCAAAGACAAAGAAATCACATCTCATCATCAAACACCACACATTCAGCGCAGCAGCCTGCAGTGGCTGGGGAGTTCCTCTTCTGCCCGGCAGGAACAAGGCTGAAGTGGACCGCACGCTGAAGGCAGGTCCGTTAGATTCAGAAAGAGCGGGAACGTCCCAATACTGTGCAAGCGGCACATGTAGTCCTCTGAACCTTTTGAGACTTATTTGTTGTGAACACAACCAGTCGGATGGAGGGTGGATGCACTGGGACAAGGATCCTCGCAATGGCACCCCGTGTTTCGAAGGAACGAGGTCTTCGTGTTGGCCACAGGCGGCGTGACATCCCTGCCTAAAAGGACAAAGTCAGCGTGCAGCAACTTTTCCTCGCGCTTGGCGTTGAACCCAATATGCGGTCCGCAGCCATCGCATCTCAATCCGCAGACTCCCAATAATAATTCTTGTCTGCATCAACCGCAACCACGGAGCTTTATGAGGCGCTGGAAATCATCTCAACTGCCATTCTGCGTGTACACTATTTCCCGGAGGAGTGACTTTGTGCCATCACAGCTTCGACAATGATCACGCGACAGCCCCCAGCAGCAGTCTCGCTCCTTACCTCTCTCCTCCGACCGTCGACCTCTGCGTCGAAATCTATAAGACCTCAATCCTATATCTGCACACCATGTCGACGACAATTGCACCGCGGCCTCCCTGCTGAGGGTTACATCCCAGCGCCCACACCCTTTGTGCCCGACGTGCCCACCTTCCTCAAACTCATCGGGCGTGAACTCTCCAAACACGCCAGCAAAATCGAGTCTTGGGAGGAACTCTTCACCCTGACATCTAATCAGATGAAAACACGAGGCATCGACCCTCCACGAACGCGGAGATATCTGCTGCGTTGGCGGGAGAAGTTCCGGCAAGGGGAATTTGGCATCGGAGGTGATTTTCAATATGTGAAGGATGGTGTTGCGGAGCTACGGGTCGTTGAAGTACCCAGTCTGAAAAAAGACCCCGTGACAGGAGACCCTGTATCCGGGCCGGTCACCATCGGGAGGAGTCCTGGGATGCAGAAGCTGATCGTCAATGTGCCCAATGGTTCTACCTCGTATCAGTTGCTCCCTGGCCAGACGACGGCGGACCTAAAGAAACCGAACGGCTTCACGTTGAAGAATGGATACATTATCAAGGGCAAGCAGGCACATCCCATTGCAGGCACGCATGGAAGTGGTGTCACAGTCAAGGCCGTTGAAGGGTTGTGGGAGCATAAGCGAGGAAGGAAAGTCTATGGCGGTGAGAGGAGGCGGGCGGAGACGTTGCATAAGATGAGAGTGGAGGAAAACAAGAAGAACGCAAGATAAACGAGGGAGGTGTTGCGGGTCATGGTCAATGTCCGACTGTAGCCTTGTCGACATCTCCCACGTTTGGACGCTGTATGTACGATAATCGTCGATTGTATCATATGTTGCTGGTCTGAGTAGACCTGGGAGTGATCCGACCAGTAGGCGTCGACCTCGACTCGGCTTGACGGGATTCGTTCAGAAGGGAAGCTTGACGTCGGCGCACTACATCTGAGGCTCGCCAACCGGTCCGATGTAGATGGTAGCCACGCTATGGAAACCTTCGACGAGAAGGTAGGGACTTAGCCTGCGATTTGAGTTGCAGTAGGAGGCTCAACCGTTTCCAAGGAGAATCTATTTTGAGAATGGTCGCTGCTTCCGCTACAATTGGAGACGTCACCTCGGTCTCTGGAAATGCGGATACAGTCGATAGTTGCGAGCACAATGCCATGCATTTCCTGCCACATGTAGGCGAGCGAGGGCACATGTTTGCTCACAGATGTCCAAAAAGAATAGGGTTCCGACGGTTTCGGCTTTGTCTCAGTCGAGTCAGAGATTTCGGTGGACAATGTGGTCCGAGGACAGTGCTTGGTCAGCTAGGCGTCTGCCTTCCTTGAGTGATGCAACCACCTGGGCGCGCAAGGTGACTGTTATGCTCGGATGGCCAAAATCTGGAGGAGAGAGAATTCCAGCCACGATTGCGCTAGCTGAATCCCCTAGGGGGCAAAATCTCCGACAGCTTCCACACAGTGAGCACGTTGGATTGCCGTCGAAACGGTCAGTCATTGCTCTTGAATGTATCGGTCGACTTTTGCCGATGGCAAGAAAGCATAGCACTGGATCTGGTTCCATTCGTCCCATTTTACAGAATGGAGTTCAAGCTAACAAAGGATCAGCATGTTTGATACACAGCTAGAAAATCCGGTGCCAGTTGGGCGGGTTCAAGAGACAGGATCAGGACGATCATTTTGCTGATCGTTGCCACATCTCGACTGCTCGTCAGTGGGCCACCTCTAGAGACGGCGTGTCTCCAGATCACGCTGAGTCGGTATGCAAACTTGAATTGCCCAACTCAGACTTGGTGTGTGATTGGACCGTCGATAGGAGTAAGTGGCTTGTCAGTTAGACATAGCGTAAACGCAATTGTGGTTGCAATTGAAAGGACTCCTGGACCATCCTCTTTTCCATCTGGAATACAGGAGGTGGAGGATTACTCGAAAGAGAAGGACACCTTCCTCTCGATGGACCCTTTGCACAAAACGGGTTGGTTGCACATTGCAGAGGGATCGACTCACGCAAAGCTGTCTCAAGGACCGAGATGAGGATGTTCTCGTTTGATGGATGCTCGGGGAGAGCACTCGACGACGATCAAATCCGTTACTACTGAAGGAGAGCACGGGCAACTTTGCCAAGCAAATTGATCCAGGGGTAAACGGCCGGGGAAGCCTTTGAAAACGCCACTGTCGAGATTGGCGTTGACAAGGGTGGGGTGGGCTTGTCCTTTAGTGCTGTGATGCTTTGTGCAAATTTCTCTGAGCCGTGCCCCGGGCACAAGGCATGTCATCATCACCCAACTCTTATCAGCTCGTGAGGTTTTGCTGTGTATTCGCAGACCTTCTCTTAGCAAGTTTCACGTCAAGGAAAGTGTCCGTTGACTGGATGGCGGCCAGAACAGACTTCGGGAAGCGTGCATCCTTGGTTTGCCTCCCTCCAGGACGCGTTATGCGTGGCGTCTATTCGGCTAACCCAGAGGATACTTTGAGTAGGTTCAGGAGGGTAGCCGAGCCTGTGGAAGGGCGAGGAGAAATTCGAGCGCAGAGGCGCGCAGGGCGCTCAGTTAGCGGGTGTGTCAGTTGTGGTTTTGACAGGTGTTACAACTTGACAGTTGGAGTAACTCTGTACAAGCAGGACAGCTCGTGGTCTGAGAACTGCTTGTGATGATCACAAAAGTTGCAGATGAATTCAAGTGATAAAACCAGCCAGAGACCAATAGAATAACAGAGGTCAGATAATGCAACCCTTGGGGAAAGTGGTTGCAGAGGGCCAGTTCCCGCAGCCGGAGCACTCTTTCTCAATGGGTGGGACGGAGAGGGAAGGAAATGGCTCGTGACAAGCTGAACGGCCCAAGGTGCCCAGAAGTCGCCGGCCCAATGGGGCGGGCAGGGGAAGCTGTAATTTGACAGGCGGTTTGACCGGATGGGGAGGCTTCTTACCTTAGTCCCATGCCGGGTAAGTTGAAGAGAGCGTTGCTCCCTGGGTGCTCCCCACCAGCGAGGCTCTCTCGGGCCTAGGTATTGGAGACGGCCATCCGACATTATGGGTCCTTTTTAGCTGCAGCTTAGCCTAGTAGGCGCAAGGTGCCCTGGAGGTGCCCTGTTCCTGTCTCTTAGCGGTGCCCTGCAGACATCAACCAGCACCTAGAACACGCACCTCGCCAACACGCTTGAACCTTTCCATGCTAGCCGCATCATCCCCTTCCAGCAGTGGTCCAGCAGGACCGGCACCCCGAAGGACTTGAGGAGCTTTTTACCAGGGCAGCAAACCTTAGCATCGACGCCGGCACGGCCCTCACTGAAGGGAAAACCCTCCTGGCTTTCTTTAGTGGTTTGAAGGAGCAACCACACCCCCCAAGAGAACATCCCTCTTGCGCCTTGTCCCTCGTCGCCCGTCTTTTCTGTCAATTTGGTCAACATCACACACCTTGTTGACCACTCCCTGTGGCCGCTGTGTCCAATTGCATCCTCAAGACCCTCCAAGACTTGCCGTTCCCATGCCACCTGCACATCACTGAGGTCGCATGCTCTGGAGAAAACAGTGATCGACCCTCCGCAGCATTGGACGGTCCCATGCGGACAGCTCTTCCCTCTCAATCTCCCCTCGCTCAAAAGCTGCGACACCCTCCGTTTCACCGCTCTAGAAAGCAGAGAACAGTGCAGTACACGGGCTTCTGTTTTCTTGGACATTCTGAAAAACGCGCGAGATTGCGGGAATACCGGTCTTGATTATACAAGCGTTGATTGGGTTTGTGCTCGACGGGTTGAGGACAAGCACAATCAGTCACACAAAATACACAACCACCATCTGTTTCGTTCGATTGCTCAGAAGCAACACCCCGAAAGATCGACAAACCCCGCATGAGCTGGCTATAGCTGCCTGAAATATACCAATCATTCCACTCTGTTGTGCTGGTAGACATGTCTCTACCCGTACTCTCACGGCCTCTAGCCGACCCGCCGACGGGTGCGCTACCTCCAATTCCTACGAGCAAACCTCCGAGAAAGAGTTTACCCCAGACTCCCTCCAGACTGAAAGCTCCGTCGAGGCCTTCAGCACTACCAACACCGCAGCCTGTTCAATCGGCTCCTGATCTGTCGCCCGAAAAACCCTCAGGCATCCCTGCGAGCAAAGGTGTGCGAAAAACCGTCAGCATCGGCTCATTTCCACAGCCACCGAATGGCGGTTCGCGTCCGCCCACCTCGGCTTCAATGGCGTCCACCACGTCCACAAAAAAGAGGACATCAGATGGAGGACACAGCATGCAAAACGCCTCGATCAGGTCCAAGAAATCCCCAAGAACCAGCGTCGCGGCAAGCTTTCGCTCATCTCAAACCCCCAGTCTACTGAATTCTGCCGGTGACGGTATGGCCATCTCGGCCAAGTTTGGAAAGAGGATATCGGACGCTCAGTCCAGCGTCCATTCCCCTCCGCAAAGTAGGAGCTCATCGGCCAACGGATCTTACTCGACTAGTGCTACCACGTTCGAAGAAGAAGGGGAGGACAGTCGAGGTCGGACAAAAGAATCGGATGAAGGCACGGCTGAATCAAAACGGAATTCTAAAGGAAAAGAGGTGAAAGGCAACGTGATTGTCAGTGTCCGTGTTCGACCCGATACTGGGACTCCAAACAATGCTCAATCCGAAGGAGAATGGATGGTGGATGGCCGAAGAGGTCTGGTTGCATACCGCGGAAAAGAGGGCGGGGATTACCATCTCGACAATGTTTTCACTACCCACGACGACAATGCAAAGGTGTATGATGCTGCGGCCAAACGGCTGGTACGTCGAGTCATGGAAGGATATCATGGAACCGTGTTTGCATACGGCATGACAGGAACCGGCAAGACCTTTTCGATGCAAGGGACCATGAGCAGCCCTGGTGTGATTCCACTGGCAATCACCGATATCTTCTCCTACATCAGAGAGACCCCGCACCGCGAATTTCTTCTGCGAGTCAGCTACCTCGAGATCTACAATGAGAAAATTCATGACTTGTTGGCCGTGCCCGTCGGAGGTGGTGTCGGACAGCAGCAAGAGGAAATTAAGCTGCGCGAGGATAGCAAACGGGGTGTATACGCCTCGCCTCTGAAGGAAGAGATTGTGCAGAGCCCAACCCAGCTGCTACGGGTGATCCACAGAGGAGACACTGCTCGCCGTACCGGAAGCACCCAGTTCAACGCGCGAAGTTCTCGAAGTCACGCAGTCGTTCAGATTGTGGTCGAGAGCCGAGAGCGAATACCAGGGTCAGGTTCCCTGCAGGAAAATGGAAAGCGTGTGGCCATGCTGCCGGGAGGTGTGCGGGTCTCGACGCTGAGCCTGATCGATCTTGCGGGATCAGAACGTGCAGCAGAGGACAAGGAACGCCGTGCTGAAGGCGCGCACATCAACAAGTCTCTGTTGACTTTGGGGACGGTCATCGCGAAGCTATCGGGCAATCGCGATAAAAACGGTAATCCAACAGACAAAGACGGAAAACATCTGCCGTACCGAGACAGCAAGCTCACCCGGTTGCTCCAACCAGCACTGTCTGGGAACTCGTTGGTGTCGATCCTGTGTACCATCCAGATTGGAGCGGGCTTGACAACCGCAGGCAGCAACCACACGGGTGAAACCCTCAACACACTGAAATTTGCTGCTCGTGCAAAGAACAACATTGTCAGCCATGCCAAGAGAGCCACAGAGGAGCTGGGCAGCGTCAATGCAGGTCTGTTGGAACGATATAGAGCAGAGATTGCAAGTCTCCGATCTCAACTGGAGGGCCAACAGAAGACAGCCGCAGAGAAGGAAGAGCGGCAATTGGAGAAAGAAGCCGAGCAGCGCCACGAGGAACAGATGCTGGAGATGCAGCTGGCCAGAACAGCACTCAAGGAGCGCATCGAGCATCTCAACCGTCTGATCCTGTGTTCCAAGTCGACGGGCGTTAATAGCGGAACAGTATCGGCCTTGGGTATGCACTCGCGGCTCTCTGGAGGGACAGAATATGCCGGCTCAAGGTCTGTGCGATCGTCAGCCAGCCAGTCGACCTTGGGCGTGGCACCAAGTCTCGGGCGCCACCCGTCGGTGGCTTCCCTGGGAGGGCTGGCCTCGCCTTCCGGGCAGCTTTCATTCTCGGGAATTCCGGACCAGGACGAGGAAGGCGCTGATGATTTTGGCGACGGGAGAGCGCCCTTGCAGGCCCAAGTACGCGCCTTGCAGGCCGATTTGCAGGACAAGACACGGTATATCTCGACTCTGGAGAAGAGGCTGCTGCAAGCTCGGCGCTCCAGCCACTCTCGAGTGTCGATGGCGTTTAATAAACCCGCGGGCGACGAGAGTGAAATGCAGAGACGACTGGATGAAAAGGATGCGATGATTGCGGACTTGCAGAAGACAGTTGCCGCTCTTCGATCCGCCGTGCGCAAGCGCGAGATTGCGGAATTGACGCCCGAGACGTCATCCTCAGAGTTCAAGCAGAACCGTGCACAAGCTGGACATCAGAGCAACAGTAGCAACAGCAGTTCCCAGCTCAGCATTTCGATTCAGCCGGTGTTGTCTGGTGGACCACGGTCGCCGCTGACGACGAGTCCAATGACGATCCTTTCCCCTCAAAAGGCAATGGACAAGAAACGCAAGACGGTGGACGAAATGTCGAGGATGCTGGACGAAATGATCCAGGACAAGGTCGAGAGCGGACAACTGAACCGGAGATCTTCATCGGTTCGGGTGTCCTCGCGAGGCTCGTCATCCGCGCGCCGGCATTCACGACGGCTCTCGATGGCGGGCAACAACGGTGCTGCAATGCCGCCAGGGCCGGGGATAGGAAGCATGGTGGCGTCGCTGAGAGAGCGCGACTCGGTGATGGAAGCGAAGGAGTCGAGTTGAAGTGAGGTTCGATTGTTTTTATTATCACGATTGATGACACGACCGTTGTATTTTCCTCCTTTTCTTTTGGCTCGATTCTCTTGAAAGGACAATGGCGGCGACCCTGGAAGGAGTTGAGACCGCCCAACAGGACGAGATCCACGGAGCATGATTGATTCTAATACGGGCGATGCGGCTGTTTGACTACTTATTTCCTGGGCTTTTCTTTTGCAGCATGTTACATTTCTTGGAGCTTTGACAGCAAGTCTGTTCCCCGAACGGGACAAAGTGGGATTTACTATGTTTAGCAGAGATCAGGGGGGGAAGAAGGAAACCCACGGAAGCGATTCCAGGCCAAAAGATGCATCCATGCTACAGAACAGACAGATACAGATACCCCCTTTCATAGAAGTTGTCATAGGTACAGACTACATTTGGGCAGAAGGAGACGAGGCTGGCGAGGGTCTCCCCTTGGTGCTCGTTTATGCAAGATCAATCAACCGTCCTCTTTGGTATACTCCGTACTCGGTACCCGGAACTCTGGAGACGGAGGAGGCGATCTCTCGCTAATTGAGGTTCAGGCTGGAGTAATCGATGCAGTTGTGCGACTGGCAGGGGCCGAAGAAACATGTCGGGTGTTTCAGATTCTGCACCAACGACCCGCGACCCGCGACAAAACCGTGGGATCCTTGTATTCGGATTCCCTTTTTCTTTTCCCTTCTCTCTTCCTCGTGCTTTGGGTTTGATACCAGCATAATCCCGCCGGGAGGGACTGCGGCTCGACGACGCCAACAACGGATTCAATCGTTGAATTGGGGCCGCAAAATCTCACCTTTTACTTTGGCTGTACATCTGTTCTTCGCCGTTGGGTGCTGGTGGTATCAATTCCATTCCTGCCTGGGGCCCTCTTTTTTCTTTCTCTGCACGAGTTTCAAGTCGCACGCTCACCCGACCAGTTGCTGGAAGTCTTGGAAGGGATCAGCGCTGTCGTCTTGTTCTTTGTTCTTTGTTCTTATTTTTATCCTGACCCTTTTTTCTTTGTTTGTTCTTTTCTCAATCCACCCACTAACGCCGGCCACCTTCTTTGTCTTTGTTGAACCGGCATAGCTGAGCATTGCATAGCATATCTTGTCGTTTCATGTTATTAGACGCATAGACTTGCATCAGCATAGCGTTGGAATTTTGGCGTCACATGTCATTGGAGATCTCGTTTATCTGCATCGCTCAGCACTTGCTTCTACCCTGCATCAATGCTTGAATGAGGACTCCATCTCCCAGGCCGAGTCATGCCGAACAGCAACGCAAGAAGATGCTTCTTTCCAGCCGTGCCAGTCCCCCAAAACCATTGAGGTTTGGCGGACCAGATCGATATCTCTCTATCAGACAGTTCCTTCCTTCCACCCCGATCCCCTCACCGTCTCTCCCGTCCATCCTCCCGCGTCACGGCAAGAAACCGCCAAAGCTCAACTCACGGAAGATCGTCCGCAGCCTGTTCTGGCTTGCCTTCATCATCGGCGTCTACTATGTCGTCTCTTTCGGCCGGAGGAAATCCCACAAGCTCACCGAGCTGACCTTTCTAACCTCGCTGGGCAAGATCTATGAGATCGTCGAAGCCTCAGAGCTGCCTGAGCATCCAACCCCACTGGCTCTGACCGATGCGAAGGGGAAGCACCACTGGACCATATCCATCCCCCAAGACCTCCCTTTCCCCCTTCCCTACACGGATTATGCAGACGTCTGCTCGCAAGTTGACGAGGTGGCCCGCCACGTCGCAGGCCCTCGCCAGAAATCCCAGCAAAAGGACTACTACCAGGAAGATCCCAACTTCATTGACGTCCAAGAAGCGCAGATGCAGCACTTCCTCCCTACTGAGTCCCAGCCGCCGCCTCACGGGAACGAACCCAATATGCCGGTCTGCGAGAGATCCCTGACATACGTCCTCGATGCCGCCGACGCGGGCCTTGGGTCCAGCTTACTCGGCTTGTGGCTTTCTTACGGCCTGGCTCGTCGTGAAGATCGCGCCTTCTTCATCGACGACACCCATTTCCCCTACGGCAGATACAGCACATTCTTCGCCTCGAAGCCTTCCCCACCTTGCCGCCTACCTAGCCCTTCGCATCGTGTACCATGTCCACATCAGGCGAAACACCTCGTCGTGTCTGCTGCCACGACAGGTTGGGTCTTTGGGGAGGCTTTCCACGACCATTTCTCTCAGAGGGACATCTTTGATATGGCGAGGGAAGGGTACGAGGCACTCTTCAAGCTTCGACCTCAAGACGAACAATATGTCCTTAATCGTGTAGAAAAACTGCGGAAGGACATCGACCCGACCACCATCCCCCCTCCCATCCCCGACGAGGACCGCTTCGATGACGACGACATGTATGACGCACCGCCAGAGAACGGTCTGGTTGGAATCCACATTCGGCGCGGCGACCGGCATCCTTTCAGCCTGACGTACTCGCAAAATTACCTGCCTCCTGAAATGTACATGGCCACCGCCTTGAAGCTGGTAGGCAAATCTTCTCAATGGAAATTCCTTGTTGCCTCGGATGATGCCGACATGTACGACCACATTGATCTGCCCAACACGCTGCGGGCGCAAGAACGAATCTCCCTCGCGTCCAAGAAGAAGTTGGCCAGCATGGGCCAAGGTGGTGGACTGGGTTGGGAAGGCGGGTTCTTCAGGGATGTCTTCTGGGGGTTGGGTTTGCCGGAGGACGTGAAGGAGCGGAAAAAATGGGGCAGCCCGATGCCTATGAAGGCCAAGCACAGGTTTGGCGAGAAAGACGACGACGGCAGGGAGAAACGAGTCCATCATCACGACGTCAAGCAATCGAGTGGGCTGCGGACAGATGAAGGCGATGATGATGCCGACGACGTGGCCCTTTTGGAGCGTGATTATCGTACACATCCCACCGCAGAAGCGCTTCAGCTGAGAGAATTACTCGGTCGAGCGTACCTGTTGGATTTGGCCATGCTGGCCCAAAGCGATAAAGTGGTTTGCGGTGTGTCGGCTAATGCATGTCGGATCCTGGCCGTGATGCTAGGATGGGAAAGAAGTTTCGAACGGAAAGACTGGAATAATGTGGACGGAGGTTATCAGTGGAGAGTCCTGGATTATTGAACTCGACACGACCTCGAGGCCCTTTGCAGGGAAAACTCTGAGCCTATCAAATATCGGCATAGTGGAAACGCATATAGTGAAACGACGAGGACAAACGTGAAGCCTTCTAGAAGCCGCAGGGTGATCGCCGTCCACTTTTCCACCTGAACCTCACATCTAAACCAAATTCGCTAAAATAAATGCATGGAATTGCACCTCTGCCAGCCTCCTGATCCCTGCCATCCCATGCTCTCGCCGCCATTAGGTTGGGGGCATAACAACCCCAAATATCGGGTCTAAATAGTAGAGACACATGGTCGAATGTTGAGTTGAGGTTCATGAAAGGACAAGGATATTCTGCGTACTGTTGCGGCTTGCCGTGGGCGTACAGCTTTGTTTAGGTGTCGAGGATGGAAATTAGTTGAGGCCTTTTTGACAGAGAGGCTGACTGGAACATGGTCAGCATCTGGAGCACGATCTGATGATTTGGAACAGAGGACTCACCGTCGCCTTTTGGGGTGCCAAAGAAGTGTCTCTTCCTCTCTCAGTGCATGCTCTCATGAAGGCATGTTATCTCGTGCCCTCCGTAATGGCGTCATATCGGATGAGGATGGAACGAGTCCCGTCTCAACCAAGACGACGACGAGAACGACGCAACTCGCTATTCAATGAGTCCCTGTCCGCCAGGGAGCGACGGCGGATTCTGTTCCCATTACAGGCCCCGCATCGGCGGTTGTCATAAGAATGGCTGAACCCCGGCCGAGTCCTCACCCTCCAGTTGAAGGAGAGGAGGCAGAAACCCGTTTGCTGGTAGCGGATGCACTGGCGACTCTGGACGAAGCACTCGTGGTAGCAGCAGCAGCTGTCGCATCTCTCGAAGACGTACTGGTTGTAACACATGATTGAATGAAATGTGGAGGGTGGAGAGGGTTGAGTGAAGTGTGGACTAAAGTACTCAGTGGTAGTAATGAACTGAAATGGTTTGAAAGAGTTGAAGGGGAGACGCTGGCGAGACTCTTGACTGGCTCGCTTCCACTCTCTACAACTTAATTCCGTGCCTCGGTGCTTTTTCTCGCTTCCTCGTTGTTCCCACCAGAAATGCACGACGCAAGCCACGCGGATCGAAATCGACACCATCCTCCAAACTGCAGTTTCGTCCGCGACCAAATCCTGGGAGCTCCGTCTCGACTCGGACCAAGTCCTATTGAGTGAACCGCTGGCCTTGAACAAGTCCAAAGACCCCATGGCGCAAAGACGTTGCTGTCCCTCTCTCACTCCTCCATAACTCGAATCCCTCCATCCGTTGTCCTGCGACCATGGCTCTCGCATGTGAGTGTGCCCGCCCTTGATCTGAGACTGCGACCAAAGGCTATTGAAAGCTGATCTTTTAACAGTACCAGCCTCTACCGCAGCCCTCGCGGCGCCGACTGCTTTGGCCGGACTCGCCTACCTCGATGCCCGCTGGCGAGTCTCGGTCGACTTGGAGCTCATTCTCAGTCTACTGGCTTCCCAAAGAGCCTTTGCAAAGAGAGAGGCAGCAGATCGGGCCAACTCCTTCTACCTCATTGAGGGACATGCGCACAACCCAAAGGTCGCAGACAAGACCTTCATCATCTACCAGGGCAAAAGATGGACCTTCAAACAGACATACGACATGGTGCTGCGCTATGCGGGATACCTGCACACCACTCACTCGATCCTGCCGGGCGAGATCGTCGCCATCGACTTTATGAACTCTCCTCAATTTCTCTTTCTGACCATGGCTTTGTGGTCCTTGGGCGCCCTGCCGGCCTTTATCAACTACAACCTGACCTCGACCTCGTTTATCCACAGCGTGAAAACGTCCTCGGCGAGGCTCCTGATCGTTGATCCCGAAATCGAGTCCAAGGTTCTGACCGAGGGGAACAAGACTATCTTCTCAGGCCCCAATTTCCGCAACAATGCCTTCCCTCTGGAGGTGGCAGTCTTGACTCCCGGCCTCCAATCGTCCTTGGAATACTTTCCTCCTTACCGTGCACCTGACACTGCTCGATCCGGCGTGGTCGGTCGTGCTCCCTGTGTCCTGATATCCACGTCCGGGACAACGGGCCTCCCCAAGGCTGCAATCGTGCCTTGGGACCGTACCGTCGTTGGCTCCGGTCTTGTTGCACGTTGGTTGAATCTGCGTCCCGTCACGTCATCCAATCCAGACAGGTATTACACTTCCATGCCGCTGTATCACTCCTCTGCCTTTCAGCTGGGCTTCCACTGCTGTCTTGTCCGAGGTTGCACGTTGGTCCTGGGCCATAAATTCTCCGTCTCACATTTTTGGGACGACGTCGTTGCGGCCGACGCCACGGCCATCCAATATGTCGGCGAAACCCTGCGTTATCTACTCGCCGTGCCACCTCAGCCAGATGACCGCACAAAACACAAAGTGCGTCTGGCATTCGGAAACGGCCTCCGCCCAGATGTATGGGACAAATTCCGCGCCCGGTTTGGAATCGAGACGGTGGCCGAGTTCTATGGCGCCACCGAATCCGCCGGAGCGAGCTTCAATATTTCACGCAACACTTTCTCGTCAGGCGCCATAGGCCAAGCTGGTTTCCTGGGCACTTTGCTCCTGAAGTTGAGGCAGACCATCGTCAAAGTGGACTGGGAAACAGAAGCGCCTTATCGAGACCCCAAGACAGGATTTTGCATCCCCGTACCGCAGGGTGAACCAGGCGAATTACTCTACAAGATCGACTCTGCCGACGTTGGTGCCAAATACCAAGGGTATTTTGGCAACAAAAAGGCCAGTGACTCTAAGATCTTGCGAGACGTGCTGAAGAAGGGCGACGCCTATTTCCGCTCGGGAGACGTGATTAAACTCGACAAAGAGGGACGTTCCTGGTTCATGGACAGAATAGGCGACACCTTTCGCTGGCGCAGCGAGAACGTGTCAACCGCCGAAGTCGCCCAGGCCCTGGGTCAACATCCAGCTGTTCTCGAAGCCAACGTCTACGGGGTGGCAATACCGCATCACGAGGGCCGCGCAGGGTGTGCTGCTGTTTTGCTCAAAGATATCAGCTCGCACACGACGCCTGTGCCAGAGAATCTTCTCGAGAGTCTAGCCATGTACGCAAGGAACAGTCTCCCCAAATACGCCGTGCCGGTGTTCCTTCGAGTCGTGACGCAGGTCATGGCGACGGGGAACAATAAACAGCAAAAGCACGTCCTCCGGCAGGAGGGGGTAGATCCGGAGAAAGTGGCCGAGGATAGGTTGTTCTTCTTGAGGCCGAACAGTCAGAGATATGAGCCGTTTGGGAAGAAAGAATGGGAGATTGTCAAGAGTGGAAAGGTTAAACTGTGAAGAAATGAACGAGCAACAGGAGTTGATCTCGTAAGCAGAGGAAGAAATAGTGAGTGACGTGATCTCAGCGTGAACGATTGATGGATTGCGTCTGGGTTTGGCCACAGCCAGGGGCAGTTCGACTTGTCTACTGGTGGACACTAGACAGATGCTGGAAGCCTCGCCTCATCCGTACGCCATTATGATACCCTGTATTTAGGGCGAGTGTGCCTTGTATATTAGAGGAACTGAACCGACAGATTTATATAGGTACCTAGGTGTCCTGGGCAGATACATAGATACAATCTCATGCATGACCATTTTCTGACGGCGAGCATGAGGCAAACAAAAACATATATATCATGGCATCATCCCGCGAGCCGCCACCGGTGCTGAAGTCCTTTGCCCTCCGGGACACAAGCTGAGACTCTTTTTGATTTACAACAGCCATTAATATGATATATTACGGGGGCACAATAATCAAAAAAAATCGGTCCCCATCAGACAGACACAGACACAGACACAGACACTGGCGACGGCGCCATTTCATTTCACTGCCTAGGAACCTGGGAACTCGGCCGTATATTACGCTATCAACATGGACTCTCCTAAGCAATTGACATTGACGTCGACAAAAGCACAACATGACAATAGCAGAGCATGGAGAGACATGTTACAACCAAAGACGACAGCATGCATAAATCATGACAAGAGAGACCAAAACATGGTGCTGGGGTGCGTTTGCGCTGTGACTGCGCCCCGCGTGTATATCAGATCATATCCAGAAAACATTGCAATCATCGTGCCCTGCGTCGTGCGTGCCCTCCCTTTTCGCTTTCCCACATCACATTGAAAAAAATCAAAAGTACCAAAAAAACGAGATCCGTCACACGCACACATTTGCCAAACTGTTTGGGCCCGTATGCTGGGGATACATTCTGGGCTCGCCTTTGTCTCCACTTAGATATCTCTCCTTTGGACATGGATGAGCTCTCATTGCTCCCTCCTCTTCCTCATCAGTGGAACTTGCCCTTTTACAACTCCTCAGTGAACCTACTTCCCTCCCTGGCCCTCTCTTCACTCTTCTTTCCACTCGTCGGCCCCCCGACATCGACCAGCCTCGCGGCCCCGCTGTCGACTTTTGACGCACTCACCAGCCGGCCTTCGTCGAAAGTGTCCCTAGCCTCCTCAAAGTCTTCGTCATCGTCCCCATTTGTCTGCGCGTGCGTCAACGCAGGTGTCGTGGTGCCTGTGACGGTCGTGTTTGCCGTTGCTTCGGTGGATGTAGTTGAAGGTTCCTGCACCTTTTCACGCATAGGTTCCGTTTCTGAGAGGATATGCTCGTCTGGATTGGCGTGGGTTCCGTCTGCCTCTTGTGCCTCGGCGGATTCGGCCTCGGGTTGTGGTTGCGGTTCGGTAACTGCAGAGTCTGCTGTGACTGTGGTTGGAGCTGGGGCCGAAGCTGGGCCTGCCGCAGTCTGTGACGGTCCAGGCTTCTGCTTCTCCTTCTCTTTATCTCGTCCAGGGATGACTTTCTTCAGAAACCTCTCGCGAAAGCCTTTCCTGCCACGCGGTTCCTCGTCCTCGTCCGTCAATGTGGCCAGCTGATCGAACCCCGAGTCTCGTTTCGACCCGGTATGTTCAGTCGAGTATCTGGAGGAAGCGACGTCCGCGGCAATCACATACGGCTCTTCGCTGAGCGACGAGGTGTCTGATGGTGGACTGACGTCTCGTTCCTGTGCACCACCGGTAGTCACAGCTGGACCGGGCACGGAGCTCTCATTTGGAATGGGTGAAACTCTTCCATAGGGCCTCACAGATCCGCCGTACATGTCGTCCGTCTCGTTGTCGCTTCGGCCTGCGAGTGCAACATCTCGGATCGAATCCGTGCCAGCCTGGTCTTCCTCCTTGGTAGGTTCGGCCGACTGACCAACCGTGTCAATGTTTTGGTTGCCATCTCCCGCTGCCGTGGTCTGCTCCGGAAGAACGTTTTCCGATTTACTTCCAGTCTTGAATCTCTTGAACCAGGTCTTCACCCGCGAATCCCTCTTTGAGGGCGAAGTCGGTGAGGTTGGTGAAGTTGGAGATGTCGGCTCCTGCGGCGGGGTGGTCTTGGAATACGGGGTCGAGCCTACATCGTCCTTCGGCCCAATCTCTTCGTCTGCCGGCTGAGTGACTCTCGACTCTTCCACCGGTTGTTCAGTGTGCTCCTCGTCTGCTGCAGCCACAGCATGGGCAGCTTCATTTGGATCCAAGGTCACTTGATCATGCACGGTTTCACCAACAAGCTCGCCGCGTTCGACCTTTTCGGCCCCTTCAGCCGTCATGGTCACTGGGATTGCAGTCGTTCCTGCGAGAGCGTTCGCTCCACCCCCAATAACATCTGCGGCGCCCTCTACACCCGCAGCTGTTGCCGCACCTACCGCAGCTCCAGCTGTAACAGCACCTCTTCCGAGGAAGCTTGGAAGGAATCGAGGTTTGCCCGGTTCAGCGCCTCTCTTTTCCTCCTTTTCTGTCCGCCGACGCTCTCTTTCGGCGGCACTTGCCTCATTTCGGGCTTTCTTTTCCGTGGCCTTTTGTTCTGTGCGCACACGTCTCTCTTCATGTTTCTGCTCTTGCTGAACTCGTCTCTCCTCTGCTTTTTGCGCCCTTTGTTCGGCTTTTTCGCGATCTGGGAAGAGTCAGCAAGCCATTGGCTCCAAAGTACGACAACAAACTCACCGACGACTGCTTTTTGTTCTGCTTTGATATCTGCCTGCCGTTTCTTCTCGGCTTCTTGCTCGGCCTTGAGCCTCTCTTGTTCCAGTCTAAGCTCCTCATCCTTGGCCCTTTGCTGCTCGGCCTTTTCGGTGATCTCGTCCAGGGTTGGTTGCAGTCGAGCCTTGGCAATTGCGTCAATCTCAGACTGCTCGAGGTACTTGCCACCTCCTATATGAATCTTTCCGACATGAAGCAATCTGTCGTCACTTTCACGTTGAGCCCTTTCCCGAGCCTGACGCTCCCACAGCTCGCGTTGTTGTGGACTGGTTTTGCCGGTTTCGGAAAACACCTTTTCGTCCATTGCATTCATGCGAGCCGTCACGTTCTTGTGTGCCACTGCAAGCAACGCATCTCGATCCGCTTGCCGCTTCTTGCTGTCGACCTCGGCGAGCTTGCCCTGAAACAAAGACATTTGGGCCCGGATCTTGCGTGACTCTTCCAAGTCAGAGTCATCATCTTCTCGAATGTCAGACGTCCGCCGACCGCGTCGTAGCGTAAGTCGCGTCCGAGGTGGCGCTGTCTGTTGTCCGTAGTACTGCCGATACTCGGCGTGTTCATCGTGTAACTTGGCGAGTCGCTCCTGAGCCAATCTTCGGGCGGCTTCTTCTAGGTTCTCGTACCGTGGCACTTCGTCGACTGTCGGCTGGTTTGCAGCGTCTGATTGTGCACGTCGTCGAGCGGTGTATGCAGCGTAGTGACTTTGTGAACGGTGGATTCCCCTAGCCTCATCGATCTGAGCCTGTTGAATAGCAAACATCTTCTTCGCCATAGCGACCGCCGAGGCACGTAGCATATCTTGCCTTCTCCTCTCTTCAACTTCTATTGAGACTGGCGGATTGGATGTGTACATCTGCCTGGAGACATTGTTTCTGGCCATGTTTTGGACTCTGGCGGCGTCTGCACCCGAAAATTCGCTCGTTGACGGTGGAGTTGGCGATGACGGAGGTCTCACGTTCTGAGACGATGTCGCGGCTTTGATAGCCCAGGCTGAGTGAGCCGGTGCTGGGGCTGGTCGTGTCGGAGCGGATTCTGCTCGCCGTCTGCCACCTTTTAAGGAAGCTGTTGCAGCCAAGAGTGCCTTCTGTCGCCCATCGCTCGAAACGTTTCTCTCGGTGATGGGGGGAGGAGATTTGGGATTCTGTAAGGCCGAGGATGCGGCAGAATGACCTTCCTCTGTTTCCGGAGCCCTCCAGATATCTACGGGAGCAGCATCGCGATGAGCAGCCAGTGCAGCCTGGGAACCTGCCCGGCTCAGCTCCGGCTTCCACAGAGGCTCCATCTCATAGTCTTTTGCTCTGTACGCAGCCGTATTTGCGTGGGGAATGGTGCCGGGAGTCCACGTCTGGATGGTTTTCTTGTTGGATTCTGCGAGGCTTGCTGCGGCGCCCGCGGATGCGAGTTTGACCCCGCCAGTGGAAGGAAATGAGGGAAGATCTTGAGCTCGTGCGTATTTCAGAGAAAGCGCAGCACCTGGAGAGCGGCAGTTAGTTTTGCGAATTGGATGCGAGGGGATGGTTTGGAGATTGTGGATGGCGATCAAGGGCGGGGTTGACGCACTGGCAGCAGATAGCCGACCTTCCTGGTCGAGAATTGAAGAGGTGCTATGCTTGGTGGTCGGAGTGTCTCGAGCGACAGACAATGCCGCAGAGGCAGCTACAGCACGTCAGCTTGCCATGAACTTGTTGTCGGCCAAAAATGGATTGACTGACCTTGGTCTTCGAGCTTGTCCGACGGGGTGAAGCTGCTCTGATGGGGATGGGCATGGGCAACGCTGGCCGACATGCTTGGCCCCCTCTGGCGTCTGGCTGCTTCTCGGGTAATCGATAGGTGCTGGAAGCGGGCGGGTGGTTGCGCAAGCAACAACGCAGTCAAGAATCTACCACGGCATGGAGACTGCGATTCTCAATGCCAAAAACGAGGGACAGAGTGAGGATAATACAGTTGAAGGAGCTCTGCTTGCATTTCAGATCAGCGGAAGAGGAATAAAACCGAAAGAAGAGCTGCAGACGGCCAGTGGTGCCAGTGGCGTGCCGCTCGCTCATCAAGGTCTCCCCAAGGTTGCTCGCGGCTTGGGGCTTGGGGCTTGGGAGGTGCAGGGTGATCAGGGTCGCCCATCGCCCATCCACTCCCAGAGTCACCATCGTCCACCACCGTCATGACCAAGAGCTGCGCTTGTGTATGTCATCCCAGCGTCCCTATTACCACCTACGTCATGCCAATAGGAATCGAGGGAGAGTTGCTCCCGCGGCTTAGGGCACAGAGATAACCCAACTAGTAGTTCTAGCAGTTCTAGCAGACCCTTAACTGTGGTGATCCCGCCTACATACAGTTTGGGTGGTGTGTCGATTGTTTTTTCCTGCCACACGCGGTGCTCTTTGTTTCTGGTTGGGGAACTGTCCATGGGAGGAGACAAAATGGAGGGGCACAAGGCACACGATGCCGATAACCATGGCCGTACCGAGTACCCCGTTCTGGATCGGACCCTTCGCTTATCCGCCTCTCGCTCACCAGGAGAAGGAGGAGGAGCGCATGCACGCACCCCAAGAACCTCTGGGCCACCAGCTGCCCAGCTCGAGCTCTTGTGGCGCCCATGTGGTCCCTTCCCGACCAGCTAGCTACCTAGTAGTTAGACCAGGGGGGACCGAGGCAGGGACCAAGGAAACTCACCGTTCTTGCTACCCCACAATGACATGCAGTGCAAAGCAAAATGGTGGACAGCCGTCACCTTCAACACCTTGGGTTTGCCAACCCATTCGAAGTACTACTCCGTACCGTCTGAAATAGGTCTCCACTCTTCCAACCATGGCAGACTCAGGTACCAACATGGATTCTTCCACTGCACATCAGTTTGACAATCTGCTCAATTTTCGCGATGTGGGAGCTCACATTAACACCATCCTTGGTGCCCAAGCTCTCCGACCGGGTCTCCTTTTCAGGAGTGCTCGACCAGACAACGCCAGTGTGTCCGACCGCGACGTCCTGGTTCACAAGTACAAGATCAAGACGATCATTGACCTTCGCTCCAAAACAGAACACATCAATGCAGCAAAGAAACGGTCTGAAGCTGCTGTGGCGGCACAACCAGCGGTGATGCCTTCGTCTAACGAGAGCGTTGCTGAACCGGTCCAAATACCTGGCATTCGTTATGCGCTCATCAATCTCAATGGTAAGGGCTTCGAACGGCATCTCATCTGGCAGTTGAAGTACACCAGTCTCGCCAAATTGGTGTTCTTGATGGCTCTGGGCTACCGCACGCAAGGCATATCGGTGCTGGGAAAAGAATTGATGCTACCAAAGGGGCTCGTCGGCCTGGGAATTGACACCCTCGACCACAGCCAGCCTGAGATTAAGCAAGTCTTTGACATTCTCGCCGATGAGTCAGCATGGCCTGTCATGGTCAATTGCACTCAAGGCAAAGACAGAACCGGGATGATAATACTGCTGGTGCTGCTGTTGTGCGAGATTGATTTGGATGCTGTCAGCCAAGATTATGTAAAGTCTGAACCGGAACTCGAGCCAGAGAAAGTGGAAAGGATGAAAGAGATTGAAAGTATTGGTCTGGATGAGTCGTTTGCCAAATGTCCGCCAGATTTTTGCGAGAAGGTTGTCCAGCACCTTGATACCACTTATGGCGGCCTGTCCACCTACCTGGCCCGAATCGGCGTTTATCCCGAGCAATCCGAGCGTGTCCGAAGCGTTCTCAGAGTCGGCTCACCGTAAAGAGAGTACATTCCATTCCACGAAGTCGGAGGATTCTTGGGCTACCTGCCTGATCTTTGTGATTTGAGCGGTTTGGGAATGCTCCCGACGCATACGAGTACCTTGGAATAATTTTATGGCCGTTCAGTCCATTTCGAGGCAGAACTCCCACATGATACGAGGCCACCTCCTGGGGTGAGTGTCCAAGCAGTTCAGAAACCATCCTTTGCCGGGTTCTTGGACTCGGTCCCCTTTTATCCTGGCACTCAACTTGTACCACGGCACTCAGCAATTCAGGCTCTATCCGGTATGCACCCCATACTCCAGACTTGCCCCATTCAGGTAATGGGACGCCATGCATGATAAGGGCTTGGTCAGCACATTATCGCCAGTCAAGATAGTGTGCTGACATATTCACGCTCCTAGACGGGAAACCGTCGGGAGGTCCTCTATGAAGGAAGGCTGCTAGCACCTGCACAGTCATTGAAGACTAGGGAGTAGCAGCGGTCAATGGGCGGGAAGGGCTAGCTGCTAGAGGTAGTATTCTACGTCGCATTACTTATCAACAACTACCTAAGCTTTTGGAGAAGCTCCGGAGAATGAGGACTCAGTGACCGATGCTTTGGTCAGACGATGAGAATTTGACCGCTGTGGTTGACCAGCTGTTGTACGAGGTTCTTGGACCATGTCAAGGCTAAGTGCGTCTTTTTTGGTGGTTGCAGACTCGTACTCGGTTCCCACAAACGGGTTGATCAGGGGAAAAGCGAAAGATTCGAGAAACTGCGGGAGATGCAATCCGTGACCTTGCCATGTCGTCATTTCTGAGAGGCTCGGGAGGCCACGGAAGACGCCAAGAAACAACTGGATTGGACGTCTGGCAGATACTGGCGACTGGGTCTCCACTCTACCATAAATCTCTCGGAAGCGTCTATGACGTCGTGCTCAACAAGATGTCGAACTTCACATCTGAAGCAAACTTCAAGTTCTGGCAGCGAGCCACGTCTGGCCGCTATATCCGATTATGTCCCTCTCTCCGAAACCCGTTAATGCTCTCGTGCTCACTGGGAACCAGGCATGGCATACGAGCCTTTTCCGGATCTCGCATGTTGCCGCTAAGTCAATAGGATCCGCCAGCAGCAGTCTACGTTGACATAGGCCAATAAGGCGCCCCTTCATCGGCCATCCCCAAGTAAATGCGACTGTTAAATCGCCGTCATTGCCTCACGATTTCCTAGAATGATGTAGCATGGACCAGGTCGATCTCCGGTGACAGCGAAGTTACTTAATCACCGGCGTTAGCCTTCCGTGTATCCCACATTAAGTGAACTCGTACATATCCTTTCCTTCATATTGACCTGTCTTTCTCTCGTTGTCATCACACGACATTGTTCCTCGATTTCTCCTCGCGCCACTCCGTCTTCCAGCCAATACCTCCACCTTCGCCCTTTGGTCCTGCACTCGGCCGACCTTTCATCTCAACGAACCTTCCTATCTGTCGCCAATATGTGGGATAGGTGGTGGCTCAGTGCTTGGTTGTTTCCCGTCATTTCGGCATGCATGTACGTTTTGCCCTTGCTCGATCCCAATTGAAAATGGTCACTAACTGTCCTTACACAGGTGGCTCGGTATGCTGCTGGCCATGTTCTGCTCCTGGGAAGCCAATGGACATCCTCACCTGAAGTCCATGAGCCCAAATCAGCATATTGCCTACATATCTGACATCGGCGCTTTTGGGCTAAAACCCCTCTTCATCACCGGTTCTGTCATCACCACCGTGTTCCTCGACTTGGGCTTCTTGTCGGAGCGATGGCTTCGACACTATGGCCGACTGGCGCCCAACACCTCGCGCGTCCAATCCGCTCTTTCGAGCTGCTCCATCTTCTTTGCCATCGCAGGCGCGTGCGGTCTGATCTTCCTGTCAATCTTCGATACCTATCATCACCACAAAGTCCATGACGGATGTTTGTTCCTCTTCATCGGTGGATATATCATCTCCGCCATCTTTCTTTGTGCCGAATATCAGCGACTCGGGATCCACTACCGTCAGCACCGCGCTCTGCGCCTATCCTTCTGGGTCAAGCTTGCCTTCATCTTTATCGAGATTGCCCTCGCCATTGTCTTTGCCTGCACGTCATGGAAAAACCACTACAATGTGGCCGCCGTGTTTGAATGGATCGTTGCCCTCATTTTCACCTTCTACGTCCTCTCGTTCGTGCTGGACCTTTGGCCGTCGGTGCGGTCGAAGCACCACGTTCCTCAGGGCTGGAGGGAAAGGGAAGCGGAACTCGAAAAGGAAGCTGGAAGAAACGGAGGTTTGCCCCCTCTCAACCAGAGCCCTGCGCCCATCACCTCGGATCAAAATGCAACCACATATCAAAACGACGACACCTATTACAACCCTGCCACCCAAAGCTATCGGGGGACCAACATGACCGCTGGTCAGGGCTCCCACATCCAGTCTGCACTCTCAAAATATCCCGTGGAGCAAAATGATCTTGGGCGACAAAAACGGTGGGGTATTGGACGGTTCCGAATCTAACCTAGCTGTCTCTTGTCGAGCATTTGTCAGTGGGCACTATTCAAGCGTTTGGAAATGCGATCGGGTGCCACAGAGAGTCAAAGGCTGTAAATAATTCAAAATGAGGGTTGGGGGTCTATCAGGGCTGGCTGCTTGTGTTTGGCTTCGGAGATTTTGCATATCAAGGACAAGGCGAGGCTGGTTTCGCCCGCCGACGACGGTACTGAACATAACGAAGGATGAAGCGAAGGTTAGGAATCGAATTCTGCTGGCGGGGAAAACTTAGATACGTAATTTCTATATCAACTGTACAACAGCGATTTCTGGTTTCGGTTGTGATCTCTAGACGGAATCCCGGAGAGAGTTGTGCAGAAATCACTTCGTAACTTATCCCACTGTTCCTGCTCGACAACGATCTGAGGGGACGTCCTGGCCTTGACGATGCATTCATCTCAATTCAGTCGTCAACATGTAGAAGGAACCGCCCAACATTTTCGGGCCGCAAAGACCCTTGCACCGTCCTCCGGATCGTCGTTCTCTCCAGACTCGTTCCATCTCTTGTGGTCTATCGACTGCCCGGCTCGCTGGATACCCTGGGCACCAGGTCGGCGACACGGGAATTCCCAGAACCATGCCTTTCTCAGACCTGCCATTATGAGAATTCTTCTCCGACCCAGGTGCATCTTCCTGTTGACCAATAGGTTGATCCATCCAGCGACTTTGAAGGAATGGAAGACCATTGCTGGACTCCAGACAAGCCCGCATATGGGAACCCTGGGCAACACCGGACGGTGGGACCTCTATTGGACTGATATTCTTGCTATTTTCAAGCACGGTGATTCCTGCCCGAAAGCAAATCGTGCAAATGTGCAGCGAATCCTCCTCCATCCGTTTCGGGCAGTCCCCGCGGCCTTTTTCTTGTATGTGATGCAGGCACGGATTTCAGAGCCAATCAGACGCAGATATGGGGTTTTCTAAAGAAAGACACAATTCACAATGGATACTTCTCCTGTCGATGGTGTATTTAAAAAGAGCCCGTATTTGTCTGTCTGGTTGTCGCCAGCTCCCGTCTCGGGTCTCTGAAAGCTCCAAGAATGCCTTTCCAATACCAGATCGGGCCGTTCCGGGCCCCTTTGCTCCCTGACGACGAGAGTATCAGCTCGGCTCCATCCAAGCTGTCCTACAATTCCAACGCCCTGCTAGACAAGTCCCCTTTCCTGCTCCGTACCAACAGCTTCGGCTCGACGGTCACCTCGTCGAAGACTTCCTACAACGCCGAGCCGCCGCCGGTCCGAGCCCCCTTCAACCTTCTGCGTTCCAACAGTCGCCGTTCGGTCGCTCCAGAGAAGACATCCTACCACTCTCTGCAGGGGGAGCTAGGGGACAAGAAGGAGCAAGACTTCTGGCAGCACACACGGAAATCGTTCTTTCTCAAAATCGGCGCTGTCTTCGTCCTGCTGCAACTGCTCTTCCTGGGAAACTTGTCGTACCTCTATGGGTCTCTGTGGGGGTCAAACGGCCGTGTGTCGTCGTTGAATGTCTTGTGGCTGGACCTCGACGGTGGAGTGATTGGTAACTCAGTAAGCAGTGCTTATGAGAGCCTTCGCGGGCCCGAGTTCCCTTCACTCGAGAAGCCTTCCGGAAACGAATTCCATTCTGTCGCCGAGGCGCTGGACGCCGTCCGGTCTGGATCATACTGGGCGGCGTTTGTGGTCAATACCAATGCTTCGGTCAGACTTGCTCGTGCCCTTGCCGGTGGCCAGGCGGCGCAAACATACCAGGCCTCTGACGCCCTGACTTACATATGGAACGAGGTCAGATACCCTCCGTTCTCGGACGAGGCGTTGGAGGCCAATTTTGAGCTGCTGGCGCAGGTCGCCGAACAGGAATATCACCACAGACAAGGCCAAACGGAAGTGCAGAAACTGAACCGAAACGATACTGCGGCCGTGCAGGTCCTGTTCCATCCGATCGGAGTCTCTGCCGTGAACATAATGAAAACCACAAACCCAACCAGGCTTCTGTACAACACGGCAACGATGGTCATGCCGGTTCTCGAACAGTTCTTTTTCGTGTTGATCCTGAATGGACTTTCTGACGAACTGGGCATATACAAAAAGGTGCCCGCGACCACAACTGGGATCATCCGAGTGGCATTTGCCTTTAGTTACACCCTCCTCTCTGCACTCGGGATGACCGCGTACATCTGGGCATTCCGGGAAACATGGTCAGTGGACGGGGAGCAGTTTGGTCTGACCTGGATGACCTTGTGGTTGCTTCACTCGGTGCACTTTGTCGTTGTCGACACGGCGGCCGCGTTCTGGCCTGTTCCCGTCATGCCGTTCTTCATTCTGACTTGGATCGTTCTCAACCTGTCGAGCTCCGTCAGCCCGCTCGAGCTCAATGCAGACTTTTACCGCTGGGGCTATGCGCTCCCGGATAATGAGGCGTATTCGCTCCTGACAGACATTTGGTCCCATGGCGCAGTGCCCGTGCTCCATCGCGCTCTTCCAATCTTGTTCGCCTGGCTGCTGGTTGGCTCGAGCGCAGCTATCTTTGGCCACTTTCGTCGCTGTCGGCTTGCTCGTGATAAGTGATCGAGGGCCAGAAAACAGTGGTTTGAGGGAGGATAGAGACTAGTCACGACAACGATGATAATGATGAAACGAATTGGGATTGTACTTTCCGAATGGAGGAAACGTCGAATCAATCTTGACACGGATTTTGAACAGGCATATACTTTGTGGTCAACAATTTTTTTTAACACCAGGGTAATCTTCAACAGCCTCGAGATAGAGATGAGGATGGCGCGGGTGACACAGCATAAACGCCGAGTAGTGTATCAAGTCTCAATCAAGCGAGGGACCGTGGACACGAAGGCGTAGAATGATCACTGGGAGGAAGGAGGAAATTTTCATTGGAAAGATCGTAAGGAGGACAGAAAGACGCGTGCTTCAGGCTCGGGCCCGTCCTCTAACAAGGCTTCTAGATCAGCACCTGACAAGATCAGTTGATGAAGCATGGGTTTGCCAGCAGTCAACCGTGTTGTGGTCTAGATAGGGTGTGACCGGTTGGTTGTGGAATGCATCTCGAGAATCTTTAAGCTGCAGTGCTGAGCTGTTGGCGCCTTGGCCTCTGTAAGCCATTCCCTGTTAGAGGCAGGAAGCCTCCGCCTGGTGAGAGCCCACTGTGGTTTCAGCCGCAGACTGTCGACGTCATGGACCCATGGCTCGTCACCCGCCGCGATCAAGTGCAGGCGACTCTGCATGCCGTTCCTCTCTCTGCCATCCCTCGTTTGAATGCTCGGCCTGATACACACCTTATTATTACTGTCTGCGCCCTCATATCCTTCTCCCTAAAGGTCCTTGACCGGTTGCGTCCTTGCGACTAAGATCCCCGCTCGCCGCCCAGCAACTCCGATTACAGGTTCAACCAAAGCAACCTGGACCTGGGAGGACCAGACTCGTAAGGGCTCTCGACATGTCAGAACTACCCGATTACTGTAGACACTATCCATCCATAAATATGTGGAGATGCTGACTGCAAGCAGACGCTATACTCGAGGTTGCTCCCGAAAGCGACCAGGAAGCGATCAAGAGGGCTTACAAGAAAGCCGCACTGAAGTACGTCTCTTTTTGACTGCGGAGTCTGGCATGTTGGACGGCAATGGGACGACGACATTCTCTGTCCACGCTAACAAAAATTGGTAGATGGCATCCAGATCGCGTCGCGGCCGATTCGGACGAGCGTCCCAAGCGGACGAAAATGTTCCAAAAGATCAACGACGCCTATTACACCCTGTCTGAGCCCACAAGACGGCGAGAATACGATGAAGCCAGGCGATTTCATGGCACCACCAGTTTTGACGAGTCCGCCGATGAAGAAATACCACGACCTCCACCTCAGACCGGAGGGCCGTCTTGGTTCAACATGTTCGGCTTCGGCCGCCCTGCAGGAGACACACAGGAGGACAAGTTTGCCAATGAACAGTTCAAGAGCGCGTTCGAGGAGATGATGCAGGAGGACAACCTTGCAGATGACACTCATACACCCACCAAGCGGTTCTGGACGATCGCAGGAGGCATCTCGGGTGGTGTTCTCGGTTTCATCGTGGGCAACTCTGTCGGGATGGTCACTGGGGCTGCGGCTGGCAGCAAGATGGGCGCCATCCGGGACAAGCAGGGGAAGTCGGTCTACGAGGTGTTCCAGTCGCTCGACCAGGGCCAGAAAGCTCGCATTCTAAGTGAACTGGCCGCGAAATTGTTCAGTGGGGCGATCAGTTGAGTGCTTTTGGTTGGGAAGTCTGTTGAGTTGTACATCAGAGGGTTCTTTTTGGCGGATCGATAAAACGCATGGTGTTCCTGGGACATTTTCTCTATCACAACGCAGTTTCACTTTAACTACGAGTTCGAAGAGACTGCTTTCTGTCAGTTTGCCAGCTGTTGCCGCGGAAAGGTCCGATGTCCACCAGCTCTGAGGTGACTCACCAGTGCCCTGGCCTACAGGGACCGAACAAGAAGGTGCCGATGTCACCCCCCCTACACTGATGAACCTTCATCCAGCGATACTGACACTACAGCCCAGCCGTCTTACAGGCTGAATTGTTCAAGTCTACTGATCAGCCACCTGGAGAGGATGCCAATGTCCCTCTCAAAATGACAAGAGTGCCAGGTGATGCATTTCCAGTTTGTGTAGGCTCAGTCCTCTGTTTACGGATCTCCATCAGTTGGTAGACACGCGCATAAGAGGCAGGCCAAGCACGCATCACCAATCAGGAGCCAGGAAGGAACTCTAAGTGAAACCGGCCAGCCAGCGTGGAGGTAAGTCGTTCTCTGAGTGGTCGGAAAGACCTCCTTCCGCGAGGAATCAATATACTAAGGGAAGGCGCGCACTGTCTTTGCACAAATCATGACAGCCGTTTGATGGCCTCCTATTCTTTTCTCCATTCTCTCTTTTTACTGTTTTCATCTGCAGCTAGTTGAATCTGTCCTTTCAGCACAAAGGAGAGTTTTGGGCATTGCTATCCCAGCGGTGATTTTCCTCCACATTTTGAGCCTTCCTTGCTCATTGCAGGTATCTTTGGCACAGGCTCGCCGCCGCCACCTCGACAACAGGGGCCAGGGGATACCGGCAAATCCTCGAGTAGAGGTGCTCTGTCAATACCGGCTGAGAGGCCTGCTTCGGCAGCAATCGAGACCTCAGGGGGTCTGTCTTTGGACGAAACCTTAACTGAGAAGCTTGTCAGTGGACAGAAGTCGAGACCTCAGGAGGTCTGTCCTTGTCTTTTGACGAAATCCTAGCTGAGAAGCTTGTCAGTGGACAGAAATCGAGACCTGAAGGGGGTCTGTCCTTGGACGAAACCTTAGCTGAGAAGCTTGTCAGTTGGCAGACATCAAACCGTGGGAGGTTTGCACAGAAATCCTAGCTGAGAAACTTTTCAATTGAATAAAATCGAACCTGTGGGAGGTTTGTACACCCAGCACAGTCTGCCGCCCAAAGCCGTTTGCCCGCACCATCCGCACCACTCGCCCTCAGGTCTGTCCACGCTCTCACCCCACGGGACACTTTCTCCCCAGGTTTCTTTTGTTGTCGACATTCTCGCCGCACATGGCATCAATTTTCCTGTTCTCTTTTGGTGTCGACACACTCATCCTGCAGGACATTGTCTCTCCAGGTCCCTTTTGTTCTCGACACGTTCCACGGGCATAATATCTCCAGCTTTCTTCTGTTGTCGGCGCTCTCGCTCTACCGGCCATCATTTCTCCGGATTTCTTTTGTTGTCGACACTCTCTGCGTACAGGATTTTGTTTATCCAGATTTCTTTTGTTGTCGACA